AAGGTTAATATTTATCAGATTGGAATTGTGGACTCGGTGGTTTCCTCCCATGCCAGTCCCACTGGGTCCCTCGATTCATGCCATTGCGCTTGTGTCATGTTTATGGAATCAGATCAGTACTCTGCCGCTTGGCTTCCGTTGTCCGGCTCGGCGGCAGGGATATTCTAGCCAAAACATCAGCAATAGACAGGCCAATATCCTGAAGCAGCTGTTGTTCACTGTTCAGGTGAGAAAAAAGGCTTGTTGGGAACGTAATGACCATGGAAGTACACAGTGCAGGATGAACCCACCCTTCATCCACTAGTTACAGGGCCTGATCAAGCTGCAGATTTCTCACCGTGAGAAAACTCGGTTGTGGGCACATGCAGGGATCAACCAGCCACTCAGCGTTATTTATTGCCATCATAGCCAAAACTGCTTGCATGAACCGGCTTACGGCAACGGAATGAGGGGACTAGGGATTCTCAAATGATCTTATCAATCGATCAATTTCACTTCCTCAACGAAATAGGCGAGCAGCTTGCGTGGCTTGTTTGCCAAAGTCGTCAGACCAATTACGAAATCTCTTCCTTTGCCACCCAGCCCGAGCGCGATTTTTTCTTGCTCGATCATGGTGTACGTCAGCCCATGCACTTGAAGAGTATGGAGTCAACCCCATGTGAAGTGGAGGTTGAGACCGAACTCGTTTTCCCTCGGTCAGAGTCTACCCACCTCACCATCCAGTCCGTCAATAAAAGTAGCCTGAGCCAGGTCCATGATATGTTCGGTAATGGACAAATATTCTGTTGCATGGAATGTGGCTAGCGTCTAAGCCCCTCTGACTTCTGCCACTGGGGAGCTGCAATGCGTCTGATAGAGATCACCTCCAAACACTGAAGACTTTCCAGTTATCTCGGGTCGAACATGGCCATCTGCATTTTGCCTCCTTGACAGCATAGTATTCAACCCAACATCGGCCGAGAACTAGATTAAACCCGCCTCAAATCTCTCCTTACTTTATCAGGATGAGCAACTTTAAATGACCAAGCATCACTTAAAGGCGTAATTAGCTCCCACGAGGCTTATCTGATAATAATTGAAGCCGAGAAGACCATCGCTGCCGTTCTCTCCCAAGCTTGAGGTCACCTGCAAATTACTATCAGAGGAGAACTTCATGTGTCGCAACTGTAGAAGATGACCTGGTCACATGACGATGTCTCACTCGCAAGTTGAATTACTAAAGGAGAAGCAATCATATATTGGCTTTATAACTATGAATTCGGATCTAACTCAGGTCAAGATAACTCCCTAGTATTCGGATACAGCTGCTTGTTGTCTCCTCTCTTGAAGTCACGTAAATCCCTGCTGCTTTCGCCTATAAGACCAAGCCTCTATAATACTATAACACTAATAGTATATAGAGTAAAGGGTCTTATCTATATTTACTATTCTCTCACTATATTAACTTATTAACTTATTAACTTATTAACTTATTAACTTATTAACTTATTAACTTATTAACTTATTAACTTATTAACTTATTAACTTATTAACTTATTAACTTATTAACTTATTAACTTATTAACTTATTAACTTATTAACTTATTAACTTATTAACTTATTAACTTATTAACTTATTAACTTATTAACTTATTAACTTATTAACTTATTAACTTATTAACTTATTAACTTATTAACTTATTAACTTATTAACTTATTAACTTATTAACTTATTAACCTATTAACTCTTAACTCTTAACTCTTAACTCTTAACTCTTAACTCTTAACTCTTAACTCTTAACTCTTAACTATTAACTATTAACTATTAATCTATTAAAGTAAGTCTTATAAGTATTATATTTACTTTTCTTTTACTATAAATAAGGGTTATCCTAAGATTAAGCTATATATATAACTTTATTATATAATTATTTTTCAAATATAATTTACAGCTTATACCTAAACCTTTAATACCATAAAAACTTAATGATTACACATAAAGATACGTATTATATATTCAAGCCTTCTTATAGTAGTACGCTGTCTAGATTATAAAGCTGATGCAATATTGCTATCAGTCGATACAAGAACCTTCACGCTATATATATTACTATATTTCCAAGGACAACTACTTACTCTATCGACGCAACTTCTAACACCGTAGGGCTGCCATTGTATCGTCTGCTTTAATTAAGTGGTTCAAAGCTTGGGGAAAATGAAAATCGACTTAAATAATCCGATGCGGCTCAATAAATTAAATAAGAATCGCAACGTCAGCAGCGTTGTTGATGAGATCTTGTAAGCTACCATATTGTTGATAGACTCTCAAAGTTTTCACTTGAAGAACTACTCGGTCAAGAACGAGCTAATGGTGACATACCAAATGGTAAAATCAATCTGATCCTCTTTCTTGCTCGTGCCGCAGCGATGCTGACGTATTTGTACCGAGTACTCTGGTTGGATTTTCAGGATCGACACGTCATCGTATGCGTTCGACACAAGCTAAGAAGATGATTTATAATCTAATTGTTATTTTTGTTTAGTTCAAACATTGCCCGCGCACGATGAACCATTTTGGGCCAGTACTTATCCCACAATTTGGATTTGGAGGGATCCCCAGACCGGTTACTCGGAATCTGTCCTGTCAGAGATGAGCACGCACCGATCGGCCGTGCTAAGCCCCGTTCGAATCGTCCATCGTTCCTCCTAGTGTCTTGACTTAATTAAAGATGGAAGCTGACCGATATAAGGTTTCAAGCATAAAAGCAAGATGATCCTCCCCTTGCAGAAGCGAATATCAGCTCCCAGGACAAAGCTCTTATTCTCCTCCCGAATACTCTCTGTGTTTTCACCCTTCGGCAAAATGTATTTCAAGTCTCCCTTCACAGCAACGCTATTAGTGGCGGCTCATATGGCGAGCTTAACAACTGCATGCTCTCCCTCTACTTTCAGCACTCGCAACGACAATTCGAGCGGTCCTCCCATCACCTGGGGGCCCGATACTCCATCTGACCCAGCAACTATGGGATATTTCTTGAATTACTTCTCCATCAACGTCAAGAACTTGACAGCCACGCTTGACTTTTACTCCCGCGTCTTCGGTCTGCGCCACATCTTCACCGTACAAGCCTCAGAACATCTGTCGATCGCGTACATGGGACACAGCCAGGGCGGCCGCAACGGCACGGGCTACCAGACAACCGCCGAGCTCAACCGCGACAAGAACAACGCCGCCGGGCTGGTGGAGATGATTTACTTCGACATTCCCGACAAGAGTCATCTGCAAGCTTCCAGCGTGCGAACAAACACATTCGGCCATATCGGCGTCATCGTCCCGGATGTGGAGGCTGCCCAGGCCCGGCTGGAGGCCCTTCCCGACGTGCGGATTCTGAAGCGTGTTGGGGCTCCTACAGAAAGTGAAGGCGAAGTTGCCATTGCGAATGGATTTCCACCAGAGGCGCTGGCCCAGATCAGCGCCGAGGAACGCGCCACCATTGAAGCGGTGCTGAGTGCGATCAATGAGAGGTTCCTATATGTGGCGGATCCGGACGGCAATATGATTGAGGTGCAGCCACAAGATTAACTTGGGCAGCATGTTAATAGGCAAATGCAAATGAATAGACCACTATATAGACATCCTGGAGTAGCAAGTCTGCAAGCACGCGGATCAACATCCAGAGAAATCGATCGGCTCTCTTGGTAGGAAAAACAAATAAATTTTCACTGTTTGATGCTTTTTTTTTCTTTTCTCGCAAGAGTAAAGCTCCAGTGCTGGCCTCAGTACGTAGATAAGAAATAAAACAATCCTTCCAAGAGCTCTGAGTTCCAGTACCAATTGATTTGGCCCGGAATCGCCAACAATATCATCGAGCCTTTCCAGTCAGCTTGTGCATTCTCTTCGGCGTTCGACGGAGAGGGATGAACATCATGCATGCTTGGGACTTTGCGCGGGCAAATTGACAGTGGCGGCTCATGTTAATGGAACGGCAATGTAGAGATCAATTCATTGCACCGCGAGGCAGATTAAAGGATGCGCAGCATATTGATCAAGATGATAGCCCTTACCGTGTGCCAACTCTGATCCTTTCTACCAAGGAGCGTTGATATGCGGCGCTTAATCTCAAGGGGTGGCTCAGTATCTTCACCAGCCCTTTCGGGAACGGATTATTATATCCAACAGTCGGCAATAGAGTGTCGTCCCACGCTTAATGGACCAAATACTGTACTAAACAGGACGAGCTGCAGGGCCTGGTAGTTGACCATTTGACGCAGCCGCCTCAGCCTCGCCTCGCCTAGCCGGCCGTTTTGAAGACCAACAGTTGGTGGCGCATGAGACAGATCTTAAATTAATTCCCATGGGGGTTTCTAATCTACCATGCAGGGTCTAATCTACCAGCTCATCTGCGTCCCACTTACAAAAATAGCAGTGCCAAGTCCAAAGCCTCTTGTTGGTCGACCCATGGCCCCTTTGCATACCGGCAGCCCGACCACAGATTCATCCCACCTTCCGGTCTCGGTGAGCAGTTGATGGGTGAACGACTCCAAACAGAAATTTCGGATACCAGAAAGACGGATCGTGGGATAAGCCACGCAACCAACGACCAACATTGATGTTTGGGCCCCAATGGCTAGGCGGATTTTCAACTCATGGCAGGGTACCAAACAGCGATTCGATTGTGACAATAGAGTCAAGCCCATGAATAGACGAAATGATGATAGCTCAAGAAATCCCACTGAATTGATATAAAGTTAGTTTGAACCTCCTTCGATGTCCTGTTCTATTCTCATCAACCCACAACACAATCATCAATCGATATCCTACAACCTCTAGAGCTGGCCTCTATTCGCTTCATTCATCTATAACCTCTTCATCTGCTTTGCTAGCTAAAAGCGTTTTTGTCATTTTCATTTTCATACCTGCTTCTAGCCTCTTTCATAAAGTCTTTTTTTTTTCCTACTCTCCAGCCCTTGTTGTTTTCTCACACTCCCACAACCAGTAACTTCGCCAATCATTATTCAAAATGGTTTGCCTCAAGCAACTGTCTCTCACTACCGCTATTGTTTTCAGCATGGCTCATACCACAATCGCCGCACCCGTCACCGTCTTCGCGAATGATGCTTCCCTTGCCGAACGCGACTTTGATCGTGTAACGGCCCCCAGAAAACTGCATCTCATGCGCTCACCGGCCGCACGCACGGCCAAAGTGGCCCAGCGCAACTACGAGGACACATTCCAGGAGCGTGACCGCGAGGACGACTTTGAAGATCACAATCTCGAGGATGAACTCGAGGCGCGTGACGTCTCCGGGCGGCTTGAGAACATCTCCAAGCTGTTCAACCTCGGCACAAAGCTCACCAATCTCATTGCTGCCAAGCGTGATCTGGAGGACGACCTCGAGGAGCGCGATGTCTCTGGGAGACTCGAAAATGTCGCCAAGTTGCTCAACCTCGGCACCAAGCTGACGAATCTCATCACCAGCAAGCCTGACCTTGAGAAGCGTGCTATGAAGTTCCAGAAGCCGATGAGCGCCCAGAGATTTGGTGAAGTAATCTCGGTTTTTGATGCTGGTATGGATCTTGGTGACGCTGTCAAGAAAGCCATCATGGCCAAGATGGGCAAGCGCGATCTTGAAGAACTGAAAAAGCGTGCCTTTGAGGACTTGGTACGGGAACTCTATTTTTGATCATGCTCTTTAGCAGCACGAGCGGGCAGGTTGGTTTTGTTGATTTGGGTCCGTAACAAGAAGAAACTAGCAGAATTTATGACTTGAGATTGCTTTTTTTTGCTTCATTCAAATTGTAGTCTGCGGTGGGGAGGAGTAATAAAATGATTGCACTCTGAGTAGAACTCGTGTATCTAAGGATGAGAGTGGGGATGATTTTGGCGCTGGCCTCAATTGGTGGGCTCTAGTACACCTTATGCTTACTCTAGACTTTAAAATAATTAAATTAATACATCTCTGGAGCTATAGCTAATGCTTCTTCCATCGGCCAAGATATTAATGAAGGGCTGGGCTCACTGGAATTTGCGGGGAGGATGTCTAGGGTAGCTAACCGACTTGGCACTTTTCTGCGAACTCCAACGGCATTTGGGCCGAGGATGGCAGCATAAGGCGGAGATTCTAAAGTGATTGATGGCATCTTGCATTCTGACTCTGGATGCTTGTTTGCTCGGATGCCTGCCAAGACTTGATGGTCTTGGAGCCTGCTGGCTCATGGGCTTTCTTCTGTCTGTCTCTCGCTAAGGCTGTGAGAATGGCTGCGGATCCGCGGAGGAATGTGCCATTTCAAGGATCATGGCTTCATGTTGAGTCAACACCAACCGCGCTGGTTCATGCGCCTGGCCAGCTCTTGATTGGCCGTATCGTATCCCGCCCATTGCGTCTTGGACGTATGTATGTCCTGTCAAGGCTCGCTGATTCGCCAAGCAAAGGGCATTTCTTATTCTCCACTGGCCGGATGCATGGCCGCATGAAACAAAGCCTCGTTCAGTCACTACAACCCTCACCTTGGCTGCTGATTGGAGCTGCGCCACAGGTCAGCCAAAGTCATCGTATGTTAGCGCCAACGTTGCATTGATGATTCTGCATATGTACAAAGGAGCTGAAATGCCAGTCCAATGCACATGTATGCAGCCTTCAACCGGCCAACAGGCTGCCAGGTACCATTTCATGCATCATCTTTGCATGTGTTGCTGGTCCTGTGCGTCGTACCGGCCCACCCCTCCCAACTAACGGTAGGGCAGTGAATCACTTGCAACCAACACAAAGCCATCTGGTGCAAAGAGCTGGCGGGGCACCTGCATCGACCGAAGTTCCATTGAGGCGTGTTGGCTGTGGTTGTGTGACCAAGTGTGAAATTTAAATCATTCGTTTGCTGCCGCGCATTTCTTCACACCTTCATCGTCTTCCATGTTTGTCTTCTTGTCCAACACATCATCACCAACTCAAAATGTCGCACCCAGGACAGAACTTCGAGAAGTTTGCCGACACCGGAAAGTTCGAAGGCGGCAACTTCTCAATCACCCACCGCGACGCTAATGCAGTCCTCACCGTGACGCTCGAGGACAAGGCCCAGCTCTTCTCCGAGACAGGCGCCATGATCCACATGTCTGGCAGCATTAAGCTGGACGCCAAGACAAAGGTCTCATGGAAGAAATTTCTACTTGATGACATGACCCATTCGATCTATACCGGCCCCGGCACGGTGACGATTGGCCCCCCTTTCCTCGGGGATGTTTTCGCTCTTCCCGTCAACAGCGCCGTGGACACGAGCATGTGGGTGATGCGTAGAGAGGCCGCTCTCGCTTGGACGTCGGGTGTGACCAAGACGGTCAAGAAGCAGAGTTTCAAGAATTCCTTTTGGCATGATGAGCCGTACCACGTCTACGAGCTCGGGGGTAATGGCATCATGTTCTTGACAGGTTTTGGTGCCGTTGATCGCATTGATGTAAGTCTTACCGTCTCAGTGCTATTGTCCCAACTGTTTTTTGATCTCTTTGATTTGCATACAAAAAAACCTGGATTCTAATGCACATTGTAGCTCAAGGAAGGTCAAACTCATTTTGTCGATAATGGCCACTCGATAGCCTGGACGTGCAGCTACACGGTGGTGAAGGCGGGAGGTAGTTGGCTGAAGAGTTCGAGCACCGGCGAGGGACGCATCCTTCAATTCGAAGGACCGGGATCTATTTTCATCCAGACTCGCAGGCTAGACGAGTTCGAGGAGTTAGTTCAGGCCTGCTTCCCAGATACGGAGTAACACTCGCATCCCGTCTTTGTTTTCACGTTGGCCAGATACATTGGGACAAGAGTATGAATTGATGAAAATCCTAAAATTGGGACCATCCTGTCGGACCGATGGTGTTTCCAAATCGCGAACCGCCCTCAGACTTCCACGTGAGCTCTCGTGTATGCCATGTCTCTTACTTCTTGCCGCTGCTCCAAGCCTCTTCCCCGGCCTGAATGTAGCCGTCTAGGATCAAGTTCCCTTCTTCGATGCCTGTGGGGTCCACTGGCGAAATATAGGGTCAGATAGATGCAAATGTAAGTGATAGAGTTCAGGTTAGAACTCACTCCTGAGACCATGGCTGGCTTGGAAGGTGGGACGGTCCCCCCAGCCCTCCCTGACGACTCGGTAATGGGTTGGGGCCTTTCCGCTTGAGCCGGCACTTCCCGCGCTGTTGTTGCCGCTAGAGGACTGACTAGATGAGCTTTCCGAAGGCATCTTGGAAACTGGTGAAGGGGTTGAAGATCGTGGGTTGAGATGGCTGATGATGGATGAATGAGAAGGATTTAGTTCGGCAGTGTCACAGCTGGAGGGGGGAAGAGCGACCAAACCTGAATTAGCAAACTAAAATCGGTGCTGGGCTAAACAAATAGTGCGAGACCTGGACAATGCTATGCAAACCTCAAATCGGTGAGGCTTTTCAAGTAAGAAGCCCGTAACTTCTCAGACCACTTAATAATTAGGTATTTTTAAGTCGCACAAAAAAGACCGCAGGCTCATAACTCAGAGAGAAATGCTCTGGCATATCGTGGATTTCCCATTTTCCCTAAGTTGCTGTGTCATTTGTATCATCTTCCTCTTGGATTCATTTGAAATTGGTCAAGTTAATCCACAGTAGATGTAAAAATCGCCATCAAGGCTATGCTATGCATACGGTGTAGGTGGCGAAGGACTTATTTCGTCCTCCGATGCCGCTGTAGTCTACCGGCAGGGTGAGGAAGGCAGTGCTAAGCGCGCTCGCTTATTGTCTAATCTTGGAACTTGCGAGTGGTCGATTTTGAGATGGGCATTAGCCACTTTTGGGTTTTCCTGGTGGGTTTTGGAGCACCGCCACGCTTCGGCTGGGGAAGTATATCAGATGAATGCTGACTGCCTCTCGTATGTCTGCGGGCATTTTTCACTAACGGTAACTGGGGATTGACAAGGCGAGATCTGTATCGGCAAAAATAGCAGCCAGCCCCGGGGACGATCGAGATACGAGCAGATTTTGTTCTCTGGCGCCTTGGCTTGCTGACAGCTTCAACACCACGCGACTGGCTCACTCCGCAGCAGCCTTGCCATCGTGGCCCAGCAGCTCGTAAAATAAAAAAAAGAAAGACTGCGCAAAATCATCAACCTATGCTCACGAGAACAGGCTAGCAATGAACAGATGGGATTTATTATTTAAGTCGTGGTGAGTTCCATGGTCAAGTTGAGATCCCTCATCACAATCACCTTCATCTTTTCAACAACACTTCAACGCTTCTTTCTTTGCTTGTCTTCTCCATTATAATCTACGTTCTTAACAACCCAATCCGACTCTAACAAACAATACTTAATCCTATTTTTAAAATTCCCATTCAAAATGCGCTACTCATTCATCGCCCTTGCCTTTGCCGCAACCGCTCTGGCACTTCCCACTCCCACACCTGCTCACAAACCCAATGACGATGGCACCTGGGCTCCTGGGAAGTATGAAGGCGGAGAAACTGGCCATGACAACGGCCAGTGGTATCCCGGAAAGTACCCCGGAAAGCGAGCCGACGATGGCTCCTGGGCACCCGGCAAGTACGAAGGCCAGACCGGCCATGACGATGGTCAATGGAACCCAGAGAAGTATCCTTCCAAGAGGAACGATGATGGGTCCTGGGCCCCTGGAAAATACGAGGGTGGCCAGACGGGCCACGACGATGGCCAGTGGAATCCCGATAAATACCCCAAGCGCAATGATGATGGCTCTTGGGCACCCGGAAAATATGAGGGCGGCCAGACCGGTCATGACGATGGCAAATGGAACCCTGACAAGTACCCCAAGCGCAACGACGACGGATCGTGGGCTCCTGGAAAATATGAAGGTGGACAGACGGGCCACGACGATGGTCAATGGAATCCCGATAAATACCCTAAGCGTAACGACGATGGCTCTTGGGCTCCTGGGAAATATGAAGGAGGTGAAACTGGCCATGATGACGGCAAGTGGAATCCTGACAAGTACCCCAAGCGCAATGACGATGGATCCTGGGCTCCTGGAAAATACGAGGGAGGTGAAACTGGCCACGATGACGGCAAGTGGAATCCCGAAAAGTACCCCAAGCGCAACGATGATGGAACTTGGGCCCCTGGAAAGTACGAGGGCGGAGATACCTGCTTTGACGATGGAAAATGGAACCCAGACAAGCAGAACAACTAACGAAGTTCGGACACTTCCATCTGCAATGGAGATCATCCACGGGGAGTCAAGGGGTTAGCCGAGCTTCAAACCATGTCCGGCGAGCCTCTGATATTTAATGTTCGGTGAACTGCGGTATCATGTTGATTATAGCATTTGCGTTTTTCTTTCTTTTGTAGAGCAGATTTGGTTTGAATTTTCATAGACTATAGCGTGTGCCTTAATTTTATACATACATAATTATGATTGCAATCCCTTCGTTGGCGTATTTTGACTTGGAAACATGTCTTTTATCCTATTTCTTTGTACCCATACATATATTGGGCAATAGACTGGGCTAGGGAAGGCTGATGAACGGCGAGGCCGTCACAAAGATCCGTCAACTGCCTCAGGAAAGAGTCAGGTAATAAGAGGCTTGATTGGGAACCGAACAATTCAAATTTATATTATCAACAGGATAATTGAGATGTGTCACATGTATTGTGGATGCAAAACATAGACTATTGCAGCGAAATACGTTTGAGGTAACAACTAGTCCTGATTTTAGATTGGATAGGCTCTCAGTTAGGTATCAAACACAACCGTTCCCTCCTCTGTTCTAGCTGTTTAACTGTCCGGAGCAGGCATCATTGTTCGCAATTTGAACCATGCTATCTCACCCTTGCGCAGAAAGATAGTCTTAGTAGACACAAGATGAGCTCTTTGAGTAGCACGCCATCCTCGGGCAGCAATCCCTCGCGCTCTTGCAGTAACGGTACAAGCATTTGTCCGCCTGACAAGCGAATTAGTATTAGAAACCACAAAGAATGTGGCCTCGACCACTGAAAACGACCGGGGGGGACTTACGCGTGATTCAAAGGCCTCGGCTACTTTACTTTCGGTGCTTCGCACGTCGACATCAACCTCTTCGGCAATGGCCGCGGGAGAGGCCAAAACAGTGCCGGCAATAGCAAGGGCAAGGATGTGATAGAATTGCATGTTGTAGGATAAGTGTTGCGTGTCAAATAGTAGGTGATGCTTCTACGATGCGACCAAGGCTTAGGATGTCATTGCTCGTAACATCGAGATTCGGTAGGCGGGAGAAGGCAATTTATACCGCCAGATGGCTTACACATTCTGTCTTAGCAATGTTTGAACATGACATGACCTCTCTTGCATCCAAGACAAAAAGGTGACACAAATCCTACACAGGAAGCACAAGTGAGTTAAGATCAACATATCTCGACCATGTGACTATGCCTAAACACTCATCGATGCGGTGAACTTTGGTTGAGAAGGTGAAACATGGCGCCCCGCGACGAATGAAATCCACCCCCGTGTTTGTCTCATCAACAATCCACGTTCAAAAGTTCTATTTGCAGCGCGATACCGGAGCTTGGGTGAACACTATGACGAGTGCAAACTCCGCCACGAGAGGAAAAGTGTCAAAGATCAGCACCTCGTGACTGCTGATACCCTCGAAGAGGACTAGACAGAGTACAATGATAATTTTCTCAACGAAACAGGATATTGGCTCCAGCAAATTTCCTGTGAAGCGTCAAACAACACTGTGGGAACATTATTCTATGTTCGCTGGCTTATGAACCGTGGCAAATGGGCGTCAGAATAACAGGGACTGCAAAGGTGTGTCAATCCCAACTTTCCAATACGGGCTACGGTATTGATAGACAACAGTTGATGATAGTAACAATAATAAGTTATTGACCGATTATTAGGGGATATTATCTGCTTACTATTACATAATACCTAGGAAACCATAGGAAGCATTATAACATGACTCACTGCCACAATAATTCTACCGAGGTGACTTTGCAGTCCCTGTTTTTCTTTTTTTTTTTTTTTGACAGCCACTTGCGTGGAGAAAGCTTGGGCACAATTCTACGTCCAGAGGCCGGAAACCGTAAGGATATCCATTGTTTTAGTGGTGGTGACCATTCCCAGAGGCAAGAAGAAGACGCCAAACTCGAGACATTTAATAGTACTGGATATGTTCATCTAAAAATCTTTAAATATGCAAGAAACCCGAAAGAACCTCCCCATCCGTGTCATGACCATGCCCGACTCTGGAAATTAGTTCTTCGTGGGGTAACAAAATCCGTATTACGATCGTCGACGGGAAGGTCGTCTTCTTTGACGTACGTCTCCCTGGCCTGCTGAACCACGGTCACCAGGGCAATCTGGCCATTCTCCGGCTCAAAGTGCGGCTGCTGTGCGCTAAGTGAAGAAAGCGACTGCAGCCCTTTGTCGCTTGACTTGTTACCAGAGATCATGGCGTATCGAGATGCGGATCCTGACCCTGGGTATTTGGGCGTAACGAGTGAACTTCTCTTCGTTCCTTTTACACGTTCCCTCATGCCGTAGAAGAGCACTGGCATACTGGGCATACAGGCACATATGACTCCAAGATCCAGTTCCACTGCCGCCCAGACGGCCATTGGTACCACATCGTCTAAATTGTGGCAGCCCATTAGCATCTCACATAGACCTAAATAGAAAATACTAAACACTTACAAGTGGGATTTGTCTTTCCGATGAACTCCTCGATGTGCTTAAGCTTGTACCCAGTAATTGCGACAACTCTAGATATGTGCATCTGTGTTAGTAGAATTTAGGGGGTTAATCTTGATAGAGCAACGTACACAAGACCGGTGCAAAACATGATGGAAATCAAAAGCTTTCTCCTCCATGAAAGCTGGAGTCTGACCACAAAGGGGAGCGGCGCGCCCATGATGACTGCACATGATCTTCATTAGAGATATTCGGAACCAAGCAGGGATGGAGGTTGGCGTCAACAAATTGCATGCCAACTCGAAAGATGTCAAGCCACTCACACAAGTCGCTAACAATCAGGATGAGCCAAATGGACCAAATGTAGGATCTAGAGTCGACGCAGTGACCTTCTGCACCCCCGTCCCATCGCATCCAGTAGTATGAAATCGGGGTACACAGGAACATGCTACCGAAGATTGCCGGCATAGACACTATAATGGCGACTGCCATAGCGATTCGCATAACGCGCTTGGCTGAATCGAATTGAAAGATGCGCATATAGAATAGCACAATGGAGATCCGGATGAGCATGCGGGTGAAGACGTAGAGAACGTTCATTACGTAGTTGACCTGTCGAGTCACGACCGATTAGAAACATGACAGAATGCTGGGTTGGCAAGGAGATCCTCGTACTCGGAGCAAAAATGGGATCTCTTCGAACGCAACAGCCCAGATATCCATGCCGAACCCCTTGCTTTTGCCTGTCCCCGTGTAAGTTGATTGTTCTCTCGATTCGAATCGCGGATAGAGTTAGACCTACAGGCAACCATGGTGGCGGTGTAGCCGATGCAGGCAGCCTGGCACAACGTCAGTCTTCTCGTAAATATCGGCGGCAGCGACATGGAGGAAGCAAACCAGAGCAGTGAAGCTCATCCAATCATCCCACCAGAGCTTGAGCCCAAATGCTAAACGTGATACTAGTCGAACTCCGCCTGTTACTGCCGCCAGGGCAATGAAGGTAAGCGTAATGGGAATATAGGCGTAGGTGGTCGCGGGCTCGATGCCACAGGAAGCACTCGTGATGTTTTTCGCGGCTGTTCAGGTTTGTTAGTTGCACAGTTGCCATAATCTTAGATTGCGAAAGGGGATCACTTACCAAGTTGCTCTCTAATGGTGCATACGCCGCTCCTGATGCAGACAGTGGCCTGTTGCGCGAGAGCTTGGTTCCCGCAGGCACACTCGATGTCATTCAACGAACATGTTGAGTTCTGGATGGCCGATATGAAACATTTCAACTTCACGGACAGTTAGCGAACCGGTCGGCCAGGTCGACGATATCCTGCCATCATCCTGCAACGTACAGCGCATGTCGGAAGTGTCGATATGAGTGAAGAACTCATAGTTCCCGTCCTTGTTCGTTGGCATTCGCCCGAAAAACGCCAGCAGAAACAGACAAGATGGAGACTCGGCCAACTACGACGACATGATATGATTAAAGTTTGTGGGTGCCATGGCGATTTGGTCTACCCCTATGTACTAGACCCAAACATGCATTACCCCGGTCGTGCAGAGAGTCACGGTTGGCTGTTTACCACGTTGGGAGCAAAATACCACCATGTTGGTGCCATCTCAGCCCAGCACCTGTCAGAGTAGCGTTCGATTGCGATCCTTCAATGCTGCGTTGGCCACATGTGTGACAGCAAAAGTACCGCCGGTTACATTACCCCTCGGCCTGGGCGCATATAATATGTCCATTTTCCTCGTGCTGCATTCTCCACGACAGGGACCGCGTGCGAGGTGCATATGAAGGATTCCAGGGTCACATTCGTCAACATGAGACCACGTTCTGCGGAGGGACGTTTACTTCCGGAATGAGGCGTTCAACTGATCAAGCGACATCCGGAGATTCTCACTGCCCTGTTGAATGACTACACTGTATTTCCCTTAGAAAATGAGAAGTGTGATTGAACAGATTGTGCGACACCCAACAAGAAGAATCGCCCCCCTGCCCCCTTGCTTATGACCAGGTTGGGCGCACCACCTTTTCCCAATTTTGACAGAGTATCAGCGTGTCAAAATGCAGAGTTTTATTAGTAAACCCGTGCCTCTCATTCCTTTCCAACCTTGGCGCATATATACTCGTATTCTGAGGCAGCAGTGATCAGCGTTGGTCGCTCGGCTACAGAGCAGGTATTTGAATCTTTCCTTCGGAAGTAGGGACGGCTTCCCCGCCAAGGAAAACCTCCTTGATCTCCCGACGGTTGTCCTCAAGAATGACCTTGACATGTATGTCGCCCCTCCTGCCCATTTCCACGCCTTGGGTGATGTGGTAACTCCTCGTGAGCGGGCCCCCCTTTCCCTCGCTTAGTGTCAGATATGATGACAGGGCAGAGGCAGCACTGCCGGTAGCCGGGTCCTCGCGAGATCCTAGGCCACGAGTTCGCAGCCTCCTTGTCCCGTCTTCCTGGGTTCCGAGATCTACAAAATAGTACGTGTTGACTATCCCATCACGCCAGCCCTCATCCAGCCGATCTTTGGCCGTGTACGTATTTGCTGTGCCAAGCAGATTCTCGGTGGGCTCGGCGAGTGCTTCCAGGTCGGGCAGCTGTGCCAGGATGAAGTTCATTCCTTTGACGATGCTTACGACCGGGTAGTGTCCGAAATTCCGATCTGAAAAGGGCTGCGCGTGTATGTGAACATTGTGAGGAACCGAAAGGAGCACTCCGTCGCCTTGAGCCTGGAAAGGAAGACGGCCAGCTTTGGCGACAAGCGTGCGCGCAGTCTCAAGTTTTAAATGGTGCAAGAGATAGTTGGATGTTCCGACCGTGGGGTGTCCTGCAAACGGAAGCTCCGCGATAGGCGTGAAGATATCGATGCGCGCCTCTCCGTTCCGTACGTCCGTCTCTATTTGCTGATGGAGAAAGACGGTCTCGGAGAGATTAAATTCTTTGGCGATGGCTTGTTTCTGCGCCTGGGAGAGATCGACATCCGAGGGCACTCTGACGATTGCCAAAGGATTGCCTCGGAATGGCTTTGACGTGAAGACGTCCAGGACTGCGAATTCAAGCGCCATGATTCCAATTGAAAATGTCAACAATAGTGTCGTCAAGCCGTCGTTAATCGTCGTGTAGGGCGGACGCGATGACTCCTATAAGCTGACGAACTGAAAGACATATCACGGACGTAGCGCGAGATCCACCACCTTTATTAGTTTTCTGAAGCTTTATAATCAATGTGGTTTTCGGCGAATTCTAGGAGGTTTCGTGACCGATGTCGCCATTCCAGTGATGCGTCACTATTTTCCCCGCCCGGTAACAATTTCAGTGGGAGGAATTGCTTCAATTGGTCTCGTCTGCGACGTCCTTAAACTGGCTACCACAGGTTCTAGAATAAGACGGAAGAATACACCTCAGAGAATATCCCCTTTAATGTCGATGTGTTTGAGTGGTGGCGCCCATAACGGGGGAATTACGCGAAGAGGCCTCTAAAATTGTACAAGAGCGCGAGAGGGAATAAATCTCAGAGGGCATTTAAAGATGGATCTCCTTCGTCAGACGGCGATGTGAGCCCTTTTGGTGGATGAGTCATTCGGATATCGGAGGTGGTCCGTCAGCAGCACGAAAGGGGAGTCAATGCACCGCCTCGCCGGATGATGATATAAGATAAACGGCTTTTAGCTCACAACTTCACCATAATCTCCCAAAATCTATAGATCGTAAAGCTCACTTATACCCCAAGCAAAGCGGGTGGCTTAAGCTCTGGCTATATCAGCTTCGAGTTAAGCACAAGGGGAACACACTTAAATTCAAGTACCATCTACCACCTTCCTCATGCATGCACACTTTATTGGCCTCAGAAATGGCAGAAATCATGGAGTAATCCTTATGAAATATAAATGGGATGATAGAGGCCAAGAGTGGTTTCTAAGTAGTTTGGGAGCGCTCATGGGCAAGTGACAAGTGCTACTCGTACTAAAATAATGTGGTATTAAGACGGCAAAAAAATACATATCAATTGAGTATGATCCATATTGCTCCTCAGAAGAACAATAACCAGTCCTCATAACCCAAACAATGGATATGACCTAGCTTATTTTGCGCATTGTGTTCTACATTGTCCTATTGTGATCCAGGGGCGGCTTCCCTCTCAGACTGAGCAGCCCATGATACGGCTTCTTAGCCATTCGTTCGCTTGGATCGAACGAGTCATCGCGCAGGCCCTCTTCCAAAGCCATCTGGTCATCCGTGCCTCCCTTCAAGCCAGCCATAAATGTGTAAAAGTCCTTGGCGCTCTCCGCAATCTTCTCAAAATACTCGCTCTTGAGTTCCACCCTCATGAAACGACCTCCTCTCTCCTCTGCCTCCTCCTCCGTCAATCCATTGTCTTCCAGCATGTGCACCCGGTCATACTGACACAACGCAATGGCTGTTTGGAAGGCGTTGCGGATCTGTCGTGCGTTCCAGGTTGTCTTTTTCTCCTTGTGGCTCTCGAAATGATCGGATGCATACTTTAAAAGAGCCGACCGGTCGAATTCAATTCTGATCTTATTTTCTTTGTTTTCGCGGGCTATGCGATCCAAAAGCTTGCCCCATATGAGCTTCGTGGAGTCAAGGTCGATTGAGGGGTACCGCAGATAAAGGTGCATGCGAGATTTGAAAGCTTCGTCGATTACTCCGGTTCTGTTGGTTGTGAGAAATAGAATGCCAGAGTAGTATTCTAGAACCCTCAAGAAGACTTTAGAGTAGTTAGTTCCCGCTATTAAGTCTGCCCATGATACTTCGTGATCAGAACCCACCTGAGACCAAGGCATTCCGCTCAATGTCATGCCAATCTCGTTTCATTAAAAAGACATCAGCTTCGTCAATGAGCATTATGCAACCCCAGTTGCTAGCTAAGTTGAAGTGGTACGACAAACTAGCCTCGATATCCCTGGATGTCAGTCCGATATCGCCGGATGTTAGAACGTACAAAGGGCGTCTAGTATAGGCTGCGATTGTCTCTGCGGTGCTCGTCTTGCCGACCCCGGGCGGTCCGTGAAGGAGTATGATGAGTCCTCGGCCTTTGCCCCGGACAATATCCATCTGCGAGGAAATCTTGGGGCGACTTGCTTCTCCACGGAGTTTGGGATCCGGCCTGTAACTCTCGATGACAGAAATGAGAAGATCACGATAGGCGTCGGGGATGACAAGATCGTCGAATCCGCTTTTGGCGGCGGCTTCACTTTTGTCGATTTGTTGCAGCAAATCAACGTCCAGGTAACCTATCAATCAGGCAATGAACAGTTCAAGTGTCAGTGAATATGAAATACCTCCGTTTAGTAATGTGGGCTGAGGACATACGCCAACCTCGCATCCTAAAGATGAAGCACAGAACTTGATATGGTAGTAGTTGCAAATAGCCTTTCAGTTCTAGAGCCTTCTCCATCGATACAATGCGACAACCAACAGGCTGTGATCTTAGAAATTCAATTGATCGCTGCCTGTCTAAAGACGCTTCGCGAAGTTGATCGAGGACTTCAGCACGGGATTCCAGTCTGGCAAACTGCTTTTCAGTTCGGATAGTCATGCCGATGTAAGGCCCCTCGGCTGGTTTGGACATGACTGGTCTGTGCTGGTGGTCCATGAACCGATAGCCTGTTTTAAAGTCTGCATAGACTTCTTGGTCTACTTCTTCACTCCAGAAAGCAATGCTCCCAGGGTGTAGATTAGGAGGTGGCAGTGTTGATCCCTCATAGTGCAGATGACCTTTCCAAGAGAGGAATTTAAGTCCCCTTTCCTGAAATCGATGCAGGATGGCATTCTCTTCTGGGTGAAGAGCAACAGGGTACACTGGCAAGTCAAGCACCGCTTTTTGCCCGGAAAAGTACGGAATCGAGAGATCCTTACACGAGGGGCCGATGAGGGAGCCGTCATAGACTGTGTAATAGCATTTGAGAATAAATGGCGGGTATTCGGCATCTTCCTGCAGGTTTTCTGGAACAGCATAATAATTCTCGGGAGCATATTCGGACTGACCAAAGGAGGAGTGGTCAGGGTTGCGGGGGCGATAGTTGTAAACATCATCGTAGGAAGTTTGTGTGAATCTTGGTGCTTTTACCCTTCTATAGCTGGAAGAATAATTTTGTGGCCTGAAAGGATTAACTGCCTGCTGATTTTGATCACTCATCACCTCATATACAGCATAGAGCTGCTCGTGGCCTTGGTCGTTACACGAGACAATGCTGCCGGGCTGGAACAAGTACCAGATATTTGCAAACGATACAGTCTCTAATTTCCTTTCGAGGACCTGGCGGTGGAGTTCCAAAACGGAGCCAAGATCGACTCTGATAACCTCAAGGAGATATTGTAGCAATTGTATATTTGGTTCTAAATGGCTGTAAGATCCTGGGTCGTTCGATGTCGGGAGCCTCACTCACCGTTTTCAGAACTTTGATCTTGCTGGAGCTTATCTAGCATTTCTGCATATTCTTTCTCAAACGTAACGAGTTCCTGGGAGGAGCTTAGCATTGGTCATGCTAATCGGAGTGGTCTTGTTCTGCTCGCCTTGAAGGGGGAGACCACGTATTTGGTTCTGTCGAGAAAGGTTACTGTCATTAGTAGAAAGAAAGCTAGATATAGTCTCATATATCACATACGAGGATCTCACAACATGAAAGCCCATTGCATTCGCAATGCAGGAAACTAAAAACGTCGACTTGAACTGCACAAGCCACGGGCGCTGATTTGTGTTCGGTGGTCCGTTTTTACCCCAGGTGGAGGGATCAACTGTTCCCTCCACTGAACCTTCCGGGATGTCATAGTAGACAATAATGGATTTCTTGATACCGGTCTTTTTTAGTGGAGGAGGGACCGGAGTGGTCACGACGATGCGCTCAATGCCAGGCTCTGGTTCCGCGATTGGTGTCGTCACGTCTCCCTCATACTGTTGGAAAGTAACTCGTGGTGTATAATCACGCCCGGTGTAATCTTCGCCATTCGAGCCGTGAGAATATTCAGAGCCGGGCTGACTGTCAGACTGAGATGCGTCGGGAGAGCTTTCGGTGATTTCATACACGTGGGATTGAGCGTCGGGGGGCCGGGGCCTGCTCAATGGTGAAGGGGCTATGGTCTGCTCCCCAAGAGTAGAAGACATCACAGCTAGTTTTTCGCTCTACCCGAATGATTGCGGGTATTCAATAGCTCAAGCCTCTTCCAGAGCGACGTAAACTCAAGGAAATGGATGATTTCGCTCAGCAGGTTGCATAATACCGAGCTGACATAGCATAATGCACATGCACCTCTCCCCTCATTCAACCAATCAATACCCATACTTATTACAAGGATCTTATCAGCGAGATGAGGGGTAAAAAGGAAGTTTGGATGCCTTGCTGACTAGTCTTCATGGTTCGCAACTTTGGAAGGTTTTCAATCTGCGAGAGACTTGTTTTGCTGAGCACGGTCCGGAATGAGCTTAACAAGCACTTCATTCGGCCGATCATAATGGTTGATTGCAAGACTACTATTACACAATTGTAATCTTGATCACCAATGACACGTCTGCCAGGAGAAAAGGATGCTATTGATGGAGTATGTGAAAATATCCTTTATCGTGATAACGGTCTTTAACGTCTAATTTTAATTCTCTAGGGCATCTTCAACAAGGAAGTATCCGACTATGAAGTCACGGCGGTGTACCGGCATCCTGAGGCGACCGCAGACATCGTGCTGGTTCATGGCCTAAAGGGACATCCGAAAAAAACATGGAGGTCAAAGAACGACGTATTTTGGCCGACAGACCTGCTTCCAGCTGCTTTGGAGAATGAAAAGGCAAATGTGCTAGTCTATGGGTATAATGCCGACGTGTACTCTTCCAATAAGGCCAAAAGTCCAAGTGACAATTACATCTTTCAGCATGCCAGGAGCTTGGTGACCTCTCTAACGCAGTTTAGAAGAGGCGAAAAGACTGTTGAGCTCCCGATAATATGGGTCGTGCATAGCTTCGGGGGAATCGTTGTCAAGAAAGCACTTTTATTCTCCCAGGAGCTGCAGCTTGTTGAGCAACAACACTATCGCTCACTCTTTGTCTCGACATATGCGATCATCTTTCTTGGTACCCCTCACAATGGCTCAGATGTCGCCAAATGGGGTCATGTTATTGAAGCAGCGATCAACATTACCGTCCCTCAAAAGCTTTTCGCTACAGAGTCTCGTCTACTGAAGTCGCTCAAGAAGGATAATGGAGAGCTTCAGGACATCAACAGGCAGTTTTCGAACATCTGCGGGAGATTTAAAATGCACATGGTCCATGAAAATCACAAAACTGATATCAAGACAACAAAGCAAATGATTGTGGATTCTGAGTCTGCTTGTCCGCAACTCCCAGGCGTTGTTTACTATGGGATTGAAGCCACGCATGCGGGGATGTGCAAATTTGATAATATAAATACACCAGGCTTCCGCAATATTTCCACTGCCATCCGGGATTGGGTTCATGAAGCATCGCTTATTGTTTCCCAGCGCTGGATAGGAGAGCACGAATCCCGTCGTAATACGGCCAGGTATGAAATCGATGAGCGAATGATATCTCTGGTAATGATTCACACCAATGCGATCTCTATCATCCAATCATACACCATTATTAACAGTGAATAGATGCATCCTCACAGTCGAAGTCCACAATCATTGCCTTCAACCACTTATAAAGGGGCCGAGACGCCAGGCGCTGTCAACATGTTACCAATGCCAACTGATCAATTCGTTGACCCTACAAAGATGAGCCAACCTGACAAGGAAAATCCAATTCTTACCCAGACTGGGGAAGAAGTATCGGATTACATGCATCAACTCGACGGCAAAGGTCATGCCCTGCTGGATACCTCCACCGCCTCAGTGAAGTATGACGAATACGCTCACAAATGGAAAGCCCAGGAGTTTCCCACAATGACGAATGATAGCAATATGTATGTGGTATATAACCAATGGAAATTCAAAATTCGACCTTTTTCAAGCTAATTAAACCTCCAGTGACTATTACGACCTCTACCAAGACTGCTTTGAAATCAGAGATAGTTTGATTGCTACCATCAATAAGTTCCGAAGTGCACACGGGCAAGATCTATTTATTGAATCGAAACCAGAGACTCGGGCTGGGGTCCAAGAAGCAGTCCATCGATTCCACGACCTGCTTCGATCTCGATCAAATAGTCTAGATGAGACTAACTCTGCTGAGAGACTGAGAAAAGCATACGATAACCCAACCGACGACAGCTTTGATTTCATCAGTTTTCTCTCAAAATATACGCCATCTCGATTTCTCTTGACTTCAGTTTTGTGTGCCGGGTTGAAGACATTGCTCGCGGCAATGAGAGTCAACATGTACCAAGCCTGCCCATTACGCAAGATCCTTGAAGAATTGCCCGGCATTCTGAATCGTCCAACTAGTTTCATCGAGGTACTTGGAGCAGATGAAGAGTTTCACCGCAAAATATCCGCTGTCTACAGCTGTGTGCTGAAATTATTACGAGTGTCTTTGAAATTATTCGTTGGGTCAACAGGTAAGCCTTCTGGCTGAACTCGAAACTAAGTCGTTTGAGCTAACCCCCATTTGAGAAATTCACCACGGTGGATCAGACAGCTCAAGGCTGGAGAAGCTTGTTGATCGTGTGGCGATGTTAAAGATGAGGGCAAAGAAGCTACATAGCTATGCTTCCAGTGTTTCTTATCTAAAACTAAAGGAGCTGCAAGTTCTGCAAGAGCGAAACCTATTCGTGAGTAGTCTAAGCCTCAGGGCACAAGATGAGCTCAAACAAAGACTTGATGAAACACTTCAGCGCGTAATGGCGCTGGAGGGCCTGAAGGAAATCTTGATCGACGACAGGAGGAGAGATCTCGAACAACTCCGGGCTAAGACCCCGGACCGACCTGAACATGAGGGTGGGGATGTAGACGAAGCACAAAAAGAGCTCCCAACAAAAGTGACTCAAGAGAGGGCCATCGACACCGCGGTAGGCAAATCATCCGAGAATGCACCGGATGAGGGGCCAACCATACAGCAGATTCTAGAGTTACTGGAGTATGATCCTGCAATTATGCCCAGCGACTGCTCCAAGCTGCTGAGGATTCAGCCAATGTCAGCGGGCCTAAAAAGCAGCAGGATGCTATATGTGGTTAACAACATTCGGCTAAGAGCATGGCTTGAGGTAGATGAATCATCACTTCTGCTCATCAATGGCGGCGGAGATTCTTCCCCTATCTCGGAGGTCTCGTACATCACTGCCAGATTGGCGGAGTCATTTATCACGGTTGCACGCCCAGCTAAACAGATCATGGCCATGGCGTACTTCTGTGGCCAACACCGCCATACAGGATCAGACGTTTACGCGTCTCCTACGGAGATGGGCATGAACCTCCTGTGTCAGCTCATCGACAATGGCAAGGAATTCTTTGCGTCTGAAATTGTCCTTGACGTTTTAGATGGATTAGAGCCATCTGAAATGGCTACTATATGCAATTCGATCGAACGGCTTCTAGCGCTCCTCAGAAACAGCGTAGTAGTTTTCCTTGTTATTGAAGGCCTCAACTTCTTCTCATACCCCGCCAGTCGCCAAGCAGAAACTAGGGAGCTACTAGGCCGCCTCATCTCCATTCAACGGAGAACAGAATCAGCCACGATCAAACTTCTGTTCACGTGCCCGTCTAGGGTCTTATTCCTGGAGGACATGATTGGGAGCTCTGAAATTATGACTGTACCTCGGAGCCCACCTGACCTGGGAGTTTGGAAAGACAGCGCGTTCAGCAAACTGTTTGATGAGGTGTTGAGTGACCCGGATGATAGCTCGGACGATAGTCAAGACGAGTCCAGCGAGTCAACAACAGAAAACTCCTTAAAATAGCTTATTTATCTACTGTATCTCAGATTATTTACTTAGCCGGTCGTGTTCTTGCTAAATGGATATCATTAATTTATAATCGCTCCCAGGTGACATACTATTTCGCATCGAGAGTTGACGTTCAACCAGAGGACTCTTGCTCGCTTATTCTGGCCGCTTCTTCCACGTATCTCATTAGAATATTCAGATAGTGAGCCAGCTGGGGGACAGACTCAGAGTAGCACGTGGTTGAAGGAAAATAAGGACCGCATAATTATTGTAGCAGTCAGTCACATCTTGATACTTCCAATTGTGTAGTAGTAAGTAGACAATGTTGCATAATAACCATTCAATAATTTATTATTATTATTATGATTAAATATCGTCTATCAACATCGTGGCCTGTGTTGGAAAGCTGGGATTAAAACACCTTGCAGCCTGTTATTCTGACAGAAGTACGGAGTAGGGTACGTAGGCAAAGCAGGGATCCTACGTCTAGGTAATCCCTGTAACCGGCGACTTCTTCCCATTTTAGGACTCGTGTGGTGGAGCAATTTACTGGGCCTATTCCCCGTATATTGAAACGCGATTCCATCCACCTCTTCCAGCAACGCCAATCGGCCTCCATCACCAGAACAACTACCTACTCATTACTGGATGCATTGGAAACAGCAACTCCTGGAAATGACACATATGAGCTGCGATCTCTGCCACTTCAGAAAGGAGAAGTGTGTCTCCGACACTGATGCCAATCAATGTCAGCGATGTGTGCGGCTTGGTGTACGTTGCACCAACAAAAGGAGACTGCCGCGGCTGGGTCGACGGCCCAAAGTGGAACAACTCCCGTCCGGAACCTGCGGTCTCCTCTGCTTTGACTCCAATGGGAGCCAAGAATCTCTCCTTGGAGCTACTGCCCCTTCGGTATCTGCGCCGTCGTCTATGCCTGACTTGTCTCGGCGGCGTGGCAATGAGGATACAGATATCGAGCAGGCTCTCGTAACGACGATGGCTGGTTGTTCGCCATATCCTGTCTTTAGGAGTCACATGCTTTCTGTCCACCCTCTGGGACCGGCATTCTATCTGCTGAACGATCCCGAAAGCTTTTATCGCGTGCATCGGCGATTTATGATAGGCCGCAGCTTTAACGACATCTTCCAACGCGCCATTTGGGCCCATCTTCCCCGAGCCAATGGCATCCTGCTGAAAGCGTATGATGTGACATTCACTACGTGGAATTGGGAAGCTAACCGACGGAAAACCCGAAGCGAGGTTGACGCTTCGTTGGCAAGCGAGTGCCTTAATTTTCTCCGTCAGCACCGTTTTGAGCATCCTGGAGACGCTGCCGCCCTACTCATGTTCTCCCAAATCCTCTTCGTATACCACATAAACATGCATTGCACATCTGCGTACTCTATTGTCCGCAGTGCCATGTTTACAGCAGCACCTCACTATGAGGAGCTTCTCATGGACAAAAGTTTGGACCCTATCACTGTTACACCGGTCCTTATCGACACCTGGGAGGCGCTGATACGACGAGAGCTACCATCAGTCAGGGTTTCGTCCTCGACCCGTCTTATCATAGACAGGACTGTTGGACTCTGTTGGCCTCTTATTCTCTTGTTGCAGGAGTTATGCGACCGTAGCTATCGTCAGAAATGTGCATTTCCCAATTACATAGACAGGGAGTACGCTTACAGAGACGTAGAGAGTCGGATTCGAAACTGGGAGCCTACTATACCTGATGGATTCTTTGATCAGTATCCCCCTCTGGTGGTGGACACCATGTTTTTTCAGGTCCGCATATATCGTGCGGCTTCGCTATTGATCATTCACAGGCTGCGGCACCGCTTAGGTGATCACGACGAGGAAGCACTTTCTCTCAGCCGCATCATTTCGTCTGAAGTTTTGGACTTCTTATCATGGGCGCCTGAAGAGCTGAGACACCTGCCACTCGGACTGCCCCTGCTGGTCGCGGCCATCGAGGATCGGGAGATTTGCATGAAGATAATTCCTCAGTTGACAGTTTTGAACCGAAACCAAGAGCTGCTCTCGCAATATGTGAGATTTATTGATATTGTCTGGGAAGCGAGACATCAAGAATATGGGGGACTGTGGTTTGACTTGATTGACAGTATCCAGCCGCCAATCATAATTTGATATTAATATATTCATGCGCTGTGCGTCAGGTGCCATTCGACGGTAACCCCTCACTTCGGTTGTTACCAATTGGGAATCATGATGGGTGAAGTCACGTTACCTACATGAAAATATCTCACGTTCAGAAGTACCTATCCCCTCTTGTGAACCCGTGGACGGAGAGGTGTACGTATGCAAAAGAACGATCCCGTCAATCAACACCCCCGAGAACCCGCCTCGTCTCCAAACGAGCTCTGATGAGCCTTGGACTCATTTTATTCCCACTGCTGCATCTACCCTAGCCAGGCCGGTGCTTTCTTACTGTATTTGGGCTAGTGGTGCGGGAGGTCGGTAAAGCGGCGACTCGGTAGAAAGGGGTCCCGAATATGAAGAAGGCTCCAGCCTAGTAGAGCCGCGGAATATGAAAAAGCCTTCATCAGCCTAAGAGAGTCCTGAATATAAAAAAGCCTCCAGCCTCACCCCGATCCTACTCTTTGTTTTCAACACTACACTATTCTTAAAGCATAAAAAGAAACATTTGCGTTCACTTTCTCGTCTTCTACGGCCGACAATGGCTGTACTGAATCACGTTGAATCGGAGGACATTCTTGATGTTCTCATCGTCGGCGCTGGTATATCGGGCATCAATGCCGCCTACTACTTGGCCACGTATGGGCCTAAAGGACAGACGTACGCGATTCTTGAAGGCAGATCAGCAATCGGCGGAACCTGGGATCTGTTCCGTTACCCAGGAATTCGGTGCGACTCTGACATTCTGACCTTCTCCTTTGGTTGGAATCCATGGCCTGGAGACAAGCTGTTGGTTGGCGGGCCTGAACTCTGCGACTACATGAGGCAATCTGCCGAGAAGATTGGCGCCGATAAGCACATCAAGTTCAATACTACGGTTCGATCTGTTTCGTGGTCCTCAAACGAGTCGCTGTGGACTGTCAATGCAATCGTGGATGGCCAAAGACAACAAGTGTACAAATCACGATTCATCATCCTTAGCACGGGTTACTATGACTATCATAATCCTCAGGATCACATCATCCCCGGCCTCAAGACTTTCAAAGGCGACGTTGTGGAACCGCAATTTTGGCCAGAGGATCTGGACCTCGAGGACAAAGACGTTGTTATCCTTGGTAGTGGCGCCACGGCCGTTACCATTCTTCCCAATATTGCCGCCAAGACGAAACATACAACCATGTTGCAGAGGAGCCCTACCTATATCGCCACCATGGCCAATACAATTCCCCCGGTGGATAGGATGGCCAGGGCATATCTCCCCGCACGTCTCGCCCATTGGGTCAGTCGGATGTATCACATGATCAGATCTTACGCTGTTTACACCTATGTAGTGAAGAACCCAGAGAAGGTGAAGAGTCTTATGATGGCTCGGATAGAACAGCAACTACCTCCCCACATACCGGTAGAACCTCACTTTTCTCCCAGATACAAACCTTGGGAGCAGAGATTCTGTGTCTGCCCCGACGGTGATTTCTGGGCAGCTCTACGATCCGGCAAGGCTGGCGTGGTTACTGATGAGATCGATCGTATTTCCGAAAGTCAGATCCATCTGAAGTCTGGAAAGAATATAACAGCGGACACCCTGATCCTCGCCACTGGGCTCAAGCTACAATTTGCTGGTGGAATCGCAATTTATGTCGATGGTGAGCTCATCGAGCCATCTCACAAGTTCGGTTGGAAGGGCTGCATGGTCCAAGACGTACCAAACCTGGCGTTCATTGTTGGATATGTGAATGCCTCGTGGACACTTGGCTCTGATGCTAGCTCTTATCTGCTCATGAGACTCTTGAGGACTATGAAGGCGAAGTCGGCTACGTCAGTTACGCCGAGAGTGCCGAAGGATGCTGATATGAAGGTCGAACCCTGCTTCAAATTGGGTTCCACGTACTTGAAGAACACTTTGGCGGTTTTCCCTAAAGACGGGGAAGGACAATGGAGGTTCAAGACCCAGTACATGTCTGATATGTGGGACGCGACATGGGGTGACATAGTAACTAATCTTGAGTTCCGCTGACTATGGGGCTTTTCTTGACTATGCGTTTAGCCTTAGCATCATTTTTATCATCTTGTTATAAGTTTACAACTATTTCTTTGAATTTCAAAACTAAGGTACTCCCACTATGTTCAGGGCATGCAACCTCGGAATCATACAGTGTAATATTAGATTTGGCTGAATCATTGTCCTTTTCGAAATCTGTAATAATGGCTATGGAGATGGGGATAATATTGAAATGTGGTAGATCGAGATTTTAAACTACAAACAAACCTAGGTACAAGTGAATTGCTAAATGAATAACCAAAAGAGTATAGTATTATAATTACACATGAGTGGTGCTCACACGTGGAAACATGAGCGACGTGCTTGACATACCAACGGTGTATATAATTGCAAAGTAGCACAAGACCTCAGTCTATATTCTTCACCAACATACCTATATAACTAATCTAAAAATCAATGGAAAACGCAAAGCATATCGCTATAGGCTTTTTCAATTAGGCTATCAGTATTTTGAGATTAAGTTTGCTCAAACTAGCCAAAACACCACATTGTGCCACAGTACAGGGTAGGTGACAGCGCATGGAAGGATGGAATGGTGCAATTGATAGATTTTGCCTACCGTGTTTTCTGGGCTAGCTGGATCCGATTAATTCCATATTTCGTGCTGCGCTTAGATAAACCAACGGAGAAAAGTATGTCGCTCAAGCGGAGATCTGCTCTTGATTGGACTAGGCGTGGCTGATAGTGAGGCGAATGAGGTCTAGTCGGACACGTCCATCAATCAATAGCGCCTGTCGATAATATGCGCAGCTGGATCCAGATTTCAGCCCCTGGATCGATGATACAAAATGCTCCGGGACCCCTTTTGATGATGGACAGACTGGGTCGTCCATTCATCGGTTGGCCAGGGGCAGCAATCATATCATGGTCTTCTCCCTGCTCGTAAGGAAGGCCACGGCCGCCTGCATCACGATCCTGCTGGTGGCCTTTTTGACTCTCACTCTCTCAAGGGCAGGTGCCTATACATATCTCCGGCCTGGTGAGCCGAAACCGGTCCTGGCCCTGTTGGAGTCGCCGCCGTCGTACAAGGTCACGGCCTGCCCTGAGCAATGGACCAACATATCTCCCGAGGTCTGGAACACAGCTAAGGCTCACACAGACGACCTCCTGGAAGATAAATTCACGTGAGTTTCATTCTAATTTGACGCTGCTCGCCGAAGCAACTCAGCTAACCCTGGCTGCCTCCGTAAAGAATCGTGCTGCAGACTTACCAGAGGCCACATGTTCTGGACACGACCTTGCGCCGTCTCCTGGAGAACTATGTGCCATCACTCCTGGAACTCCATATCGTCTGGAATGATGACGAGACACCTGTGCCCGAGGACTTTTCCTCGCAGCATGGCGTTCGGGTCATCTATCACCAGGCGGCAAAGAACAGCATGAATGAGAAGTTCCGACCTAACCCGGAGTATCGCACCAAGGCCGTTCTTCTACACGACGACGACGTCTACTATCACTCCGAGGACATGGAGTTCGCGTTCCAGACCTGGCGCGAGTATCAAGATCGCATGGTCGGCGCTTTTGCTCGCTCCCACTTCATCCAGGACGGACACTGGGCCATTGATTTCGCACAAGGCGCCTACTCTATCGTCATGACCGGTCTTGTGTTCGTGCACGTTGCCTTTCTGGAATATTGGTGGTCCGAGACCCCGATGATGATCCAGATCCGGGACTACGTGGACGCCCAGATGAACTGCGACGATATCGCGATGAACTTTCTCGTCTCCGCCATCACTTGCCAGCCGCCGTTGCAGGTCACTGGTGTGAAGCCGCCGGTCAATGAAGCGCCGCCAGTGGGCATCAGCACAACCCCCGAATTTCCAAAGAAGAGAGTGGAGTGTATGAATGATCTTCCCCAGTTCTTCGGGGGGATGCCCTTGATCAACACGACCTGGGCTATTACACGGGGGCAGTTTCCATGGTAGACGAGGTGGACACTGTTCTGAGAAAGCAAGAATATGGTGTTGTCAATGTATCAGTTCTCTGGAGTTATCTGGTGGTGTGTAGTCATATAATGTGCAAATGCTGTTTTTTTTTACCAGTATCTGAATTGACTCTTGGCGAAAGCTGGCGAGCATCATTGAAGTTCACTGGACAGATGTAGATTTTTCGTATCATCTTCTTGTTCGGTTTAGGCGTCGGCATAGCATTATCCATGATCGATTGATTTGGTTGTCCCATTCGCCTCTTGATGATACAGTATTTTGAAAGAAAAGAAGAATGCCAAACAAGCAAGTCGTCAATTATTCCTTAATTCAAGTTACACTTATTGCACGCCGACTGAGGCGAGCTTAAAGCGAGCTAACTTGAGCGTGTGCGCACAACCTTCGTGCCCTTGCTTGTCCGCATATTTCAATGCCTTATCGATGTCTTGTAACGTGTATCCCAATGCGGCTTTTGCAAGTAGGATATTCAATACATTGGCTCTGCCATGCTCAGCTGCCCCTTCCAGAGCGGTCCGTCCGTTGATCAAAGCTGGGGGATCATGAATTTTGGCCCCCTTACTTAAGAGAAGTAGGACGGTGTCTGAGTTACCTTGTATGGCTGCAAGCTGTAATGCAGTTGCACCGCTATTCAGTGCAGCAGGTGCATTTACGTCTGCTCCATGATCCAGGAGGAGCATAATCATCTGAATGTAGCCCTGTTCGCAGGCTTGTTGAAGAGGGGTGCGTTTCAAGCAATTTCGTGCCGGGCGATTGATATCGACTCCTCTATCCAGCAACATTCTTACCAAACGCGGATCATTGTTCTTGATAGCACGTAAAAGTGCAGTTTCGGCTGTCGTGCGAAAATTCCCCAATCTCGCCGCGTCTGGATCTGCCCCTGCCTCAAGCAGCTGACAGATAATGTCATAGATCACAGTGTCGCCTTTTCGAGACTCACCGATAGCGAAAAGAAAAAGTTGATTGCATTGAAACTGTCCCCAATGTCTTTTCACTCCCAACTTAGCCTTGAATAAAGCACCCAGACAAGCCAAATCACGAGATGATATCGCCTGCTCTAGAATTTTGGGACCAAATTGCTTCTTTCCATTCGGATATCTTGAGGAAAATGCGCCGATGAGGGTGGAAAAAATATCCTTTTTGCCACCCTTAACAGCTCCAAAAATAGCTTCTTCGTCTGCCGGGTCGGCACCACGGTCGAGCAAAAAACGCACCATGCTTTCGTCCCCGGCTTCGACGGCATCCGCAAGGCAATGGGGTGAAGCTCCCCACTCTAAGAGCAGACTCACAATCCCAAAGTTGTGAGTTTCAATGGCTTCTAGGAGTGGATTATGCGAGCCAGACTCATAATCAGGTAACGGGTTGGCTCCACGTTGTAGAAGTTTTTCAACCACATGCGTGTGTCCTAAACTCGCTGCCACAGCAAGTGCAGCTTCGAAGTCGGTGAGGAGGTATTGTTCCGTCACTTGATCTATGAACTCCAGGTTCCCCGTCCCCACGGCAGCACAGAGAACCTCCTCTATCCCCTTATATGATTTATCCATGATAGTTGCCTTGCTGGTCGCTTTGGCATGGTGAGCAATCAACTCCGAAGCAACTAGAAGTTGGCTTTCATCAATCGCCCTCACGATGGGTGTAGCTAAACTCTGCATTTGGGTTCGGGGAGGAACTAAGCTGATGAGTGCTTTCAGATAGCCAAAGTCACCAACCTCACCGGCTGCAAGAGCTGCAGCGTTGAACTCCGAGCCGAAATCCCCACGATCATCAAATATTGTGTCCAAGGCTCCTCCTTCTTCAAGTCGATTGATAAGGACAGCGTTTTTCCAACGGATGGCTTCGGCTAATGGTGTCGTCAATATACAATGGGAATAGCGGGATGGACATCTTTTCAAACTCATGCACTCGTACATGTGTCTCAAGCACGCGACTTCCCCCCCCGGAGCAGCACCCTTGTCCAGTATAAAGTCGACCATTTCGTTGTCTTGATTATGAACAGCGGACGCAAGGTGTCCCGAGGTAGGCTTAATGTGGTCCAAAAAATATCTCACAAGTTTAGTATTATTCTTGGAGATTGCCACAGCGGTGGCTTCATTTAAAAGCCGAGTATGCTCAATGACGGACGCTGGGATAAACTTCAACGTTTGGCATGTTGACAAAAGACTTCTGATCATCTTGTCAGCTGCCTGGTTCTCCAGTACCTCCTGTATCGACCGAAATATCGGGATAGGGTATTTGTCTAGCGCCGATATGCCTTCCCGTCTATTACATTCTCTCCAAGCCTCCGGATTAAAAAGCTTGGGATATTGCGTCTTTGGCACAGCTTCAAATAGCGGTTCATAGAGGTAGCCTTTTCGTGCCGAAAATGCCTGTATGAGGTAGTCTGTCACTCGTTGAGGCTCATGGGAGAGGCATAATTCGACAATCGATGCCACCTCTCGTTTATGACTCGTGCCGTCCCTGTGATGCAAGCATCGATCACAAAATCCTCTCATTGCTGCTTTAAACGCGGAGCGGTTTAGCTCCTCACCTTCAACGCCTATTTTAGCGCCATGGGCAAGCATGGTTTTAACAACCCCTAAATGATGCAAGCGGGCGGCTAATGCCAGAGGCGAGTGTTCCCTACCCCGAAAGGAACTGAAATAGTAAATGGGTTTATCAACATTGATCTCATTCGATCGGCCCGAAGTTTCCTTCAGTATGATGCTGACCACCTCTTCATCTCCTGCCTCGATGGCAAGCTGGAAGAGATTACTGGCAACAGGCTTTGCAATAGACGGCTGATCTGAACCAAGCCACTTGACAAGATAAGACATTCCATCAGGAGCGAGTCTTAGAAAGCCAAAAACAGCAAGACGTTGGATTGGCCCAAGACCGGCGAAATTGTTAAGTACAGAATACATGATCCGGGAGTATATATCTGATATTGAGATATTACGATCTCTACCAGAAACAAGCGTTGAATCCAACGTGGAGCTTGACCCAGACAAAGTTGCTCGCGGCAGAGATACGAGTCGCTCAAATATGTCGTTCACAGAGAGTTCTGTAATATCAGCTTGTCTCCATCGAGGATGTAGAGCAATCCTTTCCAAAAGAGGATCGATATAGGCGAGAATTGCCAGCTGGGGGCTAGGTGAGCTAGCACGATGAATACTGTCGATTTCACTTCCTTTGGGGCTCAGTAGCGCTACCGCATTGTTGTCAGAGAACCATTCTCCCGGAGAGGAAGGTGGGTAAAGAATGGAGTTGATGAAATCATCTACATTCGATGATTCATATTGTGGAGATATCACTGATACAGGAAACTCGGTCAATTGAGGGCTAATCGGACTGAATATATGGGCATCCGGATCGAAACAAATGCTTGTTGAACTGGGCATGCCCAATATCTCGCACTGAGGGGTATTGAAGGATGGGGGACATGGTATGAGCGCGGATGTCATTGTGTCAGCCGCGCAGAAGACATGCTCGATTCCATGAGGGTGCATCTGTGACGGCTGACTGCCAGCAGTAGAGCGGATGTCCATTTGGACAAGAGCGGCAGAGGTTGTACTCCGAGGCAGATCGGAGTTTTCATTCCTCTTGAAGTACTCAGTGTACTGGCCATTGGGTTGGCGGAACTCGAGACACCAAGGACGTATCTCGTCTGAGGATGGGGCCAACGCTAAACCGCGGCGCTGTTAGTAATGCTTTGCAGCTGGCATTATGACTCTCACAACGTCTTACCAATATTATCCGAGAGTGATGAATTTTGCCTCCCTCCGTAATGATAACGAGCTTTTTTAATCTTTCGATCCTCGAATAGATGGTCTCCGACTCTAATGCGAGGTTCCAGGCCCTGGCTTTGCAGGTCGTCATAGACCGGTAAGATGCTCTCCCAGTCACGCTTCTTCAGGTTCTTGACAGCCCCCCATTTAGCGATTTGGGATTCATACTGGGAAGCTCTGAAACTGATCAGCAATTGTCAAATCGCAAAATGTCCAATGAGCAGCAAGCATGGAGTAGTGAGCGGCTGCAGCCATTTCAACGTATGTTCTGGGGGGGAAAAAACCAGACAGGAGAGGCCATCACTCAACTTGGACTTACGTTGCATGAAACTGGTGTTCGTCTTTCATGACCTGTATCAAGCTCCGGCCTTCTGCGTTGAGGGCTTTCAGAGGCAGCTTGTCTTTGAGCCGGAGCCGTAAGATGGTTGCCTTGTGGCGCTCCCACTCCGTAGATGGAATCTTACGCGACGATGGCGACATGTCGAGGAGTTTCGATTGCCCAAGAAAATTCTATAATGTGAGATAATATATAGAGGTTGTGACGTTGCAGAGATCCATTTCGGGAGCACATAACGCTTAAAAACTTGTGTTCTGACAGTTGCTTGGTATATGGTGACTGTATATAATTCAACTGCGGGGAATAGGGCCTGGTCCTTGGCCTCTGGCACTCGGGTTTTGGAATCCAGGTTTTGGAATCGAACCCAGGTTTTGGCACCGGCTGTGTAAGGCTCGCACCCTTGTCTCGTCACGTCGAATCAGGACTCGCCGCGTGTGGAAATCTCCCTTGCAGCAAGCTAAGCCACTAATGGCGTCATTCCCACTCTATTTAATGTCGAGGAACTAAAAATCAAAGAGAGCTGATGATCACAGCTAAAGTCCGGAGCAGAGGAAGCTCCTATTTCTTCAAGTTCGCAGAACTACAAGAAACATATGATCTGATGACGGCCAATGGAAGGAAGAGCGGGGGAAAAGAGTCCCCGAGGAGAATTGTCCTCGCATGAGTTTGGTCCGCTGCCGACGTGGGTGGTCAGCAAGTGCAAAAACTCAGCTCGGGCAAACATGCATAATGCACCAAGCCACGCGTGCACAACCTGAGAAGGTGAGACCCCCCATAGCTGCTTACAGTTGGGTATGCAGACAGTAACAAAAAAGGGAAATCAATCGTACCTGCTTTACTACTGTGATACCCCTATAATATGTGTATCTTCCAACCAGGTACAGTGGATTCGAAAGGTAATAATTGCCGGCTGAAGAAATACTGCCTTTACAGTACTTCCTCGCACACCATTACCGCCAGCTAAAGACAAAAAGCACCGACCAAAGATATGCAAGGCCATAAAGGCCGTGCCGCTCTCCTGCCTAATGTGTTGCTTACTCGAACGGCGATAAAGAGAAGGCGGGTTGAAATTGCTTTTTTTGTGCGGTGCTTTGCCTCAGAATCATCTGGATGGGGCCTCTCTATTTGTTTGAGGCTGGCGACAAATTGACGGATTACTAAATACGTCACTAGTCATAACAAGACTCGCGAAAGCCGCAATGGACGCTGTTTGAGAGACGTGTCGGGTAGTGCCCAGGGCGGCGAGGGTTTGGTACACTTTTGGCAAGTACTTCAGACAGACACACTTGTGCTACCTGGCAACAGTGTCACTACAACGCTATTGGTAACTGTCAAAGTCTCATCCCAGGGTCAATGCTGGGGTTGCATCCTTTCATCACATTTCGTTGCGAACTCAGACTCCGTAGAGGTGCGAATTAGAAAGTGACCGGCAAGTCCATCCTCATCGCGAGAAATGCTCAAACACGTAAAAGGAACAAACAATGAAAGCAACACGAGATATGTATGCACACATATTGATTTATGCCAATCCATTCAGATCAAGGCCGAAGAGTTTCGGCCGCCTCTCGCCGGTGCGGCTGGAGCTCTCAGCCGTCCCGGTCCAGCTGATGCAAGACACGCGGTCGGCTTATCAGGCCTGGGCAGTCCGACCCGTCTCTCAGCAGAGCCTTGTTTACAGCTTTTTACGAAATAAAATCACACCTGAATGATGTGTAAGAGGCCATGCATGCAGGTTGTTGTTGTTGTTATTATGACAAATGCATCTCAGCCAGGTCGGCTTTAAACTGGCCGGCCAATGTACCGACCCAGGCTCAGTGGCTACCAATGAATTCCGTACCTGCATACGGTAGGCAGTGAGCAAGAGTACTCCCACCGCTTAGATGGCCGCGAAGTCGGTCTGATGGCGGGCGCTGAGCGCTTAATTGACGGTGAGCGAATGGCTTCTCTCGCGCGATGCAGCATGGAAGCTCCATCAGTCTCAATTTGAAACAAGCAGTGAAATTAGAGCCAGCCGAGAGCCTGAATCTGCAGAATAGCCGCGGCGCGCGATTGTCATAAGAAGTCGGCTATCTAACCCTACTCACATCGTAGCATTGGCAATCTGAGCCTCCCGTATTACCGACTGCTACCGTCACCACCACATCAGATTTCCGCTCAAGATGGTCTTCCCCTATGTTTTCATAGAAGATGGCATGGAAAACTGCACTGGCGGGCCAGTCATCAAAGGCTTCACGTGCCCGAGCGGTTCCAGATGTATTTGGCTCGCGGGGCAAACAACTATCCTCTGCTGCCCGGCTTCATCAGCCAGCAGATGTAAGCACATTGAAACCATCACTTGCAATGTCTCTGCCCTGAACCCCATGATCGACGAAAATGCAGTCGCCAAAACAACTATCTTTGACATTCCTCTGCCGAAATGTGGAGCACGGTGTTGTCCCTTTGGCTACAAGTGTCAAGATTCGACTCGGACTTGCTGGAAATTGTCCGACCAGAGCAAACGTCCGTCCCCAGCGAGCACCAATGATGACAAAAGCATGGTGATCAAAACATTCGGAAGTGACCAATCAACCATGCCAGTGTGAGTTTGTCTAGATATGAATAGAAAAGCTCAAACACTTAACATTTGATAGGGTCGCGTCCGCATCCGCAACCACAATCACACTACATCCAGGACCAACTTTACTCACGACAAGCTCCGTCACCCCTGACAGTCAAGCAAACACCTCACCTGCACCGCCCTCTTTGACTCATGTTGTTGTTCTCGCAATCGCGCTTTCATTTACCCTTACTGGCCTTCTTGCAACGATGACATATCTTGTGTGGAAACGTCGGGTGGGGAAGGCTAGACGTGACGAGATGATTGAGTCTCGCAGTGAAATTCCACATTGCCGATCCCCCAGGCTACGCAAATCACAGGCTAGATTCGACAAGGCGGAGCTAGACGCTCGCTCATGTGAGCTTCGGTCGCCGCTGAGCGACAAAGACGACGGTCGTGCCACCCGTTCTCCGGCAGAGCTGCCAGCCACGCCGGTTAGCAAAAAGCTGGAAGCCGCTTTGAGCAAAGAGACGAGATGGTTCTGAGCTCCAAGAAAAGGGGGGCGACCGATCACAATTCCAAGTGACAAATTCAAGAGACGGCGCGATAGCCTATGCCGGCCAGACTCCATGTTTCTGGTCGTGGTTGTCGATGCTGTGACCTTGCAGTGCAAAAGTACCTGGTTGGTATCACTTGTTCTGCAAGGAGTGATTGCTACCCAACATGTCATTCGGTTTCTTTCGAAATCGTGCGTTGAGTCTCTCACATGACTTGGAACATGCTCAGCCTGAAGGAGAATATTATTGAAGAGGTCGAGTCGGATGATCTCGACACTGATGGGACAGAGAGGGTTGCAGAACTTGGTGCAACACCAATGTAACAAAAGACTTGTGTTCTCTCTACACTTGTAAGGAGTATATATAGATTAACCTAGCCGCTAGGCTCCATGATTTGATATTAAATAAATTTGCTTAAATTTCAACCCAATAACCCATCCCCAGCCGAAGTCGACTAGATGCAAACCTTGATGGGAGCCTGAATGACAGCAAGTGACGCCCAGAATTCAAGTTGTCTATGCGACAGTAGAACAACCGGGGTCGTGGAAATTTATCTTAATAAACACAGCTTGTTTTCCCGAGGCCCAAATGAAATGATCGCCGCACTACGGTCCCACGATGGTTCCTGGGCATGCCGTGATAGCCACAGTTTCAGTGCCTGGGCGAGCGCTGGCAATGTTGCGCATAATGTGGAGGTAACTGCCTTATGACGACCGCCAGCTCTGCCCAAACACCTTCACACTCGGGAATGTTGACCAAATGGTGGCCAGTTGCCTCAATCAGAGTGCGACTTGGCCCTGGACAATGCGTTGTCATGCTACTAAACCCCATGGGGATGTTGCATGGCGGCGATGGGACATGAAACCCTGCCTTGGGATGCAGTTTGTGCTGTTCGCATGTAAATCGCCGGGATCGATAGGCCCTTGGGCAATCAAAGATGAAACACAGCGCCAGTTGGTTTTCTGACAACAATCAAATCCGTCGCAGCTGTCCCGTTTGGCATTTCATGACACGTCCAATTGAATCGTCATGATTGTTCTGCTTCACTGAGCATCAATCATCTCAGACCTGATACCATGAGTTGGTGGTGACCAGCATGAAACTTTTCCTCGAGCATTGACTGCCAATACAATTCACCCTCAGGCACGACGTAACATCTGAAATGCATCCATACCTTATTACATTGTGGTCTCAGCCCTGACAGGACAGATGCTTTCTGGCCCGGGGTACCTTAAATGCTTCGAGATGTTTTATCCTCCCCCTTCGCTTTCACAATTGTTTATCCAAGCTTGAGCCTACCGAAATTAATTAAGATGAAAATTTTTATCATAATCGCTTATCTTGCTCCCGTATTCCTGTCAATCATTGGGCTCATATTGTCAACTCTATGCCTTTATTCGGGCAATGCGCCCGGGGTTATGGAGGACTTCGCCCTGGCTAGGGTAAGTGGCGAGATGGGATCAAGGGATTGATGATTATGAATTTAATATATGTACTGACCTACCTTCAAGCTAAATGTGACCATGGTCGGCCAGAATTTGACAGACATAGACGATGGCCCTGGCCGCCCAACATCACCGCGGCCTCAGCCCAACCCTAGCTGGCCTAGGCCTGGAGATGACGATGATGAGAACCCTATTTCTTCCATTATTAATTTAATTCTCGCCTTTCTTAACGGGCTATCCGGAATCCATAATGGATCATCAACAGATTCCAATGCAGGCATTGGCCTTTCAGACTGGTACTCCTTCCATGTCATGACTGCCTGCAGAGGAGAGTTCTTCTACTCCTCACTCCCAAGCAGAACTAATCTCAACACAACAAACTGCACTCGCGCGAAACTAGGCTGTAAGTAACTCACACTCCTGTCGTTGAGAATTTCGGTTTGCTGATCCGATGGCTTTTCATCAGTTCGTTTCAATCTGACGGAGCTCATGGCTGAAGATCTCAAAAAATCCGGGATCAATGTTGACTTGGGGAACTACGCCGAGACTGATCAGTTACAAAAAAAGCTCGACATTCTCAACAAGGTATTATCTGCCTTAGCAGCATTCTACATCATTTCCATGGTGTTTTGCGCTCTCGCGCTCTTGTCTTCGTCGATCTCCCTATTCAGCGACAATCACACTGTCGGCCGCCTCGGCTTGCTCTCAGTCCTGTTCGCGACGTTGTCGCTCTTCGTCGCAAGTGGCATAGCAACGGCGACTGCCAAACAGAGCGCCGATGAAGTCACGAGGCTAGGGAGGGAAGTCGGTATTGAAAGCTACCGTGGCTACAAATTCCTCGGTCTCACGTGGGGAGCTGCGGTCGCCATGTTTGTCGACATATTCTTTGAGATTGCACAAGTTAGACGGACGCGAGAAGAGTTGAAATCTACCAAAGAGCCTCCCGGAGAGGAGTCTGCTGAGGAGGCTTGATAAGCTCGAACATTCAAAAACCGCTACAGGACAGGAGGTGTATGGGAAAAACTAATAATTGAAAACATAGAGGATAATCAAAACGGCACACTAGAATGCTTGCACAGTCATGGAATAGGGGACTCTTGCTATTTCGGAGGAATTATTCGTGGTCAATCAGTTTTTGAGCCTTGCTAGTCTGATGAAAATAATAACTAAGAACAGGTATATAGTATACAAAACTAGGACACAATCAATTTCAGCCCTGAGCGTCTAATTAAATGTCGAATGAAGAATCACCCTCCTAGAAATATTTTCCATATTATGCCAAGCTTGGAATAAACCTAGTTTTACTCATAATCGCGTTGAACCTGTCCACGTAGCTTGGCACAATCTCCTGATCTGCAGCGAGATCTTCCTGTATCCAGAGCGCATGCAAACCCCATCTCAGACAATCCAGGCTTCTGCCGTATCTATTCTTCTCCGACCTCTTGACAAGATTGAGGATAATAGCTCGCTGCTCGTCGGTTCGGGCTTCGCTACCAACGATTAGAAGAGGGAACTGGTGCTCATGAGCCCATAGACGATCTAGAAATGCAAACGCTTTGTCTATGAGACCCTGTATATCACGAGGCTTCCCTGAAATGCTTTCGGATACCCGTGCGAGATAGATGAGTATTGCGATTTGATACAACTTGATTGGATTCGTCGCGGTGTTGTTCATTTGGGCATCGTACTTCTCAGACACCTCCACGATAGTGCGCGCGTTGCCTTCGAGTGTAGTCAAAATTCCGACATAATTTTCCATTTTGCCCTTGTGCTCGAATGCTTGGAAGAGGACGTTGAAAATCTCGGTCAGAAACTGCAGAACGCGATGCGATGGACGGGCAGGATTCGTGAGCTGAGTAACGAGAAAAAATTAGCGTGTTTGCCAACTTGATAGACTTGAATAATCATACTTGAGCCCCCTTTGAATCTAACAGAAGATCTCCTTGACCTCGAGAGCTGATTTGCTCAGCAAAAATATTTTCCACTTGCCGATGCCGCCAGTGGAGGATGCTGAATTGCGCAACGACATCGTGGTAATGCACCCACTCGAGCATCTCGGAGACGAATCTTTTGTCGGCATGCTCATCAAGACGGCTGACCTTGATGACATCCTTTACTCCGCGGACGTACCATAGCCACTGTCCACCAGTCTCGGACGAATCATGAATCTGATAGAATATTAGCATAAGTGGTGAAACCTGAGACACAGGTTGCAAGTTCCACCCACCTCAAAAGAGCAAAGAAGCATGCCTGCTGCGACATGTTGGGCTGCTTCCGTCGTGCTCAGCGAACTACGCTCTGCTGAGCGCGTGAGTTCAGTGATAGCAGCGGTTTTGAATTGGACAGCCTGTGACTGGAGTCCGTTGCGATATCGGGATGCAAGGGCAAGTAAGGCGAATAACACTGCCTTCGAGGATGAAGAGTCGTTGGTGAATGCCATCTTGATCAGTAAGTCACCGAATTCTCTCGTATTCTGGTTGAATGTGACTAGAGAAAACGAAGCCGTCGTTGCAACTATAAAGTCCGTCAGTCCCAGGTGAGACAACTCATTTCGAATTTCAGCTATACGCACAGTATTCAACTAAAGACGCTTCTCCTCCGTCGAGCGGAGATGGATTCCATGGTGGGTTATAAGGTGTAGATAAGTGATGTAGAAGCTTGTTCTGATCCGGTGCTCCTGTGACGGATGGTTAGCTAAGTGGTCACAAACTCGAATAAGATTGTACAGGAGATTGTTCAGGAAAGCGCCTACTTCTAACGCTCAAATCAAACAAGTAGTCGTATATTTCCATATCATGGTAAGAAGTCTGGATAATGTGAACTCTAGGAAACATGCTCTTGGTCTTTCGTCCTGGCGGCAAGTCCACATGCATCGCCCGCCTCGGGTCGGTGGCCTTGGGCCAAGACAGGCGGACTCCATACCCTTGGCATGTCCTTCTGACCCGGGTGCAATTTGAGCATCTTGGGAGCGTGCGGTCACAGCGAACTCTACGGTCTATGACACCGATTAATCAGCTTCCGTCAAGTGTTGGGCACGTTCGAGGCCAATACAACGATTTGTCATCAACATACCCTTGCATGTCCAGCAGCTATTGGGCGCCAGCGCGGTATCTCGAGGCCGATTGGATACCATACTCGCGGAAAGTTGTACTCACTCGGATGTCAGAAGTAAAAGTTGATCAGATAGAGGAACTACTCAAAGCTTGTGGGGTGAGATGGAATTAAAAGGGCTTGAGAGGTGTTTGCCTTGGACCGGGTTGCTGACTCTCCAACCGACGAATCAGTCGGCTGGCACAATTAGCTGAGCTCCACCGATGGCAATTAATCGCGAGATTTATGGAGCCTCATCCCTGACAGATTACTAATAATTGGGCCAATCATAAACGTCAACGGTGAGACGATTGGGGAATGCTGGTGATGAACGTCTAAGAGGCGGGTTTTGGCAATGGTATAAATATGAGAGAGCAATTGCCTTCCTAGAGATTTTTCATATCCAATCAGCCAAAAACAGTTGCTTTACGTCAAAATCTCTTCAGATTCGCTATTTTCAACCAACGATGCCTTCGTACCTTATCACTGGCGCCTCGCGAGGCCTTGGCGTACGTACATGAGCAAGATGCCCAACCTACCCTATTCTCCAGACGCAGAAGCTGATGAAATTTGCAGTATGAGTTTCTACGTCAAATTTCTGAGAACCCAAGCAACACTGTTGTTGGACTTGTTCGCAATAAATCCGAGACTGAAGTGAAGGTCAAGGCATTGAACCGTCCCAACGTCCATATCGTCCAAGGTGATCTGGAGGATTTTGACTCCCTAAAGGTAGGATGGTTTCACCCTGACCCTTTCTTTTTAAAAGAACTGAGAATGACCTATCGTCTATACAGAAATCCGTCGATCAAGTGTCCGCAATTGTGAATGGGTCTCTGGATTACCTCATTGCCAACGCTGGTTATATTTCTTCGTGGTCTGCCTATGATAGCCTCAGTACCCTGTATGATTCACACCCCCTGAACCCTGAATATTTGAACTAAGACGATCACATAGCGGCGATGACCCAAAGAGACTGGAAGAAGACTTGCTGAAATGCTTTCGCGTCAACACGATTGGCAACATCCACCTCATCAACCTCTACTTGCCCCTCGTACTGAAGGGCGACGTGAAGAAAGTGATCACTCTTTCATCGGGATTCGCCGACGACGAGCTTACCACCAACTTCAATATCAGCGAAGCCGGCCCGTACACCATCAGCAAGTCGGCTATGAATACCGCTGTGGCCAAGTACAGCGCCGCGTATGCAGAGCAGGGCGTTCTGTTCTTGTCTATTGCTCCAGGAGCCGTTGAAGTTGGGCAAGACGCAGGAAGTGAGAGCCAATTCTATTGCAAAGTTTCGTTAAGAGTGCAATGCTAACAGCTGTGAAAGTTACCGAGAAACAAATCCCCAAAGCGATGGCCCTAGGCGGAAAGTTCGCGGGCTATGCGCCTCATTTCAAAGGCCGAACCATGCCAGAAGAGTCAATCAAAGATATGCTGTCTGTCATTGGCAAGGCAAGCGTCAAAGACGGATACGGCGGCTCATTCATTTCTCACAAGGGAAACAAGCAGTGGCTTTAAATTGATCTATACCGATTGCCACACGCCTTGTCAAACACTATCACTTAGTTGGCAGTGCATTATGACAGCGAGAAGCATCCGCAAGATGGCACTGGACTTCGACGTGCGAAAATCAGATCCCTTTTCACTCATGCAACGAAGAGACTGTGGGAGCTGGCCACCGAAGCACCCCGAGGCCCACCACCTTTAGATAGAATAGGATTCAATCTACATAATATTATACTTCTTATCAAGTTTAAGTAAACAACTTAGAAGCGAATTTTGATGCAACTCGTAATTAATGAGAATCGACTGGTGTGATCCTGCATTAACCCTGCGCAGATTCACCCATAAGTGTGTTGCAATAACGCCGTTGTCAACCTGCAAGTCGCCGACCATGAGACAATAAGCAGAAGAAATTACTTTCCGATTGGCCATTTGGAGTGGATGCGTGATTTAGAAGCCGACAGTAAGGCAGCAGTGAGGCGTCCTTCCAAGCCTCTCCCGCCTCACTTCACTCTGCCTAAGTAGTGAGCATGAAATTCTTACCGCCCAATCCTCGATGTAACAGGGACATTGGATTGGACAAAGTGTGGTGATAAAGGGCACTTTGCTGGTATGTATTTCGCTCATCATCTACAGTCATTTTGCAAGGGCACGGTATAAAGTGCATGTTCGGTATATCTGACATGCCTTGGGTACCAAGGCAGATCACGTCAACATGTACGCCTGGGCTACGGGGTTCAAAATACGACCGACCTCAATCCGTCATGCATGTTGGCACATTTGATCATGCATTGAGGGTCCACCGCGTTATGAAACAAGACATCATGGGAGACTCATTATTTTGCCGCCTTCGCTGGAACACGCTGTTACGCTATTAGGTGAGAAATGACCATAATTATGCATTGGTGTGAGAGATCCATATCTTATTGGACATCGGAAGGGCTTGTGGGAACATGGCGGTTGGCCATTGCGAGGTGGCTGCTACTATACATGCGGGAGGCCCTCCAAGATGTGCACTTGTGATTCGCACAAAATGTCAGAGGCCAAGTCTCACCGCAGCCATGAAAGCCGCCTCAGAAATGAGTCAACTTGCTGCCCAGACTTGGGCTGCTGCCTGACATAGATGCACAGGTGAAGTCGACCTCCATATTTTCTCTTTTCTGTACTGGCATCTCCCTTCCGCTACTCCCCCATCTCCATTCTCGCAGTTCGTGACCCAAACACAGTACGCTACCCATGCAGGCTAAGAGCAGGGCTCTGGTAAACAAAATATCGAAATCATCAGACTCGCGTAGTCTGCTCCTACGAGCTAGTCGTCGATTTTTCAGGTTCACGCTTCATCTACCACTCCAAGGGCTTTAAATTCAACGTTAGTGATCCGTATTCAACGACGCCATGTTTAGGGGCAATTCGAGGAGAAACGGGAACGGCGTATGCCGGGAGTTCCGACGTGATGGTGTTTGTAAATACGGAGTGAGATGTAAATTCTCTCATGGTCCACAAACGGGAGATGGTCGACAGCCCGGCTCTTCCTCCCAGGCTCAGGCCAACACGCAGAGAGCAGGCACGAGACAGCGTCAGCCCAACCAAGATGTTAGGTGGAGAGAGTGGAAGCATATATTGAACGCTTGGGCGTCATCATCTTCAAGGCCATCGGAAGAGGTGGCACGCAGGTTCTTTTCCCTTGGACTCGACCTGATGAGCGGAGATGAAGGAGCCTCCCAGGAAACAATCAAGGCTTTGGCCGACGACCAAGGGCTCAAATTTATCAGAGACTTAGCAGATCGGCACATACTAAAGGCTCAGAAGGATCAATCTGGCCTCCGTCTTTGGATAGACGAGATTTGCCCTCTTTTCCAGCTCATCACTCATGAGCGAGTGGTGGATTCTGCAGTGCTGGAACAGCAAGTGGCGATGATCTACAACTTCCTCAGTGGCGTCCATGGACAACGGATGGTCAGGGTTTTCAATTTCATCTTGACCCTAGTTCGGTCCTGGCCGGCTTCGACAAACGGCGTTTCTAAGATGGCTGTTATCGAGCTTTCTCTTGCGGTGTTGACCAAGATGATGGACTGTAACACTTTGCTCATGATCGACGAAAGCCTCTCGTCAATCATCCGCGGATTCGAGAGCTGTATCAACTCTGATCTGGAGTCATCTGAGGAGTTTTCTTGCGTGCAGGCAAAGAGATACCTTGACTACGTATGGCAACGACTCGAAGTTGGCCAAGAAATAGACGCCATGGAACCAAGCGTAGTTCCTGTGACTCGCGAAGCCTTCGTCTTACGTCGAGACCTTCCTGGAACCCTTTCTGCTGAGGGACCACGTCACGACAACGACAACAGGTCCATCTCGAAGATCAAAATCCTTCCGACTTCCGAGGAAATCATGTCCCCGCGCCGCGAGTATTTGCCTACCACGGACTCATCACAGTGGCACGTCCCCGGCATCCGCGGCCGAGTTGACCGAGAATTTCGACTGCTCAGAGAGGACACTGTGGGCCAGCTCAGGGATGCCGTGCATGATACATTGGAGCGCATTCGCAACGTCGATGCACGAGTCGATCGGAACCCCAAAAATACCGTGCGAACCTTCTCGTACGAGTACCCTACGCCCGTCGATATTGGTTTCGACAGCTTCTCGGGCTTGCAGTTCACAATTAGGTGCAATCAGCCCGCTGCTTTGAAAGGGATGGCGGCTAAAAGACGCCGAGAGTGGTGGATGCAGAGCAAGAGACTCCAGTCGGGGGCACTGGTCTGCGTCCTAGATGCGACAGGTTCCGTCCAGTTTTTTGTCGTCTCAGATTCGACCATGCGAACCGAAGATGACGATGTTGCAAAGAAAAAGGCCCAGCGTAAGCAGAACGACGACGGTGAATCTGACCCAAAAGAGCTGCTCACACTATCTGGAAACGAAGAACATCTTTTCGTGACTCTGCAACTGGTTGACGCTGGAGCGTCAGAGCTCAGAAGGACTCTGAGATGGTATCGTAGCACGAAGTCATCACCTCGCCGGTACATTGTAGAGTTTCCCGGAGTGCTGCTTGCATCCTTCCAGCATACTCTCACAGCACTGAAAAGGATTTCCGAACAGCCAAGGATTCCGTTTCATGATCTGATTGCGCCTTCAGGCGATGCGGACCAGCAGACAGTCATTGCATCCCCGCTCTACACAAGAAAGGCCGGGTTCGAATTCGACTTGAGGCTGTTGACCAACGACAAAACCAGTCTCAAGGTCGATCCTCGTCATCCGCCACAGCCCGAAGCGCTCGCGTCCCGATCATCTTTGGATCTCACACAATCAAGAGCGCTTCTTTGCGCTCTCACACAAGAGTTGTGCTTGATCCAGGGTCCACCAGGAACAGGCAAGAGTTACACCGGAGAGAAAATCATAAAGGTTCTCCTGGATCACAAGAAACAAACTAAAATGGGGCCAATCCTTTGTGTTTGTTACACCAACCATGCTCTAGATCAACTTCTTGAGCATCTTCTCGACGAAGGGGTTGATCGGATTATCCGAATAGGGTCCCGATCAAAGTCCGAGAGGCTTCAAAACCGCAATCTGAGAGTGGTGGCCAAGACAGCCGAGCGCACGAGAACTGAAGGCAGAGAGATCTACATAGTCCAAGATGAAATGCGGGATATTGACCGCGACTTGACGAAGCTGATAGGCGACCTGGCCGACCTCGAATCAGTGGAAACTATCAAGAGTCATTTACGCCTAACATCACCCAGACATTATCACCAGCTTTTTTCGTTCGATGAAGAAGGATGGACCACAGTTACTTACAAAGAAAACCAAACTATACCGATGTGGTTGCGGGGCGGATCTCTGGATAAGAAACAATCCAGACAAGTGGTTGAACTGCAAATGGTTAATCTATTTGATATGAGTCACCTTGAACGTCGGAAGATTTACCATCACTGGATAGAAACTCTGAGGGACCCCATCATAGAAAAGATGACTGAACTGCACCGCAAATACACAACTGCGTCTGAACAGCGAGATCGAATCCGGGGAGACACCGACCTTAGATGTCTTCAGCAGGCCGATGTGGTTGGAGTCACAACTACCGGCCTGGCGAGACAGCTCGAGACACTTCGAAAACTCAGAAGTAAGGTGATGGTCTGTGAGGAAGCGGGTGAAGTCCTCGAGGCTCATATCCTTACTGCGCTTCTCCCGTCGTTGGAGAGCGCAATTCTCATCGGCGACCACCTCCAACTTCGGCCGCAGATACAAAATTATGAGTTGCAAAGCACGAATCCCCGGGGCCAGCAATACTCATTGGACATGTCGCTGTTTGAACGACTAGTCCAGCCTCTTCATGACGGGGACGTACAAGTTCCATTTAGCACCCTCGAAACCCAGAGAAGAATGCACCCTTTCATGTCAGAGCTGATTCGATCGACACTCTACCCGTCCTTGATGGACTCAGAGTCAGTGCAGAAGTATCCAAAAGTTGTTGGAATGAAGCAGCGGTTGTTCTGGTTTCACCATGAGCACCTCGAAGCCTCGGCTGCGAACAACGACCCGCTCAACACATCAAGATCAAACGACTTTGAAATCGAGATGACTACAGCCTTAGTCTCCCACCTCACTCGCCAGGGTGAATACGCCCAAGGAGAAATCGCGGTGATTACGCCTTATCTGGGCCAACTCCACAAACTCCGGCGTCGAATGGAGTCGATGTTTGAGATATGTGTCAATGACCGAGATCTTGAGGACCTTGAAATGCTCGAGGAGGAAATTTCCGGCAGCTCCGTACCGAAGAAACCCACCACAGCCCGAAAGACTACGTTGCTGAAAAGCGTGAGGGTCGCGACTGTGGACAACTTTCAAGGCGAAGAAGCCAAAATCATTGTGATATCCTTGGTCCGAAGCAATCCGCAGAATGTGTGTGGATTTCTCAGCACTTCCAATCGGATCAATGTGCTACTCTCCCGCGCCAAGCATGGCATGTACATCATTGGGGACTCGAACACTTGCCAGCGTGTCCCGATGTGGGCTCAAGTCATGAATATCTTGCAGGATAAAGGCCAGTTCGGCACAAGTTTGGAACTTGTATGCCCCCGGCATCCCAACACCCCAATTCTCGTGTCTGAAGCAGACCATTTCGTCCTATTCTCCCCAGAAAGTGGATGCCAACTGCCATGTGAGAAGAGGCTCGAGTGTGGCCACTCCTGTACGGGGAAGTGCCACTCCAACGTCATCCATAGCGCGGTCAACTGCCTGGAGCCGTGCCCCAGATTAAAGACGGGATGTGACCATTCGTGTCCTCTTCGCTGTGGCGATCTCTGCCATCCAGAGTGCCACGTTCGAATGAAGGACCTTCGCCTAGTCCTTGACTGCGGGCACATCGTCACAACAGCCGAGTGTTGGCAGGCTCAAGACCCATCGCTTATCCGTTGTTCTGTGTCTGTGACTCGATCTGTTCCAGGTTGTGGACACAAGGTCCAAGTGAAATGCTGCGACGATATTACTGGTGCCAACTATAAGTGCGTGGTGGTTTGTGGCCAGAACCTTCCTTGCGGACACTCATGCAAAAGTCCTTGTTTCAAGTGTAATACTCGCGAAGGCGACCAGATCACGAAAGCAAATCACGGCATCTGTAAGCAACCATGCGGACGAGGCTACTCTACTTGCCAGCACAACTGTTCCAAAGCTTGTCACTCGGGCACGGCTTGTTCTCCGTGCGATCAGCCCTGTGAAGTGCGGTGCAGCCATTCAAAATGCGCCAAAGCTTGCAACGAGCCGTGCGTGCCATGTGCCGAGGACAAATGCCAGTCCTGCTGCCCTCACTCTGAGTGCAGCATGCCCTGTGCAGCTCCCTGTGATTGGATACCCTGCTCAAAGCGCTGTGAGCAGTTGTTAAAGTGCGGCCACCAATGTAAGAACAAGTTCGAGAGATTAACACCAGCAAGCATCACATATACTAACTTCATTCACAGGTCCATCGCTTTGTGGCGAGGCATGCCCGGATATCAAATATTGCCAGACATGCGCCTCAGATCAAATCAAGCAATTTTGCGTCGACTTTGTGGAGTTGAAGCTCTATGAGGACATCAACCTGGACGAGGAGCCATGCATCTTTCCTGACTGTGGACATTTCTTGACCATCTCCTCGATGGATGGGATCATGCAAATGTCTGATCACTATGAACTGGACATGGATGGATATCCGGCCAAGCTCTGCGGGCCTTCTGCCCCTTTTACCATGGAAGAGAAAAGTATATCTGTGTGCGCCACTTGTCGCGGTTCACTCAGATCTATATCTAGATATGGACGCATCGTACGCCGGTCAATTCTGGACGAAACGACAAAGAGATTCATCACCTGGTCCAACTCGCAGTATGAAAAACTCACTAAATGCATGCTCATCGAGTTGGGGAAGTTGGAGAATACGCCGAGCGCGGCGACGAAAATATCCACTGTCGCGGACTCGAATAAGGTCCTTACGCCTCAAGGGTCCAGGTTGGGCATACTTCAAGCCCTAGAGACAGCTCTAGGGAACGACAGATATAAACGGATCATCAAGCTTCGACAAAGGCTGAACGTGTACAAGAACAAGGTGGCCAAGGAGGAACAGCCCTTCCATCGAGTCGCCACATATGTCCAATCCGCGAATCGCCGAAACAAAGAGACGAAGGAGTTTCAGTACGATGACTCGGTAATTCAGAATAAGGGCATGTTGCTTGCTGAATCGTTGCTTCTTAAAACTGAAATAACCGCAATCTCCGACTTCATCGGTCTTTGCAAAAGCGGTAAAGCCCATCCTCCAAAGATACGGGTTGACTTCGCAAGCTATTTCAAAGCATGCGACCAGCTTATCGGGCTGGCAGAGAGTTTCAAATATCCAAAAGAACAACTTCAGGGTCATATTTTTTATGCGTGGATATGCGAGTTTGCGAGGTGGTTTTCCGCAAATGGCGATAAGGAGGGGCTGGAAGTCGAATTCAAGGAGAGAGGACTGGACCATATTGGGCTGGCTCGCAAAATTCTAGAAAGTCATCCGTCTACAGCTCCGTTGTTGCAGGAGGTTGAATCGGCCGAGTCCGCACTCATAGGGCATGAATATCGTCAAGTCACCAGTGATGAGCTCAGAGAAGTTTATGTTGCCTTGAGTGGTGAGCTGAGAGGGACAGGTCACTGGTATGTCTGCGAAAACGGACATCCATTCACAATCGGAGAGTGCGGGATGCCAATGGAGCAAGCCAGATGCCCAGAATGTAACGCCCCGATTGGTGGCCAAAACCATCAAGCTGTGGATGGAGTGAGGCATGCTACTGAGATTGAGAATCTCACCAGGGGTGTGGGAAACCTTTGAAAAAAGGTTGACCATTGAGCGACACCTAACGGATGGCATTAAACGTTGAACTGTAGTTTCGAAGACCGCCTTTACTTTAAACGGTTGATACAATATAAGTCACTCATCACGAATTAATAATGACTCATGGGTATGCTTCGTACTGAGTGTTTTCGGGGAAGAGAAAGCAGGAATTCGATGGTTAAATTCAGACAGCTAGGAAGACAAGTTAACCATATTCGGAGTTCAGCAAGAAAACATAACAGCTAAACATTGGAGTTGACATTTTCTTTCGGAGTTGAGCGTTAACAACCAGACAGCCTACGCATGTCAATGTCCCACGGAGAGACATTGAATATTATCTGGACGCGCCATGACGAGCCTATTTGTATTCTAGTATACACTAGCTATAGTGTAGGTTAGAATGAGGATCTTAGTAGGGCTTATCTTACCTGGATTTGCGAGATCATACGGTATACCGTATAACTCTTTATTACCCACTTCCCACCCTTGCTGCCCAGCCAAGTGGCTTATTATTAGTCCAAGTCCGCTTACTTGACACTCGAAATGGAATCTCACTCATCGCGAGCCGCTTACTCTCTCTTTGGTAGCCCTTGAAATTCTCGGAGACTTATTCGGAGACTTTCCTAGAGGCTAACTCGACAAGGGATGTTTCACGAGACATTGAAATATATATTGTTACTGATGCTCTTATTAGCTGTGAAGCATTTCATACCTTAAGCAACTAGTATTGCCAACTTCAACTAGAAACCATGTCTCTCAACTCCTTCGCCCATCTCTACGAAGAGGCCACCATTGTCGAGAGTCGGCCGTCTGTACTAGACATTCTAGACAACTATGCTCCTCAACTCCATTCGGACATGTCTATCCTGGACCTGGCCTGCGGCTCGGGCACGGTGACCAGAGTCATCCACGAGCAATGCTCAGCCAAGAATATCAAGCCGCCCAGGATCGTCGGAGTTGATATTGGCGACATGTTCATCGAGGCTTTCAATGAGAACAAGAAAGCCTACGGCTGGGAGACGGCCCAGGGGTTCGTCGGAGACGCCTCAGACCTGCACATGTGCAAGGACGGCGAGTTCGACCTGGTCATCATGAACTATGGCCTCTTCGCCGTCGCCGACGCGGTGGCAAACAAGGTGACGGCCGAGATTCGCCGCGTCCTCAAGCCCGGCGGCCGGGCATTCTTCACCGTGTGGCGGGACAACTTCATCTCCCGCATGTTCCAAGGGACAAACAGGGCCGTCGGGCGCCCGCAGGAGGAGGTTGACCGCCATGATCTGGGCAAGTGGAGTCTGGCTGAGACGAGCCACGATACGCTCGTTGCAGGCGGTTTCGAGCCGAGCAAGGTCAAGCACTTCCGCCACGACGACACCTTTGGCCTCGCAAATCAGAAGAGCCTGGTCGATCGATTCGACCAGCCGTTTTGGAAGAATGTCGGAACAGCAGCTTGGACAGACGATCAAAAGCCCCGATGGAGAGCCGAGGTCGAGAAGTTGATTCTCAAGGAACAGGAAGAGAGAGGCGGGTTGCAAGCAAATTGCTGGATTTTTGTTGCCGAGAAGTAAGATTGAAGCGACCGACCACTTACAAGACCGTGCTGGACTGCATATGTGGAGGTCCCCTGCTGGCCAAGAAGGCGGAACGGCTCACCTCCGAAGAGTGCAAGTCCCTAGGGCAGCAGTAGGACCAGCAAATGGATATACTATAGTTAACCTTCAATTATGCAGTGTTCCCAATCTTCCAGGCATACGGTCACTCGATAGTTCCTCGAGCTGCCAGAAATCCCAGGCTCGTCTTAGACATGCTGAAAGGTGATGTCTGGCGTGATGTGTTTGTTATATATGCAGCCAGTGAATTGGCTCCTCTCAGATTAGAACTTTGATAAGTTAATATCATTTGCTCTATCTCTTCCAGTAAATCCCCAACATACACGTCCTTAATTCCCATTCGCTTGACCACATTTTTACAGTCTTTATGAGCTTCATAGCCGTAGGCTATGGTGCATGGATCAACAGAGATCTAGATGCAGAAAGCTATACTTTAATATATTACAGGTGAGAGTTCGAGTATAAAGTGAAAACAGTAATGAAACATACTAGGCCCAATATCTGAATATAATAACTGACACAGTTCTTCAATGTTGCATTCTCGTAGAACATAAACAACGCAAGTCGCATAGAGAGGCGAGAAAAAATACGAACATGTTGCTTTGCGCTTACCGATATATTTTCTATCGTTGTCAATGGAGGAATGTGAAATCAATAAGCTTCACATCGGAAATGGAGTCTCGTTTGGAACGCCAAGTTTGCCTCACCTGCTCACCTGATTATTGGCTCCGCGTGCGATGCAGCTGCTACTTTGAGAGCCGGTCCGCTATGCTCCGATCATTCAAACGGGTATCGGAGAGGTGAGCCGCAGGTAAGGCAGGGGGATACAAGGTGGATATCACCTTATGATGTGGAAACCCTGTCAAAATACCCTGGTTTCACGATCAGTTGCGCCACGGACACGATCATGATCCGTGCTGTCGCCAGGCTTCCGATACTTTATGACCCAATAATCATCAGATATGAGTTGTAAATTGTAAAGTAGACCGAAGAATTCAAACTATCTGTCGTTATTCTTAACGGTGAAAGCATGGGCAATGATCACGAAATAGTACATCACGACACTGGCTACATGTTGAGTTGCTAAAATATACGTCAATTCTGTGTATTATCTAGGGCAACTAAGCGTGCTTGCGCGCCTGCGCATATCGTGAATTAAGATTAATGAATACTCTGGTTCTCAGCTTCGTCTGACTCTCTGTTCCGCTACTTAAACAACAAGCACAATGACCAAAGCTAAGACAGAAGCTAATTCAATTCCCCTGCCTAAACGAGCCGCCCCGGCAGCTGTAAGTGGGAGTTGTGTGGCAGTATTATTGAGACTGTGTGAAACATGAGATGGGGTTGCAAAGACAATCGTGGAGGGTAAAGGAGATGATCTAGAAGTGCTATGAAGGGCGGGGGCGCTGGAACTCAAGCCGCTTGCTGTAGGGAGTGGCGACCCTGCCGTAGGCTTGGCGCTCTGAGTATCCTTTGAGTCTGGAAAGTCTGTGGTGCCCGGGGTAGGTGTTGGCGACGCAGACGAGATGAGATGAACCGCGGTAGAGACCGCCAAAGTTTCGGTCACAAGCTTTGTTGAATCCGCCGGACAGTTTTTGACAGTTGGGGCGCAAGATGTAACGGTGCGGGTAGAAGTGGCATAGACCGTGGAAGTAGTATACTGGTCCTCTACATTGCTGGTGAGGACTGGAGAATTATTGGACTGGCTTGCAGTTGTAGGTGCAGAAATGGGGAAAATAGTGGTAGACACTGGTATAGTCTCGGTTGCCAAAACTGTTGAGTCAGCTGGGCAGTCTGTGACAGTTGGGGCACATGACGTGACTGTGTGAATAGACGTAGTAAAGATCGTAGAGGTGGTCAAAATCTCATTTGAGCCACCGGTAGGCGCTGAAAAGTAACTGGACTCTGTTTGTGTCTGTGACGCAGATGCTGGCGCAGATGCTGACGCAGATACAGGACACACAGTTGTCAAAATGGGTACAGTTGCGGTTACCACGACTGTTGAGTCGGCCGGGCAATCTGTTACAGTCGGGGCGCAAGATGTGACTGTATAGATAGAGGCAGAAAAGAGTGTCGACGTAGTTAACTGCTCCTCAGCACCGCTGGAGGAAGGAGTTGTGGATGGTGATGGGGTCTGAATAGTTGTCGGGCTGGATGAAGAAATAGTGTCACTATGTGTTAAACTGGTCGCAGAGTTGTCAACTGGCGTGTTCGTCTCGGTTGCTGTAGATGATCCAGTGTTGGACACAGGTACGCTCGAAGAAGGGGTGGTTTGAGAAACGGCTGCGGTCGGGGTAGTAGAACCAGCTTGGGATTCGGTGGGACTGCTCTCTACCGAACTGGTGGTTTCGGATGTTACAGAAGTGGTAGAAACTGTTAAACCCGTAGTAGAAGAAGCAGAGTTCTCAGATGTCGTCGTAGCTGGTACAGTCGAGGAAGATGACGATGAGCTGACGGCTTCCCCCTTGACTACCTCGATTCCTTGCCAAGTTCCGCTCATGTCGGTATAGGCATACTCCAGGATGCTCTCATCTGGAGCCGAATCACCCCCGGCGTAGTCAGTAACCTTGACGGATTTGAAGTAGGCATCAAAAGGGGCATCATCAAAGTCCGTCAAACCTCCAGCCCACCAGATGAGGCCGTCGGAATTGCTCGATTTACCCCCGACCCAGGTACCGATCTTTACTTGTGAAGGGGTCTGAGGGAAACGCGTGCCGCCCACAGCATCCTCAAAAGCAAGAGTTCGAACAACCTCGCCATCGATGAGCCAGTCAAGCTTTGACGAAGTCCAATCGAAGCCATAGGTGTGGTACGTGGTGTAAGGTTTAGAGACGGCGTGGTCACTGACACAAGTATATGTCGTATTGACGCCTGCCCTTCCAAAACAGTTGGACTGGACTTCCCCATCCGTTCCACCAACCCATTCCCAATCAATTTCATCCAGGTCCGCGGAGAGAAGAACGATGGCTGTGACGATACCCTGGCCAGCGGCAGCTTGGACTTCTACTTCGACGTGACCAAAGAAAATGTATTTATCTGATGCAAAGGTGGGCGCCTGGTCCTCGTTTTCGATCCTGAACAATGCGCCTTTCTCACTATACGTAACATTGGTAAGGGTGTCGAGCTGGGTGAAACCGTCGCACATGCCCGCGGTCAAGTCGCAGTCTATCTGCTTGTTTCCCAAAGCAGGCGCTGCAGGGCATTCTGAAATCCGAGAGTGTTAGATTATATGTTTTCACTGTACAGCCGGTAAAGCGCTTCTATGGCTGGCCGCTACTACATACCTTTCTCTGTGGGATTGCAATCCGTGTATGTCTGAGCCGCTGACAAGATGGCAAGAGTAATCGCCGTAAAGAGTGTTTTGGCAACCATTTTGGCTGGCAGATTTAGGCCTTGCAATAAGGCTCTGATTAACGAGAGTGGTGAAGCAATAAGGGAATGTTACCATTCAAAGAGTGATGCGGATGAAGGAAAACTCCACGAGAACTTGAAAACCAGCCAGCTGCACGCTTAAAAGATAAGCTCCCAAACAGGGTGCGTTCCATGTTACCTAGGTAGTGATAATAACATTGCCCATTAAACCAGTGGATATCCAAAGCTAGCTCGTAGGCGTACGTACGCGTGCCCCTAATCAGGGTCACAACGAACGGGTGGTGCCTCACCTGAGCGACTCCCCTGCCCGAAGTGCACCCCTGCGTATGCTTGTTCTTATGGGACCAGATGCCCGACGGACAATGCGCTCTTCCACTGTCCCAGAATGGCTCAGAGGCCGTTCATCCCTGGTAACATCAGAAGCATAACTGAACGGCTTCATAAAATCACGCAGCTAATATTCAGTCAGAAGCGACGTGAAAAATACTGATAAATGAATTGGGGTGAAGGGCGCCTTCAAGGTGAATGTGCCGCGTACGACTAAAGGGGAGCTTTGAGGTGGAACAGCTTCAGGTGAGACTCCAGAGTCGCATCAGCCTATAGCACCCTATGTTAACTCCCAGCTTCCGGATGTAGGCCTAAAACCAATACGACCGTGAAGGAAATGGCCCTTAGAGCCCCGTTTCAGAGTACATCCCTGTCTCGCATCACCAATATAGTCAAATCCCCGGTCTATCGAAACCAAACTTACTGTGGTTACTAGCATAAGCAGGGTCCAAATTTCCATATGCAGGGTTATTAAAAGCTTGAATCTTTCAAGACTTACTAATTAAGCTCTTCTTGCAACGTGCAAGTACGTAGGTATACAGGAGTAAAATAGCACGTGATAAAAAGCAAGCCTACGACGGAGCACATACTAGGTACTCTGAGCGATGCGTGGACGGTGAGGAAGGTTGAAATCATCGTACACACGATGATAGACTAAAAGGAAATTTCCATTTGAATATTATCTTGTGCCATTTGATTATAGATACCCAACCCAAACGTCTAAATTCAACTTGTCCGGTAAATCATGCTCATAGTCTTATTACTTCCGGCTTCACTCAATAGTCGAGTTGTCATTCCGCAACTCTAGACAAAATCTATAACTTTGAGATGGAAAAAGCATTTCGGAATCTTGCCATATGTCAACGACTTGGCATCAAACTTCCCATCGCCATTCTTAGCACAGTCAACAAGGCTACCGTAATAAGCTTTCCGGTCCTTTAACCCGTTCTTATCCATGGCCTTGTAGATCTTGTCCTCTGCGAAATCAGGGCCGCTCCAGCTGCTATTCATCAAAATCACGCAGTAGTACTTGGAGCCAGCCTTCACCCATTCAAACCCCTGTTCCTTGGGACACTTGTCCTCGGAGTTCCGCCAGACGTACCAGGAAATGTACCACCCGTTGGCGCTGAGGATCTCGTCGACCATCTTGGCCCGCTAGAATAGACGAGGGTCAGCAAGAGTGTTGCTCAAAGAATCACCAATTGACTTGGTCGCGTTTAATTGAAGCCATCTGGCACGAGAAGAGACGATTTAGGGGGAATCAAGAAAGCACAAGAAAACTCTTACCAGATTCGAAACCGCAGCATCCATCATATCTTTCACTAGACCAGCATCGTTATTTTGAAGCCAGAAGCCAGTGTTGAAAAATTGAGCAACCTTGGTCTTGTAGGAGCCCTTGGATTGAATAGGAAGCTTGTCATAGTCATCTCCTTTGCCGCCCCCCATCGCGACAGAGAGCATATCATCAATGTTGGAGCCCATGGAGCGTGAAACCTTGGCCAATGAGGCCTGCAAGTCGCCCTCATCTGCGGTCTCATCACCGGTCATGTCTATCAAGCCGTTAAAGAGTGTGAAGCCAATACTTGCAATGGTACCCTGCGAGGACCAGGTCAATTCAAAGCCAGCAGGAAATCGACGGCGGACATGGGCTCTTGCGATCCATATCAATGGAATGCACTTACCATCCCCGATGCTTTTCCAACCAGTGTCTCGCCAATGCCAAGAGCAGCGGCGATCCACGATGCTTGGGCTTTGGACTCAGGCTTGTCTCCACCGAGCTCTTTGATCAGCGACTTGAGTTCCAGGTCAAGGAAGAGGGTTTCCTCCTTCAGCCTCGATCGCAGCTTAGATAGCTTAGACTGGACTCCGATCACGGCTTTGAAGATCCAAAAGGAGGCTTTATCCAAGGTGGTCGCGTCAGCGTCATCGAATATCGCGGTGCAGTTTTTTGAGCCGTCCGGTCCATCACACGTTGTATCCTCGGTAACACTGCAGCCAGGCAGGTCAGTCGCCTGGCCACCAGTAAAGGATTCGCCGAGCTTCATAAGCCAGCGGTCCTGGCCTATCAACACGACTAGCAGTCAGTCTCCGTCGTGAATTGCCAGCAGTGGGAGCAGGGGCTTCTTGCCTTGGTCTGATATGAACTTGTCTAAAACTGTGCCGATTCCATTGCCCTGCCATACCTTCATCGCTCCATCACTAGTAGCCAAATCTTCATCACCGAATGAGCAAAACATGGCGGCATGGGCGTAACGCATCGATTCCCAGAGGGGAAGATCTACGGCCATGCCGGGAGCCCGTGGCAACACACTGGCCGTTGCAACAAAGGCAAGCCCAGCTATGCGCAGCATGTTGAGCAGGGTGTGTCGAGACATCACATAAAGGAAAGAATAAGATTCTGAGAAGGAAATGGAAAGAAAAGAAAGGGAAAGGATGTACATGCAAAGTGCTTAAGAGAATGGCTTGATGCTTCGTTCATCTTCAAACTTGTTCCTGAGAGAGCATCTGCTCCTTATTATCCTTATATTCCTATACCAAGACACCGAAGGCATTTAGGCAGCCTTAATCTACATGCAACAAGTCGTGTTGGCCCTGCAGCCATCTTGTTCAATTTAGCTCGGCGTCTATTCTGCAGGCGGGTGTAAGCGCGCATCGTCGACTCTCCGCATCCTATCACCACCCTCCTCAATCGACGAAAGCGGACAGTCGGGCAGTGGAGAGACAACAATAGCTCGGCTATTTCCCGATTTTCATCCCTGGTCTGCTTCACCAGCTGGTCCCTATACTTAAACGCCAGTCGACAGCAAACCAATGCCCCATGGAGTCCACTTTGGGTTGCCAAGAGCCGGCCGCCTTCTGTGAATAGACATCGACCTCCATGGACGGAGATTAACAAAACGAGGCGATCAGGCATTGCTCTTCTCAGCATTGCAGTAGAAGGATTCAACTGCATACGAATAAGCATAACAATGCAGACCAGTTTCACTGGTCCCATTATCTGGCCGCTCATATAAGCGCCCACGACGGCTCAGTTGGATGTCCTATTTTGACTGAAAATTGTGAAAGTTGACACCGAGTTGAAAGTAGGGTTTCCCTGTTAAACCTCACGTCCAATATTTGTGCATAATTTTTGATTCCGAGTTTTTTTCCAACCCTATTTACCATTTCTCAGACGGCTGCAACCTCGCAGCTAATTTTTGTCTGCCCTCATTTTCCCCTTTTAACCTCTCTGTTCATTTTCCTTTTCGCGTGAGACATCTCACGCCTTGAGAATCTTGACCAGCTCAGCAACGATGGCATCTCCTGCCTCTACGGTGCCCGTGCTGCCGCCCATATCCTTGGTTCTCAGCCCGGCGTCGATGGCGGCGCGGACGGCGTCCTCGACGAGCTTAGCCTCGTGGGCGAGATTCAGAGAGTACCGGAACATCATGGCCACGGAAAGGATGGTGCCAATGGGATTCTATAAATGATGTCAGCTCTGTACCTGCAGCGAATAAATTGGAACCGCCCGAAACGGGGTCTTAACGTACGACAATCCCCTTCCCCGAGATGTCCGGCGCGGAACCTGTCATCTGCGTTAGCGACTGATGTCTACATGAGGGCTCAAGTGGAGGATGGGATTCTCACCATGAATGGGTTCGTAGATGCCAGACACTGGAGAGCTCGGGATCCCGCACAGACTCGCGCTTGGGAGGAGGCCGATGCTTCCAGCGATGGCGCTGGCCTCGTCGCTGAGGATATCGCCTACAAATTCGTTAGCTCAACCGCCTTCGAGGTGGACGAGGGACCTCGCTCACCTGCCAAGTTGGGCGCAATCATAACGCCATTCAGATGCGTCGGGCTCTTGACCATGATCATGGCGGCGCTGTCGATAAGCTGATGCTCGACCTTCAGATCGGGGAACTCGTTCTTGAAGACCTCATCGACCACCTTACGCCAAAGTCTGCTTGTTGCCAGCACGTTCGCCTTGTCCAGCGAGATGACCCTCGTTTCCCCCCGGGTCCTGGCCAGGTAGCCGCCCATCCGCGCGATACGCTCGATTTCTGGTTTCGTGTAAACGGCAGTGTCGAATGCGTTGTGCCCATCGTACTCTTTTCGCTCTCCAAAATACAGCCCCGAGGTTAACTCGCGGACCAGCATCATGTCGGTGCCGCGGCAGATGGACGCCTTCAGGGGGGAGGACTCGACGAGGGCGTCGGAGGCGAAGAAGCAGGGACGGAGGTTTCCGTAGGCGGCCATCTCACTGCGCAGCTTCAGGAGGCCCTGCTCCGGGCGGACGGTGCCGGTTCCCCATTTGGGGCCACCGATGGCGCCGAGGAGCACGGCGTGGGCGGCTTTGGCGGCGGCGAGGGCTTCGTCTGTGAGGGGGTTGCCGGTCTGGTCGATGGAGCACTGGAGAGAAACGCCGAGGTTAGCAAGAGACTTCTCTCGTGGAATCTCTTTGGGCCCGAGTGATCCGTCGTCAGGGGATAGCTTACGCCTCCGAGCAGGTGGTCCTGCAGATTGAATTTGCCAGCAGTCGGGCTCAGCTCCTCGACCTTCTTGATAACCTGAATCGTGCGTTAGATATGCTCAATTGCACGTCGCAAATACTAGACTCGTACCTTGATTGCCTCAGCAACAACCTGCCAAATAACAAAGTCAGCCTCTCTTGGTCCAGGGCCAGGGGTGGGAAAGCTCCGGGTAGTCAATCACCTCTGGGCCGCAGTGGTCGCCTGCAAAAACAACAATGTTGTGTTCCGCCATGATTGCAATGCTTGTCCAGCGGAGTTCGTTTTGTAGAGGATCGGTCTTGTGTGACGAGGCACGAGAATTGAGTCGGAGTCGAGTTGGGAGATGGGAGATCCGAGGGGTACTGTAGGAAGGGAGATTGGAAATGGAATTGAAGCTTGAAGAATGTGGCCGATAAGATAGAAGGCAGAGCGAAATCGGCGACAGCTTGTGAGGGTTCTAGAACCCCGCACGAGCCGATATCGGAGAGGGAGGAAGCCTCACCCCGCTTCCCCGCTTCAATCTACGGAGATGATTTACAGAACAACAACACACGAAGGCGGGAGAGTGGTGGGTGTCTCTCGTGCCCAAGGCCAGATCGCTGTATATATCTGCCGTCATCCAGAACAACAAGTAGGGCAGCCTGCGGAAGGGATCAGAGAACGTAGCTTTAATAGAAATGCTTCTTAAGGGCTGGAAACACAATGAGAGAGAACACAGCGAGGGCACATGAAGGCAACATAGATCTCTCATTGTGTACCATACAAGACTGCAGCTCATGTTAAGCTTCTGGTCCTGTATTGATTGTATCAAGTTACAGCATGAAACTACAGAATTCAGAGTAATTAATTGGTGCCTGGGTGCTCCGTTTAAGTGATTCTTACAAGCTTGCTCTCCGCGTCCAACAAGAGTTTGCCCATGCTTCAAAGAGAGATATCTAGACCGTACTTAGAGTCGTCATCCTACAATCTCCATCCTATGGTAGCGAAAAGATATGAAGGAAACTTGATCAATCGCCAATGTTGCAGTTAATCTTCACACAATATAAACCTCCAACGAAACAAAACGCTTACATCGGCAAAGTCAACCGCAGTCACAAGTTCATCGTCATCAGTTCGCACACTGGACATTGGACACTTGAGTTGAGAATTTCCGAGTCCTGCCGAGCGACTTAAAACCGATGTGAGGAAATTGGCACCAGTTGTGGTTGTTTTCGCATACCCCATTAAGATGATCCCAAATACGTTGGACAATCTCGTACTATACCCACTTGTTGAATCGCAAAATCAACGGTGTTAAATCGCAATTGAACTAGGCCTTTGTTCTTCAGGAACACGGACACAAAGCACTTCCAACGAGGCCAGAGAAATTTGAGAGTAGACAAAGTCCCATACCTCAGGCTCGTTGTTCTATTGTTCCGTATCTTCAAGCCATTTTGTAGAAGTCTGTCTGCAGATGGACTCCGTGGCAATAAAAGCCCAAGGATCCGACGTGGTTTTTCACCAAGGAGCATTCGAGACCCTCAGTTACTTAGATCTCACATCATCCAATTTGCACTCTTATCTACTCCAGGCTCATCATTTATACAAACGCATCTCGACGTCTCTCGACTCTATTCTGGCTGTTATTCCTGTCATTTCACATTCCATATCACCCCTGATTCCTCAATTACGGTTAAAATGTCCTCCTCCACTCGTGCCAAGTATAACCTCACCGAAGACCCTCAGGCTGTCCCTCAGTTCCTCCTCGATGCCTATGTTTGGAGGTTTCATGTTGAATTCCTTGAGCTAAACTGGGAGGGTATGACGGCCACGGAGACGGAAAAGGCAAAAAATCATGTTATTCTGAAGGTTGACCTCATTCATGAAGTTGAGGGTATCAAAGGGGTACGTCTGGATATGAGAATTGGCGATACCTGCAGCAGTACTGAGTCGGATGATGGCAAAACGAGATATAAGCTTGGTAAGCTTATTGTTCACCCTGTTGATTATGAGAAATCATCTGCTCGTTCGGTCCGTACTTGCAGCATTGAGACCGGTCGAAACTTTAAGTTCGGCGAGATCATCATCGCCCTCACTGCTTCTCGTATCCAGGATTTCCACTTTGTCGATATCGGCGACAGGTATTTTGGGTGTCGGGATTTTATGTTTGTTTCCAACCTCCCACAGAAATTACTGTTCAGTTATGCCTAACAAACTCATAGTATTCAAGCCCTACATCTGCTAAAAGCAGAAGAACTCGTAGGATCGAGGATTATCGAGTCGTTCCCAGACAGTCCCGCAATTGGCAATGACATCTACCGAGTCTTGGGACTACGCTTCACACCTGAGGGGAGCGTCGAATGCCCTATCGACAAGGGATATTTCAGCACTTATCAACGCCAGGAAACCGGCGACATGCCATACGCTAGGTAGGTAATGGCATCTGATTATGTACTGCAAATGGATTCTTCCCTGCCTCAATAATCGAGATTTTACGAATCAAGATACGAACCTTGTAGCTATTGCGCTATTGTGTCGATTACTGCGGGGGGTTTTCTATGTCTTGGGAACATAGTCTGTATTGTATCAACGTTTACTTCATTAGTCGCACTGGATTTTCCATACTGCCCCATCAACACTCATTGTGGCCAAAAGCATGCTGTATCGTTGGCGAGAAAATGAAAGTACGCGCGGCTCATAGTGGAGAGGATGAAATTCAAGCACACGGGCGTCTAAACATTGTCTCCATGTTCACGACCGTGGACATAAATCCAGCCCAAACAGATGGTCCGTGACAGATTAAAGACAATAGATTCAGCTAAGCTTAAGCAATTCGCCTTCGTTACCATCTTTATAGGGTGTGGATTTCTGTGCCAACGCTATTGGCGAATTTAATCCAGCCCTTGACATTAATATTACTTGATGGTTTGGTGAAAACATATTTCAAATGCCCAGTCCGATGTTTCATGATAACGGGTTTCGTGCAATGTGGTGGAGACAAAGGCTTTCACAACATCTACATCTCATCTCCCTTTGCTTCACATTGCAATGTCCTTCCACTCCTTTTCACGACAATCAAAATGCCAAAAGTCAATAGAAGGAATCTTTGTTGAAAATTGGTTAAGAATTTCTCGATCATTTGTTATGCTAATTGTTTCCTCGACGCTTATCATCTTTGAGATCTGGTCCAGCAGCCTCGAACAAGCTAAACCCTTGATGCCAGTGCCCAGTTTTATGCAACAAATGATGTATTCTCAAAATCTCCACGATCCTCGAGTCTGTCTAATACGCTCCGCCAGTCGTATTCTTGGGAATTTGGACCTTGTCCCAAACATCCAGCAGCCAATCGAGACTCACTTGAGCGAGCTGAGACTCAGCTCCAAGCTGGCAGTGCTCACCAGCACCCAACTCGGTTCGGAACAGATTGTACGTGGCGAGGTCTCCCAGAGTCTCATACATGCCTACAGCCTGACCTGGCGCGATGGTGTCGTGCTCGCCCTCGGCGACTAGAACCGGGCTAGTAACGTTTGCTAGAGTGTCTGCCTCCGCGGTGACTTTGCCCAGTCCAGTGAACCACTCAAACGGGCTGGTGGTGTTGAACGCCCATGTTCCCTGAGCAATACCCCATCGGAGATTGGTGGGCATGCTGGAGTTGTTCATGACACTGGTCATCACCCTGTCAAAGACCGTCTTGTTTCCACTCTGAAAGATCTGAGTGAGCTGATCGCCGAGGTTGATTGTCTTCTGCAAGTTCATCAATCCGTCAATGGCAAGCACAGCTGAAAGGCGATGTTCCCGCGAGGCTGCCCTTGGAGCAAGGATTCCGCCGAACGAGAGACCGGCGAGGGCGATCTTCTTCGTGTCAACGTCGTCACGGGTCTCCAGGTAGTCGACAATGGGAGAAACGACATCCCACCAGTTATCGATGAATCCAGCGTTCTGCTGGCGGCGTACAGTTGGCTGCCCGGGACCCTCGTAACTCACGTAGTTCCAGCCTCTTTCAAGGATAGAACGCCCAATGGTATGATACAAAGCTTCTTGATTACCGTCGTATCCTGTGCCAACAATAACTGTTGGGGTCCTCACTGAAGGCTGTCTTCCATGATGGCCATTGGCACTGGCTTGTGGCTGGGCAGGGAAATAGATGATTGGGATAGTAAAGCCATTGGCAGTTAGATTCTTCCTGATGGGTGGGATTGGAAGAAGACTAGTAGCGGCATCGAAATCAGCCAATGCTGAATTCCAAAGGCTGTTGATTCGGGGGTCGCTTTGATTCCCGTGAAGGTAAAAGTCGGCAGCCCGATAATAGCTAGAAGCACGGAAATAGGCTTCCCTGGCAGAGACTGGAAAACGCTTCGAGTTGATTGAGGTGGCCTTTGTATGTAAAGCATCGGCAAGAAACTTGAATTCGGAGTACCAGCTTTCAAAATCCCCAGGAACAATCTGGCTGGCTGCGCGCAAGACTGTGGAAATTAGTGTGAGCGATTGCGGCTCTGTCTTGTGGAAATAAAGAAGTCGGAAGTCTTACCTTCACCAGTGCTTGCTCCTCCAGCATTGCTTAAAGCCAGGTATTCTTCCAGAACGAAAGCAAAGTGAGAATCAGTACTTAATGTGTAGATCGGAGTTGAGCTCAAGCCAAGCTGGTGACGTTAGCCCTCTGTGAATCCCAATTCACTGGTGGAAGACATACTACACCGATCACATAGGCGGCGCCTAGAACATAAAGACTCTTGACAGATCGCATGGTTTCCAACTTTGAAGAGTTATCTTTATTTCTCAATGGTCCATATAAGAGAAGAATGATGACACGAGAGGTATACAGATTATCTTTCTGAACCTGACGGATCAGATCTTTATATCCCTACTTCTGCCCACTTTTCAAATTGGAGTCCAACACCGATAGACCAATGCCCGCGCACTTTTCGGCACTTCAATTCGGCAGATTTCTGCCGCGTCCTGAGTTGAAAGGAATCGTCAGCTTAGAGGCAGAGGTTCCGTCCATCGCAATCCATATCCAGGGCTGGGGCAGTTGTGGAATCGGTTATCTCGGCACACTCGCTCCCCCGTCTTGACTTGTTGAAACAATTCGAATTAACTCTCAAGACCATTGCCCTGATGGCTTTACCCAATCAATTCCCTAGACCTGAGCCCCAGATAACAAAGGGTCCAGCAGGGGCTAGTAGGCCTCGCTTACCATGTTCCCTTGGGTTGATGAGCGACTTCGGGCGAGCTCTGCTTGAAAACACAGTCAGCAGTGGGGACATGCAGGGCAACACGTGGGATTAATCTTGATCATCTCAAGAAGGCTCAAGCTCAAACCCAGGTCGTCAGCTATACCGCAGTCTACGGAGCCCCTCTCCGCATCCTTTGGAGGGTTCTTCCTAATCGAGCTCTAAACCGCGAGGCGGCCCCACCGAGCCCGACATGATGACCGGATATCACGGCTTGTCATAAGTCACCCAAATCCTCACTTCAATAGTTGAGTTGATTTTTTCTCTATTAGAATGGCCTCAAGGTTCAGGACGCGACCCTCCCCTGATGGTTAGTCCCAGAGATGTCTCAAAGTATTTACTGACTGAAGTGTTCCAAGGTCTGTAGATATGGTGGCTCTCCATAGTCAAATTCCGTGGTTAGAATATGTGGGTTAGTAATACATCAAGGTGGTTGGACAACGTAGTCGCCGTCCGACCGTCCGACCGAGATTTTACCTATTTCAGGAGGTAGGACATGTGAAACAATGCACCTGTGTATCTGGTAGCCAAGCCACTTGTGGGTTCTAGAGAGTGTCTCAACCGCAATCCGTGCCCAACGGAGGACAAACTGGATCAGTGTTCATTGGTCTGGCATGCGCCCAGCGAGCGCCATCCCGTATGATCATGAGCCTCATCAGGCTCGTACACTTGAGAAAAGTTTCTCCAATGAACTCACTTACTTTGTATTCAGATACTCTCAGCGATATCGTGAGATGGTCAAAAACAGGAGCACAAGATCATAGATGGACAGTATCAATAAAGAATTATCCCGATTCGCTGCATGGTGCTTTCATGGCCTTTCAGTTTGATCCGTCTAGCCTAGTCAGGCAAGAGAATAATATCTCATTTCTGAAACAATTCTTTCTAATCACAACCACAATTCATCCCTCCATATCCGAACATCCCCTACTCACACGAACTAGCCTCCCTAGCTGGAGCAGGCCGAGAGACATATACGGTATGCCTGTAGAACCCGAGTCTCCGAGCGAAAAGCGACGACTCGAAACTATCAAGCCTCTATTAGAATTTCATTACCAACGAAGCCTCACTTCCAGACCATCCCTGACATCTGAGTTCCTTCTTATGGTCTGTCGCGTCTTCGTCCCCGTCGCAGTAGCAAAAACAGTCGGTTTTGCCATAGTGGGAACTAGCTACGCGACAACTCGGACTGGAAAATGCTGCATGTCAGTTTACCCATGGGTCTTGTTCCAGTTGATCTAAAGGAAGAAAAAAGACGAGTGCTTACGTCAAAAAGCAATCGCCCGAGACGGGAGACCAGAATATTTGGTCGATATGCCTTTTATAAACGTCGTACTCGGCATCAACGTAGTCAATCATCATATGATCCAGCTTGCCTTCCAAAGGGTTGATGTTAATCCCCATCTCAAACTTGTCAGCACGACGATGGAGGGCCTCTTTGTCAGACGAGTGAGGACTGTCTCCAACAGTAGAGTCATCAATTCCTTCTTGCCCGTCGTTTGAATCCCGCTTCGAAGCCGAGGGCTCTGTGGCATTCTCGCCAACCGATGGAAGAAACTCCCTTTTGCTGCCACCGGGCGAAAAGTTTCCGTCCGAAGTCCATTTCCACTTGATGTGGTAGAAGTTGTAAAGAAAATACCAAGCGTAGTTATCAGCTGCAGCGCACAAGTGTGTTCAAATTAGCAATGGCAAGGCAACGTTGCGACATGGACCCAAAATTCTCCATCTTACCGTTCGAAGCCACCACCGGGTTTACGTCCCTGGTCATGTCATGGGCGAATCGGTACGTCCAGTAGTCGCCGTATATTTTGACCTCCCTTCCCTCAAAGATGCCCGACTCATCGGTGACTTGGAATCCGTACATTAGCATAGCGAATTGTTCCATTAAATCGACGGAAAACTATACCGTGAGGGTTTATTCCAAAGAAATCCACATGCATCCATTCATGAAGAATGGTGCGCTCCCACGAATCTAGATAGTTAATCATGTAGTATGAACTGGGTTTACGCATAACCTCGTTCTTGGCGAGCTTGGCAGCTTCTTCCCTGCGGAAGAATTGGGGGCAAAAGACGATTTCGGGCCCTGGGATTCATCAGGTCGGTTAGTTGGGTGGGTTATCTATAGATACAAGGCCCTACTTACAACCAGTCGTTTGTACGGAGGAGAGTGTGAAAGCGGCGCTATTTGCCTGATGAGTAAATGGGAGTAGAGAGGCTGGAAAGGTGGACTCACGGTCCACTCCATTTGATCTGTTTGTTAGGAACATCGCCAGGGGGTTGGTAACAACGGTTCCCTGTTGGATCACTGCAACGATATGTTACTTTTCTCGGGCCGTTCTTCCTCTTTCGCCCGCCCAATACCGGGGCCCATGTGGCTTGGTTGATGTTGTCTAGCCAAAGTTCAGTCAGTACATGCCGGGTAAGGAAGAGAGTCTATCCATTCCACTCACGGAATATAGTGCTGTAATAAGCGTTATTGCTTTCACTCTGAACCAGAAGTCTGTTAGTAACTTTTAGGTGTGCCGTTCAAGTTCGGAACATACTCTCCACTGCTCCAAAGCAGTATAAGAACCTCTGAAATAACGATTAAAAGCCGCCGTCTGCCAAATCTCCATAGATTCCAAGTTCTTATGATGATCAACAGGTGCTGACCCATATGAGGCCATTTCGAAAGCAGCGTAAGTCCCCTCAACGAGGATCTTGAGTTCTTCCTCAGTACAATCGCTATCTAATGCCAAGGTCCAATTGATGCCATTGTAATCCTTGCTGGCCTGAGCTATGATTTCTTCCATTTCTGTAGACGGGCGTTCTATGAATCCAGGAAAGGGACCTGGCGACCCCGGATTTGCCGGAGGGCTGGCTACTATGCAGACATTTTTCCAGAGGGACAGTGCCCCGGTGTCAGGCTCGACAGACACGTAATCGGCACGCTTGTCGCCAGTCATCTGAAACTTCATGTTAGAAGGGCCGCTCACAGTGGTTGGATCAGTACCTAGATTGTGATCGACTTACCTCGGCAATCTTGACGGCGTGTCCTGGTTGAATTCCGTTTGCAAGCACAACGGGACCTTGCCAGAGATCGCCCCCGGCTTCCCAGCCTCTGTGTAGCCAGGCACGGGTGTGGCCTGTGATGCGGTGGACAGAGACGTAGTCCAGCTTGCCATCACCGGTGACATCCGCAAAATGAACTTCTTGCGGTAGAACACCTGGACCGTCAGCGACTTTCCGTGGAGCACCCCAAGTGATGGGAACAGTGCCCATGTTCTTCCACACCACCGTTGCCCCTTGTTCCCCAACATAAACGTAGTCATCGAGACCATCGCCGTCCAAGCTTATGGCGGAACTCTCGTCAGTATGCTTGCTTTCTCGCCGTCTCGGGGGAAGGGTGGGTAGTGGTTCAAACGTACTCGGCAAAGCGCACATTTTCTCCTTTCATCTTCAATCCAAAGCTCGCAAGAGTCTGCACTGGTCCATCAGCAGCAGTGCCACGGCCTACATACTGCCAGCCCCCTGCTTCGCCCGAGTTCTCGTACCACACGGCTTTTCCAGTATCTGGGTCGACGACAATATAGTCGGCACGTTTGCTCTTGGTCAGCACTCCCATACGAAGATTTTCTCGGCGATGCCCGTTTGGCGCTTCCGCGATTTTGCCCAGGTTTTCCCATATATCTCTGCCTTTACCTTTGTTTAGATATCCCCAGCCCTTGCCGTCCTCATTGATCCAGAATTAGTCCTTTACGCCATCTCCGTCCACTGGGAGTCCAGGAATTAGCGTATTCACAAACGAGTAAGATAAGGAAGGAAATGAGGTCCTTACAGTCACAGAGGAATACACCATCTCCTCCTTGGTACTTTCCTCCTGTACCAGTATTTTCCCACAGGGTGACCTGCCCAGTCTTTTCGTCAACAAGCAGGTAGTCCACCTTTCCATCGCCTGTCATATCGACGAGTCGAACTTCGCTTTGTTTAGCACCTTCCGGGCCGTCAGCCACGGCAACTGGTGAGAGCCAGCGCGGCGATCGAAACTTTTCTTGGCGACGATTAACCAAGCCTTTCACCTTGCCTCCAGCCTGGACAATCATGTAATCAGCTCTGCCTTTGCCTGTGAAGTCCCCCAAGATGACTGTGTCTCCTTCTTGAGCTGATTCTCCAGTAGCAATCACACCGTTATCGCCGATCATGTAAAAGTTTGGCATATCCCCTGCTCCAGAGTTTAACCAAGCTTTTGTCTGGCCAGTAGCGCCACTAACGTGGAGCAAATCGTCTCTTCCGTCCCCTGAACCAATTCATACATGGTTAGTAATTCAAGCAGGAAACTTGTTAAACCAGTAAACAAAACGTACCGTCTATATCAACAAATTGGACGGCTGCGGCGGATGCGCCAATGTTGTTGGCAATCTTGCCGATCGAATGCCACAGCCACCCGCCGTTTTGCCTTCCTTTATTTATCCAGCCGTAAAAGTCTCCAGTGTTGGGATCAATCCAAACGTAATCATCACGACCATCGCCGTTCAAACTAGTTGAGTGGTCAGCTACAGAAAGCCACCTGAGGGCTAAAGACGATGAGGGAGGGTAACTGACTCGGCGAATTTGACACCTGAACCATTTCGGCCACTGGCTCCTGTTGCGATTTCTTCTCGCTCGGTCCACTTGGCAGATGGCTCGCCGTCTGATCTTGGAATTCTGAAACTGGCCGTAACTGCTCCGCTCTGTGGACCAACGCAGGCATAGTCCCTTAGGCCATCCCCATCTAGATCAGGAAAGTGAAGCCTACCACGAGGGCAATATCCTTCCGCAATAACACCTATTTTCTTCCAACCCTGTTTGAAATTGCCGTCGTTATAGACTCTAAAGCAGGCTGCAGTTAGTCTATATTTCCAGGTCGTTCATATAAGGTTTCAGAGGTAGAACAGAAAATTTGATTCGAGGAATTCCCTACACTTGAGGTCCCATTGCGATTTTGCGTGACTCGATGAGATCTGGCGTATTCAAACATTTGGTGCCACCCTGATTCGGCGGATCTCGTTCTTTACTCGGCTTCGAGATCAGCTTTTGTGCGTCCGCCTCTTGAATAGCCTTGTACCACTGTTGGGCCATCTTGCGGTAACCTTCATTGTTTGGGTGCAGTTCGTCATTCATGTCGCCTAGCGAGACAGCTTCATTGATCGGAACCAGAACCACGTTTTTCCCGAAATCATTGACAAGTCCAGGTAGGCCCTTGTTGAATGTGTTGATTCGATTATTTATTGATGCCGTGGTAGAAGGAACAATCGTAGCCACAAAGACAACCGCATTGGGGGAGCCTCGTAAAATCAGCGCGATGAGGAATTCAAGATCAGTCAGGGCGATGTCGGCATCATTGTCGTTCTTCATGTTGTTCGTCCCTGCGTGAAGCAGGACAATATTCGCACCTGAGTAGATTCCTTTCAAACCCAGAGTTGTAATTTCACTTATTTTCATTCCGCGGTGTCCTTCGTGGTCGTTGTCAACCATATCTCCCTCGCCAATTACACTCCCAACCATGTCGACCTTGTTCCCACGCTGGGTGAGGAGTTCGTAGAGGACTTTGCGGTATCCATTTATGGGAGAGCTGCCTGACCCGCGGGTGATGGAACTGATATTGCGTTAGAGTTAGAAACACCCACTTATACTATCACGGTAGAATAGTAGAGGAGGTGGAGGAAATGGCCGTCAAGGGAATCTCCACTGAGTCTCTCGGGGCGCAGCACTTACTCTCCGATAAGAAGAACCCTAAGCTCGACGTCATTTGCAATGGGGGCTCCCAAAACCGGTGCACAGAAGAGGTATGCTACAAGAGCGAACATCATGTACGTTGTCCAGGCATTCCAAAGTCGAGTTGCGATACGCCGCAGACCTGGCGTGACTGGCGCCATATTGGCTGTCGTACGTACTATTGCTCAATTCTGATGTAGTGATTGCTTGGTAACTATCCAGATTGCTCAGAGAATTAGGTTGACTTGAGCTCATTCAGCCATTGAGAGCTGAGGATGAGACCTTTTTATAAGACGGTTGCACGCATGAATAACGTTGCGGATGGCAACAACGGGCATATTTCGATACCTTACTAAAATCCCTGTGCCTAAACAATGTGGCAAGTGCCTCATTTTCACTCTCAAAGAGCCAAACACGTACGAGCGGTCGTACATAATGCATCCAATCACATACGTGGTTCATGCGAGATCAGGTCGTCAAGACAAGTCGCAATAGGCGCGGCACAACTGGGTCGCTTAGAACGAGTTGAGAGACCCAGGTCATAAGAGATAAGCCACACTGCCAATTTTAATTACTTCATAGCGACATGGCGCAATGAGCAGTAGAATGCTTGGGACAGGGATTATATTGACCAGAGTTCAATGGATCCGAGCACTCTAGGTTTAAGTCTCACTTTTCTCTTTCCCTTGGCGCTATCCACAACTTCCCAAAGTGCATCCTCATTTCAGAAAGTCCCTCCGCATTCACAAAGTCCCCTAAAGGGAGCGGGGCTGAGATTGATATATTGCTCGCAAGAATTAAATTAGTCACAAAACTCAGCCCGAGTAGTGTGAAACCAAAAGTATAATATACAACCTCGGCCGTATCCGGCGTGCTGCAATAGCTTTTTCAGAAAGGGCTGGGGATGGGGCTGGAGAGCGAGAGACTCGTAGCTCGCGTTTGAAATTCTTTGCCTTCTTTCTTTGCCGTATTCTGGGGGGAACACCCTCGCAAATCCCCTTCTTAAACCTTCAGAGGCGACACGCTCGACTAAATGCTTAGATTAAGCTCTGGTTGTAGATGATTACCTTGCAGCTATCTATTTAGGTAACCTAGCATATATTCAGTCGGGGTTTCGTATTAAGGCCCGCTTGATTAGGCAGGGGTCAACTAGATAGATAAGCCTCGCTTGTTGTATGCAGTAAATTATTATCTTTTTTCCCTTTTTTATACTTTTCTTTTGAAATTTCCCTTTATTAAAAGTCAAGTCTTTCTATAATATTTGCCTTCCTGTAACAAGTTTGCGGGTGTACTTTATATGTAAACCATTTGATCAAATACAACGCTTTACAACAAAATAAACCACATTGTTATAGCTGTTATAGATGACTATTCATCTTGAGGCTTCTAGAAGGTCCTGTTTCTACGCGTGAGCTAAAGCGGGGGTTGTTGCGGTGTTTCACTCCCAATCCAATATTAAAACGTTATCTTCCCGGTGAACCCAATTCTGTGACTGGGGAGCCATGAATGGTGTTCGGAGCGATGTCTTTGGGCCCGCGTCTCTTGCTGTCCATGGTGCGTCTTCTTCTTTCACCTAACCCTGATTAGGATCCATTGGAGCCTACATTGCCATCAATTATCCAAGCACATATCCTTCCCAGAGCGGCCCGATGCGGGTACAAGGATGCATTCGACTTTGCACTTGACACCGGCTAGAGATTGGAGAGAACCATGATATACTCGTCTTTGCGGACTATCGCCGTCCCCAAATGGCTATATCTTGTACGCTTAACCTCGATATATACCAACGGGGTGCGGCCATGTTTGGGCTTCACAGCAAAGTATTCCAGAGACGCGGCGACTTGACTTCCCGATTAACCAACTCTGTAGGCGCTGGTCATCGGTTAATGGTAGAGTATTTTCTTAGCTTAGATGCTTCGCCTAACCAGGACAATCAGAGTCTGTTGAGGGCTGTCAGAAGTGGCGAATCCGACCTTATATGCCTACTTCTCCACCATGCTGTAGACCCTAAACGGTCCTCGCCTGTTGAGGCCGCCCTCATGGTTGCTGTTGAACCGCGTAGCCTGTAATAGCCGGCATACATGGGCCTACTACTTGTGTGGGTGGAAGAGGCGGTGTAAGTGTAGCCAGGCTTGCTTGCGATCTCCTCGTAGGCGGGAAGGGGATGTTTATACTCCTGAGGAGCGGTGTTGAAGATTGATGACTTTTCCGACATGGTGTTCATTTGGGCTGAGGGTTGTGTATCTGGACTGTGGCTGGAGGTTGTAAGTTGTGGTTGTCGTCTGATGCTGAGTGTGCGTTGGTGGAAGATATTGATTGAATTTTCCAAGCAAGTCGGCATTTGAATATTTAAATACTCGCTAGAGACCTGCACAGCCAGCACAGGATCGCCACAGCCCCAGTCGTTGAAGGCATCGTCACCCCATTTGAATTCGAGGTACCGCAAGTCTTAACTGGCCAGCGATTGGCCAGCCCTAAACGAAGGCAGTCAAGCGACTGACATAAAACATGGCACATCTATACACTCCGCGTTGGATTGTAACACAAGATTAAACTAATTAGTTTAGTAATAAATAGAATATTAAGCTAAATATTGCAGAATAGTTTATTACTCTCTTATAATTGTATTTAATAAAAAGCGAGGTCACTCCCTGCCTTTTGTGAAAAGAGCTTTGGTGTGCCATGTTTTATGTCACCCACTTGGCAGTGCAGTGCTGGTGGCCTCTCCACATAAATTGAGGCCGTTCAAGGGTTCAGATCCCAAGAAAAAGTCCAAAGCGGTCTAATTGGCCAGCAAGTTAGGGATTGGGCGAACCAGCCAATCAGGTGTCTCGCTGCTCTATTTGCGGCAGCCGGTCCACTTGTCCACCATCAAATTCTCCAGGGCAGCTTTTCTCCTCCTCCACTCAACTTCCAAGCTCCCATTCAAGTCGCGTGCGTCGGAGTTGGGAAAAGCTTGGACGGCCCATCTGACAATGCGCAGCAGACGGCATCTCCGATCACAAGACGTCATTGAACCTAGATTCAGGATATGGGAGCGAGAAACTAGTTCCACATAATCGCATGCCTCCTCGGCCCTCGACCGTTCAACACTCTCCCCGCCAAGGCGGGATCGATGATAGAGCCCTGTGGGCCCTAGTCGCATCGGCTCCATGGCCAGGCTCATACATATTCCGTTCAGACTCTCTTTTCTACCTCGTTATAAAACCACGCTTTCAGGATGCTCTCCTCTTTGAAGCCTCTTCAACGGTGTGCTTCAGTGGGCTGAGATCTCATATTGCTCGACATCACTAACCAGTCATTCACGCTGTCATGAGTCAGCCCTTTCAGGCACTAGAGGTGTCTTCGCAGACACTGGCAATGCTACGCCAATCTCATCAACCAAGTATATATAGAACATTTGACATGACAACTGATACATACGACCATACCCATTCGAGAACACGCGATCCCGTCCGCTCTCGCCTAGTTAAACGGATGAGGGGCCGATTAGTAGTTGGGTCGGTGACGACCAGCGAATACCGGCTGTTGTATGTTTTTTTTCTTCTTTTTTAATGTTTTCAATGGTTGATACTCTGATTTTGGGGCCGGAGGGTTTTCCTCTATGAATGTTGGTTAGGTGTTGAGTGTGATGAGAAAGTACGAAATCATGGGCCTTGTCACAGGAAGGACACTACTAGGAATTTATGAAATCAAAATCGATAATATAGCTTCTGATCGGCGGCTTTCTAGGCGGCTTTCCAAGAACATGGGCCATTGCTACCAAAGTCTTGCAGTAGGTACTCGGCGGGTCTGACTTGCCGACTATTGAGATACATGAGACATACCATTACAAACGCCAAGCCTCTCTCTCCCATGTGTTGTTCCCCTAGTAACTATCCTGAGCCCCTACAACCTCGAAATTGCATCGGAAAGCGTCGTTAGCTCGATCCAGGTTTGTTGAGCACTCATATCAATAGCCGGAATGTTCTCTGGTGATTCAAAAAGTGTATCTCCCGCAGAGGATCTCCGCTTCTTGAACCCGTGGTGCACCAGCAGATGCCCAGCGCGTTGGCAATTCCCCGTGTCTGCGCGACACGACATTTGAACCTTCTCGGGGCTAGTATCCTCTGACGCGGGCCATATGATACCGGTCCCTACCCACTCAAAGGCGGAGGTGAAGTCGGTCCAAAACTTGTGCCAGTCAGCCGCAGGGCAATGTTTGGTGCTGAAGAGCACATCAAAGTCGCGAAAGGTCCCCGCGTTCATCTTGCGAAAATATCGTAGCAAGTTCAACGAATGGTTTGGTGGTCAAAGCAAAAACTGAAGTTGTGACTGGTCTTGTTCGTGCCCATCCTTCCGGGGCAAGGCCTAACTTATAGCTTTCGTAAATGGCAATCACATATGATTCACCGCAAAACTGATCTCCTTTGAGAATCCCCATTGAGCAAGGTAGAGCAAGCTCTGTTCACCAACGGCCTGGAACTGCATGCAAAGCGCCAGCACATGGGATCGTGAGAAAGGGAGGTTTTCATAATTGGCAATGTGTCACACGAGAACAGCCACCTAACTGTGTCCACCAACGCTTTGCCCTGTCGAGACTGAAAGCTGCAGTTGTCGGCATCTGGCACACTGGGGAAGATGCGGAGTGTTGAAATCGGCATCATGTTTCCTGTTGCCATGCACTTGCCATTCTCAGCAAAAACTCCAAGTAAACAAAGAGAGGTGTATTTGTAGCGTCAAGACGAAACTCACAATGAGATACAAATAATTACTGTGTTCCAGAATGCTCCCTCTTCCCTAGTGTGCTAAAGGCAGCATTCACACAAGACTCTTCCAAGTTCACACATGGTTCGATGTTCGATGGACGTCGGGAACCAGACCTGGTCGAAATAGGATTCATGAATTCTTTAATGTTTGCATACAAACGTAACCGATAGACGCGCGCCTATACATCTATCCCTCAAAAGTGTTTCCAGCAAAAATTCTCAAAATCAAACAGATATCTCGGGCAATCTCTCGATGTGGAATTTTCCTCTCCCAACGCCCACCCTAATTTCTCAACATTAGCTCTCGAAAGAAAGAACAATCACCAGAAGTTACGGCGGGTAACAGAGCAAAACTTACAACGGCACACCAGGGATTTTCCGCAACCTCTGCCTCAATTCCTTATCGTCCGTTCCGACCAGGTAGCAGCGGTTCTGCATGACGGTATCCACGATACACTGATCGGCGTACGTGCCTGAGTGCGCGCACCTGAGTCTCTTCCACCGCTCGTCCTTTGCGAGCCGCAGCGCAAGCCTGTGTTTCTGGCTAGGAAGCTTCTCGAGTTCTGCAATCGTGCATTCTGTGACGACGGGGATGCACTTTGCCAGTAGCAGGTCCATCAGACCGTCTTGGATATCAATTTTACGAGCGAGCGTATGCGAGAAAAAATTGGTATCGAGAATAACATGATACGGGGGACCGAGCTGCTGGTTGGATTGGAAGAAGAGGCCAGAGGGGACTTGAGGGATGTGTCGAACGGTCTCGGCTTCGTCTGCCTTCTTCGCGGGGCCCTTGCCGTTGGGCTTCGTTTGGGCGTTGGGCTTCTTGAGGCGCTCGTCGCGGCGGCCGAGCACGCGCTTCACTTGTGCGAATTTTCTCGTTTTCTTCGCGACACCCATGGTTGCTCACTCGTTGGTTGGAGAGTGGTGATGTTGCTGCCGCCAGAACAAAATTCTGGATAAGGCTGGCGATAAGAAATTTGAGATGGCAGAAATCGAGGCCAGATTTGGTAGGCGGTGGGAGGTTCCCCCCATCACGTGAGCTGCCGTCACAGCTTCTCTTTCCCTCAGACAGATCCAGATTACCCTATACCATGGGTTTTATACGCCAAAGGCCTAGACTCTGCTCCACAGATCCACGGAAAATGGGAGACGGGGCTGGTGACGGAGCTACTTTCCGCCCACTGAAGCTGAGGCTTGGCGATTCTCCACTCTGGCGTCTGACGTGCTATTTTTACATCCTTCAAGCCTCCCGGTTGAACTTTGTAATGAGGCATCATTAGTATCTCCCATTACATTTGCAGAACTATTATCCTTACCGAAATATCTTTTGGTACCTACCTAGGTTCAGATCAACAGATAGTAATACAGTGAATTCTGCAGAAAGTGTGAAGCCAGGTTCCAGTTGAAGCCTCGGGCACTGGGTGAGTCATGATGTTGACAACTTGAGAAGCCTTTCCTGATGCCCACCTACCTGCTGCCTTCGTTATGAGTTAACAAGAATAACCAACCAAAAACTAATTGCTGAAGTACTTATTTTCAACACTGAACTCATTTATAGGCACCCATTTCCTGAACCTGTTATTTAATGCGGGTTGAGGGCTTGAAATTTTGGGTGGGTTAGGGTATAGGGTAGTGTCTCAGGACGCGGTCACGGTACGCTGCAAAATGAGAACATCACAACAACGTGATCGAGTGACGAAGAATCAGAAAAAATGACATAAAAGCCAACCGCAAAGCCAATCGATTTATGCGATACCGGGAAGTGATCGCTTACTGCGAAGGATATCACTTAGCGACGAGAAAGTCAGGTTTTCCGACAATGAGCCATCACCATTGGTTCCAAACCGATTGCTGGTGTTCCCTCACTAAGACGTAGGACCTGCCTGTGTGCGATCAATGAATGTAATAATAGACATGCATATCTCATAAACTACGTACGGGATGGCTGGAGATTTCGGAGCTCGCTGCCCGAGCCCGACACCTGGTCGGACATGAAACATGCTGGCCGTCATGCAAAGGCCCCACCGCGACAAGAAGGAAAGCCATCGACAAGGAGCAAATCAGCATCCAACTTATTAGTAAATGTAGTGCCGTCGATCTTCCAGTCTTGCAGCGTCTGAACTGGCCGATTTGGGGGCGGACCAGCCAACATTAAATCATGTGGCTGAGCTGGATGTCAGCTTACATTGTTTCTGCCATAACACAGCAGCCACGCGTACGAAAAAAGTAAAGACCATAGCCATCATTTGTACTCCGATTGATTCAAATCCACGAGCTTGTTAATATATTTAGCTACCTGGATTTACAGGGTCCGTGCCGTCTCCTGCCGAGCCGGAACAAGGTACCTTCTTGCGGCCTACCTCAAGGAAAGGCATCGTGGGCTAAATTACTAAGGCAATGAATGTTTTATCTCCCCAGAGTCTTATTTACGCCCATCATGACATCGAAATCCCCGAACGGGCACTATGCATAGGGTTGAGCCGCAGGGGAAGGACTCCGAAGGAGAAGGACTTTGTTCCGCCAACAAATCTCCGATGGACGTGGGTGCGTTGTGCTTTTTTTGGGAATGGAGACATGACGAGCGGCGTATAGAAAATTAAATAAGGTTAAATGGGGCCATGCTCCAATATTACCTCAGACCAGGTCCTGATGGGCCGTGGGAGAGGATCTGCCCGCGCGCCTTTTGCCTGGGCTCCTCTTACTAACGCAGCTGCTGGATTCGGTTGGTGGGACTCTGCTGGAGTCATCCCATGGGGGGGATCGATGCCCGTTTGATGGCTGGGAGCTTACGGCAGGCCCTGGGACTGGGACTGGGTATGACACAGGCGGGCTGTGCCGCCGTCTGGTCAAGGTGCCAAGGTGCCAAGCGTCAGTGTCTTGTTTGATCACGGCTTCTTGGGTCTCTTGGCTGGTGTAAAAATAGTTGCGCATCGTCAAGGCTTGGGATATAAAGAGGACGGCGAGAGGCGATGATGGAGGACTATCAGAACCATCATCACAACAACACATCAACACAACAACAACAAACCAACTTCTCTCAAGTTATCTACCCTCGAGAACCATCTCACATATTCCACCTCACACATTCCACCTCACACAAACAACCACCAACCGCCAAAATGGTCCAGCTCGTCCAGTTCTCCATGCTCGCCGCCATCCTCCTCGGCTTCTCCACCGAGGTCTTCGCCAAGCACAGCAAGATGGGCTCCAAGGCCAAGTCCATCGTCGGGAAGAACGACAACTCGGACAAGACCTTTGTCAAGATGTGCGAGACCCTCGTCCACAAGAAGGGCCGCCTCATGCGCACCCGCAAGCAGAAGAAGGCCATGAAGGCCCTGTGCAACGAGGACAAGGACAACGGCAAGGCCTGCAAGAGCAAGAGCGAGATGAAGCGCTACCGCAGCGCCTGCAAGGAGTTCTACAAGAAGGGAACCCTCGACACCAAGAAGATCAAGAAGTCGGACAAGAAGCTCCTCCACGACATTAAGGAGATCAAGGCCTAGGCGCCCTTCCTTGCTGTTGATTTTGAGCATTTTTTTGGGGGGTTTCTGGCGGTTTCTTCTGGGAACATTTGGGATTTTACACGCATTTGCATTGGATAAATTGGAGTTTCTTGATTTTCTTCTTCTTTTCTTCTGTCCTCTTTTCTTCACAACATATTTTAGCATCATTTCAATATACTTCATATTCAAAGAATTTTCCGACTTTAAGACGTATACTTCGTAAAGAACTGCAGTGATTCACCGGTTCTCATCCCCATAAAGCATCGACAAGACATTGAATTACCCCAATCCACGTATTCTCTTCGGAAAGCCCCTGCCCCCATTAACACGGCCTGTTCCCGTGTGCTATCGCTAGCCTCGATGAATCATTTGCAAATGAATAGTTAGCAAGCCTTCATCTCTCCTCATCTCCGCAAGACATTGATCCAGGAAAAGAAATAGAGGGCAGATCCTATGGATCGCGTGCCGGAAAAACAACCTGACTCTCATCATCGTGATCCCAGTACCCTCTCCCCCCACGTGTCCAGATCTTACTGCGCAGCATTTGTGAGGCGGCCATTTCCTCCGGGTGAATCTCCCAATACACCAGAAATGGATCCTCAGGCGCCGCGGGCGACGACGTAACATCATCCCACCTCTCATCGAAAGCCCCCAGCTTCTCGAGCCTCTCCTCGTCCCAGAAGACATATCCCCACCGACGGTAGTGCCGGAACTGGTGTACTGCGACGAGTCCGATGGGGATTCCCTCGCTTAGGTGCACCCTCTCCCACACTCGCCCAGGTCCCGGGTCTGGGTCGGGATAGAACGGCTTGCGGATCAGCTTCGCCTTCACCTCGGGTGGCAGATCGTCAAACACCCCAATGTGGCCGAGATACTGGCGGCCGTCCAGGTCGTCGAACCTATCAATTAGGAAATTCCTCCTTTCAACAGGTCGATCATACCGGGTCTCCCCGAGATGTAGAATCTCCCGGGAATCGTCATAAGACGTCGCCTCGTAGAGTGAATGAAGCGTCTCCAGCCCCCGGCTCATGACTTCCTGGCCCAGCCTTGAGCTCGCCGAGGTGATGAGGCGCACGCCGAGATGGCCCCAGGTGACATCGTGGAGTACTATATCATTGAATTCTGCAACGATTTCCAGTTAGAGGTTGGGCGCTCTGGGGTAAGGGCGGGAAGGGAAGCTGACTGACTTTGGGCGACGAGCGCCATGAGCAGATCATTCAGGCAGCTGAGCTGCTCAATCTCGTACGTGGCGAACTCGGCGTAGCAGGCCAGCCACACGTCCGGGCTTGTCGCGAAGCCCTTGACTTTGCAGACCTCTTCATAGCTGCTTTCGCGATTGAGCAGCTCGCAGAACGTCTGCAAGCGATAGAGCGCGCGCTGGAAACGATTGATCTCCGACGTCGTGGCTGGCGGTGGTGGTGGGGAGGCCGGGGCTGCAGAGTCGCCGTCATTGTCGTTGCCGCCGTATGTTGGCGTTGCGAAGGGTTCTGCCTGCAAAATCTGCTGCGAGAGGGCCTGCGCGAGGTATTGCACGTGGTTGTGGAAGCGCACGGCATCGAGAGCATCACGCAGGGTCCAGGGCACAGGAGGGGCTGGCTTCGGGTAGAGCGTCTCGTCCAGGAACTGGTCGAAACCGGCCGGGTCGTCGGGGGAAAGGCGGGAGGCTGCCACAGCGATGTAGGCGTCGCGCTGGACCGAGGGATGGATGGTGAGCGACAAGACTGCGGTTATGATCTTGGCCGGCCTGGCTGCAAAGGCGGCGTAGAAGGCGGAGCAGGACCGCGACAGGGAGCTGAGCGAGGCGGGATCCGGACACAGGGTGAGGATGTGGTGGATGAGTTCGTGCGGCAGCTGCTGGATAGCCGATCTTGCAGGGACGTAGGCCATTGCGGCTTGGCGACGGCCTGGACGACGCCTGTGCTGATCTGTTGAGGTGTTTGTGTGCGATTGGCATTTTCAGAATGCAACATTATTTATTTGGATGATGCACCTAAATCGCTCCTGCCTGCAGTTTCGGTCATCCGACCATCTGTCTACTTACCCTATAGCTCACTGCGTGGCATTCCACACCACTCGTTCCTTATCATGTTGGATTTCTCGAGGAGTGTTTTTGATGTGAATGAAGAAGGAGAAAAGAGAAAAAAATCAAATTCAAAGGGGTGGTTGAGATGGAAATACAGTAGAAATGATGCTCGTCGGTTGATAATCCTCACTGAGCAAAACGCGAGCCCATGCCTGGGTGGCATAATCACGGCTCACGGATGAGCAGAGTCACGATCGCTAAATCTAATGACTGGTCTTAAAGGTAACTGTGGCGTTACTTAATGGGTGCTCATATAACCTCCAAACAGTCTTCTTTGACCTTGAATCAGTTACATGTAGCACCCGTAGTGACTGCTGCCTCTCTTTGCCCATGTAAAACCCATAAATCAGCCAGACTGGCTGGAACCTTTGAACTTGTATTCTCCCTTCATTCTTCCTCTTCATATACATACACTGCGATTAGGGCCAGCCTCTATCCAAGTTGACAAAACACGTCACATCCGGTGCATTCTGTTACCTGGTTCCCCATCTGGCTTCATCTAGACTTTTGACGCACTGCAAGGATGCCTCCCGAGCTCAAGCAGGCCGAACTTCACCATGGAGGACTGGCCCTGTGGTATTTTGCCGAGTCGCTGGAATGTTGCCAAAAGCACATGAAACAGGCCGAGGCCGTCATGCCGCCCCAGAGGAACGACCACATCGAGCTAAGTCACATGCAAGATGAAATCACCTTCTTGGCCCAGTCTATGGCCAAGGCAAAGAGCGAAGCAGAGCTGAATTCCCTTACGCAAGTCATGCAGAAGGCGTGCGTCGAACAAGCTCGTTTGCAGACTGAGCAGGAGTCCACGCTCGCGAGGCGACAAGTCGGATACCTCAACGCCCAGGAAGAAATCGTCGAGCGCTACATCCGCGAGAGGGAAGCTATTGACAGTAAGCTTTCTGCCCTCATGTGCGACAAGGAGTACGTAGCGGGTCTCATGTGCGTGGGTTCGGAGAAGCCTGGGACCACTGAACAGGGTGTGTGGGGAGATCATGCTGCAGGCTTGCCGGCGAAAGAGACAGGGGTATGCCTCACCTTTACCTGGAGATCAACTGCCTTATTTCAACCCTACTGACAAGTTGATAGCGGAAGCGACTGATGTCTGTGGGTTGTGCCGCGAATGAGCGCAAGAGGCAATGTTCCTCTCAACAGGAGACAAGTTTTTTCCATGATGACAGCGACTCGTCCCAGGAAGAGGACAGGGACGAAAGGGTTCCAGTTTATAGAAATCTCGAAAACACCTTCGAATTTTAAAGAATCCCTCTCTCGTTGGAGGCTTTTGCTTGTCCTCGCTGGAGAATGAGTTTATTAAGCATCTCTTGTATCGTCTTCCCAGCTAGGCCGGCGATTTTAGATCATAAAAATTGGCTCTCGTTGAAATTTAGCGCCGCATCTGCCTCGTGTGTAGATTCAAGTCGGGGGAACGGATACGATAAAAATTGTTGATGCCACCGACAAGAGCCTCCCAATATGGCTTCGGCCTTCAAGGTTTCCTAGATTTATGGTAAAATACTTATCACGTCCTTCTCAGATGTCGATAGATTTGTAGAATGAGTGAGCGCGAGTAATAGGGAGTTCCGATGAAGACCTGCGCCGACTGATTGCCGACATGCATCCATTCGTCAATACATATGTAGTTTCGGAGCTTCTTCGTTAGTCTTCTATGAATAAATGTATTCTTCAAGGAAACCGAGAGCTTTGAATTCTAGAGAATAGTGTACCTCAGTCATCTTGATAGATTTGAATTCTCTATGCAACCACTTTTCAGTATTGTTCTTCCCGGAATCTGTCAAGGTTGTCAAGTAGACAACTTTGGACTCAGCTAAGTTACGATCGACTATCCTGAATACCTTTCGTAGTAGTTGAAGAGGATTTAATCACTCAGTATAAGAAGATGGACGATTTCATCAATTATCATAAATCTCAGATATTAGTTTATAAGCTAATTAAACCTCAGCTCCTATTCTATTCGTAGCAAGAGTACGACACAGCTACGGCTCCTCAGCCCCTATGATTTCATTCACCCCACGCCGAATCTGGACAGATTTTTCGATGGTAGCCCCACCGATGGCAACTACCTTATTTAAATAAATCATCATCGATCAAGGCTTCGAAGCCTGAAAAAGGGGATAGGTGAAGTAGCAGAAGAGGAAGGAGAAGAAGAAAAAGAAATCTAAGAGATTAAAAAGATAATCTCCAAAAACTCGAAGAAAAAGCTAAAAGGTAAAACAAAAGAATTAAAACAAAAAAAATAAAAATAATTTATTACTTAATAACTCTGAGTGGAAGAAAAGATAAGAGATAAAAGTATAGGTAATTAATGAAATACCTAAAATAAGAATAGAAGAAAAGAAAAACTAACTTAGCAGAAAAATCAGATGAACGTGCATAGTAGAATAAAGATGGGAAATAAATAGATAGCAGTAAACCAGGATCTGAAGCAAAGAAAGGGAAAGCTGAATGACACAAAGAAAGAACTACACTCTTACTTGTCTCGTGAAGAACAAAGTCATCCTTTGTGGTTCGCGAGAGAAACGAGACTGCTCCCCTGAGATTTTCAATCTGGGTTGGATTGAGGTTGAAAGGCAGTTCTCAATATGTGAGATATCATGGCGTTTTCCCATACGCTGCCTTGATTGGGGGCCCTTGTGCACAGGGAGCCCTGGGCGCAGCTGGACAGACGGAACTTTGCTGGGGCCTATGAAAAGCCCAAGCGGTCGGGTCTCTTGCTGACACGAGTGCTTCGCCGAGCTGGTTGGGTGTGTCTGGGGTTTGTAGCCTTCGAAACCCTCGCAGCCTTCGCAGCCTTCGCAGCCTTTGCCCTTGCAGCCCTTGCAGCCTTCGCCTCTGCAGCCTTTGCGGCCTGCTTCTTCTCCCTCTCCACCTGGAGTTTCATAGCCTTCTTCTCAGCCTTGGCCTTCTTGGCCTCCTCCTCTTTCTTGGCCTCCTTGGCTTCCTCCTCCTTGGCCTTCTGGGTTTTCTCTGCCTGTCTCCTCTGAACCTCCGGGATTCGTTCACTGCGACGAGGTGCCGGCGCTGGCTGGGAGCCGTTACCACTGGAGCGTTTCCGAGACTTTGTGTTGTGCTCGCTCTGTTCTGAAAAGGACCCCTTTCGCTTTAAGCTCTTGGATGTGGGATTGCCTGACACATCCAACGGCGAGGTGGGCTGTGTGCTCACCACGTCCTGCGGCGGAGCAGGCTGATAGGTGCTATCTTCTGGACCCTCTTGTATGGCGGCAGCGGCAATCTGTTGCGCTGCGTTGGTAGCACCGCCAAGAGATGCTCCTGTGGAGAGGCCCTTTTGTGGTGGCCGCGCGTTTTTCTCAACTGAAGGCAGCTCGAGTTGGATAAATTCTGTAAGTAGCCCTGTGCAGGCTGCCATGGACCTCATCTGATGCAAATCGTGAGGCTGCCAGAAGATTGACCCCTTTGATCGACCCCTGGCTGCGAACCTTTGACAGGTCTCCTTGGCCTGGTCGAGGCCCTTCTGGGCCTTTTGTAGATTGGCCTCCCAGTCTGGGTCATCTCGATCAAGGCTGCGGTCCTCAAAGGTCAAGGTGGCGATGTACAGCTCGTTCTCAGCCAGCATTTCCTCGAGGTGCTCTTTGTGGACGTCTAAGACCCAGAACATATGGCCTAGGTATTCAATCCATGTCGTGACAGGATCTTGGCTCCTGGCATCGATGTTGGGCTTGAAAGTCTTCTGAATCCCATGCTTAGCCAATCGCCGTTCCACGGCGGCACCGTAGTCGTCGAAGCTTTCACAATCCTCTCGCCAATGTTCTTGTAGCTGGGCCCGTAATGTTTGCTCCTGCTTCCATTCCTCTTGCAGAACCGAAGGGCTGCCGCTCCTGATGTCTTCGAGAAACTCGTTGTAGTCTGCCTCTGTTCCCATGAATCTATTCTTGCGCCAGGAATGGATCGCGAATTCCTCAAACCCGCCCGTGTCCTGGAGGCCACGGTTATAACGCTGCCATCTGCGGAAGAATTCCCAGGTGGCCAATTGCTGTTCGAACACATCGCTTGATCTGTCTTTCGGGATCCCCAAGGCAAATCTCCAGCATTGCACGCGGATAAGCAATTCTTCTTTCCCCTTTAGCTCCCTCAGAACACTGACGGGGACAAATGAGTGACCTCCGTCTTCCTCCAGCCGATTGCGGTTTTCCATGTACCACGCGCGTTGCCTTTTCTCGATTTCCTTGTCTTTCGAAAGCCCTTTGCGGCACCAAAGCATCGGGGTTTCGGGCTCTGGCGATGGGCTAACACCAGTGTGCGGTTTCCAGGTGGGAATCTGGCCCTTGTCTGCCACCTCTTGTAGTCGTTCATCGAGCTGACCCAGTAGCCCACCGTGAATGACGATGGACCATTTACTGATGTGCCGCCCGTGTCGTTTCCTGACCGAAGCATGATGGTAAGTCTTTTTGTTGTGAACGACCCAGGGCCAATGTGGGAGTACTCACTTGCAGTCTCGAATTTCCTCCTGAAGCCTATCGACGTGCCTTTGGGGAATGCCATCTGTGCCGCCGCCTGCGGTGATGTCTAGGTCTCCATAATATTCGAAGTACTTGGATATATATCGGTCCATCTCCTCATTAGGCATCCTGAGTAGATCTTGCACGCTTTTCAGCTCCATGGGTGGTGGAGGATCGCGCAATCGGCTGGCGTGGAATGAAGCATCTCGAAGCGGGTTGCCGGGGCCATAGTACCGGTGCATGATGGGCGAGGGGGTAATTGATGCGGATGAAGTCAATTGGGGGGCGTCGTCGACGATGAGGGCTGAGGTTGAAAAATTTGTTGGCATCACAACGCCACGCTCAGCCCCTGCGTAACATCATCTCGTTCTTGTACCACCACCGGCTCGCTCAGGTCAATCCATCCACGAGCCAGATGACGGCTTTTGCTCGATTTTCAAAGCCGTCGGCAGCCATCAGACGGTCTGGAAGGTAGATTTACGCAATTGATTCTATTTTTACCATAGCGTAGACGGTTGATGGCTTTGTTCCTCATGGACAAAGGCACACACAACGCTGAAACGTGTAGCGAGGCCATGGAAGCGGTTGGAAGGCCAGTCTTGTTACACAGCTTTCTTAATAATACAAAGAGGACAAACATTTCTTGCCATGAAGACTAAAATCAAAATCTTCTTTGTTCCACTTCCATTCTCTTCCCTCCACTCCCATCTACTCCCATTCCTCACCTTTCCGCACCTACATGTCATCAATCTCTGCGGATCTACATCTCTGTCTCCGACATCACGGACAATAATCACAGACAATCATCAGACACTCATCACAGACACTAGCCTCCCCCCACCACATAGTCCCCCTTGCATTCTCTACCTTTCAAAGCGGCAGCATGGACGATGACACGATCGCGGTTTTCACCGTGACGAGCCTCTTGCCTCAGTTATCGCAGAAGATGAAGCTGCCGACCAGCCGGTGCTTCGAAATCAAACATGACTCCGTCCCTGATTCACCTAAGGGAATTACCTTCGGGTCATATGCGTATTGTGGCGTCGTGCTCCCCGAATATGACTTGATCAGTCATCTTCATTTCAGTCTCACATTTGACACAGAGGATCGACTCGTCATCATGGACCATTCGACGCATGGGATAGAGGTGAAGTACGGTGAGCAGGGCGCCGGTCTGCGCGATCAAAGACAATGCATTCTCAATGATCCAAAGTTGCCTCCCCAATTCAGGCATATCGAAATTGGCGTGGCCGGCGTCATGACCTTCAAGGTCGACGTCCGCTTGATGATGTCAAGTAAGCCATCGTACAGGCAGGTTGCTGCTCGATTCCGGTATCTCTGCGACAAGAAGAGCAAGGATCTCGCCCAATTCTTCCAGAGGTCAACCTTGCAACAAACCCGTGGTAACCGCGACCTGGACGACATCAGTGACATCTGGCTCCGTTGGCAAGTGCCAAAGGGGACTTCAGCCAGCATCACACGTTGCTGAAACACCGAAAACGGCTCGGAAATGGTTGTCAAGACAGCCCTCGGGGACTACGAGCAAGAAAGGTGGTCTCGACAAGTCAAGTTTATGGAAATTCTCAAAGATGTGCGTCCCATTCCCGGCCTCACGAGTTCATGCTAACAATTCAAAGCACCACCACGTGGTCGATATCCTAAACCATCCGAACACGAGCGAGGCATCTCTGAGGCAGATTGAGATGGAATACCTGAGCGGGGGATCGTTGGATAAGCCGGAAGATCCTCATCTGGTTTCAGAAGTTCTTTCTGAATTTTCAGAAGAGCGTTCTGAATTTTCAGAAGAGTGTTCTGAATTTTCGGAAGAGTGTTCTGAATTTTCGGAAGAGCGTTCTGAATTTTCAAACGAGGAGGCAACATCCATTCTTGCGCAGTGTCTCTCCGTGTTGGTAGAAATGCACGCGCAATCTCCACCAATCTGTCACCGGGACATCAAGCCGAGCAATATCTTGATTAAACAGCGAACCTCATCCGGCATCTGCGTAAAAATTGCAAGTTTTGGTGAGGCAAACACAGAGGGTGAGAAAGACATGGGCGGAGGTGACACTGTCTACGGTCCCCCGGAGTTCTGGGACGAGAAATGTGAACCGTCTCTGGACATTTGGTCACTCGGCCTCACGACACTCAAATTGCTTGACGAGGGCCTTCATGAAGCGTATCTGACTCGTCCGACGGAATTCTCGGCTCGGATGGATCAATCAACAGACAGCCTGGTACAGTTCCTACTGGAACACATGATCCACGAGCCACCCTATCTGAGATCAACAGCAAAAGAATGCTTGGAGAGCCTCCTGAAACTCCAAGCAGACGGCAAGATCAATATCGAGCCGTGCGGGTGCCTCGAGCCCAAAAGCTGCGCCGATGACGTCTCTGAATGCGAGGATGAGGGGGTTAGAACACCGACCATGTCAAATGTGCAGGAGGAATCTTCAAACTCCTCAACACCCACACAGACGAAGCTGGCTGATGGCCAGTCGCATGAGACAAACTCTTCTTCTGCGGAGGGGTCAACGGAAGGCTCAACGACGCCAACGCAGACCCCCGCCTCACCGGCGCACATTTCAACTGGGGGAGAAGCTTCGGAATCAACGGACGAGACTCGCGCCCTCCTGAAGGGAAAAAGAAGGGCTGAGGTACGTGACGAGCTGTCCGACCAAAAACGGCCCAAAATCTAGCAGAAATCATTACCTCAAACCGCTTATGGTTGATCCTGGGACGGGTATTGTTGATCCTGGGACGGGTATTTATGTTATTGATCACATTGCATGGCAGGCATGATAAAAAGCAGGCTGAGGAGTTGTTGCTGATTACCTTGGGCGGATACGTATGTAGAGAAGAATGACTTATTAGCATAGATGGCATACTTGCGAGAATGAAGACCCCGTCGTCGCCGGCGAAAAGACGACGCCTATTTTGGATGATTTTGAATAAAGAAAAGAGCACGACGGCATTGCATAAAGGAGAGAGTGTTGGGGTGATTGATAGCTGTAGACGGACGCAATCCCCGACTCACACATAACCCTACGGCACGCGACGAAATCGTGGACATTTCAAAGATATAGAGCTTTTCACCCTAGCATCCTCTCCACCCAGAGGTATCCTCCACCCGATTCGAACAGGCTTTCGAGCCACGCCTGCATTGCCTTCCCCTACCGTTTTACCATCTGGTCAATCTCATCGATTGAGAGAAGACCAAAGTTCGAGAGCGTTGCACCCTGGAGAATGGTTCCGTCAGCTTAATCTTTCTGAGTGTAAGGAGAAGTAATGCGTACGCATTGAGCAAATATTCCAACTACTAGAGAACCACAAGGCTTGACCGTGATCCAGTTCTCACTATTAGGTCTTGAATTCTCCGGGCCGTAGCCAATGACTCGGTCACGGTTTGTTTCTAACTGAGAAAATTGTCAGTGTCTTAGGTAACATAACGCGAAGGGGCAGTGAGGCCTCTTCTACCTTGATACCCCGGACGTTACCCCAGCTTTTCTCGACCTGCATGCCGATGATTCGCTCCCCGCCAGGCCCATCGATGGAGAAGGGGAGACGACGATCCTCAGAGTAGGCATAGACTCTGTTGCCCGGCATCTTCTCGAATGGTCCGCGATGGCCGAGTAGAATGTTTTTGGAATCATCTGTGTGAATAAACTCGAGACCTGCAAGGGTGAACATGTCGTATGTATGAGCAACAACCTGGATCAATGTCGATGGTGCAGGATTCTCAGCCCCCCCGAAGAAACAGGTGGTGAACGGAAGTGAATACTTAAACCCGCGGGTAGGGTCACACGTAAAGTCATATTTTACATGTGGTGGTGGAACGTCTGGGCTCCAGAAGACAGCATCGCGACATAACGTCTGCCTATCTTGATCAGGTTGTACCTCAAAACTAATCGATACGAGTTTGAGTGTCTGTTTATCTGTGAGCAGATGAATCAAATTTGGCTATCAGGGTAGAATCAGAGGGCACATACATCAAAATCGGCCCGGATCACATATAGATGGTGGGGGGTTGACTGGTGCTGGACTGGTAGTGTGCCCAGCTCACCTACCCACGGCGAATTCCACCCACTTTCAGTCTTCAACGAGATGGCCTTTATGCCTCGCGAGTCCACGCCGAACCACCATTCACGAATTTCCCCAGGCCGAGGCAAGGAGATGGGCTCTTCTGTGGCAGGATGAATGTATCCCAAGCAGTCATCCCCTCCTTGTTCCTTGACGAATCGTAGACCAGAGATGTACCTGTCACCATTTATAGAAATAAAAGATAGCATCAATCGCGAGACCCGAAGAGGGCTTACCCAGGTCACCTGGCGAGATCGTAGAGGTAGACACCCGGAGTAAAATGGCGTTCTTGTTGGAGGACGAACGGCTCGACCTGCAGTGCTCCAATGCTTTTGATCTCCATTTGGAACACCTTCCGGTTCAAAAAAGGTAGCACGGGATTGGCCTTGACATGCAACGCCAGCCATTTGATCAAGTAATGATCGAAGCCTCAGCGCGAGGCTCCAGACGCGGTGTCGGTTTTGAAGGGCCGGGACGGACAGATCGAGCATTCGGAGCATTATGTAAAATGTCCTCCAAGTTTTGGGGTGATTTTCTAATGATTCAAAGACACAGTGAAACTCATGGCCCCTGCCAAATCGAGATGCCCAGAACACTTCCGGAAGATCAAGCGTAGCGAATGTGCGTGACGCTTCCCGAAGATGTTTCACGTCGGTTGATGGTAAGCTGGTGATGATCAAGTGAAGAATCTTTGTCGGTAATAATTGAATATGTCAGGCCTATCTTCTGGCGGGTCCAGGCGTGGTGGGAGGCTTTCAAGTTGGTATATACTCCGCAAAGCTCGTTGAAGACTGGGGATATCGAAGGGGTTAGATCGAAAGATGGCTGCATCTTCGCGACGAGCCATCGTGCCTGGATCATAGCAGTCAATCTCGGGAACGGGGCCCTTGGAATAAAAAGCAGCGCTGTCATAATCATGGCCCCAGTCTACGGTATCTCGGGGGCCGATTGGCATGGAGAGACAGGCATGGAAAAGAAGCTCTAGATCCGGCTGAAACAACCTTGTCAACAGGTTCCAGCAGGCGGAATGGATGCCGAAACCGGTGAACTCAGGAGGCTGTAGACCTGAAATGGATTCAGTCCTCAGGCTAGAACTGCCGAGGCCGATATACACAGTGTCGTCATCGGCTAGGTCTTCATCATCGTGCTTCCTGTCGGAGTCTTCTGGACAAATGGCGGTGAAACTTTCCTCAGATGCGATGCCTACGCCGGACAGCTTGATATCGCTCCAGTTGCGATTATGTGTGTAAACTAAGGGAATTAAGTCGAGATCCTATATGTTAGGTAGGGGGAGGGGCCGGCTTACCAGCTCGAAACTCTCGTAACCACCGCTCCGGAGATTCCCAGCAAATAGAGACACCGCAAAGTGCGCACGTCGATTCCATGGCCGCTAAGTCTGGGTCTAAGGTGAAAGTGAAGGTGTATGAAAGCTATAAAATGGTTCTTGGCATGAGAATCGAGTGAGAGATCAGGGGAGAAAGAGAATGGCGTGTATTGGGGTCCCTCTAATCTGAGTTGTAATGTTGGGGTTTTTTTTAGTCGCAAGTTGTGGACGAGGATTTGTCACTCTCTCTGCAGCCTTGATGCCTAGACCCACCGCACTAGCCCCTTATTGATATCTGCTGTTGTGTTTCTCTGGTACGCAAGACTACCCGTCGACATGAAGATATTGAGGTAAGTTTAGTTTGGGATGGTATATATTATATGTTAGGGTGATGGTGTGTTCAAAGGAGCAACACTGATTCTTATTTCCCAGTACGGACGGTGATTGACTTTGACCTCGTCTCTGTTATCTTCAATAGCACCCCTTCGGCTGCAAGACATAACCACCGGCATTCTGATGTCAGCTCACGGCAGCATCTTAGCCTGCCCAGCAGCCAGTCTCTGTGGATCTGGTCGGTCGTCTCGATGGCAGCAATAAAAACCGGCCATGCAATCCGAACTTGCTGGCGTTTATCAACAATCTTCTCAGAATGGATGAAGAGGAGGTGGGCAAGCTTGGACGCTGCGTTCTGCCGGAAGCCTTCTGCCAACTCGTCATCCCCAGTGACGCGATAATAGTAAAGAATTGTGGCCCAGAAGAAGCTGACGAGTCGTACTACGACCTCCGTGCCGACTCTCCATGGGATTTCATTAGCAACATCGGCTATAATGAACAAATCCGAGTAAAACTATAGTTCTTTCTCAGCAAGAGTAGAGAGCAGGCACAAAATAAAGCAAAGTGTAGTCGGTGACTTACTTCCTGTGAATCAAGTAATCGGTTGAGCCAAGTTGACGGGTGATTTTCGATATCTGAGCAATGTTTGCCGTTTGCTTCCCAGTTCCAGATGTGGAATCTAGCCGACAAGACCTGGAAGCCGAATTCCATTGGCCGCGCAAACGTGGCATCTCTCAATCGTTGCTGAGGCGAATACCGGTGTTTCCACAGGAGCAGATTGGTACGTCGAGCATTGGCGCACAGACGACGGAAGTCGAATAAAGGGCTCTGTGATCCGGTGAGCTCGGTCAAGAGGGACTTGGATGCGCCCGAAATTGTCATTGAAATATCGAGATATCTGGGTGGGTGATCAGCCACGCACCTAGCTTAGACTAAAAAAAGGCTCATGCACTCACATTGACCACACAATTATCTGACAACACATGGAGATATTGGCAGCCTCCCCTTCCTCGTCCGGGTGGTCGTATTTTGCTTCCCGACGAAGGAAGATTGCATTCGAGCAGGCCAAAGCACGAAGACCCTCTAGATGGGTTCTAATACGCTCCGGCGAAGTCGAGTAGTGAATCTCGTAATTGAGCATCAGGAAAATAGACAACAGCAGGATCTCGACTCCTATCTTCGGCCGGATGTCTGCCACTCTTTCCAGGCCCACACGCAAATCCTCCATGGCGAGAGCGTAACGACGCAGACCGGAATCGGCTCCGTTACATTGTAGACCTTGCCTATGCATTTCACTGGCGGAGATGGCGAGAACCATGTTCATGATGATGCTGCTGGACAATGCCAGTTCCTGAGTGATGTAGCGAAGACAGCTGGCGTCTCCGAAATCATACTGGGCGAAAACAGTCGTCGACGAGAAGAACTGCAGGTACTGCTTGTCTTTTGGCTCCAAGATGAGAGAGTTCCTGCATCGAATCTGCGGCTCTGTGACGGTTGGCGCAAGGGCAGGCCGTCGCCGAGAGCCCGCTCGCCTGCCTGCTAGAGCTTCATCCCTGGCATGTCTGGCTCGGTCCTGGAGACACTTGGAACCTGGCTTGGCTACTCGTGGTCTTGGGTTAATACCCTCTGAAACCGGCCAGTCGCAGGAAAAGCGATGCGAAACGCAATTTGAGCAGATCGGGTGAACCTCGTCGCACTTGACCTTGCGCTTTTTGCAGGTCAAACAACCTTTCAGACAGAGATTCGACATTAGCATCTGAGCCCTACCGACGAGGATCACCTTGCTTTGCTGTTGACTTACCGTTTCTGGACCTGGTCCCTGGGCCTGACATGGCGTCTGGAACTTGGCGATCTTGATAGCCACGGAGAAAGGGCGCGTCTTGGCCACTTATTATTTCCGGCGAATTTGATCATTCTGTCACCGGCGAGTTTCCAGCTGATCCGATTGGTGGTCATGCTCTCCATTCTGGTGTAATATTTAATGCGGTAATCTAATCCTTGCTTTACCTCCGCGGACATTCCGTTCACGGCAAAACAAAAGTACATACATACGTAATTGGGAGGAGTGGAGTTGTATCCCCAGTTCACCTTGCTATAGATGAATCAGGTGAATCCGCTCCCTGCGCTCGCTCAAGCCCAATCTCCCGTGAATTGCAGCGTCTTCCCCGACTCAATGTCGTTCAGGAGGCCCTGAATGGTCCATGGCTGGTATTCATACCCAGGCGGGATATTCGTGGCCTTGAATGGCGTCCCCTGAAACAAGTGTGCGACAATGTTGCCGTAGTTGGCATATGCGTACGCCTCGGGATCATGGTTCGCCCACTTGCCTATGTGTGTCTTGTATATGGCCTGGTCGGCTTCGACGGCCGCGAACTTGGTATTGTTCTGGCGTTGGTGATTAATGAACCCCAGCAGCTGGAAACAGGCAGTGCGCTGGAATCTAGACAGGTTCTTGTCAGCGTGGCCCGCGAGTAGTCTCAAGAGGGGAGGGGCTTCTCCTCCACTCACCGAAGCTTGGTGTGAACCTTGGTCGCGAGACTGATGTTGCTCTTACCGCCGATCTGGAGGCAGGTGGCCAAGGAGATGGCGTCCTCCATGGCCTGTGTAGCGCCGTTGCCGGAAGATGGGAGGAACGTGTGGGCGCTGTCTCCCACCTGGATCACACGGCCATGAGGCGACGCCCAGTTCTCCCGCGGGTCGCGCCACATGAGCTCCCAGTCGATGATACCCTCCCTGGGTGTTTTCTTGATCAATCGGGTGGCTATCTCAGGGAATCCTGGTATTTGAGCCGTTATTTCAAGGACCTTGTTGACGTCGATGTGATGACTCCAGGACTCGTAGCCTGTATTGGTCCCCTAGGTTTGCCGTATCAGATGATGGTTTTCACCAGAGTGCAGGAAAGAACGCTCACCTTGTGAGTCATGTGCCAAGCAATGAGATCAGTATATCTCTGGACGCCGAAAGAGATTCCTTCCCTGCGAGTGAACACCGTCAGCGCCAGTCAGTGTCTTATTCTGGCAAAAGCTCAACTCACCCCAGCCACATCTCAACAAGTGGGCGGCAACCATTAATCAAGGGCCATCGTGCCGCAATGTCAGGATCCTCCATAGCTAGCTCGATGGGAAACGCAGTGCGGAGGATGGAGAATCCACTCGGGTAAGCTCGAATATCGTGGCCACTCACGAGATTGTGGCTCTTGGTTCCCACACCATCGGCGGCAATGACAACATCCGCCCTGAGCTTACCGCCATCCTGGAGGACGACACCTGCTTCCTTGGCCTCCTCATCCTCGAAGTAGTCAGTCACGCGGTGGCCATAGCTAACGTCGACGCCGACACTCTTGACTTGGTCTAAAAGGGCGGCGACGAATTTGGGTCGGTTGTGGCGATGCCACTTGACGGTTCTCTCTGTCCCGTCTGGGTGGGTGTATGTGATATCAACAAACGATGGTTCTTCAGGCTCAGAGACACGTTCCCCGGTGATCTTATGGTAAGCAATCAGACCTGTGTAGTTGATCCTGTCGAATTCCTCGGCCAGCTTCGGCCAATGGAGTTGGAAGTGACGAATGACTTGGCTGCCAATCGTGAAGAAGTCCCCTATGTAGAGCATATAGTATTAGTTTCGATATGGAATGCATATGTGTAGCTCCATATCAACCGGAGGGAAAGAGGGCCTACCTTCGGTGCTGGGGGATGGGACCCTCTCAATGACACGAACATCGTGGCCTTTGCGTCTGCATTCAAGTGCCGACATCAGGCCTGCCACTCCGGCACCCACAATGAGGACGGAGAGACCGGTTGGTGGGTGGAACTTGACTTTGTCATCCGGGATGAGCATGTCCGTGTCCTTGAGATCTTTGCGAAGAGACATCTTGAAGGTATGTAATGGGTCTGACTAGTTAAATATAATGTATGTCGGATATATTTGGTTGGCCGGTGTTTGTATTTGGAACGAGTTGAGAGTAATGAGAGTAGCAAAGCGCAGCTTCACCACCACGGTTTATATAGACGACCCTCATAATAGCAACCCTGAATATTCCGATGGCGGAATATCTGACAGGTAAGATATACAAGCAATCTTTCCATATTGAAACGAAGCAATTGGCGAAGAGTTCCGGATAGACGGCGCGGCCAATCGGATGCCGTCTTTCGCGTACGCTAGAGGAAAGAGTAGAGTTCTTATGCGGCGTGAGACAGAGGTAGGAATCCCTGGACTTTTGGCCCTCTGTCCATCCTAGGCTGCTTGATGATTGGCCGAAGAATACGACTGAAATGCTACGTTACCGCTTGAACTGTGCAAGAGGCCGGTTCGCTCTCCATGTCAGCTAAAATAGCCTAGTTCTCTTGGCATCTTGATGGTGCTCACCGTGATATTTGATGTGTGGATGGCGCAGGTTAAAGCTCCACATGGAATATCATCCCTGCACCGTGAGTACGTGGACTGAGCAAATCCACGCAACTCGTCTCAACAGCCATGAAGCTGATTCACTGTGCCAGCGGGCGCATCGAGAGCGACTGGGCAGAGGGCGTGCCCCCTCCGTATGCCATCCTGTCCCATACCTGGGCCCAGCCGCGGGATGGATCCCCCGGCGAGGTCTCCTACCAAGATTACGTGACCGGTCGCAAAGCCTCGCCCTCCCGGAACTGGGCCAAGATAGACAAGGCCATCCAGGTAGCCGTTGAGGACGGGCTGGAGTACATCTGGATAGACAGCTGCTGCATCGACAAGACCAGCAGCGCGGAGCTGAGCGAGGCCATCAACTCCATGTTCCAGTGGTACGCGGCAGCCACCGTCTGCTACGCCCACCTGGAGGGCTACGACAAAGAGGCCAAGGGCAAGCTGGCGAGCTGCAAATGGTTCTACCGCGGGTGGACGCTGCAGGAGCTCATTGCCCCGGCGAGGGTCGAGTTCTACGACAAGGACTGGAAGAACCTTGGATCGCGCCAGAGCCTGAGCGATGCAATTGCCGACATCACCAGTGTGGACAGGGAGATTCTCCTAGCAGACAGCGTAGAGACGACCAGTCGACTTCTCTATCAAACACCGATTGCGAAGAGGTTCTCCTGGGCAAGCAAGCGCGCAACGACCAGGCCGGAGGACCTGGCATATTGCCTGCTGGGGATATTCCAAGTCAACATGCCGCTGCTGTACGGCGAGGGCCGCAGAGCGTTCATCCGGTTGCAGAAGGAGATCATGAAGGACAGCGACGACCTCACCATCTTCGCCTGGCAGGCCCCTCCCGGCTATAAAGAGTCAATGTCCGAGTTCCGCGGCATCCTCGCAAGCTCCGCGGATGAGTTCTCGCTGCCCGCCGAGGTGATGCCCACCCATGCAGCGGGCTTTAACCCAATCTTTGAAGCGACGAACAAGGTGAGCGTCGTGTATGAAGGATAAACAAACCAATACAAGGACTAACTTGGCCCTGTAGGGCTTGAAAATCGATGTGCCTCTCAAGACAACAGCCAATAGCGAGGACATGTGGATGTCGCTGAACTGCCGGTACGGATTCGAGTATGCGACTCTTGGAGTGCTCCTCCGATACCAGGGCGCCAACCGCTACATCCGTTCCAAACCACAGGCCTTGGAGTTTGAGCCGCCTGGAGAATGGACACGCCCAGGGCAGATCTTCATCATCCTGGACACCGCCGTGGCCATCACCACGATCCTGGAGCCGAGTGCTGTCCACCAGAACTCGTTTGCCTTCTCGCTCAACGACTACCGTCTTCAAATGGTCTCAGTCTCCCATCCCAACCGCTGGTATCAACCAAAGAACACCATGAATACCTACGGAGAACCTAATTTCGTTGGCTGCTACTTCTTTCGGACACGAAAGACGTTGGTCCTGTTGGAGACGGACATTGTTCTGGCATTTGGAGTTGGGTCCCGCGGCGAGCCCTGGGCATGTCTTGGGATTGGCAAAGGCCGCAAAGCCAGGGCGGGAATGCAAGGCAAGGTGGAGATGAACACAGACCTGTATGATGCTGCCGTCGAGGAGAAATGGGACAGGGTCCGCCAGCTCGGTATGACGCAGCAGATTCACGGGATCCGGATCTATCATTCGGTGGATGGGGCCGGCAAATGGGGTTTGTTCGCCTCAGTCGCCCCTCTGGAGATGGCTTCTAAAGAAGGAATCTATAACGTGAAGATAGGCTGTGAGCCTTTCAGCGATAGTTCGTTTGCTCCCGGGCTCAAGGGGGCGCTGAAGCCAGTATGATGCGTTCCGGAAGTACTCCTTTCATCCGTCGTGGAATCCGGTGGCTCGAGCTACTGCCACTGAATGTTTCCAGAGAGTATTCATTTCACCATTAACTCCTTGCTCTAGGCTAAGCTGAGTGTATTAATTGCTAAAAGATGGTTTACGAGTTTTGCAATGATTATTCCATGTCATCGCCTCTATTTGAGTGTTGCATAGTGATGAGTTGAAATTGGTCCAGTTACGATTCTTTTTCGTCATTTTGAACGCGGCTTTCCCTTTAACACTCTCACATGGATCTCTGAGTTGAAGAGATGACCCTTGATTGTTTGCCCAAAGTCGTGACCCGTCGGCTGGAGTGGAAACTCCATCAATGATGCCTCTGGATGGCCGGTGTAGGGTAGCACAACTCACAACGGCAATCGTTCAGCTACGTGGCGTATGACCTGGAAGAATCTCGTGAGAATGAATAGAGTGACATTCTGACGTTGAAAAAGTGGCATAACTCGTTTCTTGCTTTATAATCGTCTCGATCTGATCGCCTTCACTTCAGATGTGCGTACAGATTACATGGAGTTACGCCTCAACAAATGGGTCTGCCCCGCTGAAACCTCGCTGGACAGGCGTCCCTTCAGTGCTACGACCACTATAAGTCCAGCGCTCTCTCAGGCTCAACTATTGATTCCACTCCCTTAACAGACTGGAAATCTACCCTTAGATGGCATCGACAGAGATTAAAGCCTCCGTTTCTGAGAAAGAAGACTACGTTGCCATATTTAGATGCCCTCCTGACTGCTTCGCCAGGCAACAGACTGGCGGCTGATATTCCCACTGTCCAAGCTTCCAGTCCCCATCACCACCACCATGGGCCAATTAACGCCTTGGGTCTTTGGAGGGTGCCTCACCCGAATGGCGGCTGCCTTGATGCATGTTTGGTTGCACTGAAATATTGCGCTAATAAGCAGTGAGCCTATTGAAACTGGAGAAGTTCCTCTAGAATTGCTGCGCCTCATCGGTTACATGGTTATCGGACCTTCTCATCGTATGAGCCTCTCTATATAACATACCAGAAGCCCATCCTCATCCGGCTTGCCCCATCGTTCACAAAGTCGTATTATATTCACCTCGCCATTCATCATTGCACATACCACAATAAGTGACCTGAACCGGCACTGACAAGACAACATGCCGCCGCATTCAGGTTGTCGCTATATGGCAGGCGGACGCCCGGCTTATCTCCCTCGTCTCCAGACCGGCCTTCATATTCATCTCATCGACACCGTTTCTCGATCCACTCTCACCCAGACCTTTGTCAATCCACGCAAAGATGAGCCAGTTGACGGGATTGAATACGTATTCCCGCTAGCCGGCGGAGTTTCCGTGGTTGCCTTCACATGCACCCTCGCCGACCGCACCATCCATGGCGTTGTCAAGGAGCGCGAACGGGCCAGGTCGGATTACTTGGCAGCCAAGAGCAAGGGAAAGACTGCTGGTCTCATCCAACAATCTCTCCGTGCGTCAGATGTCTGGACAGCCAGTATCGGGAACATCCCAGCTGGAGAGGCGGTCACCGTTGAAATCACCTATCTCAGCGAGCTGAAGCATGATGCCGAGATCGATGGAGTGCGGCTTACCATTCCAACGTATATTGCGCCGCGATATGGGAACCAAGGAGGTTCCGAAGGCACAGGCTCTGCCGTCAATGAAGAGGGTCTGTGCATTACTTTAGATGCGGAGATGCCTCCTGGATCATCAATAACCACTGTCCAGTCACCTAGCCATCCAATTTCTGTCAACGTTGGGAAAATCTCCACTGATAAAGAGTCACAACCTTCTCTGAACAGAGCCTCTGCTGTTCTCTCGACTCCGTTGGCAGGATTCATAGAGAAGGATTGTGTTTTCGAGGTAATAGCAACTAATCTCGGCGAGCCCGTTGCTTTCTTGGAGACACACGCTTCTATCCCCAACCAGCGTGCCTTGATGGCTACGCTTGTACCGAAATTCGACCTGCCACCCAACAAGCCTGAGATTGTATTCCTCTGTGACCGCAGTGGCAGCATGGGAGGCAAGATCCCTGCTCTTGTTGCCTCGCTCAACATTTTCTTGAAATCATTGCCGCTTGGTGTCAAGTTCAATATTTGCAGCTTCGGAAGCTCGTTCGACTTTCTGTGGCCAAGGTCCTGTTCATATAGCCAAGACACACTCAGCCAGGCGGTTGCTCATGTCCAAGGTTTCAGCGCCAACTATGGCGGCACAGAAATGTATCAGCCGATCAAGGCCGTGTTTGAGCGGCGATATAGGGATATGAGCCTTGCAGTTTTCCTCTTGACGGATGGCATGATATGGGACCAGGAGCGGCTATTTAGCCTCATCAATAAAGAAGTTGGCGAACCCGGTGCAAACGCTCGCATCTTCACCCTCGGGGTCGGATCTGGTGCCAGCACGTCCTTGATAGAAGGGGTTGCCCAAGCGGGAAAAGGTTTCGCGCAGGCTGTCCTGGACTCCGAAAAAATGGACAAGAAAGTCATCAGGATGCTCAAGGGGGCGCTTCTTCCTCACATATCTGATTATAGCCTTGAGATGACGTATCAAGACGCCAGCGCGCCTCCAGATGATGATTTTGTCGTCATTGAGAAAGACATGGAATCACTCAATAGACCAGTCGTGGAGGAGGAAAAGGTGAAACCAGTCATCTCGCTTTACAACAAGAACCTAGAGGGCGAGGATTCGAGCAGTGATGATAGTGGTCCGGCCGCGGTTGACGCCAAGTATGACCATCTGCCACCCATCGATGTCCCCGCCTATATCCAGACCCCGACAGACATTCCTCCCCTTTATCCCTTCAGCAGAACAACAATCTACGTTCTTTTACCGACATCTTCCCCCGGGCGAAAGCCAAAGTCAGTTCTTCTCAAAGCCACATGTTCACACGGTCCCCTGGAAGTTGAAATCCCCATTATTCATCTCCCCGAGCCATCTACTACGATTCACCAGCTGGCCGCCCGCAGAGAGATGAAGGAGCTTGAGGAAGGGCGTGGCTGGCTAGCAAAAGCTAAGAACGCCGAAGGCGAGCTCTTGCGAACCAAACATGACGGGCGGTTCTCCGACATAGTTGAGCGAGAAGCAGTACGCATCGGAATCCGGTTCCAGGTTGCGGGCAAATGGACCTCCTTCGTTGTTGTTGAGGAATCGCCCGATGGAACGAAGCAGCCCGTAGTTACGGATGAGGGCTTCGGTCAATCGCAGCACGCGGAACCAGCTCGGATAAGTACGATGCCTCGGAAATTTCTAGCCCATTCGCAAACCAAAAAGGGCTATGAAATAGGCTATGAAATACTTAACATGGTTGCTGATGATGACGATGAAGGTCTTGAGGACGAGATTGACGATGATCTTGGGGAGCTAGAGGGGCAGGTTAATATGATGAAGATGGTCGGGCGCTCGATCGGGCGCGATGTAGATGCACAGCAGCGCACGATTGACCGGATAACGCAAAAGTCAGATGCGGTAGATGATGCGGTTAGGATGAAGAGGGAGCGTCTTGCTCGGATTGATGGCGGTCCGATTTCGAGGGAGCAGAAAACGCACTCATCCACTCCGCTCCAGACCCTTGTCTCTCTGCAGCAGTTTTCTGGTAACTGGGAGTGGTCTCAAGAACTAAGAACAGTTCTTGGCTTCGATATCAAAGGCACCGCGGAAACATCACTCCTCAAACTTATAGACAATCACACCGATGCTGAGACGATCATAGCGACCGCTTGCGCACTTACGTTCCTGAAGAAGAGATTAGGAGAGGATAAGGAGCTGTGGGATATGCTGGCCGATAAAGCAGAGACCTGGCTACGTGGAAAGGTTGGGGAGAATGTCGAGGAGTTGTTCAAGGCCGCAGAGAAAGCCATGGGGTTCTAGTTTGATTCATATTACTTCTTGTCCATATCATGTTGATATCAAGTTGGTGAACTTCATCTATTCAAATTCCATCACTCAAGTTTACTTCCACTCCTAACTCGGAGCAAAGGTAGCATAATCCAGACCTAGAATGAACCGAATTAGGGCTTGTGGCGTTAATTTGGGTTGCCTATCCTGCTGAGTCGCCACTTCTTGGCATCTGCCTTGTCACGTTTATCGTCCACGGAGAATAGAGTATACTGACCTGGGGTGCTACTCAACGGGAAGGTTACACGGGAAAGGATTTCCTATCCCTGTATTCGCTACTGGGGGGATCTGCTGACCCGAAGCACTGTAGTATACCATGGGGCCATTCCATGGGGAGTAGTGATAATTGTCAATTTTTGCGATATATTCTGGAAGAAGGATTGGGATGACATGTTGAATTACTTGATCTCATGCTGGTGCCCATCAGTTACAAAGAACCGCCGAGTGCCATAGCTTTCTCATTCTCCAAACTTGGGTCTTAGTGGTTCACGATGGAACAGTCTCTTTGGCTTCTAGCCGCCTGCTTGGCGGTAGCTGAGGCACATCCGCAGCGCTCCAGACCAAACACCCGCACCAGCCTGGAAAGGCGCGGCGTGAATATTGGCAAATACTTACTGCCTGACATCAGCACTTACACAGGGGCTACCTCTCTCGCTGATGTCGAGGTGTCCATTCTTGGCTCTAATTATATTGAAACTGCTACAAACCTTGTCAAAAGTGTGTTCACTACCATCGATTTCCGTCTTGTCGATGATCACTATGTGGGAACAGACGGGATGACCCATGTGAACTTCAAACAAACCGTACATGGGATTGATATTGATAACGCCGACTTTCATATCAATGTATGTGACACTGAATCTTGATAAAATGGAATTTCGCTGATAAAGAATCTTCTAGGTTGGAACGGATGGAAATGTCTTCTCGTATGGACACAGTTTCTTCAGCGGCTCACTCCCTCAGGAGCCTCCGCGACAAATGCGGGACACGGATGATGCTGTCCAGGCCTTGAGAGGTGCCATTGATATTCTGGGTCTCCCCATTCAAATAACCCCAGATACCTCCGTCGTTCCGAACTGCGTCGAGTCTACCGTTTACTCGATTATTGGGACTTCGGGTGCTGAACAAGACCCCGAAGCACGTCTCGTATATCTTCAACACGGAAACGAGGTCAAACTCACCTGGCGTGTTGAGACTGACGTGATGGAGAACTGGCTGCTCACCTATGTTGACGCTTCTTCAACGAGCGAGATATTAGGCGTTGTTGATTATGTCTCCGACTTTGCGAGCTATGAAGTCTACCGGTGGGGGGTAAATGACCCCGATGAGGGTTCACGCACGACCGTCAAGGAGCCTTGGCTTCTATCTGCCTCCCCGTTCACGTGGATCAGTGACGGCACCAACAACTATACGACAACGCGTGGAAACAATGGAATTGCTCAGGTAAACCCTTCTGGGGGCTCGTCTTATCTCGACAATTATCGACCCGATTCTCCGGAGCTTAAGTTCGAGTACCCTGATGAGACAGACCCCGTTGAATACAGGAATGCATCAATTACTCAGTTGTTTTACACAGCCAACATGTTCCACGATCTCCTACATTCCCTGGGCTTCACCGAGGCTGCTGGGAATTTCCAGGTTAATAACAATGGGCAAGGCGGCAGGGGGGGCGATCCTGTGATTCTTGATGCGCAAGATGGCTCTGGATCCAATAACGCGTACTTTGCTACTCCACCAGATGGCAGCCCTGGGCGGATGAGGATGCTTATGTATACTTGGTCGCTCCCTGAGCGTGATAGCAGCTTCGAAGCTGGCGTAGTTATTCATGAATACGCCCATGGGCTTTCCAACCGGCCCACAGGCGGTCCAGCCAACTCCAACTGCCTTGGCGGCGAAGAATCAGGCGGCATGGGCGAGGGCTGGTCCGATTTCTTCGCCACTGCCATCCGTCTCAAGTCCAACGACACTCGCGAGACGGACTATTCTATAAGTGCATGGGTCAATAATTGGGCTCTCGGCATCCGCGCATATCCATACTCGACCAGTATGACTACCAACCCGCATGTCTATTCTGACGTTCATGAAGTGGGCGGCGAACCCCATAGCATCGGTGAAATCTGGGCCAGCGTCCTTTATGAGATCTTATGGAACCTGATAGATAAACATGGCAAGAATGATGGGGACTTTCCCGACTTTGATAGCAATGGTGTTCCTACTGATGGCAAGTTCCTTGCTATGAAGCTTGTCTTGGACGCCATGGCTCTGCAGCCCTGCTACCCGGCCTTTATTCAGGCTCGTGAGGCTATCATCGACGCGGATCAGGCTTTGACTGGTGGAGCGAATTATTGCGAACTCTGGGCTGGATTCGCTAAACGTGGGATGGGTCCTGATGCAACTAATTCTACGTATAAGCCTCGCATGGACGATTTCAATCTCCCAGTTGGCTGCTTGGATTGACACTTTGCGGCATCAATTGTTGAGTTTAGAACCAATTGACAATAAGGACAACAAGAACTTTGGATAAGTCTACTTTTTCACTTTTTTACCTTATATACTCTGATGAATACTTAAGGGACCGTGTAACGTATTCTGGTTAGAGCGTGGTATGCAAACGGGATCGGATAACATTTCCCATCAACAACAATGAAGAGAACAATAGCAACACATATTTCCTCCTAATAGAGACAAGAGAAATGGATTTGCAATTACATCCTACACAAGAGAAGATCGCCCGGCAGGCTTAGGCGAGTGCCGAGTCCGAGTATCCGGGAAAATTGTTCGGTAACCTTAACGTGGGACGAGATCGAGCTGAACAGAGACTTGCACGATGGCTTGGACTAGCCAGTTGTTCTAAATGTAGCACTGCCAGCCTAGATAGAGCCCAAACCTTTGTTCAAGGTTCGACGAATCCCTTGCGTGAATGTTCGGCTAGTTGTTCGCTAGTTCCAATCTGTTCATTTGCTGATACAAAGGAATGTCCTCCGGAAATGCCGAATTACAGCACCCTGCCTCGATGGCTTGGCTTACAGTCTGGTCAGAGATATAATAATCACGAACCGTCTTCTTGATTTGCTTATCTCTTCATCGTGTTGAAGAAACGACAGAGTGGCAGGCTTTAGCATCGGCCACTACGTTGATAAAACACAGGCTTCATACTAGTCAAGCCACGATCCTCCTGGCGAGCCGATCCAATTCCATCGAAGATCGACATACAGTAGCATGTGATCTGGACCCGGCCTCCGCGTTGTTGTTCTGGACCTTCGAGGCTGTGCCGATGCTCCACCTACTCGGCTTCAGCCTTACTGGCCTTTCTCTTTGAGGAAGTGTCGGCGTTTAGATTTGGTTTCAACGCGGCGGCGATTGCCGTGAGTGCCTAAATTCCATATTGAGTTTTGAATTCAGCCTTGCGTAGATCTAACGTGAGCACCTGTAACTGCTCTTTAACGGGCGTTGGATCGCTTCAAAATGCAAAGTCATCAATCTGTATTTTCTTGCGGTCCACCGTAATTTTCCATATAAGACTTTCTAATGTCCATGGAACGTCGTAGACCGACTCTCTTCAATCGATTCAGCATCTCGCCTCCGGTATAACTAGTCATGCTGTTTTTGAACATACTGGAGGCGCTTGGCGCTGTACTTGCTTTTGGTATTCCTCATGTAGCAGGACAAACTTCTACAGACCCCTGCGCTGCGGTAGCAACCGCACAAGCCAAAGCCTTTACCACCGTATCCAAAGACGGAGATCTTGCCCTGTCGGCTCCTTTCGATGCGGATACAGCATACAAGTGCGCTCTCTCGGTGCCTTTCAACAAAGACCATGCCCTCCAAATGCTCGACCTTGCGTTGCAATACGCCGGTTTCCAGACCACTCTCGCCTACCTGAAAAACCCACCCCAGTCATACCTCCAGGCTCCCGTTGACGTTATGGGCCGATTCAATCAGATTCGACAGAAGATTAACGGGAATAACTACACGAATCTGTACGCTTTCGACTTGGATATGCTTGCCATCGTGCGTGATACCCACGAGGGGCACTTCTCACTCCCTACCGGCGTTCTGAACCTATTCAGGTGGTCGCTCCCTGACACGCTTGTGTCCTTCTCCAAGGACGGCAAGGAGATTCCACAGGTGTATTCTGCACAGGACGTATTCAGCAATGTATCCAACCCATCGCCGGTGGTGCAGCTTGGAGGACAATCTGTCTTCGAGTATCTAAGAAGCTATGCTTCCAACACAAGCGATTTGGGTCTGGTTGAGCCACATGCCGAGTGGAATGTTATTATGCAAAATTCGGCATTTTCATTTGGCTCGTCGGGTTCAGACAATTTTCAGTCGTATTATCCCGGTTACTTCGAGAGCACCCCCGTTTACAACGGCCCCTCCATCACAGGTTCATTTGCAAACGGCACTCGTTTTGAGTGGAAATACCAGGCAGGCTCCAATCAGCTCCTTGGACAAGGAAACCTGACGAGTGGGCAGGACATATACGACAATTATGTCATGAACCCCGATTTCGGCTCAAATAGAAAGCGAGCCACAGGGCCCTTTGACCCCCGCAAGCTTCCAGGCAGTCCGGTCGTTGTAAGAGACAATTCTGAAGTGAGCGCAACGGCGGTGCCTCTTCCAAACTATCCCACCAACCCGGTAGTCATACAGGCCAACTTTTCTTCTGGCGGCACAGTGTCCGGCTATATCCTCGAATCTGACTCGATCGGTGTGCTTAGTCTGCCCAGCTTTACTGCCCAGGACGGAAAGGCAGACCCTCTGAGCTTCCACGATGCCGTCGGTGGCTTTATCAGCGAAGCCTCATCCAAGGGGGTGAAGAAGGTTGTGATCGATCTCTCTGGAAATGGCGGCGGCAATGTGAATCTCGGCTACGATACTTTCAAGCAATTCTTCCCATCTGGCCAGCCTGGTTCCGCTGTCCGAGCCCGTGTCACCCCGCAGGTGAACACTTATGGATCCATCGTGACAGGAATCGCCAGAGACAACGGCACGTTCTTCGATAGTGATATCAAGGCGAGCTTCGCTGCCATAACTCTTGGCGCTGGCCAGGTCAACGCCGACTACACCCTGAACCAAAACAAATCAGCCTGGAAGTCGTGGGGATCATTCTGTACTCCCCAACCCATTCACGGAGACAACTTCACCAAGTTGGCGACGTACAACCTGACTGACCCCCGTACGACCGCCGATCTCGGATTTCCCATGGCCAACACCAACATCTCGCAAGGGTCTCAGTCTCCGGCCGCGCCCTGGGCGGCAAAGGACATCATTATACTTCTAGATGGGTACTGCGCAAGCACGTGCAACATCTTTGTGGATCTCATGAAGAACGATGCTGGGGTGAAGACTGTTGCCGTGGGTGGTGTCCCTCAGAACAGCCCCATGCAGGGAGTAGCCGGCACTCGTGGAGCGAGCGTGGTGCCATGGTACCGGTACACAGGTCTGTCCGAGCAGATCGGTGGTCTGATCTCAGAAGACCCCAACGATTCCGCAAAGGCGTTCACTGCTTTTGGGCTGAATGCCAGTGACCTCAACGGGCTCCCACCACGAACCGACCAGGCTCCGTGGAACGTCAGGGACGCAGGCATAAATGCTCTGGATATGATCCGGTTTGATAGCCCCCAGGAGCCCCGGCAGTTTGCCTACGAGGCAGCCAACTGCCGACTGTTCTACACACGGGACATGATCCGAGATATCACCCAGGTGTGGCGCGCGGCTGTTAAAGTTGGTGGCGGCGACAGCTCGCAGTGTGTGCCAGGGTCTGTGGATGCGAAAGGATCAGGCGTCAATCAGACAGTGACAACATCTGTTGGGTTTACTGCTGCTGATATTTGGAATAGTGCCAATTCAACTAATGCTACTCAAAACAGTAGCAACAATGACTCGTCTGGCTCGGACCACGGGGTTGGGATGGCTGCTTTGGTGGTTCTTCTATCGCTGATAGTAGCCTTCCTGTCTTAGAAGGAATAGTTCTTTGGTCCGGAACTTTGTATTTTATCATTAATAGTAGGCGTTTGGATACGTTAATAGGCTCTTACATAGGGGCTGCTCATCGATTTGATCGAAACCGAGGAATTTCTTTTCCGCTCTATGGATTTTATGAAATGGGGCAGCTGACAGGTTCTTCTTCATGTACAACAATCTTTCTTGATCCATGAACTTGGCCCCATTTTCTCGGATTGTGATCCATAGACTCCCAGAGTATTATCCCTGCTCATGCGGGGGACAAGAAGGAATCTTGACCCACGAGTACTCCATCATCCCCATTCCCCAACCTCGGCACAATCCTTGTCCACGTGATTCGCGATCCTTCTTCTCTCAAAGGGGATAAATTTCAGCAACATTGCGACCTGTTTGATTCTCTCTTCAAGCCATCTCTCCAAGGAACCTGACGAAAATGCCTATCTCGCTCACAAGCCCGGGTGCGCTCAAGGCGCTATACGCTGGAAACGCGGTATGTTATCGTTACGGCTCTTCATGATGAATACTAGCAGCTTACTGGAATATTCATATAGCTCTGGTTTTCAAGGTAAGTAAAGAGTCAATACAAGTCATTTTGGGGTGCCACTCTGGAGCTCAATTGCTCACGATAATCAGCGCCTTCGTCCACTTCGCTTTCCGGCAGACATTTATCATGACTAAATTGAGTAAGCGCAAGACCAGCGGCAACGAAGTCTTCAAGAGGATGGCGCAAGGGGATGACTGGCACCACGATATCCTGGCATATCTTGGCGCCATGAACACATCACTGGCGGCGCTGGCTATCCTTCGTTTGTACGCCATGCTGCGGCCCACGAGGGTTTTGTCGACAGGAACAGCCCATGGAGACATCCCGTTGGACGTGCTCGCATTGGTCGTGCTCGGCGTCGGTAACGCCTCGCAGGCTTGGATGAACTTCCGCACCGCTTTGACGAGTGATAGATGGATCATGGGCAGAGGATTCGACAGGATTACAGTGTTGGATGCCGTTTTTACTGTCCTTGACTGGGTCGCTGCGTTTGGAAAGGCGAGAATGCTCTAAGATGCTGTGTAATCATGTATTTGGAGAAAGCCTTCGAGGTGTCACGTTTCATCATCCATACCGAAACTGGATACTGGGAGGAGAAATGACTCCTGAGGAGGAAGCGTGGGTTGCAAAGGCGGAATCTTCCAAACTTCCTCCGGATGATCTATGCACGAGAATTAAGGAGCATGTCGAGAAGGGTGTCTGGTCGCCACTGGGATAGTGAATTGATGATATCTCGTCTTTTTTTCTAACCAAGCATGATTATTCTAGGAACCAAGAGCTATTCCTTTACCTTGTTTTATCAGGCTACTGCCCAGGCACTAATTGAGCTCCTCTGTGGTGTTGTGTACCACAGATATACGCACCGTGCTGGGGAACTATAGTGAGGTCTGCAAAATTAAAAACACTCCCCATTTTAGCTCGAATTCAAAAGATGGGAGTTCTCAACGGTGTTTGTTACTTTTGAACTACCAACTCGCCCAACAACAGAGTACGTAGGCTCTAAACAGGAAAACACGTGTCAGGCGGCCTCAACACAATTGGTGCAGTTCATTCTGTTGAGATGTCGGATCTGGCATCTCCCATTGCTGTTTTTATCTTGCACTCGATCTCTGAGTAGCCAAGGAATCGGTGAAACAGCATCGCATCTAGATTTGTGGCAATGCACCCGAGAACAGCCGTGGATAATTCCCCAGAGCTTTCCAGCAGATCCTGGACGCCCTCGCACTTCCACAGGTCGGTTATGATGCAGGCGGTAAAGAGGCTGACAAGCTTTCTCAGCTTCTCGGGAGCTGGGTTGTTGAAACAATAGTGAAGCAGAGCAATGACATCCGGGGCTATCTCTGGGATCTTCTCTAGGTCGCATAAATGAAGGCTCAATTCTTTCCGAAGGGCTTCAAGAGCTAGTTGTTTCAGGGGTGGGACGAGGTATTTATCTGCCAAAACGCACACCCGGGCATGATGGATGAGAAGATCTGAATATGAATTCACGACCACTCGGCTGCTTACTGATTTAGGCTGACGGGGGAGCCATTGCTCTGAATCCCCGAGGGGCAATGCATTGAATTTGATCCAAAGTTCGTCGAGAATACAATACGGCGGTATATCTCTCTCTTCCTCTCTTTGGTCTTCTATCAGCTATATTCTCCGGTTGGGGGTTGTTATATCTTTCACTTACCGAATGTCGACTTCAAGCACATCTTCATCTGCCTTTGAGCTTAAGACAGGAGCAGCATAGCGTCCACTATACAAAAATTGCTACAGACCGAGGAAAGCAGTCGGCTCAACGTCTGTCCAGTCCACGGTCTGTTCTACAGATTCGCGCAGCCCACCATTTACCATGGCGTCGAGGGCTGGCGAGTGGTTCGCGAGAACTGCGGAGTGAACATGATACACCTTCTTCTCTGGGCCTACAATAAAGCGGTAGAGGTCCGAAGACGCCAGGCTGCATAATCAATAACATGTGTTCCTGTCGGGATAAGAGCGTACTTACGCCTCGACAGGTATAGGCTTCATAGCTTCTAGCAGGAAGATCGAAATGTTTATCCTGTTGTTGACGACTGCGCGGTTTTGGGATAAATCTCGGACGCTCGGGAGATATTCTATGAAGAGAATTAGGATAGGCTCTGAAAATGATAACGCGGGAGCAAAAGCCTGAAAACAGAGGAAGTTGAAGCGTGTAAATAGGCGCGGAACTCCTCTACCGCGCTAATGGGTGCTGAAACAGGGTAGTTGTTTGCGTGCAATAAATCTTTGTCTCTACCTTTACATATGCTCTCAGTGACTACCGCGCTCTAATCATTCACAGTTGCAATGAGATGGGGCATAAGCGCAATTGGTCGAAAGACAAAGGGCGGCGTGGTGACCTTGTTACTTAATGAAGGTGAAACCATGATTCAATGTGTTGAGAAGTCGGGTCTGGTTCCATTGCTGTTTTTTACTCTGTACTTGAACTCAAATCCAATGGTAAAACAGTGAATACTAAATTCACGAAAGAGGTGTCCTCCAATTTGCAACGTCCCTCTTCGACCATCGATATTCCAATTCTTGGAAGGTTTAATCGGGTTGTAACATTGTTATACTTATCCATCTCGCAAAAAGATCACGATGGTAATCGAATGTAGCTCTCCCTCTTCAGTCTCATCCCTATTGATCAAGTCGACCCTCTCAAACTTTCTCCATCCCGGCACTACTATATTCCCAGGATCACTTCGATCAAAAGCCTCTACTTCAACTATACGTAGTGAAGTAAAGGATTTGTCCTTGAGAAGTGCACGAGGGACCCCGTCACCACCCCGCCCTTCGGAGGCGCGGATGTGGATTGATTCCAGTCGTGGAGGCAGAACATTTCTCAAGCTGGCTGCCAGTTCATCCTCATCACCACCCGAAAAGTCCTCGAGATCTTCACTGCTCACCTTGAGTTGTCTCAGTGCTCTCAGGTTTTTCAAGGATCCTAGATGGCCGTCCGGCGCGAAGTAGCCTCTGAAACCGCTAGTCTCGAAATCAAACGTCTCGAGGCGCTGCCCATACTTTCTTAACAAAGCTCCCATCTTACCAAAATCGATCTCTTCGCCCTGATAGTCTGAGTCCATCCTGCCAATAACAGCCAAGACAATGTGAAGATTTCGAAGCTGTCTGCACCGGCTGAGAATGTCTTTCAGACCCGCAGCATCAACAATGGAAGATTTCATCTGCAGAGACGTGAGGCTGCTCGGAATATTGCTCCACTGCATCCTCTTGACATCTTCTTTTGCCCAGGTGAAGCCAAAGAGCCGAAGAGTCTCGATTCCAGGATGTAAAAGCACGCCTTCGATCTCTGAAGCGCTATCGAAGCCATTGCCGTAATCGTGCCTGAAGCGTACTTCCTTAAGCTTTGAAAAGGGGTGGCCATGTGGCACAACATGTCTATGCGTAGTTTCTTCGCTCGGCATGATACTTGCGGCCTCGCCATCCCCATCTTTGTTCTCAGAATCAGAGTCGGACTCACCACCATCGTCCTCGTCGCCATCATCATCATCACCAATATCCTCGTCCTCGGAAAGCATCTTTCCAGATGAGGAGTCTTTGGGCAGCATCTTCTCGAAGAAATGATCTTCAACATCCCGCCTTCCGCTAAGATAAGCTCCAATCCCCCCGTCCGCTGTCGTCTGTCCGCAATCGAGCATGCGCAGGTTGGGGGTGAGAATGAGAAGAACAAACAAGAAATCATCATTGGGCCAGTCTCTTCCCGCCGCCAGCCATCGCTGCAGCCATCTATGTTGCCTCTCATCCAGATTCTCAGGTGTGGCTAGAAGTTTGCGGGCAATCTCCGTTGCCTCAAGATTCCAGGCTCTCCAGTGATCCACGTGGAAGTCTCGAATGATGTGCCCGATATGAGGATCATCGCATAACGTGCGCATGAATGCCTCTATTATCTTCTCCTCATACTTGTCCTCGCGCCACTGAAATGCGACTGTGCGGTAGATGAGGGGGCGGGAGACATCGCGAAACCGGCGGCACACTTTCGAGAGCGCGATCAGGTCCTTTGGCGGTGGACATTCAATTTCGGCAATGTAGCCCTGCTCCCAGTTGTCAAAGGGGATTGTGCATTCAAAGTGCTCGAAAATGCGGATAAGGGTCTCTGATGGCAATGTGTCCATATTGGGTGTCCAGGCTTGGTGTTCCGTTTGGATTGTTGATGGTTGATGATTGTGGTTTGTTCACGACAAAGTTCTGGAGCGTGAATTCTGGAGCGTGAATTCTGAAGAACGAACCACCATGCTCAGAGTGGATTCTTCTTGGCGGAGCATGTCCGGATGATGATCCTTGTCCACGCGTACTGATATTCTGCTGACTACATGTATTATGCGAGCTTGTCACAATCAGCATCTCATAATGGTACATGATGGGCCTGAATAACGACTTGTCCAGGCTGAATTGCATAATGAAACCGCTTATGAAATAGGGAGCAAAACAAATGCATCCAATTTGAGTTTTATTTAGTAGGCTCTTACACACGTGGACTGGGCAGTTATGCATCATTCTCACCTAGTTCTTGATCCTATCTTAACAAGACAACTTGGCGAACCCTGATCATGCCTTTGGAACGAGCAAATGACAATGCAAACTAGTCCATGCGTGATGTCCTCATTGACTCAAAATACGAGAGGATAGTCGCGAAGAACTAGTGCAGATGCATGCATGTCTCACAGACTCACCGCTAGCATCATGCGCTGCCTGTACTTCACGCGTAGGCAATGTGTGCAACGACTACTGGCTGATAACAAGGCCATGGGAGCACGGGAAGATTGGTTACTTACAAGCTGTGTGCTATAAATATTGCGTGGCCCATCCTGGCCGCGCTTGACATCCAAGAATGGTGCAGCCAAAGAGACAATCTCTTCCCGCCTCGATTGAACCCGCCAAGCATGGCGACAATGAAAGACCAACGCGATCAAACTCTAGCCGAGCATGGATTTTGCTTGTTCCCAGCTTTAAACACCGCACACGAAAGCAAGGATTCCTGGCACTTGATTACGCTGCCGCCCAGCAACATTGATGCTCGCGCTGACGTTGACCATTCGGCCCTCTTCCGACTCGCGTGGTCCATAATACTAAGGGCATATTCCGGTAAAGATGAGCCGTTGTTCATCTACAATGATCGCACGACGAGGCAGAACGGCGATGGGCTGAAACGGAACACGGTACTACGAGTCGATCTGCCAAATGAGTGCATTTCCCAAAAGCTTCTTGATGGAGTTTCTGAAAAGGTGCTTGCTATTGATTATCAAGGACCCAGAATCTGCAATACTGCCATCAGCTGGGGACGAGGAGAGAGTGATTCGGAGGAGATCATTGGCAAGGTATTTGCGTCAATTACTCCTTCACTTCAACTCGCGACTAACATCCAGTACAGCCAACTTTGAGCATTGCCATTCATGCTTGGGTCGACCAAGGAGACCTCCGGATGCTGTTTCGGTATCGGCTGTCGCTTCTCTCAGACGACCAAGCCATGCAGGTCATGGATTCCTTGATCCATGTCATGAACCAGTTGATTAAGGCCCAACCGATGAATTCCATCGAATTATGCTCCGAAAAGACTTATTCGCAGCTATTGCAATGGTTTACGGGACCAATCGACAACGAACCTCATTTCGTTCATGATCTCATCGTTGAACAATGCCGGAATCGCCCCGAAGAACTCGCTGTCCGTGCTTGGGATGGGAATCTCACTTACCGTGACCTCGATTTCGAGTCCGACAAGGTTGCTCGGAGGTTGGTTGGCGAGGGAGTCGGTCCAGGGACCTATATTGGGCTTTATTTCAGAAAGTCCAAGTGGACGACGGTCAGCGTCTTGGCTATTCTGCGATCAGGGGCGGCGTACGTCTTTCTGGACACTTCATTCCCCAACGATCGTCTCGAGGCAATGTGTCAGCAGGTTGGTATTGGGATTATCTTATGCCCGGAACACTTGATTCACGAAGCGAGGAGGTTGGGCAGAAACGTCCTACCAATTGACGATGGAACTGTCGAGGCATCCCTCCCACAGGATCATATTCACGACATCCAACTAACCACAAAGAGACCACCCATGCCGTCTGATGCAGCCTATGTGAGCTTCTCTTCTGGCTCAACAGGTGAACCAAAAGGGTCCATCGTGCCACACTCATCATACACCTTTGCCCAAAAAAGGTTTACGGAGTATGTTGGATTGACTTCGGCGAGCAAGCTTTTCCAGTTCTCGTCCTACGGTTTTGATCAAGTCAACTACGAGCACCTGTCACCACTCATGGTTGGAGCGTGCATCTGCGTGCCGTCGGAGGAGGATCGAAGGGACAACATTCCCAAAGCTATGAAGCAACTAGGAGCAAATACCCTAGCCTTGACTCCTACGGTCGCGAGGCACCTGAGACCATCAGAGCTTCCCACGCTGGACACTCTCTTACTGCAGGGCGAGCCTTTATCGCAGGATGATATGCATTGGACCCATCACTGCCATGTCATAAACGGCTATGGACCTTCCGAATGCTCTGGGTACACTACAGCACATCATTTTCAACCTGGGGACAAACACCCTGCAGTCATCGGCCGAGGAGTCGGATCTCAATGCTGGGTCGTAGATCCAGGCGACCCTCAGAGATTGATGCCTATCGGGGCCATCGGGGAGCTTTTGATTGAAGGACCAGCCGTTGGAGATGGGTATATTGCGAACGGGACAAAAACGAAGGAGTGTTTCATCGACAGTCCATGTTGGAGATCCAAGTTTCCCGGAAACCCGGCTAGGAAGCTTTACCTGACCGGTGATCTCGTCCAATACGTATCGGGTGGAGAACTGCGTTATCTTGGACGCAAGTTTGGGGAGGCAAAGTTACGCGGGCAGAGATTGGAGCTATCGGAAGTCGAGTACCATGTACGTCAAGTCTTCGGTGAAGATACATCGGTGGTAGCCGAGTTGGTGATTCCAAAAGACAGCCCCAAGGATTCCAAGATCCTAGTCGCCTTCGTCAAGTACCGTCATAGAAGTCAGTCTGCCTCAGATCTGAGCGAGAGCTTGTTTGTCCCTCCATGCCCGAACTTCAGAGTGAAGGCTCAAGCAGCGCTGGCTCAAATACGGGATAGTCTGCCTTCATTCATGGTTCCATCAATCGTTTTAGAGCTTTCAACATTTCCAACTACAAGAACTGGCAAGACAGATCGCGCTCGGTTGAGGAAACAAGCTTCCCTATTGTCCAGAGACGAACTCGAAGATTACATTCGAACTCGAGGCAGAAAGACAGCACCGGCCACAAAGAATGAGCTCATCTTACACGGGCTTGTCAAACAAGTCTTGTGTTTAGGTGAGTTTGGAATGAACGACAACTTCTTTAGCCTAGGGGGCGACTCTATTTTGACCATGGATCTCACAAGATTGTGTCGAGATGCCGGATTCGATCTGCTTTCGCAGACCATATTCGAAACGCCCATCCTCGCTGAAATGGCGAAATCCATAACTCCATGCGCTGTTGAAGACGAGGTTCCAGAGTTTTCATTGCTTCCTCCAAATCTTGTCAAGGAAGAAGCTCTAAAGGCCGCCATGAGTTCTTGCAGGCTGCAATCAAGTGATGAGATTGAAGACATCTATCCGTGTACACCTCTGCAAGAGGGCTTGATGGCTGCTTCACTTTCAGGCAAGCAAGGAAACTACTTGATCTCCGCAACATATTGCCTACCAAAATTCATTGATTTGGGTCGACTTAAGGAAGCTTGGCAAACAGCAGTGAGGAACAGTCAAATCCTGCGCACCAGAATCATTCACACGACGTTTGACCGGCCGCTTCAAGTGGTGACCAGAACGCCCATGGAGTGGGAGCAGTACGACTCTATAGACAAAGCCGTTTCCGCCGCTGCTTCCGAAGACATGACACCTGGCAAGCCTCTGCTCCGGCTGAAGTTGGTCCACAACGGACACACAACGCACCTTATGGTCATCATTCATCATGCAATCTGCGATGGCTGGTCATATACCCAAATGCTCTCGGACGTGGAGCAGGCGTATTACGACGTAGTGACACCACCAATTCCATTCAAGCAGTTCGTGAAATACGTTGAAAGCCTCGATGAAAAAAAAGTCTACGAGTTCTGGAGGACTGAGTTGGACAGCTTTGACGGGTACATCTTCCCAAACCCACCCTCTGAAATTCGGAGAGGCAAACCCAGCAGCAAGAAGACACTCATTCGCTCGACAAACGTTGAAATCCCCAAGGGGTCAAAAGCCACGGTGGCCACAGTTCTAAAGCTTGCCTGGGCACTGACACAGTCACAATACTCCGGCTCCCATGACGTGGTTTTCGGATACGTCGTTTCTGGGAGAAGCGTCCCGGTGATGAATATCGGCAAAATAGCAGGTCCTACATTTTCCTCCATTCCGCTACGTGTCAAGCTTGATCGCGATGCAAAGGTAGTTGATGCGCTTCAGGATCTTCAGACTCACAGTGCACGATGCTTGCCATTCGAGCAAGTTAGGTTGTCACGCATATCGGCGCTGAGCCCCGGAGCAGCCGCGGCCTGCAAGTTTCAGACTCTACTCATTGTCCAACCATGGCAAGCGGACCAGGCGTCCAGTATATTTGGATCTTCGCCGGATCAGTCATATTCAGAAGAGATAGTGGACGACTACATGCTTGTCGTAGAGGTCAAACTTGGCAAAAGCGCTGCCGTTGATATTGAGTTTCAATATGACGTTGAGGCCATGACAACTGAATTTGCCCATGCTGTGATAGATCAATTCCTGCATTCCGTTTCAGAGGTGACGCGAAACGAGGACAAATCATTTAGATCTATGAGCCTGGTTAACCCTACCGACTTGAGGCGAATCTATGCTTGGAACAATCATGTGCCAGAGCCCATAGACTGCTGTGTTCACGACGTGATAGATCGCCACTGTATCTCAGCGTCGGAGAGACCCGCAGTGGTGGCATGGGATGGTGACCTTTCGTACGGGGAGCTCAAGAGCCGTGCAACCAAGATATCTAGACACCTTCAGGAATCAGGTGTTGGACCGGGCACGTATGTGATGATCCAGGCAGGAAAGTCTCTGTGGACTGTAGTCGCTATGATGGCAGTTATGTATTCGGGAGGCTCATTCATCTTGGTTGACCCGGCTCAGCCGATGTCGAGATTACACCAGATACGTGATGATACCAAAGCAAGCCTGGTACTGACCATATCATCTCTGAGCACTGCTGCGGCTGGACTTGGCATTCAGGTTGTGGTCATTGATCAAGAGCAACTCGTACAAGCCCAGACTTCGACGTTTCAAAACGCGGCGGTAGCACCAACGAATATAGTATACGTTGTCTTCACTTCTGGCACGACTGGGCGTCCAAAAGGAGTCCTGGTCTCTCATCGCGCTTTTCTTACAAGTGCAGTCATCAATGGAGGTGCGCAGCACATCGATGAAAAGTCGCGGGTGCTTCAGCTAGCATCTTTCACATTTGATGCTTCCATCGCCGAGATTCTCTACCCTCTAGTCCATGGCGGGTGCATCTGCATTCCATCGGAGCAGGAATGCCGCACCAGCTTGGAGCAGTCAATGAACAAATACGGTGTCGCTTGGGCAACGCTAACCCCGTCACTTGCGAGGACTCTGAACCCATCCAAGCTGACGACATTAAAAGCCCTGGCACTCGGAGGAGAGGCAGTGAAGCAGATCGACGTCGATATGTGGGCTGACAAGGTTTGGCTTGGTAACGGGTACGGTCCAGCAGAAAGCTCAGTTGACGCCGTGGTTCAGCCCAGGATTCGCTCTGGCGACGATCCGTCGGTCATCGGCCGGAGCGTAGCCGGAGTCTCTTGGATAGTAGACCCTGTTGATCATAATATCGTCAAACCAGTGGGCTCCGTCGGCGAGCTTCTCCTGGAAGGGCCAACATTGGCTGAGGGCTATCTGAACGACCCAGAGAAGACGAGTACAGCGTTTGTCGAGTATCCAGACTGGCTTTTGGAACTCCGTGGCGGTAAGCAAGGGCGACTATACAAAACCGGAGACTTGGTTCAGTATAGTCTTCATCTGGACGGGAAAATTCAGTACGTCGGTCGTAAAGATACGCAAGTCAAGCTCAGAGGCCAAAGGATCGAGGTTGGGGAGGTCGAGCACCACCTGCGGGCCACCATCACCGACGCGACAGATGTAATAGCCGAGGTTGTGACACCAAGTGACGCAGACTCCAGGCCAGTACTGGTAGCATTTGTCGTGATGGAAGGCGCCGAATGCTTCAAGGACGACCTCTTCATCCCAGCAGACCCATCCATGCTCCATCGTTTCGGCAAACCCAAGGCGGTGCTCAGAGATATTTTGCCGGAATACATGGTTCCAAGCCTTTTCATTCCGCTAGCAAGGGTTCCTCTAACCTCCAACGGAAAGATAGATCGACGACTTCTACGGTCTGAGGTGTCAAGGCGCTCACGAAGGGAGTTATTCGCTTACGAAACCGCCGATACAGTCAAGAAACAACCGCAAACAGCCGGGGAAATCTTGTTGCAGAAGATTGTGGCTTTTATTTTGAAGGTAGAGACATCGGAAGTTGGCATGAATGATTATTTCTCTCAACTCGGAGCTGATTCCATCGCTGCCATGCAACTTGTTTGGCTTATCCAGGAAAATGGATTTTCGCTACACATGAAAGACGTTCTTGGCAGACAGAACTTGCAAAGCCTTGCTGCTTGCATCTCCGAGTAAATTCTTTGTAGACTTTTCAGTAAAAAACGCGGCTAAGACGATAGATTTTGTCAGCTGTTTGGAGGCTGGTTGGCATAGCCCTAGAGGCTCAATGAGCCAGACAAAAGAAATCGAGAAAGCCTTCCCCCCCTCATCTTACCTCTCTTGACACTAACGTGTGTGAGCTTGTACTGCCTAATACTACTATGCCACATCAGTGGGCTCTCGTTTCAGTTGATGCCGATGCCGCTCTATCGCCGTCCTGCATGACTAGAAGATATGGGTCGTGACTCAATGCCAATTTTCCTATTGGATCACACGAACGAATCGCCAATGAGGGCGAAGAGTAGATGCCATTCCCTACACGGAAATGGAACCAAGGTTGCAATGCCGAACACCACTGATCTTCCACGTACGAGATGACCCGCCTTTCCTCCTCTCATGCATTGCTGGATCAACGGCCAGTAAACGTGGCGCTACGCCATGTTATGGGTTATTAGCAAAAGAAGAGGCCATCAGGGGGACTGCTCATCGCTGAAAACCACGGCCATTAAATGAAACGAGTTTCGATCACCCAATCGGCTGTTTTAGTTTGAACTTTGTCAAGGAAGCGGCACAGCAACACGTTTGGAGGAGTGAGAAGCTCCGCTAGAATGCATTTAGTTTCATCGTGGAGACTTTGGGGTTACATGGTGGATTTCCTGGTTGAACATCGTCCTGAAACACCAAGAGTGAGTGAGCACATTGTCCCTGATGCGTTGGCCTTCACATTACTATGCGTGACCCTCGACACGTATCATCGACCCCTAGGCAGAGATTCTTCGTAAAGTTTATTGGGGCTCAGTTGAAGTTTACATTATCAGAAATCATAAGTCTCCCTTCTTCGTATATTCATAATCTAGATCTGGCGCGTGCAATTGTTCCCCAATATGTTAGACAACAAACAGAACGATACCTTTACTCTCGGCTTCTGCGTACACAATCTTGTCGAACATGCTGCTATCAGGTTCTACGATAAAATTGCCTTGATTTGTGCAAACAAGTCCCTCACATTCGGTGCTCTCAACTGCCTCTCGAACCAGCTCGCACTGTCCTTGATAGATTGGGGCATTGGCCGCGGCAAGATTATCGCCGTCGCCCTAGAAAGATCACCCAGACTTGTTGTAGCCTTATTAGCGGTGCTCAAGACGGGTGCTGCCTATCTCCCTTTGGACCCTGTATTTCCAAATGAGCGCCTCAGTCACATGTTGAACGACGCCTCTCCGAGTTGTATACTCGTCGAGTCTACATCAAAAGACCTATTCGCGCCATGGAGGGGCATTTGCTTCGATGTTGATGACATGCAAAGCATGCCTGCCGGCGCCCGAAACCCAAACATCAGCGTGCAAGTCACTGATCTGGCTTATATTACGTACAGTTCAGGGCCGACTGGACAAGCTAGGGGCGTTCAAGTCACCCACGGCGCCATCTCTAATATCCTGTGTTCAACGATGCGCGAGCTTGGTTGTAAGGAGACAGATCGCCTATTAGCCATCACAACTATTTGCTCCTCCATTGCTGTCCTAGAGCTTTTCTTACCTCTTTTATGCGGTGCTTCCATCGTCCTCGCTCGGACACCGGATATCAGCACTCCAAAGGCATTGCTTGGTTTGATGAGGCAATATCGCATCACTACTATGCAGGCCACGCCAGTAATATGGCAGATCCTGCTGAACCAAGGACTTCAGGACGTACACCGCTTGGCGAATCTGATTTGCAACGGCGGCAAGTTGCCACAGAAGCTGGCGCAGAATCTTCTCTCATGCGCGGATTCGGTTTGGAATTTGTATGAGCCTACAGAGGCAGCCATCTGTTGGAACTTGTAGGGTGGCTTTGTTCATACAACCAAGAGATTTTCTACAATTGATGGAATTCCAGTTCATTAGTCACTTCACGAAGCAAATATGCGCCCAGGGAAAGTAAAGAGTAATTCATAAATATTATTCAAAATCTAATTTCCTATCGTTCATCTCTCACAATTTACAAGTATTCCCTCCGTGCTGCATCATTCTCAAAATATTGGATATTCTTAGCCACTCTACTTCAGGCATTAACTGTCTCCATGTTTAGGCGAGGCTCTTGAGAACCTGGTTCCTGCGCGCATCAATGTACTCGCTGCTGAGGGGATAATCGTTATATCCGACCTCGGATGCAGGGATGTAGAAACTCGGGCGATGGTACTCGTTGGGAGCCACTCCGTTCTTCACGCGCCAGACAAAGTCAGGGGTCGCCAGGAAAGCACGGCCGAAGGCAACGATGACATCCCATTTGGCATAGTGAGAATCCAGGAGCGAGGCTGCTGAGGCGGGAGTGTAGGCACCAGCCACCACAACAGGGGAGTGGTTGTTCCAAATGTCCAAGATGAAGTCGAGAGTCTGGCCGGCCACCTCCGGGTCGTTGGAAACGCCTAGCAGCTTACCTGGGTCGCCGCGGGCTTCAACGAGGGAGAGATAGGCCAGGGGGCCGATGGCCTTGAGCTCACGGATGATGTAGCTGTACTGGGCAATGATGTCGGAGGACACGGCGCCCTGGAAGGTCGCGAAGGGGGACAGGCGGAGAGCAACGCGCTCAGGCCCAATGGCAGCACCGACGGCCTTGACAACCTCAAACAGGAGGCGGGAGCGGTTCTCGATGGTGCCACCCCATTTGTCAGTGCGCTTGTTGACCGAGTCGGAAATGAACTGGTCGATCAGGTACCCGTGGGCACCGTGGATCTCGACACCGTCACCGCCGGCAGCGATGACCCGCTTGGAAGAAGCGACAAAATCGTCGATGAAGCCCTGGATCTCCTCCTCTGTCATGGCCTCAGGGACGGCGCCACCCTCCGACAAGGGCACAGCGCTGGAAGACCTGTACTTGTATCCACGCTTCTTCTGGTACTCGGGCTGGGAGGCCCGGCCCTGGCTCCAGAGCTGCTGGAACCACACGGAGCCGTTCTTGTGGACGGCGGAGATGACGTTCTTCCATGCGGCCTCCTGCTCGTCGGTGGCGAAGGCGGGGCCGTGAGGCTCGCCGGCATCCTGCAGCGAGACGCCGGTGGCCTCGGAGATGATCAGGGTTCCGGGGGTGGCGGCTCTCTCGCCGTAGTACCTTTGGGCGAAGGAGTTGACCACGTGGTTCTCGTCGTTGCGATACCTGGTCAGAGGCGCCAGGGCAATGCGGTGCTGAAGCTGGGCATTGCCGATCTTCACAGGCTGGAGGAGCTTGCTGCCGGCTGGGACCTTTGTAGCTGTCATTGTGAGTTGGTGTTGGGGGATGTTTTAAGTCCGGGGTATATAGTTGAATGCGTGAAACAGATCGCTGTCTATAATGCTGTCTATGAGGAACAGTGAATGTGAGGAAGGGTGATGTTCTTATTATGCTGATAAAAAAATAGGAAGTGTCTGTTTGGCAGAAGATGCCCGCGATCTTTATAGCTCAAACTACCATCGTCCTGAGACTGATCAACGAGCAATCTCGTCTGGCTAGTGTCCAAGCACATCATCGCTCCACTTCCCGCTGGAATCGCGGAAGAAGATTCTGGGAGGCTCATGCGATGGTGGTGGAGGCTATGACCTCCCGGCATGTCAACGCCAACATCTGCCTACAACGAGAACCACCCGAAACGGGTTTGCAACCGATTATGGTCGGATATGATGAGAAATCAAGCGCCATTATTAATTGCGCAGCATCAGGCTCGAAAACTTGCGGATTAAAATTTGCGCCGATTGCGTTGGAATGGCTCCGAGATTCCGATATCTTGCTACACCTTCGTCTCCGCGATTCCGTCATTCCTCGCCTTAGACATTCCGCAGACAGAAAAGGGATAACAGCCTCCCTACGCAAGAAAATCTCCACTCTTTCTCGGTTCTGGCAGCCGGATGGGTTCTAGGTCAGGCTTTACTAATCACGGCATCTTTTAACATGATTCGATATTGGCGGTGCTGCCTTCAAGTCTCCGAAACTCCGCCCCATTAGACTTGACGGCGGTGATACCCTAAGAATGACTGTAGGCCCCGATTCCAGGAGTGGAGAATATTAATTGATGCAATCCATTCTCTAAAAGAAGCCATATCCCCTCCTTGGGCTGAGACTCTAGACCTTTAAGCAACGAAGAGCCTGTCTTCTTCTGGCCAACGGCTGATGCTTTTATTTTAGCAATCGCCTCAGGCGCGATGATTGGTAATTTGTCGCATCGAACTGGACCTAGGTGCTAAAAAACACAAGATGCTCTGCAAGGAGCGAAGAGGCTCATAACATTTATAGCCAACACACTCACGTCTGGACGTACGCCGACATTTATGTTAATGGACCAATCGATATCCGAATGGAAATTTTCTAATGCGTCTTGAGGCAGCTAATCGCTATGCCTGGCCCCTCAATTGTTCATTCTGGTGGAGTCTCTCGTAAATATCTTCGGGATGCTGACGAATGGGAATAGCGGATCACCTGACTGGCCACTCTCTGGAAACGATGCTCAATGAATTCAAACCAACCGGGCCAGACTACCAATGTTCTACGCTCAGGGGGGACATGGATTAGGTATATCGAGGTTGGTTTGCCGCAATCAGGCTGCAGAGTTACAAAAGTGCTGCCTGATTTATGGCGACATCCCAGGCAACATTGAAAATTGGCCAAGACGCAGGTCAATCACTATAATTAGACACATTCTTGTTTAAAAGCACGGTATGTGATGAACTCCCGCGCTGGAATACAATCAAATGAATGTCGAAGTCTTGTCTTATTCCCCTTCCCCATCACCTTTGAGACAATTCAAGGAGGCCCCCAATAGGACCCGTAACCATGGCGGTGAATAATTTGTACAATATCGCGACATTGATTAAACGGTTAGTCTTTATGTGGACGAAAGCTGGGCAATACTGACATGTGTCTATCAGACTGGAGGCAGTAGCATCTAGACTGGAAGACGTCGCTTCCTCAACGGCATCACTGGGTCTGCATCCTGGTGAGGCTGATATTGTCAGAGACATCGCCACGGTCCTTGCCCCAATCTCGACCAACCCACCAGAACCTCAGCGGCAATTTTCTGGAGCGGCATTGGCGAGGCCTCCCGAGGATCTTCCCGTGGATGTGACGCTGTTTGACACGTTCGTGCAAACGGGAATCGATCCATTCCTCGAGTTAAGCCAGAAGATCGGAGGGGTAGTGGCGGAACAGGTGCGTCTGGCTTGATCACTGCGAAGATGAGACTAAGGAGCTTGCTAATTCCAGACCAGGCTACTCTCCTAAAAAAGGGGTTTGATGCTCAGCGCCGCATCCTCCTCATCATTAGCCAAGCTAAGAAGCCCCACGGCGACAAAGCAGCAGAGAAAGCGTACGGAAATCTCTTGCAGCCGATTGAAGACGTCATCTCATCTATTCGTCGAATCCAACAGGAAAACAGAGGGACGTCGGCATTCAACATGCTCTCAACCGTTGCTGACGGATCATTCGCCCTCACCTGGACGGCAGTAGAAAGTAGGCCCTGGAAGCAAGCGGAAGAGTCACTCACCATGGCTCATTTCTTCGGTAACAAGGTGCTGAAAGAACATCCAAGGTAAGAGTGACGCCAACGCCCAACAACCCAACGCTAACAACCGATGCACTAGAGGTTCTCTGGAAGCGCAGTGGGTGGAAACGTTTTACGCTCTTTTTACAGAGCTTGCTTCGTTCCTGAGAGAGGCCTACCCTTATGGCATCACGTGGAACAGCCAAGGCGATGCTCTCGGAAGTGTGGTCACAAGAGACGCGGCATAACATATGTGCCTTGTCAAGGGTTTTTACTCTTACTTGTGTCAAGGAATAAAAAGACACTACCTGGTCGGTCAGTATTGGTTGACACCATCATGTCAGTTCATAGTACACATATCAGGATTCAGCAAGGCAAACCCCATTGTCGTTGAATAATAACTCCAAGGTACAATTGACATCATGATACTTCTTCACTAATGGCGTTATGGAGATTGTGGAGGGTTTACCACGTTTACTCTACATGTTTCGGCCCCTGTAAGGTTCAATATGGCTTCAAGGACAAGCAAGCTTATGTTTCGTCGTCTGTTATCAAAGCATAGCCTATCAAGAGTGACATTGTGTTGTTGAACATATTTTAGACCAACAGAAGCATCAACAGTCACGTTTGAAGACTAAATGGCCAGAAACGCGGCTCATATGCGATACATCAGATGAGATAAAATCGGTCCACGGGCCTCTTTCCACACTTCAAATTTATTCTCCACTAGGCGGAGTGATTTCCGTGCCAAGGGCCGGAGCCTGTCCCAAGTTTGGGTTCCCCTGCGCATTAAATGTCACTTTTTGTGCCATTGTGTACCTTGCTGGCCCGCAGTTCCCTGTAGATATGCTAGTTGCATGGAAGATATTCTGCCCATGTTAGCAAGTGCCTTGGAAAAAGTTAAACTGGAGGAATCAATACATACCCAAATCTCCGTCCCATCCGGCGAGGTGAAGAACGCATTGTGGGCGGTGCCATAGTTCCCATTTGCAGACGTGAACACTGGGCCAGACTTCTCCCATGAGGAGATGTCCAGCGGATCACCCCCATTGTAGTATAAGAGGCCCAGTGCGTACTCGGGAACATCGCACGTTGAACCCGAGTAAGACAACCAGATGTCATCTCCATGATACAGAGCCTAGCGATGCAAGTGATATATTAGCCTTTCCGTTGGTGACTTCGGACATGTGGTATCTACTCACGTAAGGGCCCTCATTCAGCCCGGCGGTGGCAAGCAATCCCGCCCCTCCTCCCATATGCTGCTCCCATGCTTGATCGGGCCGCGATATTATGTGCCATTCATCGACAGTCCAGTTATCAGTGTCTAGGTTGGTGATTCCTATACTTTGATAGCCGTCCTCATTATGCATGCTTACCAGATGGTAGCGTCCCTTCCCGGGAATCTCCATATAGCTTCCATCGATAGAGTAAGCATCATTTCCGTCAGAGCCGCCCTGCTTTCCAGCTGGAGGTACCAAGGTAGCTCCGAAGGAATAGGTGCAGTCATAAGGGTTAGAGCCAGTGCACCCACGGAGTACACGGGTACGGTAGGTATTCACAACATTGGCGTTGCGGCTAGAATAGAATAAATACCATCTGTTATCTATGCGATGGATTTCAGGGGCCCAAATATCTGCGTTTCGTGTGGTGTCACTGTCAGTCCAGACAGTTTTGGTTTCTCCATTTCGGAGTCCGCTTAGAAGAGGGCTTCTAACTATCTCAATGCGGGTTGCAGAAGTATATGTTCTAAAACTAGTCAGTTCAAGGTTTCTTCCAACATTGCTGGTTGCTTTTAGGCATAGATAAACTATACAGGTAGTAATAGCCATTAGCGTAGACCAGCGAAGGGTCTGACGAATTGTATCTGACTGGGTTTTGGAAACCAGACACAAGATCAAACTGAAGGAGGATTCCTAACAGCCAAAATGTGATAGAAGAGAGCATGACGAGTAGCAAGGGGGATAGTAAGCATAAACTTGATCAAAGGACTCTGGATTGGTAATACAGCACAAAACTACACCAAAATTTGACGATATTAAGTGTATTTTATATACTAAGCCCACTCATAGTCTCCGTTATAGACTAGTTGGTTCAGCGTACCATTGCAGCATACTCTCCATGTGCCTCAGCGCATGACGTTACCCAAACCATACAGGATAGTTGGTTCATAACCATCTCAACTCCAATCCACCCCAGGTTGAGCTGGCCACTGGCACCCTGACCGCCCCCAAGGAGGTCAGCGAAGGAAGGTGGCAGTGCATTTTATCATCACGAGTGACCATTTCGCCGCCGGCGAGGACCAAAACTTGCTCCATGCGGCTTTAAGTCGCGCGACTGCGTTGGCAGCAGCATTGCCCAGTTGGGAATAACGTCACTCTGCCCCCCGCCAGGTTGTGGAGATGTGATTCCCAATTGCAGCAAGCAGGGAGTTTGCGCCGCCCAGGAGAGTGTGCTCTCAAGTTCCATCAAGCTGCTGACGTGTGACTATTTGGCATGTGGGAGTGGCTCCTCATCGGGCAGCATTGACGCAACGTGTCAGCAGTTGGGAAGCATATGGCGTAGAAGCCGGGCTGAATAAAAACGGGTGGTGATTTCATGTCAGCACCAATATCTGGTTCTGGGACTTTTATATATAGCCCGGGTTGATCAACTTCCCCTTTCGCAACTGGCCTTTTCCAACGCATCATCGATACTACTCTGAACATTAAAGGACGCGGGCACTGCCAGGCTCATAGTGAGGTCAACGTTACCCCCCAACATTGGCATCGTGGAGCGCAGGGAGGAGATCGAGTACTACCACGAGGGATCGCCATGTTGCATTCGTCGGTCCTTGACAAATAGCTTCCCCATCCTTGGGTCGGGCACATGGACAGACCCCAGTCCAATAGCCTCGGCGTGTAGCCAATTCTGACGGACAATGCAAAATTTAATTTCTGTATCCCTGGAATGCACAATCTCGAACGTTCTGCAGCCCTAGAGCTCACCGCAGCGGTTTGTATGCGCGATTACGCACACTATCCGGCTGGTAGGGCAGAATAAGCTTGCGTAATGCCCTATTCATGCAGGTGGATATTCACCTATCAATGAACAGAATAGCCAGCTCTTGCGGGAAACTGAAACGCGAAGGGGCGGCGACAGATCAATGCTGGTGGGGCATGTTGATAGAGCAAAGATCCCAAGCCACGGCTATCTATGGATCTATGCAAACTGTCTGTTCCTAAAGCAGTCGCAAGAGATGCTCAGCAGACATATCAAGGCCGGTTGGTTATATGCGGTTGAATAATGTGTCAAACTCTCTAAGTGGCATGAAGGCCGCAAACCAGGTCTCCTCTCCTCCGATCATACCCACCAATATGGGGTAAGCCTAAGGCAGTGGATGCCAAATTCACTCTGTCAATCAAACCAGATGACCAATTTTGAGATTATTGGCTAAACTTGGCTAGGAAGCTATCCTTGTGCGAGGTGAAGGACCGAATAGCCAAGATCAAGTTCAAGTCTAAGGATAACGCACGCAACTAATAACCCACCAATAGCAAGAGGACCTCATGCCGGAATCCAATCTTGAACCAGTGGCCTAACTCAGTTCCAGGCGCCATATGTTTCCTCCCTGAAATCACACATATCCCGCAGCTCACTCTCGCTCCCAAAAAGGATACTGACAAACACACGATGCGCGTTCGTCGAATCCGGCTCAGAATGGATCGGAGAATCCTCCTCAGCCCAGCTGAAGCGGATCATTTGCCCTGGTTCGATGGCAGCCTGTGGGTAGCTCTCCAGGGCCTCGGCCAATTCAGGATCGGGGTCATTGGTTTCCCAAGGCCGCCCACTTGGCGAGGGTGAGTGCAGAATCTTGTGGGCGCCTGGGTTTGTGAGTATCGCCCTGGTAGATGGACCGAGAATCGAAAAGGCATACTTTGAGTGCGGCGCGGTAGAGTCCGGGCAGGCGCAATCAAACATCCGGCCGTCTGTATGCCACCGCGGCACCACCCAGGCATCTGTCGGCAGGGTCATGCGAATACAGAGCCAACAAGAGTGTGCGATCTGTGCGCTGGCGTTTTTCTGGCCGGCGACGGCTTCGGCAACGCAGTCGGCCTCGGCCTGTGTCAGGAGCCGGCTCAAGGCCTCCACGAGGAGCTGTTACTGAGCATCGGAATTCACGGCGATCAATTCGGCGGCCTTGGTAGCCAGAAGGTTTGCGTCAAAGGCCCCATAATAGCCGTTGGAACGCTCCTTGTCCACGCGGGTGATGAGATTAGGAGGTAGAGGCTCTGGTGAGAAGATTCGAAGCGGCTCCGGACGGGCAGGTTCCACGCGAGATTGAGTGGCCATGTCGACGATATCTTCGATGCAGCTCCTCGTTCTCTAATGTTTGATGAGGCCCAGTTGCTGAGGCGCCGCTGCCTGCGAGGGTTGAAGTACTGGCACGATTGTGAGCAAATCAGCCAGATGGGCTAGGCAACAGGTCTCACGAGTCACCAATGAGTCATCTGAAGCGCACAGCCGTGCACCAGGGTAAGAGGCTAAGTGCACGCTTATGCAGGTGACTGTCATTGAACGGAGCAAAGCATGCAAGGCGATATTCATCAGTCTCATTAAGTGAGGAAAACTCTAACCGGCCAATCGCTCAACCGACTTAAGCCGCTCTAGACAACCCATTGTTAAGTTGCATGGTCATCATTTCCCTGGCTTATACACCACTCTCTCTCGCAAGAATCGAGGCGTATCGGGGTCGTGACTCGGAAGAACCACAACGTCCTTTTGCCTCGAAAATTCTTTGATAAGCTTCAAGCTCTCAAACGCCGTCTTGGGATCCTGATTGATCCCATCCGGCTCCTCGCGCTCCAGCAACCCGACATTATACGTGGCGTCTCCAACCGCAAGAAACGTGGAGGGAGATTGGCCAGGCTGGGCGTCCTCCGTGATAATAACAGAGATGTGGCCTGGGACGTGGCCCGGCGTCGGAACCGCCACGACCTGCCCATCTGGAGTAATGGCCTCGGATCGAGTCCAAGGCCCAACCGGGTTCCCCTCAAACTCGAGTAGCTTGAGGTTGAAATCCTTGGGCCAGTGCTTCGACGCGCAGCCCTGCATGTCAGCCCAGGTAGGATGCTTGCCATATGCCTCCCAGTGGTCAGCGCTCATGTAGACGGGGACATCGGGCGCCAGCTTGACAATATCCTCCAGGCCGCCGGCATGATCCGTGTGCAGGTGCGTGACAACAATAGCCTGCAGGTCTCGCGGGCTGATCCCCCGGGTCCTCAACTGCTCCACAATGTCGTCCTTGGGCTCGACCTCGAGCTGGGTCAAGATGCTGGCGACGAACATGTACGACGGGACGTAGCCGGGCTTCATGCACTCGGAAGAGGCGCCGGTGTCGACCAGAATGGGCCCGTCGGCGTGGTGGATCAGGAAAACGCCGATGGGCATCCAGGGAGTCCACGGGCCGGTGAAGCAGCGTATAAAGCGGAGCAGCTGGTTCTGGTTGCTGATCGGCTGCCCGGCCATCGGCTCCCTCATACGAGCCCGGCCGGTGGTGAGAAACTCGACCAAGCCTCGTTCTTCAGCCATCTCGATGGGGATGTGAGCACAAACACAGCGTAGTTTACGGTGCCGAAGATGAAGAAACGAGAAAGGGAGCGACAGCTTACGCGTAGGTAAATCACCTTCCTCTATTAATAAATATCAGTATCGACCCCTGCTTGCTGGTCGGCTTGTTAGTTGAGCCGATGTGGGATCGCCCCAGCAAGCACGGACGGATCCTTCAGTGACACCGAGGCGAATTTTGTTTTCCCTGTATTTCAGACTGCTCAATTATCGAAATCCGCAGCTCAAAATGGGGCGTGTTTAGGCTCGTTGGATTTTGGAATAGTAATAACAAATTTTCACGATGACGTTGCGTGTTCGCTTGATCAATTTCAGCTTAACGTACCAAAAAGAGGACATTTCGCAGTTGACCGTGAGAATAAGAAACGAAGATCTGAGAGTAGAAAATAATCGGTTGACGAAGTTTAAGTCATACAAGGTTGAATTGTTTGCCGCTGTGGCATCCGCGCTCCCAAAAACAAATAAACACGTACATTCTTCATCGTCGTAACATGCTGATCAATCAAATTCATTTCCACCTTCCTTCCTTTCTGAATGGGGGCTTAGGAAGTCTCAAACTCGGGTATCGTACTGAAAACAGAAGCATTATAACAAATAGGATCAATGTAGAAAGGATCAAGCTCAGGGAACGCCGTTTCGTGGATCACCGACATGGCATTTTCCGCCATGATGGGAACGTTGGTATCGTTTATTTCGCCCTCGGGCGTCGTTTGCGATAGCTCCAGGGGCCTGAGAAGTGGTTCGGCGTTCCATTTTTCCATTGAGTCGGCCATGAGCTGGGCGGCGCAGGTTCGGACGCGCTGGTAAGAGGCTTCTGCCAGATGCCAAGTCCGCTTCATATTCTTCAGGCATCCTAGGAGCAAGGTGATGCGGTTGTAATGATGCTCGAAGCAATCTCCCGAGTGGGTGGTGGTAGTGGCGATCTGAGTCATCCCACTGAGGGATAGGGCGGGTATAATGAAGGGGGTGTGCTTCTGGATATTCGGGCAGAGGGATAGATAATCCGACATACGTCTGGACGCATCCGTTGCTTTGATACTATGTAGCAGGCGAACAGATGCGGATGAATGGCCGGGGACGAGAGGCCAGAAGGGATCAGAGCATTTTGGCAACAACGCATGCAGGTCACTCCGGGGAAGATGAAGGAGCATGCTGGCGTATGCGATGATAGTGTGCGCTTGGAACAGAATCTCGTCAATGTTGCCGTAGGAATCTACAATGTTCCTCTTTTCGACAGGTAGGTGGTTCGACCAGCTGACCAGTGCATTTTGAATAGACTGCAGGTGGTCGTGGTGATAATCGCGAAGACGATTTAGCCGGATAACCTGCCCTAATATGACCGCTGCCTCAACCCGATAGCTGGAAGATGAGAATATGGTTTCATCCGTAGCGAGAGCCCTGCGCTTGAAGTCGGACATTCGAGCCGACTTGGGAATTTCGCAATTTCCCGTGTAGAAGGAGTCGTCGCATGGCAACAGCACGTCGGAAGGCACCGAGCCACAGCGGAAGGGAATTGCTCGAGACGGTACAGATATGATGATCTCGGCGATGAGGAGCTCCCACCATGTCCTTCTCAGGCTTTCGGCCTCGACTGAGTGCTCGGCATGATGCGTGGTGGAGAAGGAAGCCTTGTTCATGCCAATCTCAAGCGCGATGGTTGTGGCTTGGGTATGTGCTTGCTGTGCCTCGGTCACTTCGTCGCGGGAGAATAAGACGATGGCGAGTAGAAGCCAGGCCTGCACCATGCAGGAAGAGCGGTCAGGATTGGAGGTCAGGTCTGTGAAAACTCGGCCTTTGAGCTGCTCAGATTTGCCGGCGGGGAGGTAGTTGGACCCTGCAAAATCGACAACAAGCCGGAGGTAAGAGGGGTACGCCCGCTCAGCATACATGGAACTCGGGACGAGAATTGGGTGGGCTGGGTGGAATTTTTCATAGAAGAGACAAAGATAGCGGTCGCTGTCGTAGCTGGTGCGGGATGGGAATTGTGACGGGATGGAGTGGCGGGCGCTGAGACTCTGTGCCGTATCGGGAGGCCAGGGGGAGTCGCTCGAGGACACATCAGCAAGGCGCGACATGATGCTACTCTGGGAAGACGAGGTGTCGTTCCCGCTGAATGCGCGGCCACCTGGTGTCATTATGGGCGATGGACGCGTTGTTGAAGCTTGTGTGTCTCCGACAATGATGGAGGTGTTGCTTTCAGTCACCGGGCTCACAGGCACCACCACACCGTTATCTGAGGATTGAATCGGACGAATGGGGACTGGATTGCGCATCGCTGGCGACTGAGAGGCCAGCTCCCTGCGGCTTATGCGCCGACCACCGCGCCGAGAAGGCTGATAATGGCAGGCGATGCCATTGTCGCGGCATCTCGCACATGTTGGCCAGTGTCCGTCGCACTTGAGATGCTGCTGCCTACAGCCGATGCAGGCGAGCGAAGCGACCGCCTTGGTTTTGGTGCTCGTCGGAGCTGGCATGGCGCGTAGGTAATTGGAACAAGGGTCCCTCAAGCCGTTTCACTCATTGTCTTCAATTTTCGGGAGATGTTTGTTGGCATGGAAGAACAGGACAAACATGAATGAATGAATGCTGAGCAATGGTCGGCGATTGACTCGGCGATTGCTGAGGAAGGAGCAGCGCAGAAGGGAGAGTGGCAAGAGTGGGCACCAACGAAAGCGTAAAGTGTGAGATTCGGCGATTGATCTGAATTCTAATTGGCCAATGCGTCACATGTGGGCTAATCTACGGTTTTTTCCGGCAGCCAATGACGCAACTTTCCGATATCAAACTCCCCACAAATGCGCAGTGCGATCCCAAACCTCAATCAACAGGGATCGCGATGATAATGGAGATTCATATTGAAATTTCAGTTGCTCGCTATTCGCCTAATGTTCTGATAATAAATATAAACACGCGGACACATCTTTTGCCCGCCTCTCGGTGCTGTCGTTGGTCGCATATTCTGCCCCATGGTTCACGAAAAATCAATTGATTGCCTCTTTGACCGCTTGGCCTTCTTAGCTTCTTCCTACCCGCAGCGACTTGGCCTGAGCGATAAAACTCGCTTTTCCTGTGGCTTCGTCGAAAACATTGTACCCGATATCGGCAGCATTCGGAGGGGTGTAGACTGCAGTTTTGTCAGAAAGGAGGCTACATCACCAACAAGGCAGCATATTCTTACGGTGCAGGGAGACAGCGACCTGTGTGGGATGCGGATTGTGCACACGGTGAAGCCCAATCTCATCCGACATGTATGTCACCTGGTCTGTGTGGTACGTCGATTGTTTCTTGACGCGCAATGGATGGCCTTCATCCTCAGGGGTATCGTAGATCGTCTCCGTCAGCTCTCCAGCCAACACCTTCAGAACTGCAGAATCGCCATGTTAGCTGAAACCTCCTCATATGGAGCGGTGGAGTGTGCGGGATATGTACTCACCGCAGTGCGCGTTGGCGTGATCGTGCACAGGCGATCCCTTCCTTGGATTCCACACGAGGAGAAGCTTGCAATATGTTAGATCAGTGTGCTGCCCAATGGATCACAGTCTACTCACGATGTTGGCCCTCGAGTTGATATTCTCAATTGTGTTTCGGGTGTAGCTTTTCTCGGCACAGTTATGGTAGTAACGCGCCCAGTCATTGGGATTGGAATTGTATTTTTGAGCAAGCGACATCAGGTAGTCTGAGTTGATATTGGCATATCCAATGCCTCCAGATTCACCGAGATGTGCCTTGATATCGCCAACGAGATCATCCAGGGTATAGGGTAGTGAGCCCTGGTGAGGCTCCACGGATGGACACAGCAGTGGCAGAGAAGGAGAGAGGATCGAGGCAGTCATTTTGTCGGTGGTTTCTGACAAACTTTCAAGATAAAAACAAAATTTGATGTTTCGAGATTGGTGTTCTATTCATTGGCAATGAGAGAGAAGATGCAGCCACGTATTAATACCAAGTGCTGAGACCGCTCTACCATTCGGCGATTGCGCCATAGGGGATGAATTCGGCGATTGACTTTGGTGGATCCTTTGCTTCAGTGAGGCTACAGGGTTATTATTAGCAGATCGAGCACTGGCCCGCCCCGAAGGTAGCGAGACAGAGGGATGCCAAAATACGTTGAGAGCGAACAAAGCTCGGGTTTTGAGACTGGGTGGTGATACGAGACTTCCACAATGCTCAGTCATTAGTGCAAGGCACGCAAGATCGCGATCTTATTTGTGGAATTCAACAGAGGGGATGCGATAGATGTTATCTGTTGTTCACATTTCCAAGTTTGTCCGCTTGTGGGCTTAAGATGAAGTCAGCTTCGGGATTTTTCGTGGCAGTGCTTATTGTTGCGTCACTTGGACTCACTTGGACTCATTTCATCTCACCGTAATGATGGAGGCGATACTTAATCTACTCCCATGATTGAGAATTATTGCTTTTCTCGAGTCTGAATTTTTTCAGTGAACCCAAGTCCAACCCTTGCATTACTTTTCGTTTTTTTTTTCTCTCTCCTCTCTTCTTTTTTTTTTGGCTCTTTGATCTAAAGACCAAGCCGGCATCTCCTAGGTGCAGTATGGCAGAGCCTCTACAAAGGTACGCTCGGATGCTAAATGTTGAAGATCCGTGAAGCTGACCCTATTTGCGATATGCAGCCCCTATTTCAAAGGAAATACCCTAACCCTAAGTGTTAGGCGCGTTGGCAAAAAATCTCCCCTACAGCTCCACGATGGCGATGAGGTACAGGCGAGAATCGTCGATGTGATAGAGCCAGCTACTCTATCCGTTGTCGTCATCGTTGAGGTTGATCCAGACCCTAAACAGGGAGACCAAATGAGCCGCCCAACTTCTCCTCTCAAAATGGTACTTAAGGTGTTTGATCGTCGATTTTCTGTACAATTGAGAGAGGAGCTGAAGCCCACTGGCCCGTCAACCCTTGTGACTGAGGAGGAGTATCTTGGATTCTTGCAACAAGGATCGATGGCAGATTTCGTTGCCAGCTACAACAGAGAGTATAAGGTCACATCAAATGACTGGGATTCGCCGATGCAGGAGGCATATTTCAGTCTTACTTGTGCCAGAATGAAAGAAACCGAGGCTAGAATCTATGATTACCTTATTGACCTGCAAGGTGTTCACATTCCAACATTCTATGCTGACGTCCAAATCGCTTCACAACCGGTAGCCGGAGAGCAGGTCCATGAAAACTTCGCCAAATACATTGACGTTGGGGCTATCTTGATCGAATACATTCCTGGATTTCTCCTCTCCACCATGGTAACAGAGACACCGGAATCAGCATGGCCTGGTATCTGTGACCGGGCTATTAAAGTTGTGCATAAGATTATTGGGCATCATTTTGTCAATACCGACATGCAAACGAGGAACGTTATTGTCCGCCCTGACGGGGAAGGGGACTACCGAGTGTTTTACATAGACTTTGGGCTATGTGACTTCCGCGATCCGTTAGATAGCGATGAAGTCTGGATGGAATATTCGTATCAAAATGCTGAAGAAAATAGAATCGGGTGGTCTCTTGCAAATGCAATCTCGAGGGCCAAGGGGAAGAAGGGAAAGAGATATAAAGGCAAGCTTCCGCTTCCGTGGGAGTTTACCCCTTCGAACCGGTTTCGTGGTCAGGACATCGAAGGTTATCCAAAGCATATTTGGTATCCATAGTCTCAGATTACAAGACCAAATGATGCAGCACTGAGTGTGGAGTAGGCGGTGTGACGGGATGTGACCAATCTGTAGTTCTCGAAGCTCTTGTTCAAGAAAAAAGCGGATTGAACCTTCCTCTGTTCAATGCATCGTTATTACTTGCCTATTGGTTAGCATAGAATCTGGAGTACTTGTCAAGTAAGAAACCTTTTGATCATTAGTAACCTCTTACCTGAATATACTGCTCGATGGGGCGCTTTCGGCACAGGCCGACACTACAAGATTATACTTCCCTTAGCGACGGGTTCCAGCTCTTCATACATAGGATATCACGACGATCGATGGGATTATAAAGTAACGACTATCGCTTCGTAACTTCTTGATCAGAAGATACATTCTATTGTTAACTGTATGGAACTAGTAGGGAGTCCTTAGTCCAAAGCGATCATCTAGTTGACGAACTCATTAAAGTAATCTGCCACCTTGGAGCCTTGATCCAAACTCGCTGCGAAACCAAGGATATGGTCAGGACGAATTATCACAATGGCCCCGGTAGTCTGGTCAACTCCATACTCGGAGTGGGCGCTACCGTCACCATCAAAGTAGAATCTACCAATAGGTGGTCCCTTGAACACCTGCCACGCACTTCCAGCCGAACCCTGTATAAGTGTTACAAGACGTACCATCCCTTCATGCCGGCTAGCGAGGTTTTCCAACTGATCACGCAAGTCTGCAAATCTGTCACGGGTCAGGGCTGGGTTTCCTGCAAACACAACAATGCTCCAACGACCCGTCGCGCCATCTTCTAGAAGGGCGTCATATAGGCGCAGCGGAACTTTGACTCCTGCACTGCGGATGAGAGCATCAGGACAGCGCACGCCGCTCGCAAGTGAAGAATCGATAGTGACTTGGTTGAGGACAGAGTTTGCGTAGGTAATGCCCAGCCCGATGTTGAAGCCTATGTTTTCAAGCCAGACCTTGTTCAATACCTCGTCTGCAGAACTTCCCAGAGCTTGGAACCGAGGTGGAATCTCGCCGGAGATGAGGACAGATGCCTCCGTATCGATTTGGATAAGCTTTTCGGCCGCCGCACGTCGCTCGGAAGCATACGTCTGGAGAACCGAAGGCTTGTACCACCCTTTGATGGTCCCAGCAAGCTTCCATACCAGATTGGTGGCATCGTGAATGCCGGTGTTCATGCCCTGAGCAAACCCAGACGAGTGGATGTGAGCTGCATCTCCTCCGAGTAGAACGTAGGTGTCTTTCTGTAAGCATCGTGCGACGCTCTGCTTGATTCTAATGAAGAGTCAGTACCTATGCTATGCCTTCAAGGCCCGACATACTTGTAATGGGTCCACCAATCAAGTCTTTCCACATCAAGGTTGAATGGCCTCATGCCCTCCACGGCCTCCTTCACTGCATCATCCTCCGTGATGCCGTCAGGGTACTTTGCGAGCAGGGCCGGTGTCAGAGCAAACCCGATGCGATGAGCATCTCTTTCCAGTTTGACCCACAAGACGTTTCCGTGATGCGGCGTCTCGATGGAAGCAAACCCCAAGTCTGCACCCGGCATGTCTGTTACCAACTTGCCGTCGATCCGAATCCACTCATAGGTGGTGGATTCTGAATCGAGAGGGATATCACTGAGCTGCCGCACAAGCGAGGACCCGCCGTCGGCCCCAAGGAGGAATTTGCTTCCAAGATGTAAGCCATTGCCGGTGATTAAAGAACTGCCATGTAGACGTACCTGCGGACTTGCACCTGGCCCTTGGATGTATGCTGAAGAGTAGCAGTAATATTGTAACCGTCATGGAGAGAGCTATCAATGACGTAGCTGACGAACTTCCACCCATACCATACAGACTTTCCGTAACTTTCGTAGCGAGTTCGAAAGACGTCCTCGGAGTGACACTGACGGATGTTCAGGGCGTAGTTATGGAAGCTAGTTTTGAGGTGATCAAACATAGTACCCCAACCCCTATTACTGATTCTCTGACCGTTGTTATAGTTTAGGCTGCTTCGCGCTACGAAGCCTTCTTGAACCAAGTCCTTGGCTACATAGAGCTGTTCTAGAAGCTCTAGAGACCTTGGGTATAGAGTAGTGGCGCGACCAAAAGTAGCCTGGATATCGCGCTCCCGTTTTTCTGCGATTTGTTAGTTTACTTGGCTGTGCTTAACTCCCGTCTTACGGCAAAATCGGAGGTTCAAGTCTCGCCAGTCTCCATGTGATAGTAGAACATTTAGTCGGTTTGTGATAGGAAAAGGACTCACCAAGAACAATCGAGTCAACGCCTTGTTGGGAAAGGCCGATAGCCGTCAGAAGGCCTACTGGACCAGCTCCAACGACGAGAACGTCAGTAGTTTCGGGAGCCATGGTTGGGACGGGATGCTCAGGTAGCTGAAAGTAGAGTGAGAACAAAAAAGAAAACTTCAGATAGCCGGCTCTGTTGAAGAGACGAAACGATGAGTGAGTGGTTTCGTGAGCTTTGCGAAGCGCGAGACAGTCTTTATATATCCCTATGCATGATTCTTTAACGTCCTATCACCATTAGTATGTGGAAAAAGAGCAAGGCTAATACATGTATTCCGCTCGCGTTTAGGAGCCACACGATTCCACGTCATCCCTGCTCCAGAAGCCGCCTATCGCTGCCGCCGGATGATTCGGACAATTGTGTGAGCAAATACAGATGCCCCGCCGAAGACGACCCAACTGCCGATGGTGCCGCGGACAATCCTCATCCGCCGCTAACAGGTGATGTCGGTTGCCGCAACGGACTATAGTGGATGCAGCTTTGAGATAACTCACCCTGGATTCTTTATAAGCTCTTTAGCTAATGTAATCTACAGTAGAAGTGGGATCGACAGTTCAAGCGCCAGGTACTCCCACTGTTGCGAGGTTTAGCGGCCCTATGAGACCCGTTCTCCCGGGCGTAACAGAATCTATTACTACTGCTACTGCTACTATTATTTTTCTGATAAGAAAAGCCTAGTCAAATGTCTATTAGGGCTTGTCCAGGCAGGCTTCTTGGCTTGTTTCTGGCAGAGTTGTGGATTGAGCATCACTAGGAACACATCGTCCCTCTGGCTCTTGTTGTGATTGTCATGGAGAAGGTTTTATGTAAAATTTGGTAAGTAGTATCTTTTCGAAAAGCAATTAATGCCTACCTGCCACAATTGGAAGGATAGAGTACCGTATTGATCATCAGAGCATGTACATTTACATGGCAACTGTTGGTCCCAAACATCGCCATCAAGTCGAAGTTCCTTATCCACATGGCATCCGGGATCGAGCTCAACTTGTTAGGTCTAGCATCTTCTATTAATATTTTGACTTTATACTTGAACTCCCTCACCCATATATATATCATGTCACACGTACGGAAAGTCGGTCTTGTCAATACGGTACCCACCAGGGTTATGTTCATCATGGAAGTAGATCGACAGGCCATGACCATGACCCAATACCGGATAGACAGTGCCGCGGATAAGTCTCATCCGCCCGCCGAGAACCGACCCCTCATTTTGTTTATGTGCACTCGGCTTGCTGCGAAACCCTTTGACACACTTATTCGGTCGCACGATCTCGACTTTCCCCTTGGCATCGCATCTTTATTCAAAGTCCAAAAGTGAACGACTCATTCGACCCAAAAACCTCCACCCTGGACAGAACTGGGCTGCCTGATTCGCTCACAATGGAGTGCCGAGACACTACAGCACTAGCAAATCGCGTGTATACTGCCTGCGGCCCCTGTCGGCGGAGAAAGCGCAAGGTTTGTTCAACCGAATTCGCGTAGCATCTCTTAAATGGCTAAAGTCAAGTCACGTTTGAATCGGTAGTGTGACGGCAAGGGCCCTTGTTGCTTACCGTGCCTCTTGCGCGGAGATACGTGCAAGTGGGCGCTCCGTAAAAAACCTTTTAGGTGAGTCCTCTCATCATCGCCCATAAGTAGTCCATATCAACTAATGCTTTTTGTTTTGATGTAGCAAGAAGCGCCATGACAAATCATACATTAGAAGCCTCGAGCTTCAGGTCAAGAACTTGTCGACTTTGCTCCAAGGACCCGGCAACTCCACATCCGAACATGATGACACCCTGGCCGCGGCAGGCTCAACGAGCCTAGTGGTTTGCCGCTCTGCCTCTGGGAGATCTGACCGCGCTTTGAAAGACTTTTCATCTCTTAACTGGAGATGTTCCGTTCCATTCGGAGAGGGGGAACTGCTATTTTCGGGCCCCGGCAGATTCACAACTCCTTCAGTTTCGTCTCTGGCGAGGTTTTCGGGTCTCGTAGAGAAGCCTCGCGTCCTAGCCTCCGAGGAGGCCCTCGCTCTCATCGAACAATTCAGCCACGAACTAATTCTGAAGAACAGGATGAAAGATTTCTTCCTGCAGTCTATCAACATCCATTATCAGTTCGTTGAACCAACCTGGCTAGCATTCCACTCCGACTTTCCTCGAGTTGACCCGGACCTGCAGCTTCTCTACAGTGCCGTATTCGCTGTATCCGCTCATTGCTTGCATGTGTCCGCAGATTTAGAGAATGCACTGATGGTGTACACAGAGAGTCTCGTCATGCCCTCCTTTAAGGCGGAAGCATGCTTACCTGTTATAAAGGCGATATCTATTCTCGCTTGGTTTAAGCAGACCGTGCTGAGTCGTTCTGATGGCTTTGCCTATCAATGTATGTAGACACACTGATCGATAGGCTCTGGCGGTCACTAATTGCTGCCCAAGACATGGCCTTGGGTCTTTCTCCAAACCTGAAGCTAGATGATTTGCCGAGTAGCTTTTCGGCGATTGGAAATGAGTTAAATCAGAATCATATCGACCGGATTAAGGCGTTTTGGTCTTTATTCATGGTAGAGAGGTACGTATTGGAGGGGATAGGATGACTTTTAAATGACCCTATATGTCATTATGCCACGTCACTGACGAGCACTTGTTCTCTATAACCAGGAGGTCAACGCCTGGCCTTGGACTTCCTCAAGCCATACCGTGGGATTACAATCACGCTCCACTCTCTGCATGTCTCTCGTTGAACTTGGACGACTGCCCTACACTTTATTTCAAGCATCACTGTCGGTTATTACAGCTACATCACCTCTTCATCGAAACATGGTAGGCTCTTCAAGGGTTGCGTCGATAGGGAATCAGTTCGCTAATACCGTATTGAGTTCTAGCTACATGCCTGGGTTTGGTTCCCTTGAGGTAGTAGATCAGAAGGCACAATTGCGGCGAGCCTCGGAAGCTCTTCGTGCGTTTCGGCAGCCTACGAATGAGTGTGCTCATGTCAACACGAGCAGTCGTTGTGGCACGCTTCGAACGATTCTATGGATATCATATCACGCCGCTACCATCGACCTATACCGCCCATTCCTTGATTGTCCGTGGGCATGTCAAGTCGATAGCACGGCCACGCCTCTCGAGGCACTGACTAACGCTTCGGACTCAATTGCTGAGCTACTAGAGCGCTTGGGGACAGGGACAGAGGTTCAGAACATGCCTCCATTCGTCATATATCACATCCTACGTGCCGCTTTGGTACAATGCCTAAACATGACAGTCGTAGACGAACGAATGAAGTGCACCGCCAGAGAGAGACTCCAAGTCTGCCTTGCGGCCCTCTCTAGGATGAAAGAGATGTGGAAGGTTCCGGGAGAAGCTTGTATAAATTTCTTGATCTATGTTGGCCAAAGTTGGAAAGTAACGCCCTGGTAGCACGACTTATGTCGACATTGTAGCTTTACATGTTTCACTACCAACCGCATGTGCCAGACCATTGGCTTCGAAAATTAATCAACCTGCTGGAACCCTGGACTTTTTTCGGGTGTTTGTTGTTTCCTTTTGTTCTTACCCTTATCACCTAGACTTATATCTGCCATTGGCCGACGAAGCCCTCACTGAACGGTTTTACAGACCCAGAAAGGACAATTCTCAATGTGTTATTTCAATCAATGAATGTTTTAGATACCCCCTATCCTAGGCTCTATCCAAGATAGGAAATTGACTATGTTACAGACCCAGCAAAGCTGCCTTCTTTTCAAGGCTGCACGAAGTGACTCGAAACAATTCATGATGTGATGATTCGCTACTTTGTGACCGGGCGCTGGCCTCGTCTCTGTCCAGCGTGGATTAGATAGCACTGTCGCTTTCTTTTGGGTGGCGATAGGCCTGCACTCACCGGCGATTACCCCCTTAAATGGACCATTCTCGGCCACATATAGTCTGAGAGAATTCTGGACGTTAGTATGCGTTCAATTACCATTCCTATATCGGATCGCTGACCTGAAACAGTCTAATACAGCATCTGAATCTCGACTTGGACTATTTCCTCTCTTGTGCGAGACCCTGAACAGCTGTTCCTTTAACCGGAGTCGTGGGTGACTTGAGTATGTAGCAGCTAAGCAACCTGCATAAAAAGAGGTGTAGTTACTAATAAGGTGGCTAGCTAAATAACAGAATGCATTGAAAGATAAATTCAATCCTCTTTACAACTTTCTCTACCTATGACTAGCTATTCGCTCGCCCTAGTCTTACAGGGTCGTCTGCATAGGACCCCCTGCGGTAGAGACCGTTTCCATCGCACTCCAGCTAGGACCTCTAGCTAGAACCGGTGTGATCGAGTTTCATCTACAGCAAGACTCAACAACGTCGAGATCTGAGGGCGCCGTTGAAACCATCCTCAATTCTGGTACTCTACGCGGGACCAAAAAAAGAACTCAGACGACATCACGAACAAGTCCCGTCCTTACAGATATTTCTCCGGCCACCAAGGCAAACTTAAGTGCTCAAGCAAATGCAGTCGTGACTATTACGCCATCAAACTACTCAGACCTGGTACATCCTTTTCAATGTAGTACCTTGGCATTATTATTCTTATCCTCTCTACAAAATGCATCATCAGCTAAGTTAACTATAGATATCCCTTACTATATTTTAAAATCTTAATAGTATTTCTATAATTACTATCTCTAATCCCTTCCTCTCTTTCTATACTACTATAAGCTACCCTACTTATTCTTATAGATTATTATAAAAAACTATTTAATAAGCTATTTATCTTAATAATAAATAAGTTATTAATATAAAGGTTTATAGACTTTTCTTTCTATATAATTATAGCCTTAAGCTAATAAAAAGCTCTTTTTTATAGTTTTTATATTTATTATATTAAGTTATTAAGCTCTAGCAGCTTCTATTACTATTAAACTTTATTCTCTTTCTCTTAGGACTATAGACATAGATAACGCTTCCTGTAACATCGAGTCCTACATCCTCTAGCCGTCGGGGTCTGGTCGTTTTATTTCGGCATGTCAATACTAATCTCAGGGGTCTTGAACCTATATGCTCTGTGCTGAAAGGTCAATGGGCTTGAAGGGTGAGGAGTTGCGCTAGTCAGTGTCATCGGATACTTCGTGTCCCCCTGATTGGCCACCAGAGGACTGGTCATGGTAAGTAATAAGTGAAATTCGGTAATATGATTATATTGCATTGTCCTTGGTTGGACTGTAAAGCTACCATAGAGCCAGAGAAAACAAACATATGAAACATATGAAATGACGATCTACCATCGAATCTTAATCTTGATTTCTGTCTCGCAGTAGCCTTTCCTTGAGTCTTTTGAGCATATTGTGTATTTCCCTTTGAACCGGCATGTCCTTGACCAGCGCAAATTCGCTGAGAACCGAGTCAACGTGTTTTGTACTAACGTTGCCTGTCGTCGCATTGTCTATCACCCACTTCAGAAAGTTCAGGGAAGAGCTCTCCGCGGCCTCGTTGCACACAAGGCCCAAAGCTGACGGACCATCCCCAAATTTGTTCAATGTTGCACCATGTCGAAGTAACAGCAAAACCCGATTTTCCAATTCAAACATGTCTTCTTGGATAGGTGAATCCGTGCTGCTAGGGTGCTGAACAGGATACTCCACGATCGACGTTCGGTCCCTCCAAACATAACTTAGTAAACCGGACAGCAACGACATGGTGCGGAACAGAGGCTGCTTCAATTTCCGAGACACTCGGACCCGTGTAGTAGAAGTTGCATCCGCGCCGGCCTCGAGAAGCATCTTCATGCAGTCCGTATTCTGGGCGAAAGCGGCCGCAAAGAACAGCGGCTTAGCTTTACAATCCCCAACTGCCCCGTCCAGACTGTTTGCGGGTAGTTCGGTATCAACGCCGCGCTCTAACAACTCTCTGACCAATGTCGTCACATGGTCGTGTTGTTTCATCAGAGCACAGTGGAGGGGACCAAGTGGTAGTTTCCCAGTGAGTACTACTCTCCCAGGAGGAGCCTGACGATTACGCTGGGTGGAGCCCAAGAGATCGTCATTGGAAATCAGAGAAAGAAGTTTTGATGCGGTCAGCAAGTTGCCCTTTTGAATGGCATAGCCGGGAGTAGAGCGGGTTGGCTTTAGCTGAAGTTCCGCATCAACCAAGGCCTGCAAAAAAGCCTTTGCCTGGACGTCGCCCTTGCTACCAGCAATAAGGTGTTCTAGGCGGCGCAGGTCTTCGCCTTCCGGATATTCAAAATCGGGGTGGTTCAGAAAATGGAAGAAGAGCTCTTTACTTGCTGCCTGGGCGGCCATATGCAAGGCACTTTCGCTCCAGCCTGTTCGGCTACCAATGGAAAAAAGTGGCCTGTCTTCGAAAAGCCGGACAATGTCCACCCGACCCTTCAAGACTGCCAGATGAATGGGTTTACATTGGGCCTCGTTTGGGATGGAAGTGTCAATCCCGCGTCGCCGTAGAAGAAACCTGACAAGGTCCAAGTTCTCTCCGGCAGAGTTGATGGCTAGGTGCAGTGCACTGTTCCCCTCAATATCTTTGGCGTTGACGTCCACTCTCGAATCCTCAAGACACTGCATGACAAGCTCTAAATCGTCGGTCAAAGCACCGAAAAGAAGCTTTCCGACCAAAGACACGGTCATTTCTCTGGAGAAGGGTTGTGACAACGCCCTGGAAACCCTTGGCGAAAGCAGAGGGAAGTGCCGATAAACCCGGTCGGGAGCGGTAGGCCCCGTGTTTAACGAGCTTATTGGCCATCTCTTCGTGTCCCAGTCGCAAGGCTGCTTCAAGTGGATAGTCCTGGTGGCATTGGTGTTCTTTTTTCTCAACATCCACCCCGGAGAAATGCAACAATTTCCTCGAAGCCGGAGGAAACAGCGTCATAGAGGGGCGACCCCGCCATTTTGTCCCCGAGTTTCAAGCAAGTAAGCGGCATCAGAACACCGTTCACCTTCATATTATAGTATCCGTTATATCGTTTCTCTAAGCCGTACGAGGATAAGTCTGCACCATATTGGCGGGCTCGTTTGATAGTCTCCAGTCGGTTGTGACCGACGGCCCAGAAGAGGCAAGAGCAATGGTCTGGGTCGCGAGATAGATTTCGAGTGTACAGTTGCTCGTTCAATATATCATGGAAATGGCGGCTAGTCCGAGCAAACGCGGCATGGTATCTCGCGTACGTCTGATATTGCCATTCGCCCCCACACTTGTAGCGTGGTTCGTCGATTTTAGAAACGAAGGCCTTTTCGGGGGGGCGCCGAATTCCAAGTACATAGTTCGGCTATGCGCTGGACGATCTTAGGCGGTAATCTTTCGATGGGCGACATTCTGCTCCTAGGTGATGCGAATATCCAGTTGTGGTTTGGAGAGGAACACGCTCCCAGCAACTGAACGTTTTGCGGTTTATGTAGCTCAAACTGAATTCATTGTGGCGCAGTGTTGTTTTGAATGAAATAAAGAATTGAACAAGTGAAGAACAAGTGAATTCATTGTGGGTTCTGAAATTTTACCATCCCAATTACAAAGGGTTGCCTTGCTCGGCACGGCATTACAAAGGAAGTCATCAATCCTTCGATGTTTTCAAACCCGATGAGATTATGCATGCGTTATTACACTGAATGGAATCCTGTTTTATTTTGTGACTCACTTAGTATGCGAAGGTACGTATTTCAAAGCCAGTCACACAAAGCTAAAGATTAACTAAACTATCATGCTAAGAGTTGTGCCTAATAAAAGCCGACTTGAGGTAAACCGTAGTGAAACGCGGCCAAGATACTCAGATCCAGTCTGGTTCAGAGAATAGATACGCTACCAAGCCATGTGCAAACACACCTAGGGCTTCTCGTTCACAACACTCGGCTCGCCCGCGATATCAGACGAAGTGCGCCTCTCCTGCACACCCTTGGGCACCCCGTCCTCGGACTCGGCGTGCCCGCCCTCGAGGCCGCCGTCGGACAGGATGACGGGCTCGCCGACGATGACGCGGGGCTGGACGGCGAACTTGCCGTCGCCGCGCTGGATGCGGTGGGCGGGGATGAGGGCGTTGGCGAAGCGGGGGAAGATGGCGAAGCCGACGACGAGGACCATGACGATGTGCATGAGGGCGAAGCTGTAGATGAAGGGGGGGTCGTTGGCGTGGTTGTTGATGAACTTGGGGTAGGCGAAGGAGAAGACGATGCCGATCGCGGGGGCGGTGATGTACTTGAGGAGGACGGGCCAGATCCAGTGGAGTCTCCAGTTCTTGCCGGTCATGATGGCGGCGTTGATGTCGCTCTTGAGCTGGTTGCCCTGTTGTTATGTTGTGGTCAGCAAAGTTATTCAAGGGCGGTGATTCTAGTCATATTCGAAGGGCAGGTAAAGTGAATAAGAAAGAAGCTACCAGTAGAATTGAACATGGGCAAGAGAGAGAAAGCATATAGGGAGGTGACTTACACAGTAGAAGGCCGCGTACCAGAGACGGGCCAGGAATACGTTATTACCCCAGAATCCAGGGGCAGTAACGGTGGGCGTCTTACTCAGAACGACGGTACCAACAGTGCTGAGAATGTAGACGCCGAAACCGACACCGGCGCCAACCCGGGGGTCGACGACGTGGCCCAGGAGACAGCCGATGATGTGGGCGAAGACGTATCCAACGTTGTACAAGCCGAATCCGATCCAGCCAATCTGGTCGACTGGGTCCCTCCAGCGATACAGACTGGTGGCGAAGAAGATCTCGCACCAAACGGTGAAGAACAGAGCGAGATCGTTGACGAACATGTCGATGGCATCCAGAGTGTTGAACCCAAACTCACTGCAGTAAATCAAGGAAATCAGGGAGCCGCCGCCGAGCACGGAGAGGGAAACAACCCAGTGGGGGACACGCTTGCCCCAGTCAGTGTCGCAGATGAGAGTAACCAACACCTCGCTGAGGGCGAAGACGCAAGTGACTCCAAGAAGGAACAGAGTGAGGAAGAAGAGGGCGGAGAAGAAGTTGGAGCCGGGCATCTGGGCAAGAGCCTCGGGGTAGGTGAAAAATCCAGAGCTGAATGTAGATAAACGGGTCTCGCCAGGGGTCATGCCCAAATATCCAACGATGCCCATGACGGCGAGAGCAGAGATGATCTCAATGGCGGAGTTGCTGAGGGCGATGATGAAGGCATCCTGGACGGCGTTGGCGAACTTGTTGTTGTACGACGCGTAGGAGGTGAAGTAACCGAAACCAACACCGATGGAGAAGAACATCTGACCGAAGGCGTCCTGCCAGACTGTCGGTCCCTGGAGAGACTCTGAGCGCCAGACACCAACATAGAGCTTGTAGCCGTCAGAGGCGTTGGGGAGAGACAGCGATCGGATGGCCAAGATGCCAATCATGACAAGGGGCAGGGCCATGGTGATGTAGATGACACGGCCCTGGAGGCCGACGCCCTTGAACGTGCACATCAGGACCAGGGCCCAGGTGAAGAAGCACCATCCGGCAGTCTCGCCAACGATGCCGCGGCCTGGGTAAGACTTGTAGCCGCCGTCCTCTCCACCTACAGGATCAGGGTTGCGGACAACCGAGTACAGGAAGTATTCAGTGGTATCCTGTCCTGCCCAAGGGAGAGGCGACTGGAAAGACTGACGGAAATAAACCATGGCCCACGCCAGGATGGGCACGTAGTACCCAACGACAGTGAAACCGTTGAACACAATGGCCAGACCGACACCCTTGGCACGGTGGTTGACGTTGTTGAAGGCGGTGACGCAGCCGCCACGGAAGGCCTGGCCCAGGACAATCTCAAGAATGAGGATGGGAATACCAATCAAGAAGAGGGCGAAGACGTAGGGGATGAAGAATTGGAGGCCGTAGTTGTTGAAGACGACGGAGGGGAAGCGCAGCAGGTTTCCCAGACCGACAGCGCCGCCCATGGCGCAGAGGACGAATTGAGACCGGGACTTGAAGTTGTCTCGGCCATCTTCGTCCTTGTCTGCGTCGGGAAACACCAGGAGCCAGATCCTCTTACCGAGGCCCAGCTTGGCCTTTTCTTCTGAGCCCGCCATTTTAGGGACGGATCAGCGGGCGAATCAAAATAGACACAAGGTGAGACAATGAGTCGGTGTGCCTGCGAGGAAGAAAGTAGGGGAAGGGAGGAAGGGAGGATAACATAGGCAAGGACGTAGAACGAACGTAGGGGAGGGGGGGCAGCTCATATACACAGATGCACAGACGCGGTTCAGAGTAGTCACACCTCGCAGTAAAACATTGAGTGAGAATCCTTGAATATCTTGCTTCAAGCAGGGAAAGTACGCCGAGCCGCCGAGTACGCCAAGAACCTTGGCAGTGATACGAGAGATGATCAGCTGGTGGCAAGTGGTCTGGCTCGCTTCTGTTTGGAGGAGAGGTTCGGCCGATTCCGTATGCTTCTGGTCCTTTTCCATCCTTCAGGCTCTGAGCCATCCCCATAATATTCACAGAAATGGGGTGTGATACATCCCTACGAGGGCAATAAAGCTCACATCCATGAGACACGCGAGCTAGAACTGGGCTACACCGACCGGGAGAAGCTGTGGGGAGTGTGGGTGGGTTTCTAGAAGCCTGCTCAAATCGAATGGAGAGGACCGTTAAGCTTTTGGCTATGCATAGGCAGTCCCACAAACCCCCTTTTCCTCCTCCATCATCAATACTTGGCCCCAGTTGGATGCAACGATCTGACCATTGCTCCACCCGTGCCATACCGTCGTAAAAGGGGACTACTGGGTAGTTGAGCGATAAACCGCGGGAGACAGGATCGTGGTGTCCAGCCTACGCGGATTTAATTTGGGATAGCCGCGCCACGCGTCCTTTTTTCGTCTGGCTTCGGTCTCTTGCTCTGAGCAGCAGCCGCCAAAGGCATAGCAATCGAACCCCAGGAATCCATCTGGAACGGTTTCGAGGACCCTCCCCCGCCCTTTTCCCCCAGACGCCAAGCTGGTCAACTTGCTCGAGTTACGAGAGAGAAAGTGATGATCGAGTTTTACTTAGGTAAACAATGCCTGCTTCGGTGGATGGCGTCTGCATTTGCCAAGCCTCTGGGCATGGATCTTAGTCAACAAGGCGCTTTTGATCAGTCCCAACCAGGCAGGCTCTATTTCGTGGAGCCTTGGCCGGGGGGAATAGTCCCGGGTGGATATGGGGAAATTTTGTCACGCAGTAGGATCCTGGCAGACTGTAACATGGATTGCTGCCGTGTTGCCGGTCAGTCTGGCGATTATTTACCAGGTGATTGCGCCCAGCGTTGGGCATTCTCGCGGTAGGCAGGGGAGAAAAAAGCGCTCACATCGTGCCCCGAGCGTCGTCCAGCGTGTCGTCACCATGAAGTTTAATGCTCGCTCGCTCTGGTCGCGTGCTTCTCTTTGACGCAGCTCCAAGATCAGCAACATCTTGGCGAGGGAGAGCAATGGGTGTGTTCCCCTCACCTGGGCGTCTTGGGCTGCGCTCCCACTGGTGCCAAGCCCAGGGCGCCAAGATCTGGGGCCTTTTGGGACGCGTAAGAAAAGATAAGCAGCATTCGAGAAGCAGCAAGCCACCGATGTCAGCATGTGCTGGTTGGCAAAAGAGCCTCCGTCATTGGGTGTGTGCATGGCCGCGCCGCAACAGCCACTGGAACGTTGGTTTTAGGTTCTTGGCTATAAGGTTAATTCGTAAAATTGAATCCTTGCAACAGATGCCAGCGTGTCTTATCTCGCTTACCAGCGGCCTATCTTCCTTCGTGGGAGGATGGACGGGGGGAAAAGGTGTGGTGTGGTGCATTAGTCGAATTAGGCCTCGAGGCGTGCCACCACCGAAATAAGCATAATTTAGTAGCTAAAATTTAACTCTAACCCAGTAAAATTAACAACAGCCAACGAGCACTTCTGTGGCGACTCGTTTCAATTGACCTCGGTTTGTCTTTCATGCCAAAAGCGACAAGATTATTTTCTATTTATTAGATATAAATGAATAAATATATCTTGAAGAATAATGCTGCCAAATGAGGCCAGACTTTGGCCCCTGGAGCAAGCATGGGAATAATTGCCGAAATGAGAGTAACATGTGATCGCGACCGGAATCACCCGTTTCTTTCTTCCATACCCACATCTCCTCGTCGTCGCGATAAATGTCTGAGCTGGAAGACTAGAATTTACGTTAGGTATTACAATTTCATCAATGCATTATTTACCACCAAATACAGCATGCAGGTCAATAGAAAGGCAACACTTACATTTGGCCGCAGCTTATCGCCACATGATGAACCATGTATCAATGCGTCCCCATGCCAAGTGATCTTGCGGGGGTGGCGAAACTTGGATTTATCCACAGCCTCGTGAGAACATCTTCCGCCAGTGTCTGACTTGGCTGCGAGATCTTGCTTTCTGCAGGCCAAGATGGTGCAGAGAGAGATGTGAAGATATGAATCAGCGGATGCAACCTCCTCCCAGGAAGAGTCCCAAGTCAAGATGACTTGGAAGGCCAAGACAGGAGCGAGGCGTAGGGCTTGGCGCCACCTGGGCTAGTGTCTAGGCGCCCAGATGGCTAAGATTAATCCTATCCTCTTCCAACGACCTTCCTATATCTACCGTTTCCAAGAGCATCTATCGATCGAGCAGTCGGGTGTTCCCACTTGCGACACGCCCGATCTGGTCGCCTGCAGAAATGCAATGTGATGGGGTCAGACAACCCCACCACTTGAGAGGCAGACGCACCGGGGTGGTTGATAAGCTTTTGCGGTATGATTCGAAGCCGTGGTGGCTGACGCGTGGGATCCAGGGGTTGATACAGGTCCTAGGTTCGACTTCCAAGTGAAACCCTGCCGGGATTATGTGATTATGTGCTTAACTGTGCGAACATCGGGCACGTTTGCCGCAGGGTCTCAGTAGTTCCTCACAAGGCTAAGATGTTCGTCCAGGCCTTTGCTTTCAGGGAATTGGCCCAAACAAAATATCACAGTCACTGGGCTGATCGCGAAATTTGAATAGACGGCATGGAAACACCCCGTTGTGAGTATAGGCGGTTGAAGTTACGCAGCAGTGAACTTGATTACATGCAATGGGTAACTTCGGGAACATATTTCTAAGAGTTGGCTCTGTTGAGAAGATACTAGGTGATATCATATTAATTCCGTAAAAGAGCATCGGTGAGCTGAACACTAGGGAGTCTTGTCATGCCTGATAGCTGATGCAAGCCTACCTTTAACTACTGTAACTCTCCCTTCCAATTACCCCAAGTCAATCGTCCGGTAGTGGTCAAGAAAGGTTACGTGGGAAACCCTCTTTTCGTTAAGCTGAGTGACATGATTGTAACTCATAGTCGATTCAGCACCAACAAGTCAAGACCTTGAGGCATGCAATTTCTCATTGTTGCCGTGTTCTACGTACGCTCTCTACTCATAGGTGTATATGCATCCCCGGCTAATACGAATCCAAAATGATCCTCTCGGGTTTGTAGCGCTCTTAGAAGAATACATTTCGGATCACTTCATTAGATGATGCTACTAACAGCTCAAGTCAAGGCGACTTCCCTCACGTAGCTTTTTGTCCAATGCACGTTTGCCACATTCAAATTCATCTCACAATATGTCGTTATTGCATTCATTGTCCACAGTGGGTAGCCGCGCTCTGGAACCAATCACGATATGCCAGTAGGACAAATGGTAGGGTGTGTCTATTCATTCCGAACAATTATAACAACATCCAGTGAAGAAGAATTCAGCGACGACTTTTTCACAGCCCATCGCTGATCGGTCAGGGGCCACCAATCTGGCTACCAACCTCTCAAATCCGACTCAGAGCCTAGATAACTTACCCAAATGCCAACGTCATGATTCTCACAAGGAAATACAATGCACAGAGACCGAATGTCTTTCATACCCGGTCTAACTTAGCAGCGTTCACCAAAATAATAGATATCAAGTATGTTCAACAATGTTAGATGCATGCACTACTTTACAGTTTTGCTATTCATTGTGTTGGGATGTCGGGTCTGGCATCTTCATTGCTGTGTTTTACTTTGTACTCGAACTCTCTTACCCGTACTCTACAGTTTACTTATCCAAGATCTCAGGACACATCGGATTCAGAACCAGCGAGCTTTCCGCAACTTTTTCCCTCTTAAAATCATCCCCCTACAGCGGGATAGAAAATGAAAGGACATATTAAAAAGAGAAATTCTCAAGCACCTTCGAGACGGAACTATCACAGCACGGTTATTTCCAGATCTGTCACCTTCTTAAACATTCCAGCACCAGGATCCTAACACAACGCACATACGTCTCGTGTTTAAGTTACGAGAGAGAAGCTTCTGAGTTTTGGAGTGTGGTTCCTGCGTAATAGGATACCGATGGAGCAGTATCCAGTCGCGACTAGAATTACATGTCCACCATCACAACGACATTCATTTGGAATCCGACTCTTAGGAATAGGGCATTAGTGCAAACTCGACTCTGCCTCGTACTCTAGATATTAAGCGAGAAGCATATTTGCCAAAATTGGATATCGGTCCTAGAGAATCCTATCAACATGCAAAAGCTTGGATCTCACAAGCAGAAGAGGAATGAGGAAAACGTACCCGCGCCAAGCCGTGTCGCCCGCTTCAGTATTATTTCAACGCGGAGGGCGATCTAGATATTGCACTCAGCAGCCTATGAAGGAGGCGATGTGAGATTTCATATTCCTGGGACCGTGTTGTAGTATCGATTGGAAAACTCATTGACCTGATGGCGCTCGGTCTTGTTAGCCGTCGATTCATGCGAGAGTCAAAACAAACAAACAAACAAACAATATTGCAATCATCCTGCGTGCTGCGAACCTGACCTTCGGACTTATACTATGGTCGAAATATAAGGGAAATGGAAATAAAGGACTTGCAATCTCAGGAACCTGAAACCGCAAAGTCGTACAATCTTGCACTCGATCTTTACAAGCTCTCAACAAGTGAGGATTACAATCAATACAAAGTCCGACTGTATAATTCATTTTTTAAATGAATACTGAAGTGTCGGACCTGGCCTAATCACGAAAGGCTAATATCACGACAACTCGAAGGATCCGGCCATTGGATCCGGTTGTTTGATTGGCCAAGTTACACTGTCGCCTGAATTAGAAGCACCTCCGCGATTAGGCTAGGCACCAGCCTGTCCACATAATTGATTCAAAGGGCGTACGTAGGCTGTTAAATTCCCCGCGCCGTGACGCGACAACATGGAGCCTAGTTCACAATTTCATATCAGCGTTCTTAACTTTTGAGTTGTGTATTCTCATTCGTGTGCTTCACCGATAGAAACAATGACGGACCAGAGTGAACCTGAAATTATCCTATACGATCTGGGGTCTCTCCAGAACGAGCCTTTCTCTCCCTTGGCCTGGCGCATCCGCCTGATGCTGAATTATAAGGGCATCCCCTACAAGACCGTCTTCCTCGAGTTTCCAGATATCGAGCCTACACTCAAGGGGTTGTAAGTCGTGTTATTCTTTGTCATGAATGACAAGAGCAGAATACTAAAGTCTTCAGCGGCATACCGCCACACCAGTCGCAATATGTCGACTACACTGTGCCGGCGATCCACCACCTGCCGACAAACACGTACTTGATGGACTCGCCAGCCATCTCCGAGTTCATCGAGTCAAAGTACCCGCATCCAGCAGTGCCCCTAACATCTGAGCTCGGCGTCAAGATCCAGGAGAAGTTCCGCGACGTGATCAATCCGATCTTCCGCATCTCTGTCATGCCCCGCGTCTATCACATCATTTCGCCGCGAGCCCAGATTTATTTCAGGAAAAGTCGTGAGACCCTCACCGGACAGACCTTGGAGGAACTGGACGACCCCGTGAAGGCGGACCAGGCCTGGAAATCGGCGGATGGTGACCTGAGTCAACTGAGCGATTGGACGCTCACGCACAAGGATGACGGGCCATTTGTGCTGGGTGCCCAGGTGAGCTATACTGATTTCTGGATCATCGGTATGCTTGAGTGGGCTAGAGTTGCGAATCGGGCGGCTTTTGACAAGGTGATGGAGTATCCTGGTGTCAAGCGGATTCACGAGGCGTGCCAGCCGTACATGAAGAAGACGGATTAAATCTGGCTGCCGATAAACCCCGGTGTAAGATGTCACAAGTAAAATCTGGCCCTTTGTCCGTATATTGCTCCCCGCTGAGATGTGACCGATGCTGGGAACTGGTAGTCTTCGATCGAATATCTGCAGAACTCACTATTTTATTGCGCAGTAATTTATACTCAATCCACGTGCACTATTTGAGAAGCAATTTGAAACAAGGAGAGGATCAGTGTTCGAACTGGTCCGGGGAACTAGTATGGTATTACTTCCAACAAGTAACAATTCCTCATAGTAATCCCCTAAGTAAGATAAATGGGTTAAGACTACAGCATGAAGTAGACCCAATACGTTGCATATCAATATGGTCGCACTACGAATAACGAACCCTCCGATGTCTGCGCTCTTTTTGTTCATCTGAAGAGAATACAGTTGGTATCGTCGTTTCTACTGCCATTGCCATGGTGCCCTACAGGGTAGGCAACAACACAGGACTTGCAGAACTCGGGACAGAAACAGAACCTCCTTCCACAGTCGGTATAGGCAGATCTTCCAGATCTCTCTGCCAAGGACAACTAGTCTCGTGTGGACGTGTTATTCTGGTGGTCAACCATGACGCGATCTACAGTGGTTACACTACAGAATGGGAGGCATCTTCTACCCCATGACAAAGAGCTAATCACGTTGGAAATAATTTCAACTACATGGCAATTGTATATGGGTATTATTAAGAGGAGTACTAGAAACATATGAGAAACATGGCTGAGCTGTCATTCAATGACATGTGGGCAATTCGTTTTCAATCTTGGATGAATCGCGATTCCATCTCCCTGGCGCACAACTGCAACTTGAGAGATACACCCTTATTCTGCCTCTACCGGCTTGCTGCTGGGAAGGGCATACTTGCCCATCGACGTCACCTTGGTGGCCAGCTCGGTAATCACCTCCGCCCACACCAGCTTCTGCACCTTTCGTGCGTGTGCACAGGTGACTGCGCGCACCGTCTGGCCCAACCTGGAGGCTTGCGTTAGTAGTTTGGGAATGAGAAGTGATCATGTCCGACTTACTTGAGGTAGTTCTCGTATGAATACCAGGCAATGGCGAATTTCCCCTGTAGAGGCGACCGTCTGTCAGCTTTATCCACCAGGTAAGTTGGTACGGGGTCTGCTTACGTGGTCTTCCTTGGGTCGCGTAGCCGCCTTGACAAAGTATCTGGCACCGTAGGATGGTATCTTGCCACCAATGAAGAAGTAGAGGTGTGTCGCATGCTTGAAGAACCAGTTGACGCCGGCGGTCTTGCGCGCAATGTCGGTACGGACGAGACCGGGGCAGACGGGACTGATGATTACCTGTGGTCTTGGGGAACCGTTCAGCGAAGCTCTAGACGTATCTCCCAGTTAAATAAAACCTACTCGCCATCCTCCCCGCGGGCTAGGTCAGCCAATCCCTCGATAACATATGTGAGCAGGAGCTTGCTTTCGGCGTAGTGAGGCCTGGCGGTGGGATACCACGCGGGCCAGTTCTTCTTGTCGCTGAAGTGCTGCAAGATGCCGCCCTCCTTGGAGTACTTCTCCCACTGCTCATTGGTGGTGTACAGATGATCTCGCGAGGTCACGATGACGATGTGCGCCGGGTCTTGTCGGACGCTCCGCTCCTCCTTCATCCAGTCTACGAAGAGCAGGGCCAGCAACGAGGTGCTGAGCGTGTTGACCTGCAGCGTCTCCTCCCTGCGAGCGACAAAATCAACTTCAATTCATCCGACGGGGCTGGCCAAGGGCCTCTTACCATCCCTCCTTGCTCACGACGTATTCCGCGCCGAGGACGCCCGCGTTCAGGACGGCTGCGTCGATCCCACCCTTGCCGGCGAGGTCCTCCTTCAGATCGTCGACGAGCTTGACACACGAATCGTACGAGTTCATATCGAGCTCCTTGAGCGTCACACTGCCTGTCGAGCTGGTGGACGCCGCCTCGATTGCCTTCTTGGCGTTCTCTCCCCGGGTCGCGTCGCGGCAGGTGATGATGGTGTGGGCGCCGAGGTTGACAAAGTGCTGCGCGGCAGCCTGGCCGAGGCCGGACGTTGCGCCGGTGACGAGGACTGTCTTGCCATCGAACGAACCGGCCGGGGGCAGCGGCTCGGGGATGTAGCGGCCGAGCAGACGGCGAAGTGGGAAGCGATAGATGGGCATCCTGGCGACGAAGGGAAAGGATATATCAATTAATTAGTAGGTACCTATGGTAAACTGCCGAGTGAATGAGTGACGGAATTCAGAAAGACAACGGTCGCGACGGAACAACGGCGAAGTGGATGACGATGACGGCGGACCCCTTTCTTATTATTTACCTTATCAAATGGTACCTAGGTATCGGGTAATACGGTAATAATGCACTGTCTAATTGAATCGGAAATTGGCCCAAGTTTCGACTTGATAATGCTGACTGTATGTGGCGGGTCCGGCACTGCTACCGAGTGACATTGTGCCGTGGTGCCGCCTTTAGGGCTGTTCAGCGGGCTTGGCGCTGTAGCCTCTCCGATCGTAGCGCTGGGCAGACCGGGCTGCCACCGCTGATGCGTCCACGGCGCCGACAGTACAGCGTCCTCACAGGGCCTTCACAAAGCAGCGCTCAGGCCTTGGCCCAACTGGGGACGGTGCAAGTCGCGAGGGATCAGCCCGGTCTCAGCTTGAAGCAACCCAGCAGCGATAATAAGCCGCGCTATGCCCCTCGCAGCATTTTAGGGGCTCGAATCTCGCCATTCTGCCTTAAGAACCGGCTAACAGCCAAGCAAATTAGGGCTGCCGTGGAGGGTTCGCGATCCTACGAACGATGCTGACATGTGGAGGCTCGGTATTGATGAGTGCCCAGATCCCAGGCCCATTTGATTATTGGTGGCACAACGCTCGGATTCGCTTCCCACGTGGATGCTTCCGAGCCCTAGAGCTTAATCTTTATGCTGTTTATCATGATGAGAGTCACGTGTCACTCAGTTGGCTATTTGAGAACACCCTTCGCAGACATCCGACCAGTTGGCGGTAGTATGACCAGAACGGCCCTCGGAAGCTACCAAGGAACAAAGCTACACACATACATTGAGGACAACAACTCCGCTCACAGCCTGCCCCAAATCAGCTGAAGCAAGCAGCAGATTACCAAATAGAAGTCTCGGAAAGTCATGAGTGACTAAATATTTAGAAACGCATCGACGCTAATACCTTATTTGGTGGAGGCATCTCCTCTCTTATTGCTTGTTGGCAATTGTCATTTGGTGGTTGCATAAGGTAACCTGCTCCCCCTTGCTCAAATTAGAGTATTCGAATATTCCATTTCAGAAGATCATTATGGTTTTATTGCTTTATCTCTTTGCTACGTTCACCCCGCACAAAAGGGCTTCATAAATGGAAACGCATCTCCCACCTCAGGTCCCACCCTCCAGTTATCCGAGTTACGAATGTGTGCCTCGAAACTCGGATGAAGCAGCATCGTCTTCTTATCCGGCGACTCGATTATTGCCGTCGAGTCCGGATATGGCCACCGAACGGTGATGCGATTCCCGCCCAGCCTCCTAAACTCCTCGAACCGGCCCCAGTCCATCTCGGTGATGATGGCGTCCCGCGCGGCCGGCCACACGATCGTGTCGACCCATGCGGGGTGCGGCACCGTCAGCTGCAGCTCCGTCGGCCGGAGGAAAGGCGGGAGGAGCTCGTACGTCTCCTTGGAGCGGCAGACGAGCCAGCGGATGAGGTGGGATAGGGTGTACATGAACCCGATGCGCTCGGCCAGCGTTTTCACGGTGGAACGCCAGACCTGGGCGGCTATGGCGTCGAAGAAGGATCGGGCCATGTCGCGCTCGTCCTCCTCCGGGCGGTTTAGCAGGGAGCCGATGCTGGGGAATACAGGCTGGCGGAACTCTTCTTGGCGGTTCCCGAGACGGGATATTCGTGCGCTCCATGATTCGGTAATGGTCTTGATGACTTCTTCGATTTTGGATGAAGGCTCTATATGGAGGGGGAGCCGTTGCCAAGTAGGTAGGTCGATATTCCCTGAGGATGTGCTGGTCCAATTGAAAGATTGCGAGTTGGCACTCGAGACCGCGAGATGTTCGGGTGTCTGCACTGTGGACTGAACAGAGTCAATTGAGTTGGTGATATCAAAGTCGAGTAAGTCAATTCCTTGGCCAGAGTTCAAGGCATGGATCGTTATTCCAGTCCCGAAATCAAGGGGCAACGCGGGAACACAATCGTGGTCTGTTAGTTGTTGATGGAGGGCAGCGCTGAAAAGGATATGGTCATGATGGTCTATCTCTAGAGAAGCTCCCGTAGATGGTGTCCTAGGTGTAAGGGGCGGTGCGGAGGCGAGTTTTTGTTGTCGCTCCTCCTCGGCTTGTTGATACTGATGTACGCGACCCTCCAGCTCATGAACTTGTGCGGTGAGTTCGAAGACTTTCTGCTCCAGCGCTTTGATGTACGATTTATTTTTCGCTCGGTGATATCGTTGATTGTCCCGGTCAATCGCCCGCTTCTTCTCGGCTTGCTCGGAAGTGAGATTCGAGATGCGGCGAGCGACGTTGATCGTGATTGAGGAGTTTGCTGTGGTAGGCCGGTCCATGATTGGTACGAAGGCTTTCAATTCAAAGCCACCAGATGGCCGAGATGACGACAATGAGACCTCGATGAAAAAGACCGATGCAACTTGACAGTGAAAGCTCCAATCTTAAGGGGGGCTACGGCTCAACGTCACCATCTCGTGCCATCTCCACCTTCTTGTATGACATGCTACCAGGATCGAATGACACCATCGCAAACTAGGATCCCGCCGTGTCATGTTAGTGCCTCTGGGGTCCATCTCCGATATCAGCTCCAGAGTTCGGGCATGAAATCGCCCTTGGCTTTCAGTCATAAAACCGAGCATGCTTTCTCTCCTAATGGCAAAAATCTCATCAAGTTTAGGTCTCGCCATCCAGAGCTACAATGATGAAACCTGCACTCTTCGCTCTCGTGGCCTCTGCTGCGCATCTAGTGGCGGCCACAAAACCCAACATTCTTTTCATTCTCACTGATGACCAAGACTGGTATGTCCCACAAAGTGTATTTGAACAAAAGGAGGAAAATGCTAAAGTTAAGGCTCTAGGCACATGCAATCGCTTCAGCACATGCCTTTGCTGCAAAAGTACCTGCTTCACGAAGGCACTCTCTACTCCAACCACTACTGTACTGTCGCCTTGTGCTGCCCTTCCCGTGTCAATCTATGGACAGGTCGCGCTGCACACAACACCAACGTGAGCACTGCCTTTTTATTCAACCATATAGCACGTAGTTGACAAACAGATACTTAGGTCACGGATGTTTGGGCACCTTACGGTGGTTATCCCAAGATTGTTCGGGAAGGCATCAATGACAACTATCTGCCACACTGGCTGCAAGACGTCGGCTACAACACCTACTACAGCGGCAAGCTCTGGAATCACCACACCGTTGACAACTATAACGCGCCTTATGCCGGTGGCTTCAACGGGTCTGACTTCCTGCTCGACCCTCACACCTACCAGTATCGCAATGCAACCATGACCCGGAACGGTGGCCCTCCCGTAAACTACGCAGGCGAGTACTCACCTGACATCACTGCTGAGAAGGCCTACGGATTCCTCCACGAGGCCCTTTCGCATGACAACCCATTCTTCCTGGTCCACGCCCCTATTGCCCCCCACTCTAACGTTCATTTCTTCCCCGAATTCCTCGCCGACAAGCCCATGTACGCAGACCGTCACGCCCATCTGTTCAAGGACTACCATATCCCCCGAACAGAGAACTTCAACCCCGAAGTTCAGGGAGGCGTGAGTTGGGTCAAGGATCTCCCTCGGTTGAATGACACCGTCATTGAGTACAACGATGAGTTCCAGCGTGCCAGACTCCGATCCCTCCAGTCTGTGGACGAGATGGTGGAGAAGATGGTCAAGATTCTCGATGCGGCCGGACAGCTGGAAAATACTTACATATTCTACACGACGGACAACGGTTATCACATCAGTCAGCACAGGATGCACCCTGGCAAGGAGTGCGGCTTCGATACTGATGTGCACATTCCTTTGATTGTTGTGAGCATCTCCCCTTTCGCATCCTAAAGACTGATAGAACTAATGCTAATTCTTCGTTCTATAGCGCGGACCTGATGTCCCTGCTGGCCATATATCAGACGCCGTGACCGCACACACCGATCTTGTCTCGACCATCATGCACCTCGCAGGCGGGTCCGTTCCCGACACCGACGGACTACCCATTCCCTTGACCAAAGAGTCCGAGGGCGAATCGCGACATGAGCATGTCACCATCGAGTACTGGGGCCTGGCCATCCCCGAAGGCGTTTTCGGATGGTACGCCAACAACAGCATGAGCGATCCTGGGTTCTATGTGCCAGGAAACGCGGCCGGCAACAACACCTACAAGGCCATCCGCATCATCGGCGAGAGCCACAACCTCTACTACTCCGTCTGGTGCACAGGAGAGAAGGAATTCTATGATCTCAAGGTGAGTAGACAGCACGGGCCGCCTTCAATGCCCCCCAGCAACTAATCATTCGTTAGGAGGACTCTGGGGAGACCAGGAATTTACTCGCCGAGGAGCATTCATCGGCCTACTACACTCTTGCCGGTCGCTCTTTCGATCAGATTGTACCCCGCCTTGATGCGCTGATGATGGTTCTTAAGAGCTGCAAGGGTCGATCGTGCATCGAGCCATGGAGGGAGCTGCACCCCTCAGGAGACGTGACGAGTCTTCTGGACAGCTTGGAGGCGAAGTTCGACGCATTTTATGACCACCAGCCCAAGGTCTCGTTTGCGAAGTGTGAGGTTGCGTATTTTAGGGAGAATGAGGGGCCCTTTGACGTGAACAGGTTCGGGGTTGAGGACGAAACCGCTGAGGGGGCTTGGAAGTGGTGGCATGATGCGGAGTTGAAGCGCAGTGTAGAGAATGGTGCGAACAGGGGTAAGTGGAGTGATTGGACTTAGATGTGTGATGAATGGCGGCCATACTGGAAATAAAGATAGACGAGGGAGGGCAAATGGGCTATCATCTGGATGACGGTTCAAGTAGATATTTTGGTTGGCCATGTCTTCTGCCTTTCGACTAAAGTCTGAGGGATTCAGGGTTTTAGATAGTCCATTGGGCGATGCGAGGTCTTGTAGGAGGCTACTACGTAGCTTATACTTAAAATCTTACCTCACTCAACAACATATTTTCATGGATAAAATGAAGGAGGAGGGTTGGTCCGTCAGCGTTGTCAGGTATCCAGAGAGACACACTTGGAAAAGTGCACTGTTCTATAGATACTTCATTTTAAAGTTGTACCTAGGACTCCATAAACGGGAGCTTCTCTATTGTTCTCCGCCATAACCATCTAGATGCTTCCCGCCAACGTTTATGGGTGATAAACAAACCCGGCGTTTCCCTTCTTCTTGTTCAAGCGGTTAAGGTTCCAGTACTGCACGTTCGCTACGACGGAAGAGACGAATCCAATGCATGACAAGGCAACTGACACTGACCAGCCCACTTTATAGTTGGGAGCATCACTGGCCTGGAAAATCTGTCCGCCTACGATGCCGGACGCATTAGCAGCCATGATCAGAATCGCCATAGTTATTGACCGTTCACCGGCTGATTTGGCGTTCAGCGCCATCCAAGAGCCGTTGATCGGATCTACCGAACTAGTTAGAACAAACCCAAGCAAAACTGTTTAGAATTTCGGTTGCTTACGCCAGTTGAAGCTGAATGCGTATATGACTGTGATGATGGCATACTTGGCCGTAACCTTGTCAGTCTCAGCGATACAGCGCTGAGCAATCTACCCGACTTTATTAGTGACATGAATGGCCCGTATCACAAGTCAACTGGACTCACTAGAAAAATGAAGCTGATAGAAGTGCCAAACATGACCATGGGTCCACGCTTTCCCCATTTATCACTGCGTAATGTTAGCCGATAACGGTCGACACATGCGTAACCAGTGTTACGTACGCGGCCCAGCCCCAGAGAAGGGTAACAGGGATGAGGATCCAGTAGCCAACCGAGTTCATGGCGTTGGCTTCGATAGCTTTGTATCCGTAGGACGCGACGATCGAGGGACCAAAGGACGACAAGGAGGCGATGGCAGAGAGACTGCCGAGGGTAGTCATGACATGGGCGATGAGTTTCCAATTAGTGAACTGTAATTTTATATTATCAGCATCCAATGACTTAGATTATCATGTTAACCAGGTTCGACGTACAACTGCCTTCAATTCTTCTCTGCTGACGTGGGTGTGCGCATGTTTCTTCGTGGGATCGTCGAGCAAAACTCGTTGTGTAATGATGTGGGCTTCTTCTTCGGTGAAATGTCGCAGCCCGGCAAGAGATACCGGGTTGGAAGTCGATCGAGGGAATAGTGTGATGAATAGAACCGCGATGACAATTGTGAGCATTCCTTCAAGCTGTTGCGTGACGGTCAGTTGCAAGTAGGTGATTCAACAGGGGGATGGTAAACCTACAAGAAAGAGCCACTGCCAACCGGAGAGATTTGCAATCCCTCTCATTCTTAGGCTTTAAAAAGGTTAACGTGATTAGGTGAAGGGTATTTTCAGATCGAGAGACCTACATTCCGAAGGCCAGTAGACCAGCTCCGGCGTTAGCCACCATGTTTCCTAAGAAGAACACGGCGAATCGCTTGCTGATTTCATCCTTCTTATAGAACCTCGTCATAGTGTACAGGCCAGCAGGTATATAGCCGCATTCGCAAATTCTGTGAAGATCAAAACTTGTTAGCTAAAAACTATGGCAGTAGAAGAGCTCATCATAACTCACCCCAGAAGGAATCGCGTTGCAATGTATGGACCATATCCATGTCCCTTGATAAACGCCTGGAATGTAGCTACCAACCCCCTTTCCGGGCGTTAGCATTCATCTGGAGTATTTTCAGAAGCTGCAGATACGAACCAGGCGACGATTTGAAACCCGATCCAAATAGCAGGGCCGACCTTGTACAAGACCAGATTGCTAGGGATTTCAAATAGAACAATACCTAAGTACATGAGTTGATTGCCAACATTGTACTCGAATTGGGTAATGCCAACTTCCTTCAGAAAATTGTCGGTCATGGCATTGCCGCTTGAAAATGGATAAGCAAAACCTATGGAATAGAAGAATGAATAGCACGTCGACTTACATGTTTGAGCGATCCAGTTGTAGAACAGCAAAACCCAGAATCAACAATGGCATAATCGCAATATCAATACTATGATTCATCAGCTTTAAACCTATCAGACGAAGATGCCGGGTATGACACTGCCGTACCGACGAACAAGTCTCTTCTCCTGCTCGGCCGACCAGTAAGGGGCCTGGATTGGCTCCTGGCTGTGGGCAGAACCCTCGGAATCAACCAAGACATTGCCGACATGCTTTTCGTTCTCGTTCTCGCTCATTTTGACGGCGTGAACCCGAATAAGATCAGGTTTTGGTGTCCAGTTTGGAAATGTGAGCACTTGGTAGCAGGGTCGTTAGTTTGACAGAGTCCGCAACTTTCTCACCGGAACCATGTGTTCTATTATGCAACCTCATTCCAATACGGGAGATGAACTGCGGTGTACGAATCTGCGGCTGCGAAGAGCCGGACATGTTCGTACTATTGATATCGAATTGCCTCTAACATGACTCGTGCGGGGGTGATGAAAGCCAAGGGCCAACCACACTCTTGGGAAAGCAGCGTGTTTGAAGTTGTTCAATTCCGCCATCGAAGCACGTCATTGTCTTACAAGGCATCCAGTATACACATCCCTGCAAGGAACTTCTCTTTACCGCTATCGGGTTGTTGAGGAGCGCGGAGAAGGACGGCGAGCATTGCGCCCAGCACTCTAACATGACAGATGCCGCATCTTGGGCGATGGGTCTTGTCCTTGTTCATCATTCGGACCCGCTCGCACGCCATCGTTCCACGCACACGGATTGCGAAACCGCACGGGTTATCGGGTCGGGCGGATGGTAGAACATAGTTGAAGGGCCGGGATAGCGAATTTTGGTATTGGGACATTGTAGCAACAGGGGTCTAATCTGTCTAGTCGGAAGGTCCTTGTCAGAATGTCAGGATGGTCAGAGTGGGTTTTCAAAGATGTTTGACATGCACGGCTCTCTGATTTATTTGCTACCCTGCCGCCATTTTTGAGGTCGAGCGTGGCCCCAAACTTGAGACCTGTGACAATAGACAAGATGGGGGACTCATTGCGTCCCGTACAGACAAAATCAACCCTCGTAGTGTCGCTCACGGAGGAGTTGACCCCTGATGAGACCACTGCTCTCCTCATCCAGAGGCAACAAGATATCGAGGTAACAAACAGAACGATTTGCCGTCTTTACAAATAATAGACTCTGACTAGACTCGCCAGGAAAACCGCGACGCAGAAAATGGATCGCCGTCTAACCACGAAGTTTCGGCAAAGAAAGCCCCAAGCTCTCGATCAATCTTTGTTACTCTGCAACTGCTACTGATTGGTATGATTAGATGGCAAGTTTTGTAGACTCTGCTCTAATAGACGCATCGCAGGTGTTTTTATTTCTCAGGCTGATGCAACACTGGTTCTTGCCACGTATGGAACTATTGCTTCCGAGTTCAACGACCTGCAGAATGGGAGCTGGTTGATATCGAGCTATATGCTTGCCATGTGTACAGCGCAGCCTTTGGTGAGAACAGTTTGTCGCTGCTAATTTGTATGGTAACATACTGACTTGTCTGTAGTACGGAAAATTAAGCGACATTTTCGGGAGGAAGAATATGCTCCAAGTCTCCTACGGCTTATTTGCCTTGGGTAGTCTGTTATGGTAGATCCCCCTTTTTCCCAGAGGATCGAATTGCACTAACAAGACGCAAGTGGATTTGGGCAATCGATTTTGCAACTCGTCGTAGCTCGCGCTATCCAAGGATTGGGTGGTGCTGGCATGGTATGTCTCGTGTCAATCATCATTACCGGTATGTGCAAAATCGCCATCCTTAACTGAATTGTGGTACTGATTTCAATAGATCTGGTCCCACTCAGAGAAGTGGCATCGTATAGGAGCTATGTGAATATCATTCAAACCATGGGTCGATCTTCCGGCGGTGCTATTGGAGGCTTCCTTGCCCAAGCGATCGGTTGGCGATGGTCAGTACATCGCCCCAAGCTTGGCGTGCGATAAAAAGATTTCTAAATTACAAAACTGCAGGGCTCTTTCCGCTCAGTCTCCCTTGACTGTCATTGCAATGGGCCTCATGACCGTTAGCCTGGCTATCGACAGCAAGCAAAAGGGAAGCCAGGAAGGAGATGATGCTCCGCCGCCGACTCTTACGCAGAGTCTGCGCCGTGTAGACTTTGCCGGCGCTCTCTTCATGAGCATCTCAGTTCTGTCATTGCTTCTCATTCTTGACGTGGGAGGTGAGAAAGTTCCATGGAACTCTCCCTTGATACTCATATTGCTGGGAACTAGCTCGGCCGCTGGTGTTCTGTTCATTTTTACCGAGAAGAGATGGGCCGCTGAGCCTGTCTTCCCTCTCCACCTTCTTTCAAACAGAAATGTGTTAACGCCATACTTTATTTCCACCTTGCAGAATGCAACACAATGCGTAGTACGTTTTGATCACTCCCTCTAATTACCCTCTCCTAACAAGCCATTCTAGCTCGTCTTCGTCATTCCTCTTTATTTTCAAGTAACTCAGAATTCAAGTCCCGGGGAAGCAGGGGTCTACTTGGTCCCTACCGTTGCTGGCAACGCTATCGGAGGACTCCTTACTGGCAGAGCGATCAAGAATACCGGCCGATACAAGCTCGCAACCATCCTGGCCCCTGTAAGCTCATGCTTCTGTTTCGTGCTTCTTCTATTTTTCTGGAACGGAAACACACCAATTTGGCAGTCCCTCTTGGTCTTCTTCGGCGGATTTGGAACCGGAATCGCACACTCGGCCATCTTTGTGGCCATCGCAGCTGGCGTCGACGAAGAACACATGGCTATAGCGAGCTCCGGTCTCTATCTTAGCACGAGCGTTGGCGCTGTAACCGGCATATCAGCTGGAAGTGCCGTTATGCAAGCCGTTCTACGGCCGGCTTTAGAGAAATCCCTGTTTGGCGTTGTACCGAACGCTCAGGAGGTATGATCATCTGAAAGCTATGTCATTTGTCTTCTATTCTAACATGTTAGCCAGGTGGTGAACAACGCACTGTCAGATATGACATACGTTCAAAACCTGGAAGGCTTGGCTCACGAACTCGTCGTGGACGCCTATCTACAGAGTTTCCGGGGAATGTTCATTCTGTGCATCGCCCTAAGCTTTCTGTGCTTCCTCGCTGGATTTTGGCTTCGGGAAAAGCGTCTAAGTTGACAAGTTTTTCGATTACGACAGTTAGGTCGATCTAAAAGCCACATTGGGCCAGCTACCAATATTTTAAATGAGACTTCAATCCTGTCCTTTCGATCATGCTTGAAATAAAAAGGCTAGGAGGGATTTAAGACACATATAACAAACATAAAAGTATCATCTTACCTATTGATGGATGGTTAAGCTGTACTTTGGGGGAGTTCTTACTGAATTTAGAGATGGGTTGGAAGGGAAATGCTCTACCTGTACGTACTGGCCCGCCTAACGTCAATAATAGTCTTCAAGGCAATTAGTTAAACGACCTCGATTACACAAATTCGCCCCCCCTCTATTACGGAATAAGCGTTAACGGTTTTTACTGATCTAATACTGATCTACTACCAGGTGGATAAAAAGTCTGGTGGTAAAAAATTGGTCTAACGGCGCTGCTGTTTTGGGGCTTGTGAATAGGACAGCTATTGAGTTTCCTTTTGTGCGCAATTTTCACTATACAGAGCTTGAGAATGATATGTAGAAGATCTAGTGGCTCAACTTTTTGATTCTTTCAATCTTTCTCATTTTCTACATGAGATCTGCTATTCTTTTCGTAGCCGCACCAAGTTTGCCCTTTGAATAGAGAGGTCGTGCACTACATCGCTGGATAATACCACCCTCAGGGATGCGAAAAGAGTTGCTCTCTCGCTCAATGCTGTTTCTTGGATTAATTAAGGGTTAATGAATTCAAGCCTGTGGCGCAGTCCGTGTTTTGTGCATTATTTTTATTCACTTAGTTCCCGAATGGCTCGCTGGGCGTTGGAAACCTGCCCTGATGCCTTTGTTTACCGGTATGCCGTTGTGTCCGCGAACTGGGAGAACCATAGATAGTCAAACGCTTCCGACCCCAGTAATTGAAAAGTTGATTTTCGCTGTTTGTTCTGGCTAAATTGGCTTGTGTTCTTTATTTTCACTTTCACACAATCATTTTCATGTCTCGATTGGCGCAACATGGTAGCATGAAATCATGTTTCCCTAAAGCTTCGTGACTGCTCTATCCAACTGTCAAAGCATGAAGACTCCCGTTTTGACTGGGCTTTTCTCCTCCAGACGAGAATTCCATTTATATTTTATTTGAGATCGAGGTACTTTCTTACAGTTGGGAAGTCTTGAGGCTATGTTGTTTACCACTTATATGAGGCGCGAGCATTTTATTGTACCAGCGTTTGGGTGCAAGCACTTTATTATAATCAACCTTGATTTTTCACGGTGTTTAATCTATGGCAGTTTATTACTTGCTGATTACAATCTGCACGCTTGATATTATTTCTGCACGCTGATGTACAGGTTAATTGGCCTCTTCTCCGATTTGTCTCAGACACAAGAGTATTTATGGCCAGCACAATAGGAAATTATGTCCGGCCATGGTCCCACCAAGGTTAAGTGGTGCGCCTCCAACATATTATTACGAGCTTTTGAAAATTTTTGAAAATATGCGTTCAAACCTCCCCCTTTCACCAAGAATATCCGATCAGCACCCACGCACACACGTCGGCCTAGCCTTGTAATTCACTTTCAATCTCGCTCTTGAAGTCGACTGAAGAACTTCAATAGAGGCAGTGACATTACGGTAGTGGGTGATCTGTCCTAAATGTTCTGTGTTAGCTTTGATGGGTGCCAGCCCTAGTCTCGCAATCTAGATCTCGCGTCCCAAATCACGCCAGCTCACATTATTTCTACTTATCACGTCCCACTTTCGCTTTGAATCTGAGTCACTGCACGTGATCCTTTCTTGTGAGTGTTTCCGATCCCTTCTTGCTTCACCCCCCTCAATAAGCAAGCATGGCAGCAACTAGCCTGCTTGCAGTCTTCGGCCGAACGAGTGATCATACTGTGAACGGACCGAAGACCAAAGTGGTGAATCATTGCTAAAGATATGACACAGATATGGGCTGCCTGCGACCTCATAGGGCCAGCAAATTTAGATCCTAATTCCCAAAAAATTCAACACAACATCCATCCACACAATGAACCCCAATCGCATTGAGGATCGCAAGCTTATGCATGTCCTTGACTGCGAAGACCTAAAACTGATTATTGATCAAAAGGTGGTCAAAACGTATGTTGAGTTCACCCCAGGAGAAGGCTCAAAACCTCATACGGAACTCCGTTTTGTTCTTGAGAGTGGAGTCGTGCTGGAAGAGAGCGGCAAATCCAAGACGATACTATCCTGCAGCATCGGCGCAAACCCAAGCCGCTCAGACAACAGAGAGACGTCCGTTACTTTTCGCCCTCTAACATATAGCGACCACCATCGACAATGTTTCGCTTCTTTCCAATTCGACGTATCGCAGAGGGATGCTTCGGTTCGTGATTTCATCAAGGCTCTCAGAGGGAACCTCCGAGAAGCAGATTTATCTGTATTCGTTTCCTGCAAATTTGGCCAGCCTCCGGTCACAGAGGGATGCCGTGACATTGTGTAAGTTCTATCAAAAGACCTGTTATCCAACAGCATGAAACCCCATTTTTCAGCTCTCTGAACATCTTTATCTGTGCCTTTCGCTCCTACTAACTAGAAACCAGAACCCAATGGGTTATAAGGCTGAATGAACATCATTTAATGGGCTGGGATGCATCCGAACTGAAGTCAGCGTACACTCTCAGACGCGACAATCTCTCGCTGCAGTTCCATATGTTCATCGCCAAGGGATATGCGCCTTCAAGCGCTGAAAGAAGCACCCTCGAAATGACTACTGATATTCTGATGGTGCCAGGATTCCTTGTAGACGATGCTGCTCGGGTCAAAGAGTACAGAGGTATACGGCTTCCTTACGCTTGAAGGAGCATACCCTAATTGTATCTCGATAAGAATAAGCCACGTAACTTAGCGAACAATTCAACTTTCCTACAAAGTTCCATTGGAGAATTAAGTATCTAGCATTTATATTGGTACGGCTTCTCATTTATATTGAAGCCGTATCAACAGCTAGGAATCAACTAAAACTATTCTTGTGTGCTATGAAGCTTGAATCAGAGGGATCTTGACCGTATTTTGCTTTTCTTTCATTCTTCAGATCTCAGAGTCCCACTCTGAATCAGAGCAGATAATGTGAGTGAGAGCAAAGAGTGTTGAGTTACTTCACTTCAGTATGAAGCCTCCGCTCTGAAACTAACAAAAGTGCGGAGTATATCCTCTTTCACGACGCTCGAACATACAAGCGTTGTAACGATTGGCGCTCTGTTACCATTCATCTGACAGATTGCGATACTTCCAGGTTTTAACACAAATCATGAATCCCTGACAAGCAAAATCATTCGCACGTATGCTGCCGAAAACTTTAGTCATGAAAATACCATAGCCACCTCCATGCACATGCAACACATTATTGAGAGCCATAACATCTACCTCAGGATAGGGAGTCTCGACATATTTTAGAGGCTCGATTACGAGATGAGAACTGGAGCACTCATGTTCATATCGGTTCAACAAGCCACAAATGGTCAAATTCAATTTTCTTGGGGCGTAGAGCCAAAAAGCCTTGAGTCTTCAGACAAACAATCAATCGCCGCGCTCCAATATTTGATCACAATGCTTCTCAAATCATAATTTGCTGAAGACCAGTCCGGGAAAATACAGGGTCAACAGTGATTTGTGGATGGGCATGATCTCCCCATTATGATACACCTCAGAAGCCAGTAAGAGTTAAGGTGCAAGCGATTAAATGCCGCTGTCACTGTCAAGCTTTTTACATTAGCTACTCTTTTCAATTGATCAATATCCTAATACAAACATAGCCTCTCACTTCGACAAATAAATCATCACCACCACCGGCTACGCCCAATAATCTTTCAAATCCACATCCCTTGGTCCTCCATATGCATCTTCACTCTAAACCCAAGACAAGGACGGTGTCTAAATCCCAATACCGGTCTTTCGTAGTTCCTTCAAACCTCATTGTCTCTTGCTAGTTCAGATATTGTGTCTTAAATCACGAAACGTTTTCACTTCAACTTTCGTTTATCCCATCGAATCTCAAACCACATTCACCAACAAGACGGGCAAAGATTCCACGACACCGATTTGTTTGCTTGATATCAGAACTCCTTCGATGGATAAATCTAGTTCTCTATGACGTGCCCTTTCTTTGGACAGATAATTATTGGCTGTTTAGTGACTCACTGTACTTTAAGAACTAATTCTCAGAGTGCCAAAAATACACATCTAGGAACTGCATGTTCCCTTTTCTGAGTCGGATGAATCGCAAGACAGGAAATATAAATAAGCGCTTCCTCGCATATTGGCCATTGGGATTTCTTCACGATCTAGCATCGATACAGAAAACCGAAATCGCAACCGCAACCATGCCACGCCGCACTCTAGTCCAGGCTTCGCCACTTGATCACATTGACCTCAACGGTCAGGATAGCGCAGTGTCTGAATTATTAGATCAAAGGCTTGAATACATTGACGTTGTATTCAGTGAGTCGGCAGACCGTAAGCCACATGCCGAGTTTTCGCTAGAGGTAACGGCAGATGCAGGCATCGGGGTAATTCGAAGCTGGACAAACCAAATTAACCTAGGGATGAATCCCCATCTTCTGCCGCGCCAAAACACCACAGAATCGATTACTCTCAACACTTCATGTGGATATGGCAAGGAACTCCTTTCATTTCGATTCAGAGTCAAAGACAACCATCTTACCGTGCGCCAGTACCTACGGGTTCTCAGGGGGGATTCTGAAGAAACAGACCTAGCCAAGTTCGCGAATGGCAGACCGTTCGAAATTGGGTCCCAGCCGCGCGATGCAACAATGGGATCTCGCGACTTTGTGTAAGTTCCAGAACAAAGCACCCGCTGTTTCCTGTTCCTCGTTCTGCCATGACTCTTCCTTGTTATATTTTGCTAATTATATCCCAGGACGCAATGTATGATCAGGTGGGAACAGCACGGAATGATCTCCTGGGACGCTGAGGACACCCTACTACCACATGGAGTCGGACCCCCCGAATTCTGGTGCCCCTACGACTTCTTTAGCTTCATCACAAAGCCGCATCGCGTCGAAAACGGAGATTATCACCATGAAGGACCCGAGATCCCGATGAAGATGGGGATATGGCATGCTCGGGTGAATCAATGTTTAGGTGCTGATATTCTCTATGCGCCCGTGGACACAAGCGTAGACCTGGAAGGCAACCATCCGCTAATCCAGCAAGATAATATTCCAACACCTCAGACATATCCGCTTCACGTAGATCGACTACTCCCAGGTACAGGATTTTTGGTACTCCCACTAGTCCCACCTGTGCCAGTCCCATACCGACCGCACCAAGTGTTTGAAGGGCAGCAGCCATCGCCGGAGCAGCAGCCATCGCAGGAGCAGCAGGTATTCCAGGGGTATCAGCCATGGCGGGCGCAGCAGGCATTGCGCGAGCAGGAGGCATTGCGGGAGCTGCAGGCATTCCAGGAGCAGCAGGCAGCCCAGGTGGGGATGTCACTTCAATGGCAGCCGCCATATCAAGGCTCGGAGTCAGAAGAAGAGCAAGATGAATCCCCCTAGGATAGTAGGACCCTCAACTACCTCGAGAATGTGAAGGATAGTAAGGATACTGGGGTGCTTGGAAACGTGATTTCAAAGCTCGAGTATTGAGCAAGCGCGTTTCTTTCTTCTTTGTAGAGAGTCAGGCATTCCTTAGATTCTTGTCTGTGATAACCTGTCCTTTTTAGCTACACAATCTCGGGACTCGAGAATAAAAGTCAATTTCGCAAATTGCAACGGCACGTCCTATCTGTGCATGTATTGTTGTTGTTCCAGGCCAGGTGACACCTGGAGTTCGAATGTCTACTAAGAATGGTTGTAACAAAAGGCAGTCGGTAAAGGTTCTAGATTGGGAATAAAAGCAGTAGGTAGGGGGTAGATTGAAATGTTCTCGTGTGTCTATACACTAGATATCCGCGTCTATGGGACAAGTGGAAAAATGAATAGAAACTCTCTGACACATCCCTGGTTGATCTCGAAAACGAGTTTCCACTTCACGGCCCCCAACAGAGGCACATAACTCTCAAGGTCAAAAAGAATCTGAAAGGGTTGTTTCGCTTATCAATTCAAAAATGCATCATTGTGAGACCCCTTCAGAGGACAAAGTTTAGGATGATTTATCACAGGGAGATATGAGTCTATACGCCAGTAGTCACTTATTCAAGTCGATTTATTGTGTCGGTTCGCATACCTAGGATTCTAAAAGCTAAAATAATGTAATGGCTTTATCTAAAACTTCCCAAAAATCCATGGCTTTTTCTCCTCTGATATCGGAAACCCATACCATCCTTCTTCCAATCTTGGCTCTGATCAAGAATCTCGATTGACCGGTCATCGCTACAGGGTAGGCCATAAAAATTGAAAACATCATCTACAACCTCGCCTTGGATAGCCTTGATAGTTTGATTGTTAGTATTGATGTGAGTATATTATTAATGCATCGTATAGTGTAGGATGGGGAAAATTCGATTGACGCATTGTCCACGGCTCACAGAGATCGCCAGAAAGCGGACGTCCTTACGTTCGGAAAGTATCTGGTTACACACCGCCGTCCAAGGTGAGACATTCTTGCATGGATCATGGAGTTAGGGCTGTGTAAATCCAGTATTAGTGCGGTGGCTTTCCTCAGAGCTGACATGTGTAATCTTGTAAGCTCAAAATTTCACAATCTCTAGCGTGGCCCAACAAATTGAGGCTCCACCAATTCAAGGGGACAGTCAGTCAGTCAGTCAGTCATCAGTCCTTTCCCATCAAACAATGGAGCGACCCGTGAACTCTGTTGCTCAGTTCCTGCTGCTGGGCGTGATACATGCCAGCGTCTTCACTGGCGTGGTTGTGTACACCCCGAAGAAGGCCTCGCTTCTTCGTCTCGCTGCCGCGCTTCCGCTCGCTGTGCTGACGCGTTGCATTTATCTTTCCGGCGCCCGCTTCTTCACCAGCACCCAGCTGCGAATCCTGGGGCCGTTGATATGGAATCACTACCTGAGCCTTGTCGATCTCATGCTCCTCACCCGTGTTGATGCATCTGAGCTGGCTCGACTCGCTCGGCGCCAGGGGGCAGCTCACCCGCTGTGGGAAGCCCTCCGCCTCTTCTTCAATCTGCGCCGGATCAACACCAAGTGGGAGGTGAGAGGCGTTTCCAGACCCAGCAGGCCGCAGGGTCGTGCTCAATTCGTGGCCTGGGCCGCCGCCAAGACCCTTTTGACCTCGACCGCCATCGACGCCATCCTGAGATTGCCGCCCAAGCCGGAGCCGCATCTGATGGCACCGGGCAAGGAGACGCTCTATGCCTTTTGGAATCTCTCTGCGGAAGACGCGATTGTTCGGCTCAGTGTTGTCTTGTTATTCACGGTCGTTGCCAGCCTGTCTGCAACTTGCATGTATTACCTGGCTGCTACGGTGATGGTGGCCACCGGCATGAGCGAACCCGATTCGTGGCCGCCGATCTTTGGCCCGTTAGCATCTGCCCATACAGTTCGCGGGTTGTGGGGGTGAGTAGATGGTTTCCGTAACAGAACGTCAGTCAACTAACTTGCGGGAAACAGTCAATGCTGGCATCAGCTGCTGAGAAATTCTGTTTCTGCTCATGGGAACTTCATTTCGGATAAGGTCCTATCTCTTCAACGTGGCACCTTTCTTTCCCGTTTCGCCCGTCTCTTCTTCCCCTTCTTCATAAGTGGCGCGCTTCATTGGGTCATGGAAGTCGAGATGGATGGTCTTGAGGAAGGACGATTTGGGGTAGTCACGTTTTTTCTCCTCCAACCACTGGGAATCATGTTGGAGGGGGCCGTCCAAGCCTTGGTTGGCCAAAGTGTGCCTAAAAGCTTGCGGTACGTGATTGGATATACTTGGGTCGCAGCTTGGTTCTGGTGGTCGATGGCTCCTTTCGGCTATGAACAGTATAGGACAAACCCCCCTCCTGATCTTGCTCCCATCCCCGTGGTATACTTCGCCCAGCAGTGGTTTGGTGGATCTAAGAAGTGAAAGTGAAACCGCTTGCGGAACGGCAATGACGGGATACTAGCATAGTACAGTTTTAGGAAGTCTACTTCACTCCCTATAGACAATAGATAGTCAATTAGATAGATTCAAAAATCAGACTAGAGATTATGTTTACACCACTAGCGGAGACACATCGGGGTCTCGGTCTCGAGGCCTTCCCCCACGATCGGTTTTGATCTGCATCATCTCCACGTCCCGTCTCTCTGGGGAACTCTCCGGATTTGGGGCGATTTCCTCCAACGACTTGTTACGCAGCCTCCCAAAGAGCAGCCACAACCAGCGTTTCCTCTCCGCCCACTCCAGAGAGGTCTCATCATCTTCTTCCTGCGCATCCACCATGGACGCTGGTATGAGAGCTATGCCGACCATCACTAGCTGAATGCCGCAAAAGACGAACAGGAGAGAGCTCAGTGTTTCCTTGTCTTTACCCACCTGGTCATGAGTCACCTTGTTGATGATGGGCCGGATGATTAGCGCGCCAACCTTCCCCATTGCCGCTGCCACGCCGTGGAAGGTGCCTCGGAACAGAGTCGGGAACGACTCAGCCGCGATGATGAAAGTTAGAGTATTAGGACCCAGGTTGAAGACAAACTGCGTCAAAGCGAAGAAGACCAAACTGGCTTCGTTCGCGGGCGTCTCAGTGGCGTGTCTGACTGCGATTCCTGCCGCGAAAAATAGTACGCAGAGGATGCCACAAGTCCACGCTAGAAGATTCCGTCGTTTGTAGCGGTTGATGATGAATACGGCCGCGATAGATCCTACTATCGAGGCGACAGATGTGACCTCAAGGGCTCGTTCCGCCGCGTCTTGAAGGGATTCGTGGATTGTAGCGCAGATGTTGCCAGCATCTTCGTTCCAGGCTGGTAGGTCTGTTGCTGCCACTGTAATCTCGGTCGTTGAAACCCCGCTCGTTGTAGCGGTTGGGATCGAGTTGGCAATCTTTGTAACTGTAGTGACAATGCTGTTCTGGAGGGTGAGAGTGGCGGTCTGGTATTCGTATGCTGCAACTGGAACCGTAACATTGACCTCAGGACAGGTCATGTTGGCCCTGGGCGGGCTTGAGAGCCAAAGACGATTCAAAGTCGAGGGGCTATCAAGTCCCAGACCATAGAAATTTATATCAAGAAGGCACCATTGCAGGGAGATACCAAGGAGGATCTTCCATCCTTGTGTTTTACCGAAGAGGTAGGAAGACGCATTGGAGTACCAGGACTTCTTTTTCTCCCGCCTCCAGGTTCGCATTGGCTGTATGTTCTCGTGGACCTGATCAAGTTCATTTTGACGTCCTCCGACTCTTTCAACGGCCTGCACTGCCCTCCTTAGATCTTTCTTGATCCCTGTGTAGTATCGCGGGGTTTCCGGTATCGTAAAACGTAGACCAACCGCGGCGAAAGCAGGGATCGCGCTGATGCCAACCACAAGGCGCCAGATTCTGTCAACGGCAACCCGATGGTCGGACCTGTCGTTTGGTATTGAATTCAAGGCTCCAAGTGTGACGGCATAAGCTAGAAGCCTCCCCAGTGACTGCATCCCAAACATGGCCGCCATGAGGGTCCCACGGGTCTCTGTGGAGGAAAACTCGGAGGCAATCACTGCTGAAACAGGATACTTGGATCAAACAGTCAGTATTTTCGACTCAATCACTGGATTAAAGTGAAAACTTGCCTCGGCCCCAATACCCAACCCTTGGATCCCTCTCCATGTCGCGATTGCTGCGTATAGATCAAGCGAGTGTTCACGACCGTTCGAGAATCCATCAGAGGTTTGAATCATCCCAACCGTCCCTAGGATAATGATGATCAATTCCAGTCCGTATAGCCGTTTGCGACCCAGAAGGTCGGCAAGATGGCCAAAGACGAGCATGCCCAATGTGGTGGTGCCAATAGTCACCATGTCAATGGTCAAACTAGCATGCGGGAAGTAGTATTGATCGCTCTCATTCTCGGAGGGATAAACATAGAGGAGAGCTGGAATGATGATATTGCTTGAGAAGATGGTATATGAGGAGGCAAGAAATCCGGCCGACACAGCTATGAAGACAGGCCAGTTGAAGCCTATTGAATCAAGGATTCTCAGGATCTCCTTTTCACGCTCGTTGCGATTCTAGGAAAGTGAGTCCTGTTAGGAAATACCGCGAATGTGTACTGCCGAATACTTGATAAATAAGGAGGCCTTTTTTGCGTATCATACGTACTCTAATGTGCTCGGTATCAGGACCTGGGTTGTACCTGTCCCACCACCGACCACGGTTGTGTTGTGTATTGTCAGTCATGGCCGTTGAAAGGTTCCTGCGCAAGTAGCCTCGACAGTATGGAAAGATATTGGATTGGTCTTTGGTGCCAACCAAAGGTTAGAATGAAGAAAAGAGCTGAGGGACACATGCACCTTGTAGCTTACGCTGCTTGAGTAGCGTCTTGAAGCAGGTCAGCTTGTGCCTGTGAGGTGGTGCCGCCCAGGCAGTTCATATTTTCTGCCAACTGCAAGCCTACGTCAGGAAACCACGCAACCGCCATCCCGTAATAAGTCGTTAGGCAACCAAAGGGCTTATTCTGCCTGTCCTATGCCCGAGTCCTACCTTTGGAGCGACTCAGCTGGTGGCCACATCGGTGCTGCAGCTGCACATGCTTCAGCTGCGCCCCTTCGGAGTATCGAAAGAGCAGTGATTGTCTCACCACTTAATTTCCCGTACTTTAGATGTGTGCTCGCTAAGTATGGTACGAAAATAGAAGTGTGTCTACCTGTAATGTGCTGTGCTTGTCTAACCCCTGCCTGCAGCTGGAAGAGCCCGTGCCGTTGTGCGGTCGTCTCATTCGTCGAAGCATCATCTATAAACGAGCATCCGATGCTTGGCAGCCACCCCTCCCTTCAGGAAAAGGTCACAGCAAAAGTGCGTCCACCTGCAATATGCGCATATGGGATACCAAAAAGAGTGGCGGATGCGGGGACTATTCCCTCCTAAGTACTGAAGTAGATGACAACTAGGGGACGCCTTGGCTCCGTATACAGACCTAGGCGTGTGCTGCAACCTGTTTGTGGAGTGGCTAAGTGAGTACATAGCCCCTTCCTGTATACAAATATTGATCGAAAGGCCTTTTCAGATAGCTGTGTAGGGCTGTGAGTCTGCCTTGGATGGGCATCGGGCAGTTGATGCGGCCGACGGGTGCCCTGTCAGTCGCCACATGGCACTGCCGCCCCTCCGTAGATTCATCTGGTCTTTGGTCGTCGCTGTTTCTGTCCTGTCCGTACGTTTTCTTGTTCTTTCTATCTCCCAATTCCTGTAAGTGGCGAGCGCATCTAGCGCAGCTACTGCTGCCGTATCGGCGGCTACATGTCTTAGGATACACCATTTTGCTTTCTCAATTCTGTGCGCGCGTACGGCGCGCAAGCTCCGTCAGCGAAGATGGAGGTCTTTGGAGCTGTCGGGACGGCCATCTCGCTCATTACTCTGGCGAGAAATAACATGGGTCGTGCTCAAAGGCTGGGCAGAACTGTCGATGATCTTCGAGAAATTTTGAGTGATGTGATGGAGCTGCAGGATTACGTTGATCCCGAGGAAGACATTGACCTACTGGACAGGATCTCTCGTATCATTGATGAGGTCATGGAGATGATAGAGGAAAATAGCACCACGAGTCGGGTGGCGATGACGTTCTTCTGGAACAGTTCGCTAGAGGGAGACGTGTACCGGCTCAATGCAAAGCTCAGCCGCTTACACGAGATGCTGAAAACTAGAACTCGGTATATTTGCGAAGGACAATCGATCTCAAAATCAGCTCAATTCTAACTCTATTCTGCTAGACGGCGACGAACTTCGAATGCCAGCATCGCGAATATCAATAACTCGCCTCAACACACTCCTTACTCACCTCCATCAACCGCGCGGCGAGACCTCCTTCCAACTTCGAGCCTCTCACAATTACACACTACACTGTACGAGCCTATAGCCTATGTCATGTTTGTATCTTTCGCCCGATGTTAACCTTGTGATAGGATATTTCAGGATGCCGAGAACGAAGACGTGCGACCACCGTTGCAACTCGAATGGTTCAGCATCTTGGAGCGCAATTATACATCTAATTTTCGAACAATTCAGTACGAATCGAGTGACCGAAATACGGTGGTAACTCACGAAGGTATCTTTCATGCAGCACCTTTCGACATCTCTGCCTCGCCTCAAATACAAACAATCAATTTGGCTGATGACTTTATAGTTCAGTTCGGAACGATACCAAACACGCCACAGAGTCTAGACGCGAAGGAGTGCGACTTCTTGGAGGATCAACTACTCACCGTTGAGACACCTACTGATTACGCCGTGTACCGACTCGACCCAATATATAAATTCGAGACCTCTAGAGCTTGTGACAAATTCATGATGAAGGTCAGGGAGCGTGAGCTCGTTGGGAAATTCCTTCCTGTTGAGATATCGAAAAAGAACACACAATCGCCATGGAAGAACCTCTGCTGCATGATGGTGGGAGGTTCAAAAGACATATTGCTCGCGCGAGATAAGGTGGTCTGTCTCTGGGAAAAGTCGAGAGGCCTGAGCAAGATCCCAGATACGACGATCACGTTCCACGACCGAAACACTAGAAAGTATGTCGAATGGCCTCTGAGAGATTTCATAGATGCATCTCTGGTAATGAATAGGGCGGTGGAGCTTTCTTGGAGAAATAACGCTGATGTCGCCGTCTTCACATTTACCGGTAAGCTTTCATCTCAACGCTTTAGCTTCATTGTGGGTTGACGTGAATGTTGGTAGGCCTGCCAGAAGCACGAGAGTTCGCCTCCGTATTTGACCGGCAGAGAAAACGAAGGGCATCTTCGGTCAACCCTACCGATGGAGGTTTCATGCAGCGGCAAATCAAAGCCGGCTACATTGCACCAGTCGCCGAGCTAGACGCAACTCCTAAAGGACCGGTCGAACTAGATGCTGGCCTGAGACCGGCCGAGCTTGAGTAGAGGGAACAGCATACCCTTTTTGTGACACTATTTTCGATTATAACGACCCCTGGATGATGGCATACATTTTACGGCCCAGAACCCTAGATATTATTTTAGTAGATGGCTGTCTGGTCTGTGTAATATTGATGAAAAATGATAAACTTCCCGAGAACCGGCCTATCACACCGGCCAAAGATTATCGTCAGAACATCCAGTGTTTCGGGTTCGTTAGTGGACGAGATCGGCAGATGTTGTTGAGAAAGAACCAGCTAAAATGTATGTTCCAGATGCCCGCACACGTCTCTTGAAATGTGATAACAGGCCAGGTATACGAACGGCGCTTCGGCCTCAAGGCTATGGCATCGAGCTTTCACTGCAATTTTGCGTTGGTCACCAACTGTTGAGCATTTCGAATCCGTCTATTGCTACCAACGCACGATACTGTAGACCAGTAATTATTATGGGGAGTTTTTAACCTAGAATTAGGGCTCCATCGTGCAGCGGTGAGCTATTTTAATGTCTCTTAGGATAATTCTGGCTCCTTTATTCCCTTTTCTTCATCACCACTAGATTCATCTACACTTTCTCGTGCACCATCTATCAACATCCACCATGTCCATCAGCTCAACAACCATGGCACCACTTTCATTCCTTGACCTTCCAATGGAAATCAAGCTCAAAATCCTTCAGCAGGTAGTCTTTACTCCTAATCCAGAGCAAGAAGACCTTTTTGATATATATATCGAGTGGACCCCAAATGGAGGTTTCGGTGTGTCCAAACGTGTAAACCCAACCTCGCTTTTCCTCGTCAGCAAATCCTTCTCTGCCCTTGCGCAGCAGATATTTTGGAGCCAGAACCGATTCTCAATACTGCCCCCGGAAATATTCCTCATTCTCAGCCGCGGCGGCGAAGACCACATACCATCTTCGCGATATGCTGCAAGCTATTTTCTCTCGCAGTTCAGAGTCTTGCAACCTCTGCCGCATCTGCGCTCTCTGGATCTTCGAATGTTTGAAAACAGAGAAGAGGAAGAAATTCAATCAGATTGGTTCGCCGTTTTAAACCATGCCATACATCAAGGCCGCCTTGATCTGGATTTCCTATCAATCAATACAACTTTCTACGACGATCCAGATTGGGAATCGATGCCACACGACCCCAATCAACTGCTCCTTTTTATAAAAAGCTTCATCAATGGACATGTGTGGCCACTCAAGGAAGGGGAACGGCCTACTTCTATCGCAAAGTGCCTCTGTATCCAGTTTGAATGTCAGAGCAGTGCAGCAGACTCTGTTACTATATGGTATAGGAGTCTATTGACCGGCCAAGGACTCCCTAAGAAAATGGAGAGATGCCGCGATCGTGGAAACAGACTTTTAATACGTCAATTTCTTTGTGAGGGCGACGAGTGGGTTGAGGAACTTTGGATTCAAATTTACGTAGTTTAAAGTGTAAATCAATTGGTAACAATATCATATAAGAAAACGAATAAGAAAACGAATAAGAAAACGAAATCGTGCCCAGAAGCCAAATCTAGGCGAATGCTGAACCGAGGGTGAGATCCTGAACTAAAGAGAAATACCTTACTTATGCGCCGGACTTCCTGCGGAAGGTGAACTATAGCTGGCTTTAAAATTGGAATGTTCCTCATCTTTAAGTGCCGGTTTTTATGGCATGGTTGCACCCTGAGTCCCTGTTGCCCGAACATGCCCGGAGTAGAAACATCCTCGATGAATTTGAATATCTTCAGTGGTCTGGATGACGCCTGAGCCAGATTCCGTGTAATCCTTGGTTATAAACTTCTCAAACTCTAGCTGTGGTTCTCCAAGTAGACTCCGACCTGGCGGCATCACAACGGCATGTGCTTTAAGATCGATGATTTTCCATTCATTAAGCCTCAGTATCCATTGGAATCTGACGTACAGTTAGGGAGAAGTCAAAGAAACCAAAAAGCGGGGGGGGATAATGAAGATGATAGTGCGAGGCTATACTTACATAACGTCGCGACTTCCTCTATTGTCGATGCAAGAGAACTGAAATAAATTTTCCGGTGGCCCAATCGAATTTGAGCCGCGTAGAATGCTAAGACAACCGAGAAATGACGCAGTTGATTTAAACTCGAATGACATCAATATGTCCGCCGGAGTATCCGCACCATTTCTGACCGTAAAAGTAATATCAAATGGCGAGTCTTTGTTTACAGCTAATCCGGGATTTGAGCCTATGCTGCAGCTCCATTTGTCGGTTCCGTTTTCTACAAGAACCAGTCGGAGTTCTGCATGAGGTACGCCCTGTGTTCCTTTTTTCATATCCACAAATAGTTTGCTGACGCTTGCGCAGATTAGATCAGTTTGCCACAAGATTCCATGCATGTTATAAGTGAGAGTGGCCATATTTGATGATAATAGAAGAATGTTGAGTGAAGACCTAAGCTGTTATTGCATGTTGACTATTGCACGCCAAGGGAGTCTATTTATTTATACAACTTTTCTTCAGGGTGATTCACATCATCCTTTTCGCTAGAACGCATTCAATTATAAATCAATGCGTGATTGACAGCTTGATTACGACATCGCTGTTCGAATATGGACGAAAGCACTGATATGAAGGACTTCAAAGGATCTTCACTTACATCTTTGTATAAAAAAAGGCTCTACTGTGATTCAGAACGTCTAAAAAAAGGAAGATATAAATAAGAGTGTTCCAGTGTCCAAATGAGGTCATCTAAACTGAACTTTCCAAGTAGCGATAGAGCGGTGAAGATATAGTGATTCAGTATTGAATCACATGGGTAAGCGCAGTTAGCCCTCGTCAGAGTTAGGAGAGCTCTGCCATCCATTTTCCCCTTATTTAGCCATTGAATCAACTCTCATACCTACAGGGTTTATTTGACTCCTTTCCTCAAGCCGTGGCTCGTGATGTCATCTTTTGGAGAGCTGGGAGACTTACGTTGGCCCGCAGGCTCGTTTGACTGCAAATAGCCCTCCACCTCTTGTTGATGTTATGTCGGGAATACTTGCGTGATGGTATGCTTAGGGCGCCAAGCAGTTTGGAAAGTGTCTTGTTGCCAACTTGGCATTCATACCCTTGTATTTAGCCTTGTTATGGGCTAAAAATCTCGCTCTAAGCTGACCTTCTAACCAGGGGTTTTTCTTCTTCATTTCATTTTCTACAGGTTTTACTTCTTGAAAGTTTTCTTCTCGATGGCCATCTTGCGCTTACTGTTTGCGGCCTCACATGCCACTACCTGATGAGAATCAATAGCGTCAGGGGCCAGTTGGGCTTATACACAGAGTGTTCCGACATGATAGGCATTTTTTCGGGCATTCAGTGTCCTTGGGATCCTTCGCATCCTCTCAACAGCTGATTTTACAACACTAAGCGACAACTAATCTGCTTTGGTGACTTTGGGCAAACAGAACTGTCCCTGGTCGTTATTACGACCAGTACGATATAGCATGTGCCGCTCGGCAATGTTTCCTCTTTGCATTCAATAATTCCCCTTTCGCCGCAAATTATAAGCACAAGGTTACAGCAAATCACTGACTTGTGGGGGCAGTGGGCACATGAAGCCAAATCTGAGCATAGCTTATGTGCGTGCCTTGCGTGATGCCTGCATCGTGGAACCTTTTGTACTCACCAACCCGATTTAATCCACACTACAAGGTCCCGACTTTCTCACATTTCGTATTATTCTCTCCGGTCCTCTATCCACTTTCCAATGCGTGATTTGATGGGGCCAATGGCCAATCCATGGGTTAATTCAATAGTTGACGGGAAGGAAGGCAAGCTGACACCAGGAAAACTTATATAGGTGCTATAGCATCTGCAGAACTAATTTGCACCTTCAGACGTTCGGTTATCCTCCCAAGTGTCTCAATTCTCCTCATTATATTTCTTCTTTAGTTACCGAAGTAAACATGGCCGAATGCTACGGTGTTGGGCGCCTACGGAGGGTTATTTTCTTCCTATGGCTGGGATCAGTAGTATTGGCTCTTCCACAGAACCAAACTTCCAAAAACACGTCAGTCGATGCTCAGCCAAAGTTCATGATTGTGGGAGACTCAATCACCCACGGTGCAGACGGAGACTACACCTGGCGTTATCGCCTGTGGCAATGGTGTAAGTGAAGTCTAAATTATACCTCATACCATTATTTCATATGATGACGCAAGCTCTGTGAGCTCTAATACTTATTCAACACGCAGTGAAAGAACAAGGATACCAGCCAAGTTTCGTTGGCCCATATCAGGGAACTCATGGGCCCGCCGACCCAAACTCTGCTCGGCCGTTACCAGCCCTTTTTGATGGCGAGACCCAGGACTCTTACAGTAATTTGGAGGGAATTTATTCACCGGATGTGGCCGCAGATTTCGAGACTTCTGCTCACGCTGCTTGGTGGGGAAGACAAGCCCACCAAGACAAGGACTGGATCAAGGGATGGGTTCAAGAGCACCAGCCAGCCTATCTCCTTCTGCTCTTAGGTTTCAACGATCTCGGTTGGAGTGTTCAGGGACCCGAAGGGCTGCTCGGTGATATGGGGGTAATAGTCCAGAGCGCCCGTGAAGCGAAAGCGGACATCAACGTGCTGGTGGGCAACGTGATGCATAGGAGCTTCCTCGAAGGCCGCCAAGACTTGGTTGACAACACAAACAGCTACAACAGCAAGCTTGCGGAGGCCGTTCCAAACTGGTTTCGTTGGGAATCTCCCATCTCGGTCGTTGATGTTGCCAGCAACGTGAACTGTCGACCTGAAGGGTGCCCGCATGGCTACGATGGGCTGCACCCAAACGAAGTGGGTGAATACTACATTGCCCAGGCCTTTGCCAGGGTCCTGAAAAGCAGTTTCTATTTCCAGGGCGAGGACTTTCAGCCGCCAGCATCGATACCCGCACGTCAGCTCAGTACCCCTGGAAACTTCAGAGTCTCTGCAGTAGACGAAGGCTTCTTTGTTGAGTGGGACAGAATGGCTACAGCGAGAGGATATGATATCCGGATGCGACAGAAAGGTTCCACTCAATGGTGGTCTGAAGGAGCCGTCTATCCAAGCACTTTTGTCTCCTACATGACTTGGGTTGTCGAAGGAGAGACATGGGAATTTCAAGTCCGCGCAAGAGGGGACAACAGCGACGCGTCTGACTGGTCATCTCTGTTAAGCTCCACGGCTCACCCAAAGACTGCAGGTGGGCCGTCTGGGATTGCCGTATATCCCGAGAGTAATGGACTTCGGTTCAGCTGGGACGCCGTGCCTCGAAGCGATGTCAATCGGTACCAAGTTATAATCCTAGACCAGGATGTGGCTGGCTCGTACATTGAGGGATATGCGGCCAAAGGGACTAGCCATACTATCTCCAACCTCAAATCCGGCCACCGATATTCAACCTCAGTACAGACATGGGTCGACCTTGGCAATGGAAGACTGGCAGGTGGTAGACCAGCAGGTCATAGACATGCTAGAGTAGGAGCAGGTGCTCCTAGTACGTCTCCTAAAAACCTCAAAGTGCAAAATCTATCATCTGTACAGATTTTGCTGGAGTGGTCAAGCGTCTCCGATGCTTTGGGCTACGCTATTTATGTTAGGAACATAAATGACGGCAGCAATTTCAAGCTCGATGGTTCCACAACAAGCATAAGCTATGGTGTTGGGTTTCTTTTTCCAGGAACTTGGAATTTCGAATTCTGTGTCGTTTCATATAATGGAGACCTAGAAACTAGTCGAGACTCTTGCGTTATCCCGCCTCCCGTTTATCCTTAGCCACAAGCGAGGGGAATTCCAGTTTCCGTCGAAGATGGAATGTTGTCACAGATTAGGCCAAACTAGCCAAAAGGAAAATTCCTTGCCTAGTCTTCCACGGTTACCCTTATATAGCGCCTGTCATAAATGTTTGTGTTACAAAATATAGTGTTGCGAACAGGTTTCCAAAAGCGATCTCGATTTGACTTTTTGTATATGATCAACGTATTCATTGTGTTGAGTTGTCGGGCTCTGGCAGCTTCCATTGCTGTTAAACTTTATTCTCTTTCTCTTAGATTAGGTATAATGATCAAGGCGAATATTCTTTGATCTAAATTCGCGTCGGGTAAACATATACGCGTATGAAAAAGTGAAGGCGACGATAACGGCCGAACTTGTTTTATTGGTGTGAATAAACTAAATCGCTGTAATTCAAAGAGATTGAAGGTCGCTACAGAGGAGCTTCCTCAGTGGCTGCACCATCTTCCATCAAGCAATCAAGTTTCAACACTGAGCCTTTATCGCCGACCTTCAATCTTCTATGCCTACAGGCGCAGTCTTTGAGACTTGGGGATCGCCTGAAAATAACCCACTTGGGGATTTCAACCATACAGAAGTGCATAAGGGCTTCAACAAACTCAGGGCCATACGGTTCTCTGGGAGACTGGGTCAATTACTGGCTCCATATCGAATCGTAACAGGCAATTACAAGCAAATAGAGTGGTAAAGCGATACTGTGTGGTCAACCTTGTTCTTAATCAGATGAGTTGATGGAGTGTCGTATCACAAGTTGGTTAGAGCCTGCCCAAGGGCCACCTACGAGTCGGATACTATGAATTATATCTCCATCGGAGTTTATACAAGGTTTTGTAACAGCTAGGCGCCTGTCGCACCTATGCTAGTCTAAGATGATTGCTGTCCGTTGGGCTAGGGGCAAAGATGTGGCGGGCCATGGCTATATCTCACCCCAAAGGCGCAGATTCCGGCCATCAAGAAGAGACTTAATTGGATATCATGATTGTTGCGAATTAGTTCTCATACAGGGCATACAGGTGAGTTCTTCCTCTTTTTAATTGCGATAAGCAAGGGATATCCCAAGATCGGGCCACAAATGTGACTGGATAATGCATGAAAAAAATTACGTCCATACTCGAACCTTATGCACAGGAAAGAAAAGTAAGAATTTTTAACACATAAAACCTGGGCACAGGCTTCGAGGCCTCCAAAAACTCTATTAAGGGCTGTCCAATATATGTCTTGGCCATCGCCACCGGGGAGAAGCTCACAGCCACGCTTCCTTCCAAGCAAATTACGACGATGTCAGTATCTGATATCAGCGTCCCTACCACCCATACATGTGAGTAAAGAGAAGAAAAGCATAAACAGTCGAAACAGGTGTAGAGAAACATATCGGCGCCTTATGCGACACGACCGCCCTGACATTATGAGCAAAAGAAAAGCTAATAATCAGCCTCAAAGCTTAGTCGAACATCCACATCTGATCCTCGCTAGGGAAATGCTGTGACTCATGAAGGGTGTACTTTACTCGGCGATTCTAATTTATATGGTACTCGACCAATTTTTACTGCCATTTTCAACAACCGTCAGAGCACTTAGATTGTTTGCCCACAAACAAGTGCCTTGAAGGCGCGAATTCTGGTGAAACGGCCAGGCCAAGAACCCTTTGCATTCTGGTTTCTTTTTCTTTGGTACCAATCTATCCCTCCTTTTCCTCGGCCTCCTTACACAAGGCATTAATTTGCTTACCTAGAACACTCAAGGTCGCACAGAATCACGAGCCTACAATCGAGGGTCTTCATGCTCCATGACCACAGCACACCCGATCTCAAGAAACCGTCTGATTGATACTCCAAGCCTCAAACATGAGTCAAGACCTCCCAACTTAGTTTTGGCGTCACTGTGTCAAGGATGAAGCAACCGTGGAAAATCTTACCGCTCAACTTTCCGTTAGCGATGGCGATCAGGCTACGAATCAAGCAGGTTACGATATCAAGTCTTGCATCTATGAGAGGTTCATCGATTATGTTTTTGGGGCTGGCTGGAACATTACTCGCCACGATCAGCCCCAGAAGTTGGTTCATAATGGGCTGCGCTTACGCCTCCCGGATGATAATAACGCTGGCGATGAGTTTTTCGTCTCAGTAGCTGCCAAGCTAGCATCTGATTTTCGAACGAGGCTGATGATTCTCGATTACCAAGATATTCAGGACCTAGCAGAGCACATTGTAGGGCCTCGGGAAATCTTCGCGTACGACGATGTACAGCGCTACATGGCTACCTATTTTTCAGCAGTGGACGATGCACGAACTGAGAAATGGATGCCGGACGACACCATGAGAACATGGACTTCTATGGCATCATTTACGAGCGATTTCAACTCGGGGATACCCGGAAAGACATATGACTCTGCAGATCTTTTTCGAGGCATGCTCAACAATATAGGAAACGGGTCCGCCGTCATCGTGATTCTACGGTCACGGGAGTTTGGGCGGTTCTGGAAGCCTGTTTGTAAATCGTTGAAAACAGCCATTTCTACATCTGGCCTGCAAGAACGGGTGCTCGTCATTGCAACCGACAACACCACTTGTGCTGAGGGACTGGAATCCGGGCCGTGTGGCTGGTATCTTAACACCCGCCCAGCCTCAAGAAGACTTGATATTTTCCCACAAAGAACCAAATCTCAAGAAGCACTTTTCAAAAAGGCAAAAGAAACACAGCTAGAAGAGGCAAACAAGAGGGTGCTACAACAGGCTATCAGGAGACTTCATCCACTGTCTGCACAAATGCTAACTCAACCATATGCTGAATGGCCGATCCCAGATTCTGCGACGGGGTTGAAGCTGTTGTTGGGAGGCAAAAGACTCGGTTGGCGTGAAGCTCGGGGATTTGCGGAGCGTATGCTGGGACCATCCTCCTTGACTATGGACATCTTAGTCTCTATTGCAAATCGCTACCTGGACGAAGACAAGGCGACGCAAAACTGGGGGCACACGCCAGACACCTGTTTCACGGAAACTCCGAATGAAAATGGAGCTCAACAATCTGGTTCTTGGCTTGGAAGCCTCCTAGGCATAAACTCCGGCAAGAGCTCCAATAAGGATGGAATAAACACATTGGAAACTCTAGTGGATAAATGTACGTCCCCTCCCCAAATTGAAGGGTTAGAGAAAACGCTAACTTGAGTCCATCGATATCCAGCTACACTTGATGCAGACTGGTCGCATATTGAGGTCGATCCCGCTGTCAAATCCCAGGTCGAGCGCATGATTTTACTCCTGGAGCGGCGCAGCCAACTTTCAGGCATTCTCAAGCGCGAAGCAGGTGGTGCTCTCATCTATGGGCCCCCGGGAACTGGCAAAACCCATCTCGCCAGGATAATCGCAAAGGAGACCTCATCGACCATGATCCGTGTAACCCCTGCCGATATCAACAACAAATGGAGTGGGGTGGCGGAGAACAATGTCAAGGATCTCTTCAAGTTCGCTCGCTCGCGCTCCCCTGCTGTTGTGCTTTTTGACGATGCAGACGGCCTGTTTCGGCAGAGAGGCGGTAAAGAAGACAGCGCTCCTTGGAGACAAGATGTCACCAACGCATTCTTGAATGAAGTTGGCGGGTTCGCCAATGACCCCAAAAGTCCCCTCCTTGTACTGGCGACCAACTTTCCCAACAGTGTCGATACTGCCGTGCTTCGGCGAGTGCCGAATAAGATATTCATCGGATTTCCTACGCGAAGCGGACGGCAGAATATTTTCCGAATATGCCTACGGGAAGAGAAACTGGCCAGAGACGTGGAGCTCGAGGCCCTTGCGGCTCTCTCATCCCGATTCACAGGCTCAGATATTGAGTTCGTCTGCCATCAGGCGGCTTCTGCCGCGCTAGAAGATATCGTCCGAAGCTCTGCGCCGATCGAGATGCCTGTCTGCCTCGAAATGAAACACTTCATCCGTGCCATGGAGGTGGCCAGCCCGTCATCTGATATGGCCATGATGAAAGATATGAAGTTTTTTGCCTCGCAATTCGATCAACCGTCCCTAGCCAGAATGAACAAATCTGTGGAGGAGTAATTCTTTTGGGGGGCTTGGGTCGGACCAAGAATTTGGTGGTAAAGGGAGCTTCTATCAAACGTTGATATGCCGCTGCAATTTGTAAGCGGCAGACAAATTTCGGGACTAGGTAGTTGCAAATTTTGTGATAGAAGGGAGATTGGCATTTTGTCAAAAGTGATTTGGTGTGTTTGTGAGCAGCAATAGATGCCTCACTCTTAGCACGGAAAGGTGGAATTTCATATGTACTTGCCAGAAATCAACAGCGACAAACGGCCTGTGGTTAATGTGAACCAATCCTGTTGACATAGAACTTTACACAGCCATAGTATTAATACGAATATCAATTGAGTTCTGTTCCCGATCTGGGAATCTGCCCATGAGTCTGCCGCCGCCCCGCAGCTGAAAGCCTGCATAATGCTCCGCCCCAATTGTTGATTGATAAAACCTCAATGGAACCAGGTTTAATAGCCGGATGGTTTCTCCATCTGCATATTTCGCGGGAGGGTATCCATGAATACTCGTGGCTGCAGTGTAGTTCCCTCTGTGTCACTGCATATCAATACTCTGCCTCCCTTTTCTCCGACTTGATGGCTCGATAGGTAACCATCAATATTTCTCCGCTGTAGGATGCTCTAAGAAATACGTCGCGATGACATTCCACAACTTGTACCCGGCCAGATTGGACGTTTCTAAGCCTGAAATTCGAGTCCTCGAGATCATAGACAGCAATAATGGCAGTGTATCATGCAAATTACACGCTGTCACTCTCGATAGCTCGTCAAATATCACTGCCTTGTCCTACGTCTGGGGCGACCGGAATGCCACCACAGAGATTAGAGTCAATGATAGAACCATCTCGATAACCAAAAACCTAGCCGGTGCCCTGAAACATGCCCGCAAGTACTGGAAATACGAGTTCCCCGATAAAGATCCGGCTTCTTTCAGAATATGGGCAGACGCCATCTGCATCAATCAGTCGGATCCGGTGGAGCGAAGTGAACAAGTCACACTCATGCCTCGAATCTATTCAAAGGCCGCACTGGTCCTCGGGTGGCTGGGGGACCAGCATAACGAGGACATGTCAATTGCAACTCAGACAATAGGCCTCATTCATGCCGCTCTGGCAAGCGTTGGGGATGACACGCCCAAATTACTACAGCTAGAGTGGCTTAAAGCTTATCTCTCTTTGACCGTGGCTCCCGAATGTGACAGAAGATGGAATGCTCTACATGTCCTAGGAAGTCTGCCGTATTGGAAGCGGGTGTGGATTTTTCAGGAGAATCTTTTGGCAACAACCATGTTTTATATAACTCCCACTGCCATGATAGAGGCCAATACTCTTCTACAAGCATGCGTTGGGTTTGGTGTCCTCTGCGAATTGATCGCCGACCATCATGTGGCAAAGCCCGACTTTGTTCCCAGCCACGTCTGGATGGCTTTCAAACCCCCTGAGGGGACAGCTTTCAATGGATTGAGAGAGATTCAGAGGCTGGGCTCAGCCAAGTACACCTTTCAAGGAATGCCGTCACATACTGTCGGTACAAACCAGCTTCTCTGGGAGCATTTACATCTGTCGCAATACGGCGGCGTTCTTGAGGCTACGGATCCCAAAGATCATGTGTACGGCCTCTTGGGAATCAGCTACCTTGGCATCCAGATTGACTACAGTGAATCCAAGCGAGTCAAAGATGTTTACGCAGACTACTGTCGTGTTGTACTACAACTTCTCCAACAACTATCAAAACGAAATATATTTTTCCTCCGAGACGCTGGCAGCGGTGTCTTTGACACTGCAGAACTGGACCTCCCCTCTTGGGTGCCAAACTATCCTGCGAGATCAACCGGTGACCCGACACTCATATTTGGAAGTGCCTTTAATCTAATTTCAATTACTCCAGATATGCCATTCCCAAGCATATCTGGTTTCGAGTTGTCCATTTCTGGCGTTCGCCTTCAGAATGTGAAGCGCATCATGCAGCCACCACCAACCATAGAAAATCTCAAAAAAGGAGGAGACGGCCACTCATGGGTCACGGAATATTTGCAGAGGAAACCGATGTACAATAAGATACCAAGTACTTGGGCTCTGTTCAGCGCAGTGGCGAGAATGCCGAGATTTACCCTCGATACATCAAACCTACTCCTTCTCCAGGACTTTTTAAGAATTCTTGATCTTAAGCCGCCCCAATATATCAACCAATGGGGCAAAATTCCAGTTCAATACACTACAAAAGAGGAGGGCGGCATCTCCATTGGCGTTATCATGGATGGCTCAAGTAGTAACCCATCAATGATTACCCAGGTTTCCCCAGCGCTGAGTTACACAGACCCTGTTAAGGCTCTCGAGGATAGGATGCTTGAAACCGCATATCGATTGATACACATCTTAAAACGAAACTACCATGCCAAGCTATTTGAAGCGGGAGGGGAGCTATTAGGCATGGGGCCGCAACACTGTTCTGAAGGCGACGTAGTCTGTGTCCTCGATGGATACCGCGACCTCGTGCTTCTCCGAAGGTGCGGAGACCGATATCAGTTCGTTGGACCTTGTTTGACTTTCGGGATATCGGAGGCGTCTGTCAAAAAAGCATTGGATGAGGGGGCTCTGAAGGTTGAAACCTTTCAACTAATATGATATGGTGAGTGACGGCAATCTCTCATACATTTATGAGATAAATGCGCAAGGGACCAAGGAACCAATGCTAGTACATTCTACATATTCGTTAACCTAATTTATCAAGTCTCCAAAACAGGGTAGCCCATCGAGATTAGAAGAACCCGTCGACCAAATTCTAACAGTTGACTTCAACCGCGTTAGAAAAGTAGGTGTAGGTGTCCGCATGCCTTATGTTCTTGTCTGCAGGCAGTTTGAGCAGCTTATCATACCCATACACACCGAAGTCGGGAAAACCCTTGAGTCCATGGGCAAATTCATGAATGATGACACTCGCCTTATCTCCTTGATGGCACTTGCCGTTGACTGGCTGCTTGAACCAAGGGGGGCAGAGAACGACTTCCTTTCCGACAGAGTATGCAGGAACGCCACGATTGCTTTTACAAAAATCAGTGTCTTTGCAGCTGATGGAAAGTTGCCCCGATATCGAACTCTTGCATTCTGTTGCAATATCATCAAACACTTTACCTACGATTTCCCGAGTATTGCGGCTGTCTGATTTAAAGTACTCCTTCATCCTCTTAGGCGGACCGCTCCTAGCTGCCTTAGCTGCTTGCTGGGAGTTTTTCTGGCAAAGCGACAAGGCATTCTTGACTATGTTCTGCTGGTTGCTGTTGCAAGTTTGTCGAACAAAAGTGGAGCGCTTGATCTCCTCTTGTATCTGGGAGGCAGAAAATATGGCCTTCGCCTCAGCACCGTCGACCTTGGTAATAAATTCGGATGAATACGGGATTATCCCCGTAACTTTAGTTGATCCCGGTTCTGCGTACTGGAGATAGCCAGATGCCTGGATCTTGAAGTCGCCGCCAGCTGAGAGGTCATAGAATTTGGCCACGTCGAAGGTCTTGTCCAGACTGCCCCCAGCAGGTAGCTTAACAAAGGCCGTTTCGGCAAGATGATCCATGTCGATGTACAGACGGATACCTTGGAATTGAATATTGTTGTCTGGTGACCGCGTTAGCTCATGTTGTAAATACGTCTACAAAACAGGGGGGGTCAAAACACTGACCTCCTGAGAATACATTGACCCTCTCCAAGTCTACATCATCGATAATGCTACCCAGCTTCAAGATGTTTAGATCCCTATCGTGGTGACTAGTCACGATTGCTTTGACGGTGGTGTTTCCGATATTTTCAATTTTTACTTCCACGGACGGGGAGGAAGGTGACGATTCAATGGGACTTGCAGCTCCCAATGAGATCAGTGAAAGAAGGCTTAGAAGCTTCATAGTGAAAAGAAGAGAGTAATGTTCCGGAATAAATGCTTTTCAGGATTCTCAGATGTGCAACTTGGAGGATGTCTTTGTATTGAAGAAAGCGTGTTCAATTCGAGGGTTTTCGTAGCCTTTTATATACATCTTCCGCCTTCGAATCCTCCTATCTACAAATGTGCATAAGCCTACATGTAGGCTTCAGGTGTTTCCCTCCTATTCCAACCTACGGAACCTCATAGCCAATCTCAAGCTTGCTTTTCTGTCAGAGCCTGGTTTAGAAAGAGCTGAGACCGGATTGTCGTACGTCGGAATGCTAGGCTTACTTGTCTCAGCCTTTCTCGTGCAAGCCTAGGGGCCGCCAGCCCTTCATTTTGAGACACTACCTTAAAATAGCACGAGATTTGGCCAAATTCTCGTCCTTATTAGGACGGATCGTCCCAAGTAACACAATTTCTCCGACGGCCCAATTTGCTTTTCGCGAAATGGGGCGTGGCGGCTCTCGTAAGATACGTAACTGGGCGCCGTTCTTCTATTTTTACTACCTGCCTCTCGCAAATGCTCGTCACAGCCATATCCATCGATGCATTACTGTGATGGATGAGCTGACAGGGAGAGCACAACATGCTTCCGAGTCCATCGGCCTGGCCTTTTTGTTGTCAGAATTCCAGGAGGATTATGGGCTTCATGCACAAGTTCCTTGGTTCTCCGATACTCAGCCTCACGCGAGTGCTTCAGGATTTGCCTATCCCAAGCCTTTCAGCTAAGCGTTTGTTTAGTATTAATCATGCTATCTCTAAGTTCTTATTATAGCTAAATATGCTGAGGGCGGGCGCTTCACCCTTGAAGCGTACAGCATCTGTTGAGATCATCAAACGGGTAATGAATAATTCAGAGCTACAGTTACGCCTCGTCACATCCAGAAACTGCCTATAAGAGACCCTCCGCATGATTACAGCGTGCAGATCAGGACTGTTTCATCTGAGCCATCAAAGGAATTGAATGAGGTCATTTCGCCCAATGACTTTCGGCAACATCACGAGCTCCATGAACGCGTCATGCACAGGCTAGAACCTCACCCCTCCCGAGCCTCTTCTCAACGAGCAGAAATAGCTCGCTTCGCTTTACTTTTCACCAGACAAGATTAATTGGTATTGTTACCTATATCCAGGATTACTATATATGTAACAGTAGCAAAATATATGGATCCATTGCGGCTCATAAACAGGCACGCAACAGACAATCTTAATCTAGCGCCGTGAGTGGCTGAGGCCGGACATCCAAGCAAATTCAATTTGTTCACCCGGTGCTAGATACAGGACATCAGACAAAGCCAGCATTGACAATCCAAGTGGCATCGTCAGTGAACGCTCCGGCGGCATCCCAGTCATGGACACCTCCGTTGCTGCTGATGTACCCAACATCCTTGAAGTGTCGGAAGTACCGTGTGGGATGGCTCCAAGATCGGATCGAGCTGCCTTGGCCACTGAGACCAGCCTGTGGGCAGAATGTGGCATCCTCGGCGAACAGCTTGCTGCCGTCATCGGCGTTGAGGGCAAGAGCAAAGTTTGCGTGTCTGATAAAGCTGCCCGGGGAATTGTTTGACTCGAAAGAGAAGCATTCGCTCTTTCCAAGGCCTGCGCGAACAGTCCAGCTCGCTTGCTTCTTCAAGTCAATGCTGCTGGACGAATCGACCACTTGGGTATTAATACTGGCGCCCGTGTGTGAAAGGTATCGCGCCGTACAGCAGGCGGTAGTAGCCTGAAAAGAGATGGAGGAGCCCAGCGTAAGCTCCGGCCCGTTGACAAGGGAGATTTCAGCGTATCCAGCTGCTACTATATCAGCCTGTACGGCGTCTTCGATTTCGGCAGATGGGTAGCCATCGGTCATGACTCCCTCGTAGAATGTGCCCTGGCCACCATTGCTGTTGTCACCCCCGATGCCAAGAAGGATGGCGCCCTCCTTGCTCATGGGATTATAGCCGTCCACACTCGGACGCTCACCTTCAAAAAATGTCGACAGCTTGCCGTCTTTCGCATTGCCGCCTCGGATGGCCCACAAGTTGGGCGCGCCCTTGACGATCGAAGTGGTGAACCGATGGCTAATAGTGGGATCACCGGGATTGTTAGATGGCGACAAGCCCGAGAACAGTCCGTTCTCCAGGTCAGCCATGATCCAAGGACCCTCCCCGTCACCGGAACCCCACCAACTGCAAGAGCCAAACTATTCCCCCGAATTGTTAGAATCTGCACGTTTCCTGGGAATCATGAATGGTTGAAGGACTCACGTAAATAGTTTCCATGTGCCCGTTTCCCGTATCCAGGCCGCTAGGCTCAGCGTTGCCATAGTCAAAACAGCAGGCATCGTTGTAATGTGTGCCGTCCAGAACTGCGTACATGCCCTGAGGCTCATCGCCGATCGCTGTCTCAACAGCATTATTGTTTCGATATCCTGTCCCGGGTGCAACGAAGGCTCCGTAAGCTCTCCGGCCATTCAGAGACACGGGGGCTCCTATTGCGCTGGCCAAGTTGTCATAACCATCCACGTCCGGACCATGGAAATAGCCCGGTGGAGCCTGCGTGAGGTGGTTTCCCACGCCGGACTGGTCGTATATGACGGTGATGAGACAAGTCGTGCTGGCACAGAAGTTATCTTGGGCATCAGCATCGGCCACGCCGCCAGCAGCAAGAGGTGAGACATCAAGCACGGCGTTGTCAGATGCCCGTTTGACCTGATATAGCGGTCCCTCGTAAGAACTGTAGAGAGCACGTGTGGTGCCGTGAGCAGCAATGCAGGGTGTGCCACCTGAAGCGTAGATATCGCATGGAGCAGCAGCGGCGAGTCGGAAAGAAGCCGTCGCGGCGAGGACCAGAGCGAACATGGACATTTTCTCGGGCGTTTGCTTTGGTGGGATAACTCGTAGGCTTTCAAGCGAATTGATCAGCCGTTGGGTCTGTTTCCAAGTTGGTTAGGGCCGGGATCAAGATCTGATCAGAGAAAACCCTGGGGTACATCGCCTGGCTTTTAACGTCGGTGGATTGAGTAGTCATGCCGTCCTCCTCAAGGCGTTTTTCACCTAACAAGTCATACAACCTCTTATCCATACCAGGTTTTGGAAGCGTGTAATTGGTGCGTCAGCCATTTTCTTGGCGTCATTGGCTCGGATGATGTATTTCCTGAAGATCATACGGCAAAACCCAAGGATAAAATCTACCGTAGCTGATGTTGCATCCAGCGCTTCCAGAAATGACCGAGATAGTGCCACACCACGTTCCCAAGGCAGAGCTCCTGGCTAATGGGACAACATCATCTCTAATCCCTCCGAGGCACAGGGGAGATAGATTTCTGGAAACTGACGATTCCGTCACTTGCTATCCGCTCGAATAATGGCGACCTGACAAGATGCATGCAAGTGGTTCAGACCTCGCATTTGAATATAGGTGGCGAAATGAGGCGAATGGATCCCATTAGCGCGTATCCCGCAACAGAGCAGTTTACCCTTCCAGTGCCCAAATGGTACCATGCCCCCAAAAGGCAAATATCTTTGATCTCCGGGCCATTTCTGTTGATCTCATGGATGGGAATGACTTTGTGATCACTCGGACCTTGAAGTCTCCTTCCCGTTGTGGCGAAAAACGGGATGGGGGTTGGCATTTAAGGGGGGAGGAATTGGAAGGAAAAAGCAAAAGAAACCGGAAAAGAAACCGGATAGTGAGGTGGTCTGCGGTAGAGGGCCAGCGTGGTAGGTGATCATTGTTTGAGCATGAGCAGCCAATAATGCACATGTATACGGAGATGACTTGAGGCGCCGGGCTGTGACCTTCGTATACGAGGCCGGTGAGATGGTTGGTGATACTTGGAGAGCTCGCCTGCTAACAAAGAGATCCGATGCCTATTGTCTCACTTGTAATTGCCTATCAACGGAAAAACAGAGAGCGAAGGGTTCAAGCCTTGGAGGAGGGGCACCTGTCTCGTGGGTTATATGCGCCTAGTGTTTGTCCGCTAGTATTTTACCTGTATAAACTGCGGCGAGGTTCAAGATTCATGGTCTATTAAAAAAATATTGCTAGTGCAGAGGCCGTTGAAACAACATGTCAGCTCAAGAGAGTTGTCTGTCACATCAGTGCTGCCCACCTCCACAGCACACGTGACTGAACGAAGAAAACAAAAATATTGAAACGCGCTACGAATAGGCGGCCTCGGCTCTTCGAATGGTCTTCAGATCGACTGGGGGAAAAAAAATGATGATGATTACGGATGATAATGGCGCGTTGAGGTCTGGTGGTTGCAGTCGTCTTCTCTTGACCATGCTCTCCACCAAGTTGTGTTCGGCAAGAGCGCGAGCTGGTCGCTAAAAAAAAAAAACACTGCTCTCTCTGTAGTAGCAGCCATTGACCCTCGAGCACCGTGCATCACGTGATGAAATACATACCCTACACAACGTCTAACGTCCTAAGGAAGGAAATACAGTGCGAAAGGCAGCCAGTTTAACAAACATTTACTTATTGTATGTATCCCAAAAATAAATTTATTAATCATTGGACACTCTAACGCGTGAATCTGAGTGTGGTGCGAAAGAATGAACCTCTATCAGTTAGAATGATGCGTGGTGTGAATGGTACCTACCATTGAGCCTCCTTCCTATCAGCTCTGTGATTGGGTGTTAGTCCCTCAGACCCGTAAAATATCATCCACTTAACGCGATCAAAAAAATGGGGTAAAAGCGGAACCCACCCTCAGGGTGTCATTTGTTTAGCAACTTGCCATTTGCATCATCCATCATTGCTGGAGCGGTGTCTCGTGTTCTGAGACAACAGCCTCGATAGCTTCGTCAATCCTCTCAGCCACAGGAAGCGGTGAGCTAGTTCATTTGGCCAGAAAAGCAAAACTCACAATTTCGGCCGCGTTGGCATCATCTCATTTGGCACAGTCGCTGAACGGGCCGCAGCACCACCTTCAGCCCTTGCAGCCTCCTGCAGCCACTCGACTCTAGCCAGAGGCCTGAGCGGTCCGTGGAAATAGCGCTGCGCCATGATTCGGGGTGGAAATTGCAACCTAGAGTTGGCAACTGAAGCTGTTCGGAGATCCTGGGCGTCAGATTGAAGCCTGGGCCTCCCAAGCAGCGGCCAATGTCTATTATATGGGGCTGGATTCAAAAGGCGATGGCAACGCAACCTTCACGATGCTGGCACTGACCAAAGGAGTATTCAGCCATGCGGCGCTTCTTTGCTGACGACCCTCCAAGAAAATGCGGATTCGGACACCCACCTTTGCTGCATCCTTTGCTTCGGTAAGAGAGGCTGCCCAGAGATGTCAGACGGGGTTGCTAGCCCTCTATGCAATCTTGTGACGCCCTCGATCGATACATGGATTCTCCGGGCGGATGAAGGTGTGAGATAAAGCTTTTATCAACATGGGCCAAGCGACCGGGGTTTTCTCCCATTTAGAACCGAGTCGCCTATATCGACACTGGCAAGAAAAGACAGACATGGAGGCAATCCTTTGCTTGCGCCTGTCAGCTTATGAGATAAGGTGGCTGTCTTGGCATGCATCCATGATGCATCTCAAGCTCAGCTCTCCAGCACTATTGAAATATGCTTGGAGGCTCCCCCATAATTGGCCAGATGCTTGCCATTGCGGAAGTGATGAGCAGTGGCGTTCCTGCAAGCAAGAGACTTCTCGGAGTCTAGATCGTGCCCGGTAAGGCTGCGAGGCATTTCCTCAAAATGTCTGTCCTCCCCGCAAAGTACCAGCTAGAATATCATCCCCTCCTCAATCACCCAGTCTGGAGATACCATTCATCCAACAGATCACTCGACTGGCACTGGGGATAATGTTGCCGGCAACCTGTCTTCAGCATCGGCTGCGGTGCCAAATTCAGGCCCTATCTCTACTTTTCTTGTTCCTCGCTCTCGAAAGTGTCACTGCTGTCTCCCAGGAACCGCAGAGCGACTTCTGTCGGAGATTCTCCCACCAATCGACCGTGATTGACGACCGACTATACATCGACGGAGGATACATCAATTACCGGAAAGACGATAAGAACTACGTAGCGACGGAAAATGAGCCCAGTGAGTCGATCGACCAAGCAACCACTGACCACTAGAAAAGGTTGCTAATTTTCGACTGAAGATACCTGGCTCGGATATCATGACCTCAATAACTTTGGTGGACAAGACGGCTTACTCAACCCCCAGCTGCATATAAACCTGGAGAAAAACAGGACGTGAGTCAAGCCACAACCCTGGTTCATCTACTGAAATGCTAACCTCTCGTCCCGCCACTTAGCATGCCCACCGTCGCCGGCGGAATCCTATGGCCCGACAGCATCAACAAGCGCTTCTATCTCTACGGCGGTAACTGGATATCGCCACAGCGGGCAGACGCCTTCACCCTCACAGGCTACGACATCATCAACGACCGGTGGGACGACTTTGGCCCTTCGAAGATCAAGCTCAACGTCACTGCACTCGGTGCTGGCGTTGGCGTATCGCAGACTGGCAAGGGTTATTACTACGGAGGCTGGGTCAGCGACAAGTCGATGGACGGGGGACCCAAGGACGCAGCGATGGTCTCAGACTTCTACGAGTACAGTTACGACAACAACACGTTCAAGTCGCTAAAGGGCATAGACGATCGCCCGAGAGCCGAAGGAGGGATGATATGGATACCGACCGGCGATTGGGCCGGCGTGCTGGTGTACATGGGAGGCGTTGTCGGTGACGGTGGCAATAAAACCTCTCCCCAGCCCTTGGATGAGATATTCCTTTACGATGCCACGATGGAGGTATGGTACAAACAGAAGACGGAAGGGCAAGTTCCACAGAACAGAGGACAATTCTGTGCCGACGTCGCCCGGGCGCCCGATAACTCAAGCTACAACATGTGAGTATTACCCGGATTGCCGAGGGAGAGGGCACGCGCAGGCTAACCAATCCCAATAGTTACCTCTGGGGAGGGAAGGCTGAATACCCCCCTCTGACGAACGCCTCAGCGTACAGCGACGTCTATGTCCTCTCCATGCCCTCGTTCAGGTGGCTCAAAGCCGACCCCGACATTTCCATCGCCCCGGCCAACCGTACAGGCTCGAGGGGCCGCTTCGGCTCATCCTGCAACATGGTCAACAACATGTCGCACATGTTCATCATCGGAGGCAACTACCCGAACGAGAGCAACGTTGACTGCGAGCCCGCGTGGGCAGTGCACGGCTTCTGGACAGGCACGGTGAACAACACGGGCAACAACGAGAAGTGGTGGGGGTTCCAGACCAAAGACACCACCGGCAATGTCGTCCCCTCGCTGGTCTACAGTGCCATTGGAGGTGACAAGAATGGCGGCGCGGTGATCAAATCGCCCAAGGATGGCTTCAGTGCGGAGAACAGGCCGCTCTCCAACCTGTTTAGTTCTGCCTGGCCGTCACCCAATCGCCAGCCGTCCCGCAACGTTCACGGCGAGGCCCCATCGAGGCTCAGCACCGGGGCCATTGTCGGCATCGCCGTTGGCGGCGCCGTGGCCTTGGCCATCATCCTGTTCGCCTGGTGGCGACTAGGAAAGAGGGTCCTGCAGCGCCGCGAGGAGAAGCACCGGGCGGAGGTGACGCAGGAGGCCCAGCAGATGAACCAGATGCAGCAAGAGGAGCAGCAGAAGCAGCAGACACAGCACATGTACCAGGACCGCCACTTCCATTCCGGGCAGTCTCACTACTCATCCTACTTTGGCAGCGGCAGCGTGGGCACCGTTACCACCCCGCCGTTGAACGAGTCGCACTGGGGCTCGCTGCCTGTCCCTGGGAGTACTGATCAGCAATTTCCGGCAGATGCTACAGAGCTTCCCGCTTCGGACGGCAATGCCATCATAGAGCATAAACCTTCTGTGTCTCCGGTCAGCCCCCGTATGTAGAGAGTGATCCTGCTGGCTCAAGTGCCACGAGACGAGTTCAAGCGCGGATGTTGCGCTTTTTCTGGGTAGTTGAGGTTTATTCAAGCATGGGTTGGATCTCTCCGTTAATTGCTGCAATAATTTGACTTCGTTGTGGTTGAGAAGGTCCCGCGGTGTCCGTTTAGGGCTGAACATGTAATTTAAGCTTCTTTCCCATCCTACAAGACAATTCCTCAGCATGTTAGCTCGTTACCGTATGAGGCAAAATGTGACACAAATTCCAGAGCTATTTTGGTATCATCTCACGAATCTCCCTCCATTTCTACACCGGCACTGGACACGCCGGCGACGTCACTGTTCAACTTCATAACCGCATCTCAAGGTTGTTTTAACTTTTAGGTCTCATATTGAATACAGAAAAACATACCAAAAAGACACAATTAGACCTCGTAATGCTATGCCAAGAAGAAACACACATCTACCCCATGAGAGAAGACCAAGAACAAACATTTACAAACCCCCGCGTCCAGGATGGACTACAGGGGAAATAGCTGAGGGTGCCATCGGATATCCTCCCACTTCGAGATCTCCAGACTCCCGATATCGCGGACCGGATAACCGCGATCGACCGTGACCTCCATGTTCTCCAGAGTCTCCTGCAGACGCGCCGTCCTGTCGACCTGCTCCTCGTAGGTAAACAACCTCCAGAGGGCGGCGGGGCCAGCGAACCAGGGTATGAGCGAGAGCACGGTCAGGTATGCGGGCCGGTACTGGCCGCGATCATTCCTCTCGCGCAGGGGCGTGAAGGCGCTGAGCTCAGGTAGTTTATACAGCTGCAGGTAGAGGTAGTGCAACAGTATTGGTCTTGGGAATCAACGCGATATGATTAGCTCAATTGGCAGAATGAAATCCTGAATCGGAGAAGTGGAGAAGTTGAGCTTACAGTAATGGGTTAACAATCCATTTGATCCATTTCTTGCGGTCGAGCTTCTTCTCCAGGCGCGCCGTGAACCGGGCGAGGTTGCGAATGTCCTGCAGCAGCGCGGCCTGGATCATCTGGAGCTGGGCGCGGGAAGTCTCAGGCGGCGAACCTAGAGGGCACATAATCAGCCTACTATTGCTTGAAGTCAGATGAGCTGCCGTGGGCGTACCGGTGCGGGGTGGGCGATGTGTTGTGCCAAGCCAGAGCTGGCGGTAGTGCTGGAGGCGCGTCAGAATGGCGATGCGCAGCCCCTGAGCGACGTCCTCTGGCGGCGGTTTGGTGGGCGGCTCGTCTTCCACCTCATAAGAGTATCCGTACTCCATTTGCCGAGCAAGCCATTTAGCAGGCCCAGGTTTTTTTCGTCTCGATTGCCCCCCTGGCCGTGAGAGCTGTCGTCAATCTTTCCGTCTGCGGTCAGTCCAGCGTGGTCTGAGCCTCGGCGGCAAAAATGGTTGCTGGGCAGATTGCTGGTGGGTCGTGCGCGTGAGCAGCCTACCCTGGAGCTGACGCGACGCAACTTGGAGCCTCTTTGTTTGCAGCATCATAGCCAAGAATCAAGCCATCATTGAACAATGTATCTGTTAACTGAAAATGGGTTTTTTCTTCTCTGTCGACATTTGCGCTGAGTTTTAATTTTTGCAAGGCGGTAGAGTTGGCTGGTTTATAGAGAGGTAGGAGCTGGATGCTGTCAGTGGGACCTGGACGAGTGCGTTGCAACAGCGGGTGAAGTGTTCTAGGATTGAGGTTGATGCTTGGTTCAGGACAGAGGACCTTATTTGTCTTCAATTTTTTTTTAAAAAGGAGTAATAAAGGAAGAAGAACAAGTGCTTCCAATTGAGACGTAAAACGAAGTGCATCAGTGACCTCGCCCAACGCATGCGAGAAAGAATGTCTTCGTCACAGTCGATTTGAGGGATCTGCTGGTGGCATCAGTGCGGGTGGGGAAGGTCCATTTTGGGTGCACAACACCAAAACAACGTGGATGACGATGTGTGAATGTATACGCTGCAGTGAAATAAATTAAAAATAAATCCCCGAATTCAGCAGATATTATGACTTGAATCTCGCAATATTCGCCACCAGTTTTCGTCACCTCCAGATGGGTAAATAGCCGAAAAACAGCTCGGATTGGGGGACGTTGGCGTTTGAACTTTGTGGGGACTCCGCTGTGTGATCGGCTATTTTAAGGGCGCCTCCTCCCACCACTATTTTGACTACATTCGTGCATCACCACCACAAGTGAGCTCACATCGAACGCTTCTGCTGTGCCACGCACCGCTGCTGTCGCATTTGCCTCAAACAATCTTGCGATAAAGATGTTTCAAATATGTCACAACCGTGAAAACATGCATTTGCTCGGCATGCATGATCAACGTTGATGTGATGTGGATGAGCGACTGCAAGCAGGTTGGGGAGTGCTCGAGCTGGCTCGTCGGTGGTGCGATGCTATGCTTCATTTGCTGGGGCTGGTATCTTCGAGATGGCCTCAATACCTCCAGCACAGGGAGACCTCACTGCACTCAGCACATACCTGCTGGTCGCCTCCACTGTCAGCGCGGTGGCATGCTCGCCAGCCGCCCACGAGCAACGACGAAGAGAATTTTTCTGCCTTGCCCCCCCCCAACCTGACCTCGAGCAGCCCATAGCTTTATACCCCCCAAAAAGGATCAGTAGTCAACACGTCCGGGGGCCAGCATATGGTCTATCGGTATTATGAGTGTGCGAACGGTCACAGCCAGCTGCGCGCTCATGACTCTGATGGCATATGCAAGTCAAGACCTGGCAGCTCTTGAGGATGCATCAGCCGCACTTTATCACCGGTTGTAAATTCCAGCGCGTCCCCGGCGTTCAATCTTTGGTTACCCCCCTTCGTTCATTCGAATTATCTTTTTGATGTTCTTCTTTTTGGTTCAATTGTTTGTCCATCTCGGCAGTGCAGCGCATGCAGACGAGTCGCGCGCGGAGGAGTCACGGCCATGACGGATAATTTTCTCTTTGTCCTTGGATGTTTGAGGTGAGGCGGAGACAGGATGAGTGTTTGCGATGCATTCGCTTGGTTTGTTCAATGGTTCTGTCCGAGTGAATGCCTGTCGCTAGCTCCGTCTGTTGGCCTTGATTTCTAACATTGTTGTTGTGTGCCAATGGAGTGCATGTCTGACAGCATCTTTCATCTGAAAAAAAAAAGACAAAAAAACAAAGAGCGCACCATACCCGGCCTGCACACATGTTTGCCTCATCGGATATTTCATCGCATGCATGCAGTAAATCATCTGGTGTGCATGCTTTCGAGCTGGTGTTTGTCTGTGTCTCTGCTCAGCTCTTTGGCTGCTCATTTGGTTCCATAAAGGTACTTCTGCATCCCATGATTTTTGAAAAGTGGGGCTTCCCGAAGGTTGAGAGTTCGAGCCTGTCTAAGACCATCTTTTTTATTCTCGGCATGTAGATTTTTCTGCATTAAACTCAATTCAATATTGTTCCGCAAGTCATGAATAATCTATACAAACCGTTTTTAAGCTTTTGAATGCGGTTGTGATGCTGTGGTTGGGTGAACCATTTGCGCAGCTGATTCTTCGGCTTCAAGTCGCGATGCATCTCCTGCTCCCAAACAGCAGCAGGATCCAGCCCTCTGGGATGATGGAAACATGCCCGGTCGGCCCGATAATTTGGACTTTCTTACCAGCGAAGCTTCAAATCATCGGTGTGCGCCTGAAAATGCACATCGTCATCGATTACGCTGTATATGCCATGCCGTCTTGGTGCAGCTGTGGTCTTCGTTCCTGGTGCAAAAACCCAAGAACTGACTCATCTCCAAGCTCCCAGCCTTCGTCGTCCCGTGCAGGTTGATTGTCAGTATTCAGCGCATAGATTTCTCAGAAGCTTTGCACAAATCATCACTATCATGGATTTTTCATCGGATAATTTTATTAGCCCGAGAACCAAATCCTCCATATCAAACTAAATGTTCTGATGGCACTTGGGAACAGAATCATTAACACGTCGTATTCGTGTATCCGGATGCCTCATGCCGCCAATCCACCAGTACCCAACATAAATACATGACCTAGGTTTTCCCGCGAGAGCCGAGCATAATGGCCCAGATCGTAATGACAGTTGCCGAAATGGTCACAACGGCCAGGGCTCCAGTGGCCAGCACAATAAGGGCCACGACTCTGGTGTCCCACGCATCCCCGAATTGTGTTCTCCAATCACGTTCCGGCCGAGCCTGGAGAAAGTTCCTCCCAAGGTCATCTTGAAGAGCAGTGAGGCGTAGGCCGAGAATGAACCCGATTGCATTCAGAGCACCGGCCACCTGTTTCTTCAGTAAGTGCCGGATCACTACTAACAGGCGATATCATTTGAATTTTAGTGATTAGATACGAACCTTCTTAAGAAAATCAATCATTGTAGCGAATGCTCTGTACAATTGCCTTACAGTCGATGCGCGTAGCTCGTCGTGGAGAGCGAGCCTGCTTCTCTGGGATAGAATTTGAGAAAAAGCGATGGGAGTATGATTAATGAAGTTTGTTTTTGTTTTCAATACCATAGAAGGTGGGTAAAGCTTTAAATAATTCCAAACCTCCTTCTCCCTTGCCTCGTAAGCTTACTTCACAAGCAAAATTGCCATCCTTAGATAGTTGCATTGATACTACGTTCAACAAGAATTTGGTGGTTCCAGCCAATCGATGCCTGAAGCTTCTGGCACCGGTCTGCAAAGAACCTTAGCAGGTCCAATTATGATGCGTGTTGAGATATTCATGCGTGAGGCGATGTATCCAATGAAAAACTTTCTGGGGGAGATTGCTGCCCGACATCCTGTGTGTGAGAATATAGGGCTGCCTTGCCGTTACCCAAACCACCCGGGTTGAATTGCAAATTCGACGAAGACCTCACCGGCTGACACTGAGCCGACAAGCCGGCAATCCACCCCATATATCTGGTCACTGACCTGGTTGTTACATACAAGAGTGAACAGAACACGCTAGCGCAAATCCAAACTCTGTTCGAGTTCATCCAGCTCTGCCGACGAGAGGTAGATATCATACCCGGAGAACGCCTGACGGCAGTCGGTGTTATCCGTCTTGGTGAAGTCTTCGTCAACAAAGGGACAGTCCCGGATGTACTGCCAAGTCAAGTCAGTGCTTCGATCCACAGGACGTCCTGGAATGCCAGTGCGTATGACCCGGAAACCCCTCAAGTCGACTTGAGTCAAATGTGGAAAACTCTCCTCGTTGAGTACCGCAAGAAGGCGGCGGAGGAAATATGATGTCAGGTCAAAGCACATGGGCTGGTACACGTAGCGTAGATTCACACGACTGGTCCCACACTTGTTGGCGAGATCTTCTTTTGTAGGGAACAGATAGGTTGACTCTCCAATAGTGATGGAGATGCTCTTTAGTGTATCTTTCGTGCTGCAGAGGTGTCAGCCAGTATGTTCAAGTCTGCGCATTTGTGCTGTTAGAACAGTCGACGAAAGCCTACCTTCGAATAAATGCAGCCGTCTCAGTAAATGTAGTTATATCGTTGCGCAGGTCCGCCTCGTTGGAGAAGGGGCTAAGGCTGACCTGCAGATGGGCCATGGAACTCATGCGTCGCGACCCCAAGAGGCGCAAGGGTAGCCACATCGGTCCAGGGAGGATGGCTACTTCGCCACGCTCTTGTTGATTCCACAGCTCGTCACTGATACCTCCGTAGCTGTGCAAATCACGGGGATAGCCAGATGGTCTGGTTTGCCGCACCAAGTCTTGTGGGATTGGCCCGCCGTTGGGCAAGGCGCCTTCGTCCTGCAGGTAGTCGAATTTAGCACTGACAAGTTTGCTGGCATCCAGTGAATTCACTATGGCCCTGACCAACCCACGGGACATCCACCCAACGAGACGAAGGTGAGTGACGGCGGGGAAGAGCGTGTCTGGGTTCTGCCGGATGTACGGCTCGTAGCCGATCTGGTGCAGTGACGCGAGGTCCAGGTGGGTGACGGAACAAAGCCGATCAAAGACTTCCCATGTCCGAAAGTCGATGTCGGTCATTTCATCCCCATCGCCGCCAAAATCGTCGGTATCATGCCACACCAGGGTCCACGTGAATATCTTGACATGTATTGCAAGCTCGGGGCGGTCGACCATTAGTCTAAGAAAGGCGCGCTGGCGTGGGACCAGGCTGCGAGGGCGGTATCTGTCAGAGTAGTCACTCATGACGACCCTCGAGAAGGCGAAAGTTGGGTCCTCATACTCCGGAAGGCGGCCACGGTTGTGGCTGCTGAGGTCAACATCCTTGAGCAAGAAGGGGAGAGACAGAGTGCGCCATAAACAAGAGACGCGTGCGACGCTGGCGAGTGTTGTAGTGTCGCCCACCAATGTGTCAAAGACCAGCAATAAGACATCTGCGGGGAGTGTGAGGATATTGGGCATGCTGGAGACTGAGAAGAACTGAAGGTGGTGAGGTTACTGAACACATATGCTGACTCGGTTCCATCCTTATATAGTATATCCCGTCCCAAGTCATACTCCCTGGTCCCTTAGGTCAGCAACCTATATATAGCACATAGGCCATTGTTCTTCAATTGCACTTAAATAAAGACATTTGCATCAATTTCGATCTTTGGTCATAAGTAAAATTGTTGTCCCTCTTGCTATTGCAGCCGAAGCCAAATCAATGTCACACAAACCACATATGATGGAAATATGATGGAAAATGCAGGCCTTACGCTAGCAAGTAGAGGTAAACAAGTGAAATCAAGTAAAGCGTGCTATGACGAGATATGAATCTATAGAATTATGTACTTGAGAATGACCTGCAAGAGCCGGCTTCCATCCTGGCGAAATGACCGAGGTTAGTCGAGCATATCTGTACCATCTCTCCTGATCCAGGTCTAGTCCCTCCAGTGAAAGTACAGATAATGAGTTTTGAGTGCAAATTACAACAGAAAATCGATTTTTATGGTCTATGCGTCTAATCCTATACAATTCATAGCCGAAATGCATCGCTGAAAAACAATTTCGCCAACACCCTAATGATAATCCCCACCTCGCTGCAACGTCCATTCTCATCACTCTTACACATTCTGCAAGGAACCGTCGCTCTTGCTCTCCAACTGCGTCACGCCTCGGTCGGGTGGCATGGAGAAACCGACAGAAAGATAGATAATGACTGCAATAAACTCAACAAGCAAAGCCATCATCGCAAAGGCCACGGCAGAGCCATAGAGAGGATTCCACACGGTGCCCCTGTCGAACTCAAAGGTCACCTGGAGAATTCCGTAGACACAGCGAACAACCAAGAACGGGCCGGAAGCAAGGGCTCCCAAGATGACCTGCCATCAAGAGTATTAGTTATCTATACTTGACCGAGCAAGGGACATCGAAAGGAAGTCTTAAACATACCCTACGGCTGGTAGGAATCAAGGACTGCTTCATGCCCCAGAAGCGGATGTGGGCGGCGATGAGGAAGGCGATGACCGCAGCGAAGATGGCATACCCAACAAGCTGTAGAATCCGACCCAGGGTCCGGGTGGATTGAGACGGCTGGCTGATGAGACTGCCACCCGCTGTAAGAAGAACTGCGGCAAGGAGAATGGAGATTCGAAGTGCGCGAGTGGCCTGGTCAATCCTCTTTGAAGGGGGGAAGTTGTCCATGAGACTGATACCGGAAACAATTAGTCAGGAAGAGTGCCGCGATGTCTAGGCCTGGGTGGACTTACACAATTCTGAAGAAACCGGACATGGCGACAATAAGAGGAACGGCGCCGACGTTGAGCAAAACAATTGCGGCAATGATGAGTCCAACATTCGACGAGTCCTTCTCAAGTGCGATAACAATAGGTCCTCCTGCAACTCTCACTGTACAAGGATTAAGATGTCAGCGGCTGAAACGGAGTAGGAAATATAGTATAGAGGTCGGAACATACTCAAGCTGAAGGGCACCATGGGCCACCAAGCCATGCGCGGTCGGTTTGACCAGTTACGCACGATGAGCCATATTGAGAGGATAGCGATTGGAATATAGAAGATGATTTGAGCGATGCTCAAGGCAGTGTGTGGGTTCATTTTGGTGTAAGTAGTGATTCGCGTCTAGTAGGTTGTGTGGATTGTAGTGATCAATACTCAGCCGATAAGGAAGATTGGAAATGGGCTGTATGATTTGAATTGCTGGTGATGATTTTCCAATACAGAAGGAGGGAAGATATTAGCTTTTAAATATCTTTTGAATCTCTTCATTAAAAGTGACCCCCTACGTACGTTTTATGAGATATCTAGGCACAGCCCTACGATTTTCGGTCCGGATTTACGGGAATGGAATGCCATTCGAACAGAGGCGCAGCGGGAAAACGCCCAAGTTGATTCTCCCCCAGCGCTAAGACAGAGTCGGGTGAGATTCCACGAGATGTGGTGCTGAGTAACGGTCGGATTGCCGAAGCCTAAGCGCAGAATCTCGCAGATAAACTCCACTTGGACATAGTCTTAACCTTTCTTGGGCATCATGTCACGAGGCTGGTGTGCAGGACAAAGGGTTCCCCTTTACCAGGGCAGCTTTTGGTGACGAGGGTGGCTTAGTTGACGAACTGCCTGTGTTGGTTGAAAAGCTCGAATGGGTGTCTCAAAATGGCTAGCAGATCGGGTCCCGGCACTGGAGATGGAGAAATTCTAACGGGTCTTGTCGTTCCATGCGAAACTAGACTACATCTGGCCTTATTCCACGAGTTTGATGGCCCACTCAGGTTCGTTGAAGCCGCTGCCGCTTAACCGAGCTTTCACGAATTACCATCCCTAACTCATAAGTCTCTCGATAATATGCGAGTGCGAGCTAAGCCACCTAGATCTTCGGAAAGAAAAAAATGCCTTGCGAAACTCAGTTTATGTGAAATGATGCCAGTGGTTCCCCCAATCAAAGCCCTCTCCCTGCTTGAGTAACCCCCGACCAACTCCAAACTCAGCAACTTGCTCTTGATTCTCAAATTCCGCAATATATGCCATTGGGCATTCGGTATACCACATCTGCGGCTGTGTGCTATAGAAGACGTCGAACATTGGGTTTAAAGCTTCTTTTAAGCTTGAGACGTCTCCCTCGGGATGCAAGTTCTCGTATGGGCGTGTACAGGCCCGACCCTTGCAAGTCTTGAGAATCATGATCAGTGCGTTCAAGCGGGAGAAAACCTGGGCGAGGGGGCGCCCGGCAAACTGCCGCGTATCGGCACTTTTGTTCTCGGTAGCTAGATTGACTGTTTGGTATGGATCGGACTGGGGTATTGTTAGCTGGATCTTCTACGCAAAAAGCATGGGCGTGAAGAGGCTCGACTTACCTTGAGGTCAAAGAACTCGGTCTCATTAGTGCACCACACGGAGTAGTAGAGGCTGTACTCTGGCGAGGAAATTCTCAGCCCTTTGTACGTATTGTTCACGTAGGCGTTTTGGATGACGCCGGCCTCTCTGTTACCATCGCTTCGCATGCCATAATGACCCTCCGGAACGGCCTGTGCAGCCATTAAACTTAGTACAACGCCGCACCAAAACATTAGAATCACTTACGGCGCCCCAATACTCTATAGTCGCATGCTCATGTCTGTTGGAATTAGGAGATGTAGTGCCCAATGGCATGGCGACCCCGTCGAGGTCCCTTTGCTCAACGCCAGCAATCTTGAGCAGCGTAGAGCTCACGTCCGTATGGGTGGTAACAGCATCCAGCACAGATCCTTCATCAATGCCGGGCCCCCGGACGAAGAACGGAATATGAATATCCGTGTCTGCAACCATGATTAGCCTAGTCGGATGATTTATCCTGTAACTTTCTCTCACCATATCCGCATTCTTTGCCAGGGTGCAGTCCATGCTGACTGATGTGATATCCGTTGTCCGATGTGTAAAAGATGTAGGTATTTTCCAGCTGGCCGGACCTCTCCAGTTTTTCAACCAACTCGTGCACCATCTCATCCACAGCCTGCAATGCTCTAAGTCTTTGCCGCTGGTAGTGATCGTTGTATTCAAGTACGGTATCGTTGAGCGGAGAAAGAGACGAGTGCCAGCTGACTCCTCCCTGGATCGGCGCATTGAAGCTTTGATCTCGTGGGATTAGATAGTCCTCGAAAAGGTGCTGATGTCGTGGCGCCACTTTAGGCTCCTCGAGGTAGGAGAGATCTTTCTCGATATCGATTACCCAGTTGGAATGAGGTGCGATGGGAGCGACGGTGAGGAAAAATGGATTCTCAAGCTCTAGAGCCTCATCTAGCCAAGCACTGGCCTTCTGGGAGACTAAATCTGTTGAGTATTGTCCGGCGTAGCTTACCGGTTCCTGTCCATTGTGTGTCATCTTTGCATTCCAATACTGGTAGGTATAGGGATCCAGCAAGAAGTCAGATCCGTTGAATCCTCTGGCATATGGCTGGTCAAAATTGTCTACGGAGTGGAAGTTCCACAGCTTCCCCACGTAGTATGTGTTAAAGCCAGCTTCTTGCATCCATAGAAATAGGTTATCATCATTGATCCCCTGCTGGACAACCTTTGGATATCCTCCATGAGGAGGCGACACATTGGTCACATTGTGATTGTGAGCCGCTTTTCCTGTCCAGAGTGTGGCACGAGACGGACAGCATAACGCTACTGTGCAATAATGCTGGCTGTAGGTGGCACCTTTGTCGACAACATGCTCCTGTTCAAAGCATTCAGACTTGTTCTTCTCGTAGGTAGGGGATCTGGTTCGCTACCTTGAGATATGGCATATGTTCAACACTTTCCATATGTAGATCCTGGTCATCTACCAGGACGAAGAGGATGTTTGGGGGGCGACATAATGCCAATTGTGCGTAGAGCAAGGCCGAAAGCCAGCGAGCCATCTTCTCCTGGTCTTTGTCGAAATACGTCGGATACTGATAGGCGAGCACGTCCGTCTTCAACCTACACACCTATGACAATTATCCTCTCTCGTAACGCACATGACTTTAAGAAGCTAAAATGCGTGTCGACCAATGCCCGAAAATGGTGCCCATATGGGTGGGTTTTCCGATGGCCGACGACACAAAGTCCGATGACGGCCGAAGGTGCCGATGAGCGAAGAGGACACCGAAACCTCCTTGTTGATTGAATATGCAGTCAAAATACGGAATGTAGCCACATGATCACGCAATCGATAAAATTGCGTACTGGTAATAGAGAATCAATCAAGTGACGCTTCCCTGGTCCTGTGCTGGGTTCCTGACCGAGTACCACGAAACAGCTCGTGTTCGGCTAGGTATTTTTAACTAACGGCCACTATTACCCCAATTCTTTCTTGAGCGTAGAGTCGAAAAGTTGTCCAGGCAAAACAATCAATACATCGAACACGAGGGCACGGAAACCAGATACGATGTCCAACGCCGAAGTGGACGAGAGAGCACCGCTGCTCGCCCAGGAGAGGGCCGCATGTAAGTTTAATATTTATTAGAAATACCAACGCAAAGTTCTAATTCAGCGAAACTTCTAAAGCGTCACAATCCGGAGCAGACACGCTTGATGAGGATGAAGTGTCACATGTAGCATTCTGGCTGGTCTTGTCCATTCTGTTGGCGGGTGCGTTGTAGATCTCTCTTCCTTACGCTGGCCGCACAGCCTATATTAATCAAAAATAGGAATCTTTCTTTCCAATGTGGTCTCTTCTGTTGTGATAGCAACCACCCAGAATATTGCATCTGAGTTTGATGCCTTGTCGTCTGCCGCGTGGCTGTTGACAACTTACACGCTGGCTCAATCTGCGAGCCAGCCATTGGTATTAGCCGCCAACTCCTGTAACGTCCATTCGTCCCTAACAAAACATCCTACAGTACGGAAAGCTATGCGACATATACGGACGAAGGAACTGTCTTATTTTTTGCTGGATCGTCTTCGGTCTCGGGTGTCTTCTCGTGTAGGTCAGCATGGTTAATGCCCATTTCGAGTTGAGAGTTAATACATTTCATAGTGCTTTGGGTCGCAGCTATTGGCACGTTATCCTAGGACGCGCTATCAGTGGTGTTGGAAGTGCAGGCAAGATTGTACTGACATCTATTATCGTCGCTGGTAAAGACCGAATCCCCAATGCTACAACGTACCTCTCCTAACCCGACAACAGATCTCGTTCCCCTGAGACAAGTAGCACATTACCGAGCCTATGTCAACTTGACTGCCACGAGCGCAAGGTCAATCGGAGGCCCAATCGGCGGATTGCTCGCTGGTACTGTTGGCTGGCGCTGGTGAGTGGAATGGAGAGGGCTTACTCTTTCCCCTCTCCCCATGCTGATGGCTTTGTAGGTGCTTTCTGGTGCAGCTCCCTGTGGCTTTGATTGGTCTTGCTCTTGTACTTTGGAAGTTGCCAGAGCCCAAAAGAGCAGAGGGAAAGCTCACCACCATGAACGAAAATGAGTCGCAACGAACAAAACTTTCAAGGGTTGACTTCGCCGGCACTTTTGCCTTGATTGGAACCGTGCTCACAGGTCTTCTTGCACTTGATATTTTCACGAAGGGAGGGCCTCGATTGCTTGTTACAGGCTTGGCAATTGCATTTCCGGTTTTTGCTACAACATTTACCGTTGTTGAAAAGTACTATGCCAAAGAGCCAATTTTGCCACTACAGTTGATCGGTAAAAGAGATGTTCTGACCTCCTATACGATCATCGGATTTCAATCAGCTGGCCAGTTCGGAGTAAGTGTCATCAAATTAGTCACAGAGACTTTAAGCTAATTGCACACATAGCTCCTCTACGCAATCCCTATTTACTTTCAGGTCGTAGGAGGTGAATCAGTCTCAACTTCTGGCATCCGCATTGCCCCGGTCGTTGTTGGCAATGCGTTGGGAACAGTCCTCAGTGGAAAGCTGATCACTCGCTTCAAGAGGTACAAAACTCTCACCGCAGTGGGAAATGCGATTGGTTTTCTTGGCTTCCTTCTTTTATTTATGACATGGCGCGGCAACACCAGCTGGTACACTTCCCTCTTGGTGGCTTTGCCAGGTGCAGGAATGGGAATTCTGCAATCGACCACATTCTTGCACTTCGCCGCGAGCTTGGATCCTTCAGACATTGCCATAGCAGGATCGGCTTGGTTCCTAGCACAGAATGTCGGCGTCTTGTTAGGGGCCAGCATGTCTACCACTGTGATCAACAGCGTCGTCCAGAATTACCTACAAGTGTCTCTGGATGGCTTTGATGCAAGGGAAGAAGTAAGCGCCGGCAATTTAGCTCTAACTCAAGATAGGAGTCACTAATGTTTCATAGATTATTCGAAAAGTCACATCTAATGTTGACAACCTACGGCACTTTTCGGAACCGATTCGGAAAATCGTGATTGAGGCATACATCAAGGGCCTGTGTAGCTCAAATGGTTGGTTATTTGTTCTATGATCCGCTTGAACTAATAATATGCTAACTGTAGATAGTAATATCTCTCATAATGGTCAGCATTTCCTTATGCATTACAATTTCGATGAGAGAGAAAAGACTTTAGGCCCCAGCTTTCGCCGAACGGTGCCTGAGTAGTGTAGTGGTGGTGAGGGTTATAGGGTAGTCAAAATAGCAGAAGAAAGACTGAGAGATCACGACAGTTGGACGAGTGGAGGGACTGCACTTCATGAAAGATGCGATTGCGTCTTGCAGGCCACGTTAAAAATAGACTGAGAATTTACTTTGATGACATATTGAATATGGGACAATAAACTCCGGTGTGATGATTTGAAGAAGACGAAGAAGAATGGTGCTGGTGCAGCCAACCAGAGAAGCAGTTGAGCACGCAATTTGGGTGGATATAACCCACATCTCGGAAAGCCAGTGACAACACAAGACGATTTCACCAACCAACGACTGCATCAATTGCCGAGCAGCGAGGATCCAGGCTTTGATTGTTCCCATTGAAATGGAGATGGCTTCGGTGCGCAAGCAGGCTCACTCAAGGGCCAAGGCCTGTCTCCGCTGCCACCGGCGAAAGCAGCGATGTGTCGGCTTCCCCGCGTGCAACAATTGCCGAGCTGCGAATCTGCCCTGTAGCCGGGACTCAACCCCTAACATGCGTCGCCTGGCCGGGCTGTCAAAGGAAGACCTGCTGAAGAAAGTTGAGGCACTCGAAGAACAGCTGGCAGCCACAGAAACGGGGCGACAGGACCATAGCTGGGGAGAGGCTTCGTTGGTAAGGCGTCAGTCTACCTTTTCCGCCGAGTCCGATCGAGATGTGCCACAGTCTCTTTCGACAGACACGCCAAGTGACCCAAGGACAGATGGAGGCAGGGAATTTCCTTTAGACTTTTCACCTCCTTCTCCAGGACCGGTGTCGCTCTGCCCGTCTCTGGACACAGCAGAAGCCCCGCGCCATCTTACATATGAAGCGCAAGACACACCAAATGACCCATCTCGCTCATCAATACGTGTCACCGAAGAAGAAGGGCTACCGCTACTAGAGACATATTTGGAGAGTCTTCATAGGAGAATACCGTTTTGTGATTACACGGACCTCCTGACGACTCTTAAAACCCAGCCATCTCTGTCTGCTTCTGGCATGGGGTTGTATCGCCTTTACATGGCGTGTACAATTGGTGCCACAATCAAAGCACTCACAGGCACTTCTCGATCTCTAAATCCCGGCAGATACTTACAAAGAGCTTTGAAGGTGAAGGAATCATTAGACGAAGGCGATCTGATTGCGCAAACAGAAGCTGTGTTCTGGATGGTTCTGTACAAGCTTCGATTTTCCTTCTCATCAAGTGTGTGGTATCTCATCGGCCTCGCTGTGAGGACTGCTGTGGATGCTGACCTTCACCGTGAGTACCACTACCAAGAACTTAGCCCACCGGAGGCAGAACGACGGCTTCGACTATTTTGGTCGGTTTATACAATCGAGAGAAATATCTGTTGGTCACTACAACGACCGTTCAGCTTATCCGACCAAGATATCGATGCTCAGATGCCTTCAATAGACAGCATCTTTGAATGCATCCAAGCTTGCGGCGGGCAACATGAGCACTGCACTCATTTGGGCTTTGATGATGGCCCAACGAGGCCGTTAGACCTCAGAGTCTTCATCGCTAGTATCCAGCTTGCGCGGATCAAATCAAAATCCCACAGGCAGCTGTTTCGGGTGGACCAACCAATTGCACCCAATCAGCACCTTCCAGCGCTTCTGCAAAAGATACACGAATTTGAGGCATCACTACCGGAATGCAACGGTCAAGATCGAGAATTTCTACAACTCCATGTCCAAAACGCGATTAGGGTTCTCATCGAACCCTATTTGTACAATATGGACCCTTCGGATCCTTTGTTACAGACATGTTTGGAAGCTTGTGGAGGGCTTTGCCAGATTTTCAAAAGAATGAGACAGGGGAGAGAGCTTGGGTACTCTTTCACCATGGTAAACTCTGTCTTTGTGGCTGGGACAACTATATGGTAAACTCTTTACATCCCAAACATACCTCCTACTAGAGTAGCAAAGCTGATGCAACACTGCAGTTTCATCGTGTTTAGAAACCCGAACCTCTGGACGCCAGCCACCGCCAACAATCTGCGGGCGTGCTCGTCAACACTCTTCGCCGCCGCAGAAAGAAATAATTCACTGAAAAAGTATTGTGACGTCCTGGAGACCATCATCGAGACAGTTATGGATCACGTCGCGCAGGCCACCAGCCCACATGTGACGGCTGACGATGCAGCAACCTCATCTCTGAAAGGCGCAACTACACAGGCGGCCTTTGATAAGTTGAAGCGTACATTCAGAGAGATGAAGTTTGAATTCCCATCGCATTCATACCCCCGCTATGCAGTCGGGCCCGCCAATGTACAGATGGGTGCATTGGCATCTCCGCGGTCAGCGATTGAGCATTCCGAGGAATTGCTTAGCCGTGACACCCCCGGTATTGCGCAGTGGACCTCGCCTGGCATGATGAATGAAGCCCAGGATGTTGCTTCCATGGGCTTTCTGTTCTATGGAGAGGGCCTCGGCCAGCCTGGTTTCGATCATATACTCATGCCTTAGGAACCAATTTCACAGTCCGATTTATTGTCAACTTTGACCCGAGAGGCGCCCTGAGGTACTGGCTGCTTGCTGGGTTATATTGCGTGATTGACTAGTGAGTTGACGCAAGAGTGGAAGTGCCCCCTATTAGCGTTCGGCCATCGGAAAACCCACCGCCACGGCATGTCCGATCGCCGAAACAGCTGCATCAACGGACCGGAAGTCACAAGTTAGACCTCGTCTGTGCCTGTCATGAAGGATTGCGCAATTGAAGACTTGCGATGGGTGGCATCGCTCGCATTGTTTATAGATACTTGACCAGAACCTAACTTTGGAATGACGATCACTCTAGAACAGCGGCAGTCCACAACACGACAGATCGGTGAGCCTCGCTTGGAGAGCTAGGATTCCAGAAACAACTATCCCAATAGGCTATTGACATTGGTCCACTGTATCTGAGATATGGCTTTGACACTCCAGAGTCCTGGCTATGATGGGGATCCCAGTGAGAAAGGCAGCGGCCCATATGATCAGAAGATGGTCATAGAGACAGCACCCGATGAACAGAGGATTGTGGCAGACTGGTCACCAGAGGAAGAGACAAAGCTTCGACGAAAGTGAGTACTTCAAAACCTACTCGAAAGCAATTTACTAACAGCAATAGGCTGGACTTCATACTGCTTCCGATTCTTATGGTTGGCCTCTTCGCCCTTCAGCTGGACAAGGGAAATGTCTCATACGCCTTGACAACGTCCTTCACTAAAGACCTTGGGATCGACAACGACAACGTCAACTATGGCAACCAGCTGATGCTCGCCGCAATCGTCATCTTTGAAATCCCCTTCAACATGGTCTTATCGCGAATAGGCCCGGCTAAATGGCTGACGATACAAGTCTTTGCATGGAGCATCATCGCCACCGCTCAAGCAGCGATCCACAATCTGTCTGGGTTCTACGCAACCAGATTTATGCTGGGCATGTGGGAGGCTGGTTACCTCGCGGCGTCATTGACGATTTTGAATTCCTTCTACACCCGTAGAGAAATGGCCATGCGGGTGACGCTTGTCTATGTTGGCAATTACTTCTCTTCCGGGCTCGGAGGGTTGATCGCGGCCGCCATTTTCCATATTCCAGAATCAACAGGCCTGAAGCAGTGGCAGGTTCGTTCTATCTACACCTATGAACCTCTTATATCCTTGAAACAGATATCTAACAAGGTGGTAGTGGCTCTTCATCATTGATGGAGTCTTTTCTCTTCTCGTTGGAGTATTCTTTATCCTCTTCATGCCTCGATCGCAGAGGAACACTCTCCCGTTATGTGGAGTGAAAAGATTCAACTTCTTCACTGATAAAGATCGCCATATTCTTAACAATCGCGTTCTCCTCGACGACCCTCGAAAAGTCGTTGAGCTATCAAGCATTGGCTTCAAGGCGGTTGCTCGTATTCTGCTGACAAACTTCCCTATATGGGGCCACTTCGCCATCAATGTTATATCTCTGACGCCCAAGGGAGGATTAAGCGTCTACGCACCAACTATCATCAAGAATCTCGGCTTCGATTCAATCACAGCCAGTAATCTATCCGCCGTTAGCAACTTCGGGGTGTGTATCTTCGCAATCCTCGTCGCGTGGATTAGCGACAAAACATCTTCCAGAGGACCTCTCTGTCTCGTATGCGGCGTCTACAACCTCATTTTCTCCGGGGTGCAGTATGCTATCGTCCGCCGTCAGGACGTCTGGCTCAAGTACGCCATCCTCACTGTCTTTACCTCTGGTACGGCGGTGTCGCAGAGCATTAACGACGCCTGGTTCAGCGTCAACACAGCTGACCCACAGGTTCGGTGTCTCGGGCTTGCGTTGGCAGTTGCCGGCTCCAATTTAGGCGGACTCTCCGGTCAGAACATTTTCGTCAAGGATGACGCCCCGTACTACTATCATGGGTTCCTGAAGATTCTCTGCATCTATGCGGGTAGTATTGTACTTATTGCCGGCATGATTGCTTACTACATGTATATAAATAAGCTGTTGGCTAGGAACACCCAGGATGGTGAGGTTGTTACGAGCGAGGGAGTGAAGGTAGTTGGGGGCGAGTCTCAATCCGCTGCCGCCAAGGTCAAGAATCAGCTTTAGTTGGAAGAAGTCAGATGGCAGGTATAAATACATGAGAGTTTAGCCCTCTAGATGTAAAGCGATACTCAACCCTCGATACGTTGTCTTGTGAGAACTTGGAGAATATTCTTGCAAGCGACAGTCACTCGTCATTCCAATGCAGCTAGACACAGCAGTCTTTTTTAGAGGATTTTAGGCAGGTTGAGAATACGCTAAAGCTTCTCTACGCTTTGTTGTGTTTTTATGCCGTCGTATCCGGGGATGTCTAGTCATTGTAATAAGCACGAGGACTTAAGCGCATGCAACCAAGATCATGTTTCGGGTTCGGCATCGGTCTCGGTCAACATTTGATCACTGAGAGTAATCAGACAATCACATAAGTGAGGGGCAGCCAGACTCTGACCGGCCAGTAACTATGAAACAAACTGACGACATTGCTTATCTTCAATTCATTGGTGCAGGGGCATACGCCATAAGACCGCGTTGGTATTGTCCAGACCACGCAAGCTAAACGCCAGCGAAAGTGCGAGTTTTGCGAGGATTATGACTCGGCATTGCGAAAAACACGAGATCATGCTTTCCGTTATTTGTTGTTTGGTGACGACTATCTGCTCCCTTGGACCTACATTTGACCAGCTGGGACCAACTATAAATGTCTCGCTCGCCCTTGGATTTCGTTGTTTAACATGATATTCAAACTACGCATTTCACTACTCTGTTTCAAGCACTGGAGCAGCTAGCATGGCAGTTCTCGAGACATACAATGGGTATCCATTGTGGAGGTATATCCCCTCATTACCAGCAGCAGCAGTTTTCGTCGCCGTCTTTGTCATTTTGACGGTCGCCCATGCATGGAAGATGATACGCTATTCTATGTGGTTCTGTATCCCTTTTTTCGTTGGTGGCTTTTGTAAGTTTTACGACTGAACCTGACATGAAGCCCACCTAGAAGCTAATTGCAATTTCCTTGTTAGTCGAGGTCGTTGGATATGTAGGCCGAGCCGTCGCTCACAACGCGACAGGGGAATTAATCCCATACGTTCTCCAGTCGACTTTCCTGCTCTTGGCACCGATTTTGTTTGCCGCATCTCTTTACATGACATTGAGCAGAGTTATTCGGGCGGTTGATGGCGCTCATTGCTCTATCATTCCTCCCCGGTGGCTGACGGTCATCTTTGTCGTTGGTGATTGCATCAGCTTTATCGTCCAGGCCACCGGGGCGGGATTACGAATCATGGCCGGGCAGGGGAAATCCGATATCGATCCCAACCTAGGCTCTTACATCATCGTGGGCGGTTTGATCTTCCAGATAATTGTATTTGGAATTTTCATTTTCACCGGCTTACGCTTCCACGTCCTGTTTCAAAAGGACCCTGCGGCGATACGTGCCGAGAGTATCCCGTGGCAAGGTATTCTCTACATGTTGTTCATGACTTCGGCTGCCGTCATGATGCGAAATATCTTTCGTGTGGTTGAGTATGCGATGGGCGCTGATGGGTATCTCTTCACCGTTGAATGGGGTGTCTATGCCTTTGATGCATCACTCATGACGATAACGATGGCCCTTTTCTGGGTGTGGTACCCTTCTCAATTGAAGCCTGCCCTTGATAATGGCGGTTTAGAGATGGGGGCTAGGCCAGAGAGGCGTGAACCATGGAGCAAACACAAAGCTCGGGGACACAGGCAGAGACGGATTTAATTGATGCATGGAAGAATGATGGGGACACGGGATAAAGGAGAATCAGTAGCAGTCTTGGGTTAATCGACTGGGGGCCACGTCGTTACTGAGTGATCAAACTAATGGGCAGATTGATTAAGATCTTCTGGCATATCTTGTTCGCAAAGCTCGGGTTCCTCGGTAGAACACGAGGAAAGGCGAAATGGTTCATGTCAGGTGGAGTTGCACTGTGACAGGGTCGACCGTACCCTAGTATATCTGGTTAGGTCTTCACTGTGAAATATTAATTAATGTTAGATACTCTAGACCATAATTTGATGATCAATAATAGGGTTGTTCGAGTACTTGTGGCTCTGAGCTTTTTACAATTTTAACGCACTTTGTTTTCATTAATTATGAAACTATAAGGCCTAGTAACGACTCACAAACTCATTCAGGAGGATTCAACGAGAACCTATCTAATTAGGAACAGACAACATTTTTACAAAAGCGTCACGTCACTATGGCATGTTGTTGATTGTGTCTATATGGATTCAGCGAAAACTAGCCGATCAAAGATGTCCCTGTGAGATGAAGTCATCAAATTTTTTTTTGAGAGACCGGTATTCCGCGAATCACTAATACTTGATTTGAATGCCACAGATACAGGCCAAAGCCTGATGTATTAGTTCCGATATTGAAAGACCCCGATGTTATTTCAGCAGAGGCTGGGGCAAGATGATGTAAATCAGATGCTCTGAACGTGTCGAGAAAGAGCTTCTATCATGGCGCCGCATTTCGAGATGTCACTGGCTGTTATCTACTCGGCTTTTAAATTTAAGGCCTTGCTTATCTCTCTGGTGAGTAAATACGCTGTTCCTCTAACATTATCAAGCGTCCTGTGCTCACGATATTTGTCCTGGCCATAGCTAATTCGTCGTTAAAGCTCGCGCGGTAAGAGTCGCTCCCAAGCGTGACGGCATCGGAGGATACTTAAGCCTTTTTCTATGATGCTGGGGCATCACATTGCCGTCGGCTGCCCCTCCCCATTGAAGCTTATCGGATATGATCTCCGCTGGATTGGTTCAAACATTGATCTGGAGACAATTGTGGGTGCATGAGCAAGGTTCTTGAACCTCAGAGGCAATGAGGTTGACGTGCCACAAAATTGTGTCAAAATTCAGAACATACTACACAGTAGTTTAATAAATACCACGATCCATCTGTCATATAGGCCTACAGAGGGCTGGTTGACTTTCAAAATTCCTTCAGCGAATATTTGTTTAAGGGAGTGCTTAGGTGTGCCATTTCCTCTCTCACCTCACCCGCTTACTACACTGCCGCTCTCTTCACTCATAGATGGTCAATTTCTCCTGGTCGACCAAATCCCACACTCTAATGCATTGGAGGGAGGTCGTGTCCATTCTCCGACGCCCATGCAACAACAAGTTGGGCATGTTGGTGGTGAGTTGCCGCAGCAAGGCCTGATCTTTCTTCATCAGGCTAGTCTAACTCCTGCTGTTTTATTTAGCGAGCCCTGAGTTGAAGAAAGCTCCTCTTTCTTTTTTGTTGGTGACACCATGCGCAGCCTAAGAAATGGGGTCTAGTTCCGGACCAACACTGCCTTGCCCCGGTGAGTCACAGCCCTAGCAATACTCCCCATTGTTGCCCGTGGAACAAGATTGAAGACGCGTCGGTGGCTATCACAGAACTCACCTTACCCATTTAGGGACGCCATCAGGCGAGAGGCTTCCTGTATTGATTGTCTTGAGTTCGACCTGCAGGGAAGTGGTGTGTTGTTGTGCGGAGCTGGATCTGTTGGTGCTGCCCTGAGTCAGCCGAAACAATGCCTCATGCTTCCAATTCGGGCATCATGGCCCATTAAACGGGTGCTTCGCTTCAGCTCATCTGCAGGAGAAGGGGCTAGACGTTGCATGGTCCCATTTCATTGGCCCATATCACAGGCTGTTGGAGGGGAAGTAAGCCAAGGACGCAACTAGGTGGGCCTTGTTGGCAGTTCCTCGCATGTCTGAATCACTGTCATTGGACTCTGTAAATGGCTGTTGGTCGTGAACTGCACCAAGGGCGCAGAATTCATCCCGTGGGACTTATTGTTATGTATGGCCGAGCCAACAGGTTTAATGCAGCAATCGCGGGAGTACCACTATTGTTTTACACCGCTGCTTCATGGAAACGAAAATAGAAACAAGGGATGGCCACGTCTGACGAGGCTTTTTCCCAACGAAATCAAGGACTCGTGAGCTGTTCCGTTGATGCAGCCTGGATGGTCTACGTTTCTCAGTCTTTATCTTATTCCCCTATAAATTGGGTAGAATTCTCTTTCTTCTAGGCTTTAAAACTCAAGCTTTGACAATTTGTGTCACTTCTCCTTTATCCATCCATATTCATTTCCCCATCCTTTGGTCAATCGATTGCAGTCATGGCACCCAGGGAGCACCACCCCCAGGCGCTGATGGCGCGCTTCTGGAAGAAGTTCCACCACAGAACGCCCGGCAAAGTCACATCCATCTTCCCCAGCAGCATGTACGGTGCCTTCCACGATGACTCCATCCCCGCCTCTGCTCGCGTGCGCAACGCAGCCGGGAGCTACGACGAGGCCCGGGCCGAGTGCGCGGCCATGGTCCAGGAGATCGTGGAGCACTGCGAGGCCACCAACACCAGCTTCCTTGACAAGGAGTTCGAGCTTGAGCATGACTACTACATGGAGATCGATGATTGTCTCCGCGGGCTCATCAGAAAAGAGGAGAAGACTCGGCCTGGTGGTGTTCACCGTGTTCCTTGGATCTACGAGAACCCCAGGTTTAATGTCGACGGCTTCTCTGGCTCGGACATTGCCCAGGGCGCTCTTGGCGACTGTTGGTGGCTTGCGGGACTTGGCACAATCGCTCACCGTAAGGATCTGATGGACAAGGTCTGCGTCGCCCGCAATGAGGAGTGTGGAGTTTACGGTTTCGTGTTTTTTAGGGACGGAGAATGGGTCCCTACTGTCATTGATGATAACCTCTATCTCTCGAGTGGTGACTGGACCAAAGCTGGGACAGGCACTGATGCCACGGGTAACAAGGCAAGGGCTTGGAAGAAGAACAAGCAAACGGGCTCGGGTGCTCTTTACATGGCCTCGTGCAAGGATGAGAACGAAACATGGTTGCCATTGCTTGAGAAAGCCGTAAGTAGCACCCGCGACCATTTGACCAGTGCAAAGAAGCTGACAGTTTACTTCCCCTCATATATAGTATGCGAAGGCGCATGGCGACTATGAAGCCCTCGAGGGCGGCTGGATTGGAGCAGGTGTTGAAGACATGACTGGAGGTGTCTCAAGCGTGGTTCTGACGAGCCGCGTTTTGCGGAAGGACAAGCTGTGGCACGAGCTGCGCCAAGTCGACCAAGATGATGGCCAGTTCGTCTACGGACTCGCTGCATCATTTGGTGTAGGCACCGGAGAGCGGAATGGTCTGATGCTAGACCATGCTTATTCCGTTACCAAGGCAGTTGAGATTGAGGATGCGACCGGGCGAAAGATCAAGCTTCTACAAATTAGGTGAGTCTTCTTCTTTTGGTTTTCTTTTTCCTCTTCCACTGTTTTCCATTTCGTTCAGGCCCGGCTAATTATGGTTTCAAACAGGAATCCTTGGGGTCAGAACGCATCTACTGGCTTGGGAGAATGGCATGGCCCGTGGTCAGATGGATCCAAGGAGTGGACTCCCGAAACAATGAGGAAGCTCAACCATCAGTTTGGTGATGACGGCGTGTTCTGGATGACCCTGGAAGATGTACTGCACAACTTCCAATGGCTCAACCGCACACGGCTGTTTAACGATCATTGGACTGTCGCACAAGAGTGGACCAGTCTTCCCATTAGCTGGATCCCAGGCTACCTCAACACCAAGTTTGTCATCCAGGTCGAGAAGCCTGGCCTTGCTGTCATTGTTCTATCAAAGGCTAGTGAATTCCCGTGCAAACGTGGTTTTAGACGGTTCTAACGATCGGCATTTAGCCCGATGAACGATACTACGACGGCCTCGAAGGCCTTTACAGATTTTTCCTGGAGTTCATGGTCCGTTCCGATGAATCCGACAAGAAGATTGCCGAGGCCACATATAACGCGTATGAGGGTGAGAACCGCTCGGTGAGCTGCGAGGTGTATCTCGAGCCCGGAACGTACAGTGTCATCCCCAAGGTCCTTGCCAAGCGATGCGGCTGGAAGTATGAGCTGAGGGACGTTGTTAAGTCATACGCGCCAACCAGGCCCCTCAAGCTCCAGCAAAAGGCCAAGTTCTACGACACAGCGCATGCGAAGCCTGGGGTGAAAGACGAGGATGAAGAGCTGATGATCAAGAAGTGGGAGGAGAAACAGCGAAAGAAGGAGCTGAAGAAGAAAGCAGAGGAGGAAAACGGCATGAAGCTCGAAATGCTTCAGATGCGGGCTTATATTTCCGCTTTGCACGAGGAAATGGAGAAGCGCGAGAAGGCGAAGGTCGAAGAACAAGACAAGCAAAAGACCAAGGCAAATGAGACCCAGAAGCAAAGGAAAAAGTCACGCGGAAAGAGCAAGCCTGCTGCAGAAGAGAACAGCAAAGGGCAACGTGGGAGGCAGCAACCTGAAGCAGAAGGAGAAGTAGAAGAAGAAGAAGAGACACCAGAAGAAGAAGAAAAGCAGGAAGAAGAGGAAGAGCAAGTAGAAGAGGAAGAGGAGGAGGAGGAGGAGGAAGGTGACGACGATGATGATTCTGAATCTGAAGACGATGACGAGGACGATTACGATGATTCAAAAGACAGATATCTCTGGAATCCTGTTTGCGTCATGGGCCTTCGCGTCTACTCCGAAGACGATCAGATTGAAATCAAGCTCGTCGAAGGCGATGAGCAAGAGGAGGAAGAGGAGGAAGCTGAGGGTGAAGAAGGAGAGGAGGAAGGCGAGGAGGGAGAGGAAGAGGAAGAAGAAGAGTGAAACTAGCTAGAGTGTGCTACAATCTCAATTAAGCCATAGGTCCCATTTTTCATTCAGGCCTCGCATAGGAATAAATCTCTCATTGCATTGTGGCATAAAGAGCCAGTTGTTCTTTATCTAACCATCGCGTAGAAGTGAAACAAGCCACCGGGGCGAGATCAAACAAGGGAAGGTTTTCAATTCGGCCTAGATACCATTAGAACTTACATAAACCCTTGGCAGCGTCAGTAATTCGATAAAAACAGCTACGGAGAAGTGTAACATCAAGCAAGAGACGAGCAATACAGGTTGTTGAACCAATCATCCTCCGGGGACGAATGGCGATTTCCAATCTTTGCAGGCCCTGAAGGATAGAACTGAGCGGATTGTCTGGCTTGTCTGAGTATGATCAGACCTGTAGGCCAGAGAGCTTGATGCGGATTGAAGTTCTGGTGCAAAGGAAAACTATTTAATGAGTCCCTGTCTCTTCGAGCAAGCTAAATCTAGGCCAAATTTCCCCAGCGGTCTTGCCCTAATGTTCCCAATTTCATGAGGTACCACCACTACTAACATCCTAAATGGGAGTCTTACACTGAGTGAGTGGAGTTGTGTCTTAATAAGGTTTATTTAGCTGTCTTTGATGATATGTCTTGAAATTCTACACAGCTCGCAAATCAACTGTATCTTGAAGGTACTTGCTATTATGGCAGGTTATCCGAAAAGGCGGACGTAAACGCCGAAACGAATCATTCCAGCTCTGCTATCTGATTCAGAGACCGGTCTGAGTCCTCGTTGTCGCCGAGTTCTAGATTTGTATGGCCCTCCATCTCTACCACTGCGGCAGACTCGATCTCCAGTACAGCGGTAGAATCAAGCTCAGCGTCAATCCAGCCCGCTTCGGCCAGTTGGCTCATACGTATTGGAGTTGAAGAGAACTTGAGATTGCAATGTGAGCCTCCCTGTGGAGGTTCCATTCCCGCAGCCTGATCTGGGAGCGTTGCTAGATCAATACCTTGTCGTTCCTGTTCCTGGGCTCGGCGGCGGCGGAAGAACCAGAAACCACCAATAGCTAAAAGCACCAAAGCAACTCCCCCAACGACTCCGCCGATAATAGAGCCAATGGGAGTGCTATCATGTTCATTGTTGTCACTGTTGTCGTTACCATCGCTTGGAGCTGCATTCCATGTCAGTCACGGGCCTGGGCCTTTTCAAACAACAGGCATAGTCCACATACCATTGATAAAAAGGTCTCTGATACTGTCATCGTAAAACCCATATGCGTCAACGTTACTTTGAAAATAACTGTTAGTAGCTTCACAACCGTGAATTCAAAGCCCCCGGCACAAACTTACTTTTTTCTGTACCAGTTTTTTATATAACTCGGACTGTCATAATCTGCTTTGCTAGGATCAAAGTCCTCCGTCCATGTCATCTCGACCATGTCGAAAATTCCTATGGCTCTGAACCACGGATCATTTTCTCTCCAGCTGGCATCGCCGCCTTCAGAGATCCCCCCAATCGTGATCATATATCTGCCGACAGCTGCGCAAGCAAGATGACTCCGTCGAAGGGTGGTTGAAAGACTGCCGGCTCTGAAGTATCTGAATGCAGGCAGAGACAAGATCCAGACGTCGCCGTAAAAGGTCTCATCTTTTCCATACTTAGCAGTACCGCCATAGATAAAACTAAGATTGTCAAAATCAGCTCCCAACGTGTTCTGAATTACAGGTTCGAAGTCATGCAATGAGGATGACAAGGGGACCAAGGGACAACATATAGACATACATTTCATAGGTGCCATTCTTACCCTGGGCACCAACTGCACAAAAAGCAAAGCGCTTCGCGGGAATATTGTCTCCTATGGCTCTCTGCTGGGAATGCCACTTTGGCGAAGCAGGGCTTGCATCGTACACTATGGGTTCTCCCAAATCTCGCACATTGTCCCGGTGTGTGCCGTCGAATCCGCCGAGGACTATGACCAGAGGTCGCTTGAATGCTGTCACGCAAACAGCCTGGCCTGCCCAGATATTTTCGTCGTGCAACGACACGGCAGGGGAAGACGTCGTATTGGATAAGTCACCAGTGTCCATGTTATACGTTACCACGCCCGGGCTTGGCATTTCCCTCTGTCTATAGTCCCCTGTCGAGTTGGACGAGAAGCCACCAATGTAGAACCCCCGGTTGTCGCAGAATGTCGATGCTCCAAAGCTGTTCGATTTGATCTCCCCCGATGATACGGCCTGCGGCAGTGATTTGGATGTCCAGTGCCCACCTCCCTTCCCGTCCGTCTCGAGAACATACAGCTTTATCTCGTGGCCTTTCTCGAACTGCTCTTTTCGTTGCAGCTCGCCTCCCCATCTGTATAGTGACTTTGTTCGCTCGTTCGCCCATAGTCCTGCGAATTTAACGGAACGCATTTCGCCAACGTATGGAATCTCGGTGAATTTGACATCTTTCTTTGTCCATTTCGTGTTTATCGGAAGTGATAGTGTCTTGTTTACTGTTTAGCCATCCGCGTGAGTAAAGAGTCCACAAGATATTTACAGGAGAAGAAAGCTCACGTTCCAGTGCGTTCAGCGGAAATTTCTGTTCTCCGTTGACCCAGGTAGACACTTGCCCGCCTTCAATGTATAAATAATCGCCCAATACAGCGACGCTTTGGGCGGACATCCGCTGATTTGTGCCTATTAGGCCAAAGTCGTGGAAGGTATCCTCATCAATCTGCCCAAATATCTCGGCCCCGACCCCGAGGGCGAGAAGAGGGAAGCATCCTAGGAGGACGGATAGCCGTAGGGGCAACATCGTATTAGTGGCGGGGTTATCAGCCTATTATGGGCGCGGATTGCAGGTTTCGGTGATAGGTTTGTAGCATGATACGTGATTCAAAGGAAACAGGCAAGAAATAAAGAGGGAAGAGGACAGACGCAGGCCTGTACTCCTCTCCTCCTGGCTCACCTAAGCACTAAAGTACTATATGTTGTGCAACAGCAGAGTCTTGGCTTCCGAAATTACGTACCTCTATTGGGAGTACCGTCGTTTTCTACCATCACCGGTTTCTAATTGGAATATCCCGCTCACAGATCTGCACCTTTCACCGGCGAATGAGGCGAAAGTCGTATTCTCGATTTATAAACGCTGGCTTCTTTCGCTCTCAACGATGAATTTAACTCAAATGATTGTCAAATATTGTAACCTCGTTGGAAACAGTGGCAAAATGTACGCCACGGTGCTACACGAGCTCAGCCTACTCGGGTGAATATTTGTATACATGAAATGGCTTGGCTCGCTCAAGCCTCCACGCTGGCTTGAAGGAGCAATGATATTCAAACTATGCTTCAACGTTTAAAAAGCTTACGTGGATTATGTGAAAGAAATCCACGTTTACTAAGTTACAGCAGTGGCTTCGGGGTATTTTAATCTTCGCATGGATCCGTGATCTGGACCTTTTGATATTATAGGATCGTATCATTACGACGCATGGCCTTCGAACCCCCACCCATCATCTAATTACAGTACACTGCATTCGATACTAGTCTTATGTCATTGTCCCCGAGACTTTCGCGCTTACTCTATCTCACATTCGTGTAGTCAACGTCACCATCTCCCTTTGACCTAGTCTTCCGTTCAGAACGAGAGGCACAGCGCAACCATCTCCTTGAGCAAACAAGGGCTACAGGGAAGTAGTGCATTTCATACGTAGTATAGCCAGAATATATGCCTGCCATCATTTGTTTCATTGCCTAAGAAATAATTACAGCCTACCAGCCGGCTACCTATTCTAACTCACTGTCCGTGATATTTAACTCAACCACTCTTGGCTTTCGCCTCCTCTGGTGCATTTATATCCATTTTGACGAGAAGGCCGTTGGCGACGAACTCGGCCAGACTTGTGAGAGACTCAGAATTCATGATCTCCAACACACTGACGTCAAGAGATAGTCTCTGGCGGAACCAGCTGCGCAGCTCAATCCCTACCAGCGAGTCGATGCCAAAGTTTGCCAAAGGCACCGTCACATCCAATTCGTCCAACGGCTTCATCATGAAGTTGAATAGCGTTGTTCCAATCTGCTGTGCCAGTGCTGCTACGAATTCAGCCTCCTTCAGCAAGTCGGGGTTTCCATCAGCCTCGGCGAGGAGGCTACGCAATGCGTCCTGCTCTTGGGAGCCTCCGCTAGTGACTCCATCTGCAGCTTCTTCGATGTTGCGATAAAGTCCCATTCGAGGATCCCGTCGCCAGATGACGCGGTTGTTGGGAGATGCGATGGGTTGTGTGGTGCGCAAGCCCAGGCCAATCTGGCTAACACTCACATAACCTCTGTCACTCTCTGCGGTCCGCGCTGCAGGAGGCTCGGATATCATCATGGCAAGTTCGAGAGCATCGAGCAAGTGTCGCTCTCGCAGGACAGCAACTGAAGCAGCACGGAAGTTTTCCATGACGCGGGCGTTGCGACTGACATAACCGACGTCAGCCATGGCACCAATATCAAGAACCGATGCAGCCAGGCCTTCGCCATGTCTAAATTGAACAAATGCATCGAGGAAGGTATTGGCAGATGCGTAGTTGGCCTGCCCTCTCTGCCCAACCAGGCCAGAGAACGAGCTGTACAGAACAAAGAAATCGAGCTTGTGGTCTTTGAACGCCTTGTGCAGATTCCATGTCCCGTTCACCTTTGGCTCGGCAGCCGCTTCCCAGTCCGCGTGACTCATATCGGCAAACATGCTGTCCTAGGAACTGTTAGTAAATTGAAAGATGGAACCATGCAATGGACATACTCTTAAAACCATGGATGCGTTGATGACGCCGGCGATTGGAAGCCTTGCCTCCGACTTGACACGTTCAAGGTCGTCCAAGTTGGTGACGCTGCCCTGGACAAGCTGGACGGTGCAGCCTGCAGCGGCCAACTCCTCTACAAGCAAGGTGATAGTCTCATCAGCTTTCGAAGTTGCCCCCCGAGAGAGGTAAATAAGATTCTTTGCCCCCTTTTCTGCCATCCACGTGGACATGGAACGTCCCAGACCTCCAAGGCCACCAACCAGAAGGTACGACACATCGGGTCTCAGTCTGAACTGATTTCTTACGGCTGTAACATCCAAGACACTGGGATCCTCGGGCATACGAACGACCAGCTTACCAATGTGCTGACCCTTGGACATGGTTCGGAAAGCTTCCTGTATGTTGACTGCATCAAATACTGTGACAGGCCGGATTGGTCCGATTAGGCCTTGAGTGTAAAAGTCCATGCACCGCTTCAGCAGGGTTCGGATCTTGTTGGGCCGTTCTGCGCAAATGGGAGCGACGTGAACACCAAAGAAGGCGCGGTTGTCCTCGAAAGGATCCATCGCAAGTCTTCCTTGGCCGATGAAATCCCTCTTACCAAGCTCAATCATGCTGCCAAATTTGGCCACACAATCCCACTTTCATCAACGGTTAACTAATTTATTGGAAACTGCATGGGGGAAGTATACTCACTGAAGCATGCAAGAGATCTCCGGATAGAGAGTTCAGAACAACATCAACACCTTCACCGTTTGTTTCACGCATGACTCCGGCGTAGAAACTCGAGTCTCTGGAGTTGAATATTCGATTGCGTGGGATGTTGAAGGTATCTTGCAAGTATTGGACTTTTTCATCGTTACCCACCGTGGCAAAGATTTCTGCACCCAGCATGCGGCAGATTTGGATGGCTGCAATTCCAACGCCACCGCAAGCGGAATGAATCAGGACACTCTACAAAGATAGTTTGTTAGAAACTTAGTCGATAATTCAGAGAGCAAATCACTTACCTGACCGGCTTCGAGTCTTGCCAGGTCCTGAAGCCCATAGACAACAGTTCCATAGACGCACGGCATGCTAGCAGCCTCTTCAAAGCTCAGAGTGTCCGGCATCTTAGTGCAAAGCGCCGCCCGCGTCTTCAAGACGGTCGAGTATGAGTTACCGGCAAACACCATGACGCGGTCGCCGACTTTGAGGTCGGACGGGACATCAGGACCGAGGCCCTGTATGACACCGGAGCATTCGAAACCCAGACCGTTTCCGTCTTCCTTGCTCCCGTCTACAACACCCATGGCGATGAGGATATCCTTGAAGCTGTTAGACTAGTACCTTATTGATGATTTATATCAAAACATACCTTGAAGTTCATACCGACAGCATGAACTTGGACAGCAACCTCATCACCTTCAAGTTTGATCTCAGGCCTATCAACCCACTGAAGAGATTTGAGCGAACCTCGTTTACCAATCTCGAGTGCCTTTGGCGTAAGACTCTTGTTTGACTTGGTAGCCAGCTCTCCCGGGACGGAAATCCAATTGAATCGAGGAATATTTACGCTGCCATTCGAGAACGCATACTCACAGTCTGCGTCGACCTCGCCTGCTTCATCGGATTTCTGTTGCATTCTCTGGTAAAGGGTATAAATGGAGTTCATCGCTTCGGGTGAGCTGTGGTCATCGAGCTCAAGTGTAACGAGGTTGTTGACACCCAACTCATTACGAAGGACACGGGTCAGGCCTAGGATTGCTGCATATTGCGGCTCGGTGCTCTGGATCTGGCACGACTTGGTGAGCCATAGTAAACCAGTCGCTGGGGTCTCCAGCAAGAAAGCCTTCAGATCTGCGTATGATTCGGCTGAAATATCCTCAAGAATAGACGAGCCCTCCAGGTCTAGAATGGAAATCACACCCTGATATGGCTTGTCTGACAAGGATACAAATTCTACGGCTAGGCCCTGTGATTGCAAGGCTTCAGTCAGAGTCTTAGCAACAGGTCCTTCAGGGTTGCGCGAGAGGAGGGACACAGATGTCGCGGTTGGGTGCTCTGCGGCAGGCGATGCGATGATTGTGGCGTTTGTCTGGAATGGCATCTCATCGTCGACTATAATCGCGTCTGCTCCTGAGAATCCGGCATCAGTCAGTTCCTGAGTCCAGCGCTCGAGGCTGACATATGGTTCCTCGGGTCGATTATCGGCCTCACCCAGCCACCACCCGGGAAGTACGCCCTATTGATATATTAATCAAGACCGATCTAAGTTTTCAACACGTTATAGGGAGTAGGTAAACTTACAACAGCATAATTAACCCACCGCGTGCTCGTGCACAGTTCCTGCATCAACAATTTGCCATCAGGCTTGAGGAGCTGGTTGATATTGGCCAGGGTTTCCTTCAAACAGGGAGTCGCATGCAGAACGTTTGTGGCAACCACCAAATCGTATGAATGCGGTGTAAACCCTTGGCTTTCCGGTGTTTGACTGATATCCAAAGGCCGGAACTCCATCGCCTGGCTGTTCTTGAATCTCTCCTTGGCCGCCGGGAAGAAGCCAGCTGAGATATCCGTGTATGTGTAGGAGAAATACATCCGCTCTCCTGCATCTGAAATGAGGCCCTGCAAGATGAGCTCGGTGGTAGCACCGGTTCCGGCGCCAATCTCCAAGACACGGAGGTGAGGAGTGCGGTGGCGGGTAAGGCGGAGGAAGGGAGAGTAGTCCCACGCATCAGCCAGGTTGTAAAGCTTGGTCAAGATTTCATCCTGGCGGAGTATGGCTAGAGGATCAACTTCACCACTGTAGATGCCCTCAATATCGTTGAAGACCCGCCATACGGCAATGCCGACAGGTGCTACCTGAGTCTCGCGAAGCTGTTGTGCGTACTCTGAAATGAGGGCTGATCGTTCGGCCGACTGCAGCCCAGTCAAAGCTTTCACGTCGTCGACAAAGAGGTAACCATTCAACTCTGCATCCTCCACCTGCTTTGCAACCCACGTTTGGAACTTGCGCATATGGTCCAGAGGGCTCGGCGGGAGAGAGGCGAGGCGATCTCGGGCTTCAACGCAGCAGAGCAATACGAGCTTCTGCAACGGCCAGTAGGGTTCGCGGATATGCTTGCTAGAGGTCACCAGCTTCCCCATGTCCTGGAAGTAGATATCTGGCTTCCACTGTAGGCGAACTGCGGAGTGTGAATTTCTCTTGGCAGCCTCATTGCCATCATCCATCGGTGTAAGTCTGACATCCTTGAGCTGCAATACCACCTCGCCAGTGTCGGAAACACCCAAACAGTCGCCATGAATTGCACCTTTGGCAGTGTTCTCGGCATTTACCTCAATGGAAACCTGGCCGCTTGGCGTGGGTCGTCGAATGTAAATCTCACCGACAAATGCTGGCACAGACATTTTACCAAAGTCACGAGCTAGACCTCGTGCAGTAGCAGCGGGGTACAGTTGCAGACAAGAATCAATAGTGGCTGCGTGGAAATGATGTGGGTGAGGGTCTTGCTTGATACCGGGGATATTATTTGAGAGGTGAGCAGCGGCAACATCTCGCAAAGGGTGTGATGTGCCTTGCTGCAGACCTTGGAAGAATGGACCATAGTTGAGGCCAGCTTCTCGCATCGTCTGATACCAACTTTCTCGATGAATCTTCCTTGGATGATGAGAGATGACTCTAGGTTGTGGAGGGTTGTCAGAACCGGCTCTGATCTGACCGGCACAGTGCTTTGTCCAAGTCGTTCCGTTATACGAGGAAATGTTAAACTCATGCCAGACAGAATCGAGGCTGTTGGTTAGTCGCAGTGGTCTCAAGGAGAACATGGTCTCGACTTCTGATGACTCTAACAACACCAGAGCAGACTTGAGAGTTACATTTCTCAGCGAATACTCCTCGGTGTCAGAGACTTGCCTCATTGCCTCTAATGCCATGACCATGTAGCCAGCTGCCGGGAAGATGATATCCGCGCCAAGCATGTGGTCCTTACACCATGGTATCTGATCAAGCCGCAGCACGTTGCGCCACATGGGCTCCAGCTGACTACTCTCGATAACTCGAGAGCCGAGAAGCTCGTGGTGTGGGAATGTTCTCTGCCTCCATTCCTTTGACACACGTGATTCTGCCCAGTATTTGGTATCATGATGCCAGGGATATGTCGGAGTGTTGGTGAGGACTTCACCAGGCTTGGTGATATTCTTGAAGGACAAACCAGCGCCCTTCTGGAAGAGTTGCCCAGCAGTTTTCAGAAGAGACTTTGAGTCGACCTCATTCCGGATCAGAGTTGGAATGTACGTTACTGATTTAGCCTTGACTGCCTTGGTAATTTGCCTGACAGGTCCAGCAAGGGCTGAGTGAGGGCCAATCTCCAGCAAGACCAAGTTCTCTGAAGGCAGGTCCTTAATTAACTGAGTGACTGCCGTATTGAACAGAACGGGAGATTCCAGATTCGAACGCCAGTACTTAGCGTCAGGTACAGACTCCGAGTCCATTAGTCTACCAGTTACCGTTGAGTAAAGGGGTAAGGAGCAGGATTTCGCAGAAAGCGCTGGCAGCAGCATCTGCTCGTAAGCATCTCCAATTTCCGCCATGTGACCTGTTGGAAGTTAGCAATTGACAAGTGTGTCAAGTCCCCAATCTAAACTCACTGGAGTGGTACGCCATTTCGACTTTCAGCCGTCTTGCAAGGACTCCTTCCTCGCTGTCTTTGATAGCCTGAACCACCAAGTCAATCTTGTCCTCATCGCCTGACAATGTGACACTTGCCGGGCTGTTCTCGCAAGCCACAACAGTGCCTTCAACCAAATAACGCTGAACGGCATCGCGGCCAAGGCCAATAGCAGCCATCCCGCCTCGTCGCTTCTGCTGCTTCGTGACAAGACCGCGGAGGTAGGAGCAAACAATCGCCTCTTCCATGGTGAGAGCACCAGACGCGTATGAAGCGGCAATCTCGCCACTTGAATGCCCGACGACTGCGGCAGGCTCGATGCCCCAACGCCGTAGCAAATTAACGATGATGATTTGAACAGCAGTACACAGTGGCTGCGAGAACTCGGCTTGACCGACCTGGGTCTCTGTCGTATCCTTTTGCAACTCGCCTAGATGTCAAAGTCAGCATAGTGGCATAGTAATGAAAAATACAGAGACTGACCCTGAATCGTCCATGATGGAGCGGGGGTCACTTTGGAAAGTGCTTCATCTAAAACCTCCACGTCCTTCTGGGCGGAGGCGAAGTCGGAGAAGAGCCTTCGTCCCATCGTGGCCCACTGGGCGCCTTGTCCGGTGAATACAAAGGCCACAGTCGGAGACGATAAAGGAATCTTCGCAGGTGGGAAGAACTCCGGACCACCAGTACCATCATACACAGCGAAGGTACGGTAGGGAAGGTGTTCCCGGCGAAGGGCAAGAGTATACTCCAAGTCATCAAGCTTGTCCACGTGCTCCTCTGCATATTTGGCGTATAGTCCTGCTCCTTTCTGAGCCGACTCGGGATGATTGGCCGTAAAGACTAGCAGTTTTTGCTCTTTTGTCTCTTGTGGCTGTGGGATGTCCTGACTTCCTATGCCAATTGATCGTGCTGAGTCTAAGATGATGTGGGCGTTGGAACCGCCGAGACCAAATGAGTTGACGCTCACACGTTCGTCGCGATCTTCTGGCCAAGGTGTATTATCAACAGGCACACTCAGACGGCCCTCTTTGAATGGAACTATTCTATGTTTAATATTTGCCGGGTGGCACAATGGGTCAGAAACGTACTTTTAGGATTGGGATTGCTGTATTTGATGTTTGGTGGGATGGTCCTGTTTTCGAGAGCTAGTATGGCTTTGATAACACCAGTCAAGCCAGATGCGCCTTCAGAATGTCCCAGATTTGGCTAGACAAAATGGATTAGCTTTTGAAGCATTTGAGCTTTCATGAAGACATTACCTTGATGGAGCCAATGTAGATGCCACGCTCTTTGAAGACATTGGCGACGGCCGTCAATTCCACGGGATCACCCGTACTCGTGCCAGTACCGTGACATTCGAAGAAGGCGGTCCTACAGTAATCCGAGATACCAGCGGTTTGATAGCATGAGCGTATCAGTGCCTCGTGGCCAGCGGTACTGGGGTGTGACAGGCCCATCGTCTTTCCATCTGAGTTGCTAGCCGTCGAGCGGATGACAGCACGGATGGGATTTCCGTCTCGCAAGGCGTCTTCTAGTCTTTTGACGTACAGCATGTTTACACCTTCTGCTCTTGCATAGCCATTTGCCTCGGCATCGAAGGTCTTGCATGATACATCCGGACTCAGGACGCCTTGTTTGAACATGAGTTGAGTTGCTGCTGTGTGTTAGCCAGACACTATGAAAACGAACAGAGGCGTTTCAGCTCCGGGTAGAAACATTTTTCTTACTTGAAGGGCTCAATATCAAATTAGAGCCAGCAACGACAGCGGCGTTGATCTGTCCAGCTCGGAGAGCCTTACATGCGAGATCCATGCCAACTAATGCCGATGAGCATCCTGTTCGGACCGTCATACTATGATTTCTATTAACTCAAGGTGTAATAGGAACTCTGATTGAACCTAACTTACCTTGGACCCTTGAAGTCGTACTCGTAGGATATTCTGTTGCCGAGGAGAAAGTCGCCATGGCCGGTGAGCTTGTACATGGCCAGCTCCTGGGGATCTTTTGAGTGAATGTCCAGCCAATCTTCACCAAATACTCCGACATAGCAGCCGATTTCTTTGCCCCGCCAATTGAGCTCACCAGAATTCTCCAGACATTCTCTGTAAACTGCTGTCAGGAGAGGAAAATACAGCGGGGCGGCTCAATTCACTTACCTTGTAAGCTCGAGAAGAAGACGCTGCTGGGGATCTGTCCACTCCAGCTCCTGTCGCGTCATTGAGAAGAACGAGGCGTCAAACTGGGATAGATCTACTTGGTTCAGGGTGTACCCAAAAGCTTGGTCATTAATGGCTTGGATATTCGCCTCTGACGCCGGGGCTGTGATTTCAGTGTCGTTGATGAAGCGGGTTTCATGCTCCGCCGAGGCATCTGTCTCCATTCTGGACGCATCGCCAAAGAATGCGGCGGCGTTGTACCTTGACTCGGGAATCCTATCACGGGCATCGCGTTTATTGACCAGGAAATCCCAGAATTGATCCTCTGAGTTGATGTTTCCGGGCAGCCTCATGGCCATGCCACAGATTACCAGAGTGGAGGAGGCATCCCCAGTGCCTGAATTGGGATGACTGGAGTCTACTGAGGAGGCTGAACTGGCCCTTGCTGGCCAGCTCTCGTTTTGGACATGGCCTGTCTCGGAATCAGACTCGCTGACAGGAGGGACAGCAGTGGCATCGGTGATGGAATTGCTGTCCAATCCGTTTGGGACCGTTGCAACCAGTGGCGACTCCATGATGTCGAGATCTTCGGTGTCAAGCTGCGTATCGTCTGAGTGCCAGCGTCCTGCGTATGTATGTAACAGTGTGTTTCACTCTCAAAACCCACCCCTGGCTTATGTATTCAAACCGATCCGTGCCGCTTAGCGAGGTGTATGTGTTCTATCTAGGTATATATATGAACTATTGATACTAGGTGTGGGTTTATCGTCCACTGTTTGAACAGCGATCCATGTGAGAATCGGTGTACCTTGGCTACATGTTGGTAGAAGATCTTGAGAGTCATTGTGGTTGGATCATCACACAGGCTTGCCCCCACACTGTTGGTCAAAGGTTGCCTCTCAATTTCCCATGCCTACCAGGGTCGTGACCAGGATTACGACTTGAACCAAGAGTCCAGTTTCCCCATTGCATCGAGGTGGGGTAAGCCCAATATCCCGTGGGAAAGTCCGAGAGTACTACCTCTCACCGAGTCGTTCGAAAATCGTCGACATATCTATGGTTGTATATGGGGTAATAAATACGGCTCCTACTCCACAAACCTGCTCTTGAGAAAAACTGCCTTCCAGAAAGAGCGCGGGTTCCGGCCAAAGGAATCAGGAATTCGGTAAGGGTGTACGCATGCGCGCTTACCAACTGCGCGTACGTACATTGGCTGACACGACTTACATCCCTGCGATGTGACAGTACAATGCGAGCATCATGCCAAGAACACCAGAGTGTGTGTGCTCCAACTCGTGCGGCGCTGACTGCGAACAGAAGGTAACAGTAGGATTATCAGTGGCCCAACACGATGAGAACATTCGAGCTTGACCCCTGACAGGGTCCGGACCAATTGTCTACCCTCCCGACAGCCATATCACATGCAACATGCATCTCGGCGCGTCAGGAAACACGAGAATGTGACGTTGTGGCCTGCATATCTAATGTCGTTCCATTATGCAGCTCTCAGGCTATCTCCATGTGTGGGATCTTTCCCGACTTGGTTTCTCCGACGCCTGCTTCTCAACGAACCGGTTGAAACCGGGACACTGGACAGTTCAAAGTATTTGTGGCGTCTATATGTACTATACAAACAAACTATTATGACTGTTGGTAAGAAAATTTCCTCCAGGGGCACCTAGTAACTAATATGGGTAAGGGGAGTAGTAGTACAGTGGGTTTACACCTGTTTAAAACACATCAACCGCATATCTCTCACGGATTACGTCAAGCCACCACTCATTCACGGCATCCTCATCCTTCGGGCCACACCTGGATCTCGCTACCTCACCATAGATCCGTTTGGCAACATCCCTCACCCCCTGGCTCAGAGCCCGGCTGCCGCAGACGTAGACGCGGGCCCCGTCATCCCACAATGGCACCACATCAGCCCTATCAGTCCAGACCTGATCCTGCACATACCCCTGCGTGCCCACACTCTCACTCTGTGGGTTGGGCCTGGAGAAGGCCCACCGCACCTTCACAGCCCCCTTCTGCTCCCACTCTGCCAGTTCCCCTGCATACAGCTTCTCCTGCCCATTCCTGCATCCCGCATACAGCACGGCCGGCGCGAGAGACGCGCTCGGGTCTCGGCGAATCGCCTCAGCCCGATGCTGGATGAAACCCCGGAAGGGCGCTATGCCGGCACCTATGCAGACCATGATCATTGGCGCGGAGCTGAGATCCTGAGGCGGTCGGAAACGGTCCTTGCCAGGGCGGACGGAGGCTTTAAACCTGTCGCCAGGTGCAAGTTTCGCCAAGAATCCAGATGCGAGACCCACCACAGGCGGCTCGTCCTTGTACCGAGCGTCTGTCAAGGCTGGTCGGTCCATGAGCGACCATGTCAGAGTGCATCTGGTAGGGGACCATGCAGGCGACGATGAAATAGAGTAGGGACGAGGCCGGATGGATGGTAGCAGCTGGACTAGCTGATTGGGTGATATTGCGATAGTTGGATGGGCTACCAGGAGCTGGAGGACTGTAGGTACTCCTTTTTGAGGCGAGTTTGATGCCTCGTTGGCTAGATCTGTGAGCAAAGCTTTGTCTTGTACGCTGGCACAGGTCTCGCTGAGCTTCCTTATTTGCTAGAAAGTTTGTTAGACCGGAATGTAATGTGTGTGCTATCAAAAGAAACCTCAAAAACCTACATTGGCTGTTGCCGGCTGATTCAGCTCGAGACGAGTGAAGATTGCCATGATGATATGATCGGCATCCTCTTTATCTCCAACTTTGAAGACCTGCAGTAATCTGTCCAAATCTTCCTGGGAATTTTGAGGGTAGACTTCCAAGTAGTCGCCGACGTTATATGTGGTATCTTTGGGGAGTTCAATCTCCATGTGGTATTTGGGTCGATCTGTAGCCGCTGTCATTTTCGTCACTTGGACAACTTCAACTTGCACACCATTTGATGGCTCGTTTTCAGATTTCTGATCGAGGAGTGACAAATAGTCCGGTTCGCTGCTGACTATCGTCTCGCCAAAGAGGTGCGAGATGCCTGGCCAAAACTGCTCAGACTGCCAGGACTCAAAATCGCCGAGAATGTCTCCTCGGCTTACATCGGTAGCTCCTCTCGCTGCAAAGGAGACGGCGCCTCGGTCTTGGAGGAGAGTGTCTACAAGGATTGGTGTGACTTGATATGTATGCATCCAGTCACCTACTCAATAGTCAGCCATGTTGAAGCGTCAACGCCTGGGGGTGAGGATACTTACGATTACCACAGCCAAAGACGGAATATTTCACGCCTTCGAGATTGAGACCAGGAGAGCTCTGGAGCCATTCGATAAACTTTATACCGTTGTCTGCGAAAAGATTAGGACTTTTCAAAAATTATTCAATGTGACAAAACCGGGCCATACCTGGGTGCTCTTCATAGCTTGCAACGAAAAATACCACCGGATGTTCAGTCGGAATATGGTCAATCGCATTATTGAGAGGTTTGATTGTGCATTTAAACCCTCGGGAAGAAGCTGAGACCGCAAAACGCTCAGCAAGTCCTTTTGCGGTTTCTGTATTTGACCCATAGAAAAGCGACATAAGCCGTGATGCGTTGCTGTCTGAAATCGTGTTTGAAACTGCACCGGCCCTGTTTCTGACAGAATTTGATCCGGTGTTGAAGATATCCGCTTGCAAGGAGATGCTATCAATGCCTTCACGCAACTTGGCATACATAAATAGACCATGTGGTTTGAGTGTGAGTGTTTGCCGAACCGAAAGCTTGTAGTCAGGATCAGCCAGTCTGAAGTCGAATTTCTGGAACAAAATCGCTGTGGCCAGGATCGCTTCTTGTAATGCAAAATCCGATCCTATGCATACCCGGACGCCATTTCCGAACGGCTACAAAACATTAGCTAACTCTCTTTCTTAGACGTCATAAAGTCCGCGACCTACCTTCCAACAATTCTTGGGAAGTGCTTGAAACGAATCATCCAGCATCCTCTCCGGCTTAAACTCATCAGCGTCGTCACCAAAGGCAGCCGTATCTCGGTGGAGCGCAGGAGTCAAAATGAGCACCGTCTGGTTTTGTCGGATGGCCCATTTGTTTGCCAGCACGATGTGCTCGTCGCTGTCTTTATCGTCGTTGAGTAATGGTGTGACTCCCCATACAGCAGCGGGTGGGTGGAGGCGCAAAGATTCCCTCAATGAAGCCTTGACATATAACAGCTTGCCAAGGTGCTCAACCTTTATAGGTCCTTTGCCTACAACGTTGTCCACCTCCTGCTGCAGTTTTGAATATGCTTCAGGGTGAGTCATTAGGAGATAAAATAGGAACGAAAGCAGGCCAGAAGTCGTTTCGTGACCTAGGTTCCGGGTAGGGTTTAGTTTCTGCAACATGTTTACTATTTTGCTAGAAGGTTCTTACCAGCAATGAGGAAAGTAATCATGTTGTCAATGATAACATCGTCACTCAATTTCTTACCGGTGACCGGGTCACTCCTGTTTACCATAGCATCAACTAGGTCCTTCTTTTGAGTGCCCGAGGCATTAGCTCGACGCTTAGCAATAACGTCTGCCGCTACTTGACGGGCATAGGCAATGGCATCCTCAAACTTCTGGTTTGCCTCCCTCAGAAAGGGTGTGACAAATGCAGGCCTGCTTGATCTCACTTGGGCCTCATTCAAGATCGTCAGCATAGCCTCGATAAATGGGTCGAGATCATCTTTATAGAATGAGTTGAAACGAGTGTCCATGGCGCATCTTCATTTATCAGCGTTAGTTAATGAGCGAGGTTCTTAGTGTCATATCAACTCTTACAACGCAATTGTGTCGAGGGTGAGGCGGGTGAAATCTTCAGCGACGTTAATCATGTTATTCTCGCCCGCCCTCGCCCATCGGAGAACCGCTTGAGAGGCAACGTCGAGCATTTCTGAGACAAGTCAGTTCCATCATTCACCGACAAACCGGGGGTCATACCGGGAAACATGTCGTGCACCGCCAGTGGTCCAAACGCGGGGGTGAGCGTTCGGTGAGCCTCCCCCCACTCCTTTTGTCCATGAGGCGCAGTGAATAGTCCTTTGGGGGTGACATGTTGAAGTTGCTTCAGAGAGCCGATTGGAATCTTGACAAATTCCTTCCGAGTACAGACCTCGTTGACCAGTTCCTGGCTACTGATGAAGATTCGATCGTCTCCACCGAGGCGGAGCTTATATATTGGGCCTACGGGCTTGTTCATTAGTTTCTGTCTCTCAGGTTCTGTGTTAATCTTCGTCTTACCGTAGGTCCTGGCCAAGTCTCCAAAGCAGCGGACAGTATCGTTGATGTCCACATCTCTCAGATTTCCGATTATGGGCCAGCCTGGCGGCCCGGGAATGGGAGTCGTCATCCTCCCGGCAGAACCTCTGCGTGCGTCTGAACGGCCAGAAGCGGAGGTTGCAACGAAATGGATGCAACGAGCTGGAACAGCATTTGGTTGGTCTGTTCTTCCTTATTAGACTTTACTAAGTGGGATGCGATCGGCCCATCTTCAAACAAAGGATGCATGCACGTTGGTTGGAGGGTTGGGGTTCGAGGGGTCAGTGACAGGGGAGACAAAACCCATGGGCGGCTGGGCTGTAACACAGAGCGGCCGTCTTGAGCTGACCAATATCTCCAGCTTTGGCCAGTCTGACGAGAACATCGATCCTATTCAGGACACATACATGAAGGGCCTGGAAAAGTGGTCCGTTTGTTATTGTACGCGCCAATGAGTCGTATGCGCACAATGACCAACACGCCACGTTGCAAGGGGTTACTTTGAAGGAATGCCTCTTGCATGCCTCATGCATTGGCTAAAGTCCCCGGACAATGATTTGATTGATGACCCTGCACAGCCAACTGTTTTGGTCTCAGAATGCAACCACACAAATGTGACTGTGCAGCGTGCCGAGGATGTTCTGGGGTCGCGGACCAAGCACAATTTCCCCCTGTATTTTTTTTTCTGGATTGTCCCAACACTGTCTTCTACACTTGCAACTCAATCTACTCAATGTGAAGGCCGAATCGCCATCATCGAGCCGCGATGTCCAAGCCCGAAGCCTCAGAAACGGTCAGGGAGGAGGCCTCAGAGCCAACCCCTTCCCCAACCGAAGATGCGACCGAAGGCACGATCGAAGACGTCGATTGGAAAATAGGGAAGCAGGAATTGACGATTCTACTGACGATGTCCTTCCTCTGCATCGCGGTCGCCGTATGTAGCTCATAACCCCCCGAACATCAAGGATACTCTATTGACCGTGTTCATTGTAGCTTGATGCCTCCATTCTAGTTCCAGCCCTCCCAGTAAGCCCGAAGAAAATAAATTGAAGAAACGATCAGGAAGCATCAGAAGCTAAGCGAAAGCAGACTCTTGCGAAGGAATTAAATGGGTCCGCGATTGAAACCTTCTGGGCCGGCACATCATATCTGCTCTCCAACGCCGTCTTCCTCCCCTTCCTGGGCGCCTTGTCCGAGGTGTTCGGTCGCCGTGCGCTGCTGCTGGCGTCGCTCTTCATGTTCACGGTCGGCACAATCATCTGCTGCACCGCAAATGGCTTCCCTCAGCTCCTCACCGGCCGGACGGTTCAGGGCGTTGGTGGTGGAGGTTTGATGACAATGGCCCTCGTCATAACCACGGACGTGATTCCACTGCGGCAGCGACCGAAGTATCAGACCATTATCTCTGCTGCCTTTGGACTTGGAGGTGTCTTTGGGCCACTGACGGGCGGATTGATTGCTGAACACACTACATGGAGGGTAAGGTCTTGTCTGCCATCAAATGTACGCCCAGTTGCTAACCGTGTCTCCAGTGGCTCTTTTATGTCAACTTCCCATTCTGCGCGGTCGGATTTCTCATCACCCCGTTTACCATAAGACTCAAGCCGGAGCGGAAGCTCACCATTCGTCAAGCACTGTGGCAGATTGATTGGCTTGGCGGAGCACTGTTCATTGCCGGCATCTCAAGCTTTCTGCTCGGGCTCACCTGGGGTGGTGTCCAATACAGCTGGGGGTCATATAAATCCTGGCTGCCAATCCTCCTTGGCGGTCTGGTGGTAGCATTGTCGCTGTTCTATGAAGCCAAGGTTCCTAAAATGCCCTTCATGCGGCTTCGGGTATTCAACAGTCTATCTGCCGGCATAATCTTCTTCTCCACAGCCATCCAGGGTTTCATTGTAAGTCATGGTTGGAGATGTTGCATTCCGGAGCATTCGCTAATAATACTACTCTAGCTTTACAGCCAGCTTTACTACTTGCCGTTTTACTTTACCTCGGTGAAAGGCGCGAGTACCACCTTGGCAGGCATCTTCATCATGGCTGTGAACATTATCCTCTTCCCAGTCAGTATTGGGGCTGGTCTGGTGATGACCCGCAGGGGAACATATCGCTGGTCCATCAACGTAGGATTTATAATCATGACGCTGGGCAATGGACTGCTGGTCTACCTTGACCAACATAAATCCGTTGTCCAGCATCTTTTCATCTTCCTACTGTCTGGCATAGGCCATGGCTTTTTACTTGGCTCTCTAAACTATGCCAATCAAGCCACGGCCAAGGCGCAGGACGTGTCCTTTGCAGTGTCCATGTTCACCTTCATGCGAGCATTTGGTATCTGTATAGGAGTAGCCGTCGGCGGCACAGTGTTCTCGAATCTGCTCCTCCCCGCCTTGAGAGATGGAGGCGCCACTCCCGAGCAAGCACAGTCGATCACTGAGAACTCGGAAGCCTTTGTCCACATCTTGAACGAGATGCCTGATAACGAGACAAAGCAAGCACTGATCACGGCATATGTGGAAGCGTTCAGAGGTATATTCTACGTACTGACGGCTCTTTCAGCCCTGTGCACTGTCTTATCGTTTATGACAAAGCAATTCAATATGAATGTCGCCATGCAGTCAGGGCATCATCTTACCAAAAAGGGACAAGAAGGATCGGAAAAAGACATGGAACAAGGAACAGCGAAGGCTTGATTAATACTGGTCTAGAAACGAGACTGCAATGGTTAAGACCAATATAGAATAGAAATCATCAGATATTTGCCTAAAACCCGATCTCGCCGTGTGCCATGGCTTCTAATCTCCATGGCCCCAGTTCACCCGCAACAGGGAGGTAAGGAGGGGAAGCCAAGGGTTGACACACCTCCATCAGATCCACCGGAGATTGGCAAGGGTGGATGGACATGTATGTAGCAATGTAGCATGCAACTCGCCACTCCTTGGCTGCTGTCGCAACCGTCTTACGTGCATGTCAGCGGACCTTTGTGCACCGAAGGATTGCCCGTATATGGCCATTCCCACAACCCAAGACTTTGAAAATGATACGTCGTGATCCTTTGCACCCTTGTTAGGAAACAGATAGCCAGCCTGCCGTCCAATTACCCGATGCAGATGGCACACTTGATTCACATGCCACTCCAGCTGGCGCGTTCGTGCTCCATCCCTTCCCTGCCGGCCAGTTGCCTCCGGTCATGAGGGTGGTCACAGAGCCCACAGTCTCTTCGGCGACTTACATTTTGAGGATCCAATTGCGGAGGAGAACGGCTTGCTCTATGTAACCACACACAGAATCAGGAGGTTGTATGGGGCGGAAAGATTTGGCATCATGTCGGCATTTACATGAGCTTTCGGCCCCCCCCCTCTTGTTCGTTGACGTTTTTGTGATTGAATCAATAGTTCTTCCCAAAGACTGAATTGATTCCCCCGATTCAAGATGCCAACCTTGACCGAGGTTTTGACATTATTGCCGAAGCCGGCCGTTGGTCTTCCCCCTCCAACCAGAATCAGCACATCACTGCCCAAAACATAAGCCAGCTAACAGGTCCCTTCACAGGTATCATGCCTCGTCGCGGCCATCACGAACTCGACATGTAAAATCGGCGACCAAGCATGTACCTGCGCGAACCCAACCTTGCAGGCTCAGGCCACCGCCTGCGTCGCTGCGAATTGTACAATCCGCGAAGCCCTATGTTCGTTCCATTGCCCAACCCCGTCCGAATTGCTTCCCCCCGAGCGTTGAATAACCAGTGTCCATACCAGACACGAAGAATCTCACCTCTTCACTATGTGGCGTTGAGGCGGAAGTCGACCACTCCTTCGTGCCCATCTTCATCGCCTTCGTGATCCTTGCCGGCATCGCGGTTATCCTGCGCTTGGCTGCGAGGTTTATAAAGAGCGCAAACATCTGGTGGGATGACATCTGCAATATTGGCGCGCTGGTAGGCTACACGTTAATAATCCCCAATGATGCGGCCTTGCTAACGTTGGATAGGCCTTGTGCGTTGCCTTTACCGGTGTTGCCTTCTACAGTATGAGACCTGAATATCAATCGTTTGTCTCCATACAACTAACAGGATTACAGTCAAGGATATAGGATTTGGCGTGGACATTTGGGCGGTTCAGCCCGACAACATCACGAAGATTTTGACCGTACGTATTTCCAAAGCTCAACTCCCATCTCTCTGACTCATGTGTGTTTAGGGATATTACATCGAATTCGCCCTATACGGCGTCGCTCGACTCCTCGTCCGCGTCTCAATTGTCTTGTTCTACCTACGAATCTTCCAGATGACAAAGGCTCGGCCGATTATGATAGGAACGCTGATCGCCATGTGCTGTCTGTCCATCTCCTTCATCATGGCGACCATGTTCCAATGCACGCCTGTGAGCTACTTCTGGGACAAGTGGGACGGGGCGCATGAGGGTCATTGTATCAACGTCAATGCAATGGTCTGGGCCAGCTCGATATGCGCCATCATCTTCGACTTTTGGCTCTTCTTTGTCCCGATCCCTTTCATTTTGCAGCTTCAACTGTCGTGGAGGAAGAAGTTGCTGGTATCAGTCATGTTGGTTACCGGCATCGTGTAAGTTGTCAACGAGTCTGAAGATCGAAGTATTGTAAACTGACATACACGAACAGAGTTATCGTTATTAGTATTCTGAGAGTTCCGTCTATCAATGAGTTTACAAAGACACATAACGTGACAAGTAAGTCTCAAAATCACCACAAACATGCAGTACCATAGCTGACACTATACGACAGAGGACTTTGTGGGTATCGGCATCTGGTCAGCTCTAGAGATGAACGTCGGAGTATTATGCGCGTGCATGCCGAGTATCCACGTGCTGATCAAGGCCATGTTCCCCAAGCAGTGGTCAAGTACGAAGGGTGATTCGGGAAGATTTGTTAGCAATTCCAGAGGAAAGGCTTCGAGTGGTAGTGGCGGCCGTGGGCCGTTTTCAAGAATTACAATGACGACCACCATCGAACAAGGGAACCCGAGTGAGTCGCAGACACACCTTCCGGGCGAATACAATCAGGGGCGCAAAAATGAGCTTGAACTTGGCACGATGAAGAAGGAATCGGTCCAGAGCTATGCCTGGAGCTAATCTGTATTTTTATCACTTATTTCTTGTTTCTATATAAATACCTTGACTGTCATGCTTTCTATTTTATCCTAGAACACTAAACGGGCAAGGTTCATTCATTTACAAGTAAGCCAGCAGGCGAGCTTCTAACCATGTATAAGGGCCTTCTCATGGAGGAACTGTAGCTCTTAGATTGTTCCGGGGTTGACAGTACGCAGTGAGGCAAGGACATGTAAATGCCTTGGAGTGGTGGGCCAGATTTATCGGGGAGACCTCAAGCTCTCTTTGCAACTTGTCGATTTCTCTCCTAGAGGGCTTCCTGTTCTGTGAAACCACGTCGAGCTTTGTTGGGCGGGGGCTTTGTTTTCGCTTTCATGGCCCGGCTTTCATCAGGGCATAATTTGAGCTTCGGAAAGCTGTGGTTATCGTTCTACGAACACTCAGCGTCAGGTATCGATTTGGGTCTTATCACCATGGGCAGCCATGAGACATTGTTTGGTACTTTCCTAAACCTGCCACGGCTCGATTCTTAAGTCATTGAAAGAGTCAAAGTCCTAAGCTAAATTTTTCAGGGACGAAGGAGAGGCTTAGCAACTGCCACATACGCAGCTCGATGAGTTTTTGGTCATGAATGTGTCGGCCATAATTGTGTGCTATCGCAAAGAAGATCGGTTTTAACACTTCACCAAAAAGAAATACTGTCATGATGTGTCATGGGATGCTCTCCGGGCCTATTCAACCAAAGAGTCCATAAACTAAGTCTATCTCTAGATACAGAGAGAAGAAGAGTTTTCCCAGAGAGGAAGCAGCTTCCTAGCTGCTTATATAGGCGTTATCCCTTGTCGGTTCTGAGGGTTCAGAAACCCTCAAGTGACCGAGATCCTTCCTACGTAACCACGTAGCCCTAGAGGAGCTCTTCGTAGGTGTAGCCTGTAACATGATGTACTCGGATTCCGCCCATTCCTGCATCCGTGTTATATTCTCAACTGCTCAAAGTTGCTTACAAACTAGTGGTAGGCACAATCTAAGACCGAGTTGTTATGTTTCTTGGTCTTTGAACGTATAATTAAAGACAGCCATGCATTATTGGGTTAGAGAGGACACAATGTAATACCAAAGATGGATTTGCGAGTCAAAATGCAAGCTACCGACCGCAATCAAATCAAATAGATGTGTGTATGCAATCTCATTTAATGAAATGTTTCATACTTTCGGCTAGTCAATTGAGTTACTACAGCGGCCGTAAAGTCACAGAAAGACGCAGCTTTTAAGGAAGCGGATTTTTCATAGGCAATATGAAAGGAGGCAAAAAATTTGTTATTTTCTGTAGGTGACGAAATTAGCTATAAGTTTGACAAGGGCCTCGACTTATTATAGAGCTGGTCTTGAGCATAAGTTTGCATCAAGTGGCATACCCTACCTTCTTCCGAAGTTCTCGACGAATGGACTCAAAAGCCTCTCCATTCCCGAATTTTTCAGCGAGAGAAAACGCTGTGTCGCCGTCATTTGTCTGCGCATTACGGTCAACCCGAGCTGATTCGAATATAATTCTCAGGACTTTCATTGCCTTGCGTGTAGATGACCCCATCGCAGCGACCATAAGTGGAGTACGGCCATTTCCATCTCTTGAATTTGGATCGACCTGATCTATTTCCAAGAGGAAAGAAACCACATGATCATGCTCATTGCGGATTGCATAGTACAGCGGGATACGGCCAGAAGTAGATTTTGAATCAGGATTGACCTGTCCTGTCGCGAGAAGAATCTTTATAACTTCCAGTTGACCCCTTGAGGCCGCATGTGATAAGGGGGTCCGACCGGAAGTATCTTTGAATTCAGGATTAACCTGTCTCGTCGCAAGAAGAGTCTTGATAACTTCCACATTACCACGTACAACAGCGTAGAATAGAGGGGTCCAGCCATCATCGTCTTCTGAATCAGGGTTGACCTGTCCTGTCGGGAGAAGAATCTTCACAACTTCCAGTTGACCATGTGAGGCCGCATATGATAAGGGGGTCCGGCCGTAATTGTCTTTAGAATCCGGGTTTACCTGGTCTATCGCAAGAAGAATCTTCACAACTTTCAGTTGACCATTTGAGGCCGCATATGACAACGGGGTTCGACCCAAATTGTCTCCAGAATCCGGGTAAACCCTTCCAGATTCCAGAAGAACTCGTACAGTTTCGTCATGGCCCTTTGAAGCGGCGACTAAAAGCGGCGTTCTGCCCTCAAAGTCCTGGAAATCAGGATCAACGCCATTGGCGTCCAGCACGGCCTGTACATATTGATTTTTACCGTGCTCGGCAGCAACTAAAAGCAACGGGCCATTTCGAACGTGGCCAACAACCAAAAGACGATCCATAATTTCTAGTTCGCCCTTAATAATAGCACGATACAAAAGGATATGGTCCTGGGTATTTAGAAGCTCGAGGTCACTCTGACCCGTCTCTAACAAAAACTTTGCAACTTCCCAATGAGAATTTCGCACAGCATAGAAAAAGACAGAGTCGGCATGAGGGTAGCCGGGTCTTGGTGCCGCCAACGGCAGCCGGAGACGATCTCGCCTATGGTAAAGAGTAAGGAGGAGCTCCAGGTCGCCATATTCGGCAAGGAATGACAAGAGAGATCTACCTGATGACTTGAAGGTAAAATCGCGGCTGAGTTTGGACACTTTGGTGTTATCCTCACGATAGTGTTTCTCATTTCCGGCGCGGTTGTCCACGGGGAGAGTGCAAGCAATATTATTTCTAAATGCTTCTACCACTCCCTGATGTCCGTGAACCATTGCTGCCAACAAGGGGCAGCCATAACGCCCAACTCCAACTGTGAGGCAATCTCCAGGTGAAGTACATTCTTCAACAAGTGATGGTGCGTTGGCTTCAGCTAGAATGTAGAGAAGGTCTATCCGAGGGTTGTAGCGTCGCAACTGGAACTTTTCAAATAGATTATGGAGATAAATCCACGTGTGGCGATGAAAGTTATGCAAGAAATTACTTTGATCAATTCCAAATGATCCTGCTGCATCCGCATGAAACAGGAGGCCATCAATGGCATACTCCAAAAACGGGAATGCTTGCCTCAGCTTTTCCAGATGCAATTCTTTTCCAACCCGATAGGTGTCATACCGCAAGCGTATGTCGTTCTTGATATAAAGATTACAGTAATCTCTAAGCCGAATGTGACTCTGTCCCGGAAGATTGTCGTTCAAGTCATTGAATAAACTTCGCAGCCCGTTGTCTTTAAGAAGAAAGTCTTTGACAGACTCATGGATAAGCTGAACTATTGGAGCCTTAGAGTTTGCGACTTCGGCTAGCCCCTTGGAAGATTCTAGTAAGAAAATTCTGGAATCCTCCTCTGTCAAGTCTTCAGGATCCACTTGAGTAGGGTCATCAGTTTGAGAAAGGATTGCAAGATGAAGTTCGAGCAGTGTCAATGGTCGTTTCGAGAACAAAATCCATTGGAAACAAAGAAGTAATTCCTCCTTGTTGTAATGATCTTGAGATAAGATGCTCCGAAAAAGTTCGTGCAAATCCTTTGGTATTTCCCGCAGCCTTTGGCGTAGTTTGTGTATACGCCCACGGTCTCGTTCCTCGTTGAGGATTTTGACGACAAGCACAGCCCACATAAACACCCCGGATGATTTTTCTAGCAGCTCGCTCTTAATTTCGTCAGCGAGTTTACCATGTCCAATTGCCAACTCACTGTCGACATATTCGCGAATATCGTCTCCGTGGTGGTGCTGCTTCTCAAGGGTGATTTCCAGCCCCAAACCTTCTCTCATAGAGATATGGGGATAATGGCGACTTGAGAAACATACATAAAATCCAACCCCAGTAGATATTGCTAGCTGGCCGAGGCGTTCAAAAAAGCTAATCATGTCCCGTATCTGATTATCATGACATTCATCAAGTGCATCAATATAGCAGACCACAGAAGAGGGAAGCTTTTCGATTGCCCGCTCAATCAATTCTTTCATTAAATCGTTCGTCCATTGACGAGGCGTTCCGTTGGCAAACAGCCTCGAACAATCCAGAATATCCTGGAGGGAGGGGAATTTTGTAAGCAGTTGGAATAGGATGGACTGATATAATCCGGTTGTCGATTTCTCCAGGTCATGACCACGGGCATTGAAAAAGAAATCAAGAGTTGTGTGATGAGCTCTCTTCTTTTGTGATGCATCGGAGATGAACTTCATCATTGTCGACTTTCCAGCCCCTGGCTTGCCTTTGATCCAGAAAAAGCCGCCATGTTCCCGAATTTTCGTTTCGTCCAACCAATCAAGGTATTCTTCGTTCTTCAGCATCCATTTACAGGTTTTCAAGTGTGCCTTCTTGATGTTCATCCGTCGGTTATCTATATGTTCGAACCTCAGTGACTCCATCTTTTCTTTTCGAGATTTCTTGATAGAGTCCGACGGTAAGCATTGTTGAAGCTCTGGGGTGGTTGAATCTACAAGATGATTAACTCAAGTGAACATAATTAGTGGTGAGGATACCAACCGCCGCAACTATCAAGCGTATTAACCCAAGACATCAGCTCTGAAGCAGGGTGGACCGATTGAAGAAGTTCTTTTGCATATGCCGCTGCTGTTGCCGCGGCATACTTCTGCCAGGTTTTATTCTTGTGTGAGTCGCAGTAGTCGCAAATCCCCCGGATGACCAAGCATGGGAAATGGTCGATGAGCCCTGCTGCCTCCATTTCAAAGCACAGGATGTTGTTTCGGCCAGCCCAGCTGTCTCTTGACGCAGCATGCTTCACAACCTGGTTCCCTGAGGCTATCGCCCCGTAGTGAACCCGGGCCTCTTTACATGGCCGCGAAGGTCGATATATAAGCTGAGATTGATCGCACTGGTCACACTCCTGCATTTCGTCGCCGTGGTCGTAAGCTGCATCAAATAAACGATCCTGGCATTGGCTGGGATAGCCATAGTTTACCATATCTTGGTTCCGGCAAAGCATCTCCGCAAGAATGGAAGGTATTCGGGTTGAGCTCTGCTCATGCTCTGCTCGAAGGTTGGAGACGGCCGTCAAAATTTGATGTGGAGGTCTGACAGGGTAGCTCGTGCAAGCGAATTCGCCTCCATGAACAGTCTTACCAAAGTCGTACTGGAGTACATCATGGCCGACGACTACGTCCCCCAGACGAATATCAGACTTGGGAACGCCGCCCCCGATACCAACCATGAGCCTGATCGAGATAGAAGGAAAGGATCTAGCCATATTGTTCGCGACCACTGCAGCATTAGTCGTACCGTAGTGGCCTGATGGCAAACAAGCAATAACGACATTGTGAGCTCCAATATTTCCGTACCTGTAGTAATTACCGTCGCCTTGCACAGTGGGAAGAGGCGGGTGCCTGTTGTCGAGCATCGCTGAGGTTGCGGCGAGCTCGATAGGGAGAGCAGTAACCCAGCCAACGGTATAATCCTCGTGCCTCAGCTCGCCATAGGAGAAGGAGGCTGTACGGCTGAGGGCATCTACCACATTCCCTTCGGCTCGTCTCTTTCGCGCTGGCAACATCGACGCGTCGCCGCCATCGATGCATCTCTTTCCCGCCTTATTATTGATGGCAGGGATGTCCATCGGAATTGTAGCAGGCCCTAAATCGAAATAGCGGCCAATACTTCATGGGTATAAAAGTTGAGTAAGGTACGTAGATGTAGTCGCGGGTGCATACGTGAGCGACAGACGCACAATTGCAAAAGGGATTGAAAATTTTGGTGGGCATCAATGATCACAGCATCTGCTATCGAAAGTACCTACATACACGTGACACACTGCCACCAATAGTGAGCCATAACTGTGGGCGGAGTGAGAATGCAGGCTGAAGGCTGACTTGCAGGCTGACTGGCTGGCTGTGTTAGGCCTCAGTAATGATGTTCCCGTCCACATAACTATCTACCACTTGCTTCACCATTCTCTCAAAAGTGTCTCTGTAACGTTACTCACATGCCACACGCCGCCCCTACCAACAATCCATAGTTCATTCTGCCCAAAAGCGATGCTAACCGCCAAATTTTCTCCGCCGCCGACTCTGATCGACCCAAGCGTCAGGCCACTCTCTGGATCAATCACATCAACGCCGTCTCCTGACCCGGCAAAAATCCAGCCGTTTCTTGACACTCTAATGCCATCATAGAAGTATGCGATTGGGTTGTTCAAGAAGCGCTTGTTCGTGAGAACTCCGTGCTTTGAAATGTCAAACGCGTGCAGGGAACGATCACCAAAGGGGTTCTTCTTCGACACGGGCTTGAATTCCGAGACTCCAGTATCTGGGAGATATAGAGTGCGACCACCTTGAGGGTTCACACCTACCGCCACGCCGTTTGCGTTGCCAGTAGTGATGTGGATAGGTTTAGGTCGTAAACTAGAACCGTTTACAAAATACACTGTAGGATTGGTTGGGTTATAGAAGTCGGTCAGATCACGGCCCTATCCTCCAGTAAGTAATTTTTCAATGATTAGGGCTTAGTCAACTCACATAGGCGGATTTGGAGTCAGTCAGGTAGAAGTTGCCGTCAGGGTCAATGTCAAGGTCGTTAAAGCCCAAGAACGGTTGCTCGTAGTAGTTGTTAAGCAGTGTGGTTTTTTCAAGGGTGTTTGGGTTAATCTTGACCAAACTGCCAGTCTCGTTATGCGACCCATCAGTTACCACGTACAAGCTCCCGTCGTAGTAGACACAGCCATGAGCATTGTAAGTGAGCGGTGTAGTTGTAATCTTTTGAAGCTCATTAGTTTCTGTGTTTAGGAGGTAATGCCAAGAGTGAGTGCCATTCTGTCCACCCGGAGGGCCCCATTCGACAAAGAACAATTGTTTCAAGTCCGGGTTGTAGCATGGGGACTCATGAGATTGGTAAGCTAGTTTGTGTATGTGTTTGACCTTAGCATTTGGCCCTATAATGTCGAAAAACTTTTCCTCATAAGCAATGAAATGCGTAGTGTTCAAAAACTTGTTGCTATTCAAGTCAGAAGTGGAGGGGATCGAAGAGCAGGTCATACATACGTCGCACTGAGCTGTTCATCAGATGTCTTGCTTTCGACAATAGAATTCATGGCAGACCTATTGAAAGCTCCAGGTATGACTGCAATATTCGGATGGCTCAAATAAGCCCAATTGGCTGGGGAGGATTCGAACGCAGATGGCAGATCGGCTAAGAATGCCGCCTGGCCCACAGATATCACGAGAAGCAAGGAAGCCAGCATCTTGTGAAATGGGGGATTCCTTTCAACTTGAAGTTCTCGTTGAGATTTTTAGCATGCTAGGAACACGACAGGAGTCAAGACTTATATATCCCAAGTGTCCAACCTCCGCATAGCAAACAAATGAGGTTCATTGCGGAGTGCTCCGCACATCGATGCACGCTACGACCCCATCCATAACCCCATTGCGGGGTAGAAAGAGGGAAAGGTCCAACTAGAGTTGGTAGATGAAGGTTGGCATCTGGGGTAGTTCGCACACGACGGAATTAAGCAGGGGATACTAATGCTGAAGTTTCTCCATGGTTGTCGGACTGTTCCGTTGAGGTGCGATCCCCGGAGCAGCCCGGATCTTAGTCTAGGTAATTGTTGTTACAATGCAAGAATATCACGACGGGCACTCAAGTGGGCCTAAGGACTCTCTTGTATTGCGACTCGGAAGGGAGGAACGACATCAACCCGTTCACGCAAGTGACTTGTTGTAATTAGCGCCGCTCACATAAAAGTAAGTAGCTAAATTAATTTATATAAATACTGAAGGATATGTACTTAAGCGTGGTTACTTGATCTCAATGATTATGACGTTAGCTAAAATAGGCTAGTTGCTGTGGCTTAGGCGGGTGGCTTGGGTGGCTGCCCGGACCCACAGATTACTAAGGTGAGCAACATCTTCATCTACCATTTCCAGTATGAAGAGTTGTCTGTTTACAAATGTCGTTGGAAGAGACATTGATTTTTTAGACAATCCACACATGCACAGCCCTCAAACCCACGGTGCTTGTGCCACCACCAATAAGATATCCTTGTCGATAAGTTAGACGATCTCTTACATACGACTGAGATTCTGTAATACGAATGGTCTGCCTGCTGCTCTAGGGTAGGTTTATTCGGCATCTGTACTAGCCACACCTTGGTACCAGCCACACCAGCCTCATGTAGCAGGGGATTAGATAATAACGTTGACTTAATGTCTAATTTTGTGAATATTTATTCCTTCTTAAAATATTTATGCAAGCACAACTATGTGCAAAGGAACCAATAATGTCCCTGCAGCAGAGATTATTCTGGCCGTGTTGGGCCGCAAGGTTGATAGATGGTTATTATCTCTAGCCTTTATGGCCAGTACTGACTAAGAACTTATAGACAGCTTTATCTCCACGTTGATCTACCATTTAGCATCCAAGAACTCTTGCGATGCCCTCATTCTCTCATTGAATCTCCACTGGCCTTTACGTCATTAGAGTATGGTCCGCACGGGGTTTGAAAGCACCTATGGCAACCTTCGAAGGAAGGACGGGCGTACTATCCTATGGACATCTCATTGCGGTATCAAAGGATGCGACCCTCTGTCTCGTGTATGAAAAAAACGAGGAACATTGCTTCGACATTCCTATCAACTGCTGTCTCGGTGCGACCATCACACCTGAGGGTTTCAGCCCTCAGACATGGAAGCTAGTGGTTCCTTGCTAGGGGCATTTCCGAGCGCTTAGTTAATCGCGGGAATGTAGCTCGATCTAAGACGGTAAATTAAGCCGCTACTCTTTTGGTAGCTTCATGTACGTGTTCAACTGGCGATTCCCATCTTGCAACTTCGCCGCACAAAGGTTCCTAACCCGAGCCTATGATTCACGTATTGGTGTAATGGACTCAAAGATCGAGTTTGCCTCAGATCAAAAACTCGCTGGAACGACGTGAGCAGGTTGACGCTTTTCATTCAAGCATGGCGGGGCGTATCCTTAAATGTATCGCTTTCCCACCAATAATGCTTGTCCAGCACACCGACCTCAAGGTCAATAACCAACACTGGAGACGGACGGAAAGCATAATAAGAACCGCTAGTGCTTAGCTATATTACCGCATGTTATTCGATCCTTTAAAGCAACGGTAATTCGAGGTCCGTAGTCGTTACTGGGTTAGGCCGCGAGGTAGAGCAATCCCTTGAACGCATTGTCTGTTTACAGAGCCACGTGGCGTGATAACAGACTTATTACAACATAGCATAGAGACAGAGACAGAATTTCCAACCAATAGCTACAAGAGCAAAATTGTCCTCAGCTCAGAAAAGAAATTCGGGCGAAGGACCTTGGCCTAAATCCTACCGTACCTCCGGGAAGCTTTTGATTCTTTATAGTTCCTCGTACACAGAAGTACATTATCATTATTTGACAGTGAGATAGGTTCTCATTCGCCTGTGGTAACATCGGGCACTTCTTGATTTGGAAGCAGGCGTCAGACTGCCTTTTGAGCCCAAGCACCTGGGAGCCTGGGAGAGGGACCATTATTCAATATGAATGCCGGAAAGGAAAGTGGTTTGCCGATCAAGCATACTGTTCTCGTTTAAGAACGAATAGAATCATATTCTCGGGGATTTTATGGGACTAGTAAAGATGTCTAGAAATACGAACTCCGCCAAGAGCCAGGACGTTGCAACTGACGGCTTCATATGGGAAAGGCTCAATGCGCCCCCCAGAAGAGCCCGCTCGAAATGGGTATAAGCGGCTCTAAAAGGCGTAGGGCGACATTCCGACTGGGCGTCGTGAATTGGTAGAGACAGGGGGCAGGGCTATATGTGGATGAATTTATGGCGTTCGCCACCTGCACACGGTGTTGTCATCTGTCACTTGACAACCGTGCCTCTACGTGTTAATGCAGCTGTAGTCAGTCAAATTTCCCGATTTTATGGGATCAGGCGAATCAACCTAGTCTTAGCTCGACGTTGACGGTGCATGAACGGTGGTTGGCGGCAACAGGATGAGGTGCCGAGCCGTGAATATGGGGTCGGCAGCCAAAAGCGTTGAAAGGAACACTGCCCTGGCGTCTGTCATCGGGCTGGGACTTTTGTTACTCTGAGCCGGCTGCCTCTTGACTACCGCGGTGTATTATCACGATGCATTATTGCTTATTTAACCATTTGGCGAGGAGCTGGGAAAAAAGTAGAATGTGCGTTTTAAGGCCCAAATGGCAGGCTGGTTTTCAAGATAGCAGCTCCGGGCCCTACCTTTTCCAGCCGGGCCGCTCGGTGATCGATAGGAAAATTACCATGTTGAATTCCCCGTAAGTGCCGGCGGCGGTACTAAGCCTACGGATGTTGCCTCTTATGGCGGTGAGGGGACATCGAACCCTGGGAAATTGCATCCTGGCCCTGTAGTCAGAATGCCGCTTGGGCCTTCTTTCTCATCCACGGTCAGGCAAAGAGAAGCCGGCTTTGAGCAGAGGGAGCTTGGATACATCCAACTCCAACTACAAAAGGTCGGACAGTCCCTCACCAGAAAGACACTGAGTTGACCATCATCATCATCGCCATCACCAATAACTCTCAACACGAACCGACCCCCGAACAACACAATGAAGTTCGCCTTCGCTTCTCTCTTCCTCGCCGCTACCGGCTTGGTTAGCGCTCTCCCCGCCAATGAGAACGAGACCAACCTGGAGACGCGCGCCGAGGCTGGCGCAGGCTGCAGCCCGGCCGGACGTGTCACCTGTAGTAACAGTGATGGTCAACGGTGAGTTGCATCTTTACCCTTATGATAGGCTTCCGAGCTAAACATGACCCCTTATGGTAGGTACCCAAACATCCTGGTTTGCGTTGACCGCGGAAGCGGTCTCAAGTGGTTCATTCAGGCTACTTGTGCCGCTGGAACCTCGTGCGCCTACAATGATAACCCCAACCAAGCCTGGTGCAAGGCCTACTAAGTTGCTCAACTATTAATGTGAAGAGCTAAGAAACTTGGTTTATCATTCATGTTTGAGGGTGTCAATACAAGTGATTTTCATACCTTCGGTATCAGATTATTCGTGGCCAATATCGAACTCATACTTCATTGTATCGATGCCAGTCTGCTATGCGGTGATCATCAAACTCGTATATAATAGGATCTCAAAATAAGCTCTGGTCGAGTAGATCTAATAGACTTGAATATGGTCGCACGCTCATTCATTGATTTTGTTGTGGACTCTCCCCACCATTCCAAACCAGATCTAGGCTGCGCATAATGGCACCAGGCTTTCGTTGTCGTACATTTTTTCCTGGCCAGTTCTGGGGATTGAATCCTAATATTTGGGGAAATTTCGACTACAAAAGGTTGGGAGCGCTGTGTGCGCGCGAAGGCGGAATTGCGTTCGCTACTCTTACCCTCCTTCCCTGTAACTCCCGAACCATCAACGTAACGCCACGGGCCAAAATAATTCTAGTCTACAAGACGTAGAACCTGCATTGATAATTAGCTGCATTGAACTTTTTTGTTATGTACTTATATAATGATGACCCTTACGCTCTGATAGAGGACTGGTTGAAGGAGTAGAGAAATATTCCAGATGCTAAATACTTCTTGGGAGGTAAGTTGATCTACTGCATTCTCTTTGATCTTACGTCTTGATATAGCAAACTACTTTCTGTCTTTTTCTTCCTATCTGCTTTTTTCGGTTAGTTAAAAGTTTCATTATTCTGACTTATTCGTAAGGGGGTACTTATCACCAACAATGAACCATAGTTGTTTTGCTGACACTATATGAATGTGCCTAGATACAGCATGCTTTCTTGCCTTCAAAGGATGAGCTCAGTAAATTGGTTGAGAAAGCAATCGTGTACATAATCAACTACTATTGAAAGCAACATTTGCCACAGTTTGAATTTAGAAATAGCGATGTATAGAGCTATCAAACAACAGATACTCTTTTTGATGCCCAACGTTTGGTCACAAATATCTGACATAAAAACATCGAAAGAAAGGGAAAACAAATAATATAAACGAGTGGGATTAAATGAGCGACAGAAAAGAGCGACAAGAAGGAAAAAATCCCCCGAGACAGGAGCGGCTATGAGTAGATTCCACCAGGGTCTTAGGTGAAACAGTGAAGGTATGGGGTCTGCTGCCTGCTCAACCCTGAGTAGGCCTAGAGGTTCTATGATGCCATCGACATTTCTCACGACATAGATAGAGACGATGTTAAGACTTGAGAAATATATTTGTAGAACCTGGAATGGTTATTAGCTGGCACGACGGGAGCCAGACTTACGGTGAACGCTTGATCCACCACGAGGACTCCCTTTGTAGCCTCCACGAGAAGCGCCACCATGACGAGCGCCAGAGGCACCGCGAATGTCGAGCTCTTCAAAAAGATCTCTTCGTGGCGAGATCCGGCACCACGGTGGTTAGCGGCGGCTTAAATTCTACATGATCGGTTTGGTATATTGCACAACCAGATGCTGAAGACCCCCCGCCTAAACCCGGTAGTGTATAGAGAAAGGGAATCTCAAGAATAGCACGGGACTTTCCAAGGCAACAAGATCTGCTATCAAGTCGCAGTTTAATTCCGGGGTAAACAAAGGATCTAATTTCGTTAAGTTGTCCATGGGTCCAAACACAATTACGTTAAGCCCCAATCGAAGCAAAGGATGGCACATTAATCGTACGATCGAGCAAAGTAGAGAGAAATTCACGCAATGGATGATAACTTAATTTAGACATATATCACAATTCTAGTTTCTTGATAAAGAAATGACCAATGCCCGGCATCTACCGCACATAGGAGAGGGTGCCTGTGGTATGAGCGCCTAATTCTCCTGCAAGTTTTTCTCGCGACGCTCGGCGTCTTCCCTGTCCATCTTTTTCATCACTGCATTGTGGCAGGCCCATAGTTCTGGGCGCATGCGAAATTGTTTCTCCTGTCGCTCAACGTGGTCCCGAAGTATTCTTGCAACGGCATGATTTCCACGTTTTTCAGCGTCCAAAATGGCACCTTCATATCCCGTTGAACCCCGGCGAGCACTCAATGCTCCTGCATCTAGAAGAAGCTTGATCATGTCGCAGCCACCAGCGGCTAAATCTAACGTCGATTGTGGGCGCAATGTAATTCGCATGGTGACATGAAGATTGGGGTCGGCGCCATGGGCTAACAGCACAGCGGCCAATTCAACGTCTCCGTGATACGCGGAAGCCATCATTGCGGTTAGTCCTCCTGTCTCAGGCTCTGCGTTAATATTTGCACCACTCTTGATCAAAAGATTTACAAATTTCTGCTGGCGATCCCTTTCCTCGCCGGACGTGGGAAACCAAAAGCAGATTGCTTGAAGAGCCGTTAACCCATAGTACCCTCGAGGGGCGGCGTTGACATCTGCTCCGCGGTCCAATAATTGAATTACTAGAGGGTAGTTGCAGACAGATGCTGCGGCTTGGAGGGGAGTAGACCAACGATCAGGGAAGTCCAATTTCGCATACATGTCGATGGAAGCACTTCTCTGGATAACCTCCTGGATCAGCTGATCCTCGGCTTGTCGTTCGATTAATAAGGCTAGGACCGCTTCTGGGTCAGGTGGTAGCCCATAGGAAGTGTATAGCCGATTAAAGATCAGACGCCAGTCTATTCTTTCAGCCAAAGCAGCTACGAATAGAGCTTGAAGCTCGTCTCCTGCAATTTTCCTAGACCCGACCCCAAGTTGGTCTAAGAGCCAAGGGACCAGGACATCCGCGGTTTTTTTCTTGTCGATGACTGTAACGATAAACTGGTCCCCTTCGATGCCCCAAATACCCCGTATCTCTTCCGTTTTCTGGACTAAAGCATGTTTGAACAGACCATCAGCATATTGGTCCCTCGCTCTCTCTTTTAGCTCAGCTCCGCAATCAACAAGGTGTTGCAACATAGACATCTTGTTTTTTATGTTCCGATGATTGTCGATCTCCTGGATTAAGAGTGACACAATCGTGAAGTCTCCTCCTGATCCAGAGTCTTCACAGATTTCAGCTTTGATGTTCACACCAGCGCCTAGTAGCCAGTTCACAGCGCTGAAATTACCAATCCTAGCTGCCCTCAAGAGAGCATGAGCTCCAATATCCCCGACTTCGACACCGAATTTCAAGAGGAGTTCAAGAAGAGTTGTTCCTTTCTCGGAGACCGCTTCGCTGATGGCTTCTGGGCTGACGGATGAATGATCTTGAAAGAAACGGTCTAGGAGCTTGTATGTTTCGTTGTTTATCCCACGCCGAGCATCTCGCAATAGTCGCGAACAATATTCTGGGTGGTCGGACGTATGGATCTGGACTCCGACATCGATTAGAGTTTTTAAAACAGATATATTGAAAAATTCCCATCCAAAGTTCGAAAGCTGTTCCCGCATCACAAGCTCCAGAAAGTTCTTAGCTTGTCCACCCAAAAGGAGATCCGTAGATCGTAGATATGCGGATACTGCCGATTTCCCATACATAGCAGCTCGCAAGACTCCATGTCTTGTCATTGTTCCATCGGTAGACGAACTTCGGAGAAGCATTAGATCAAATAACTCTCTGTTCCTCTGAAATCCCCAATCCAAACATGTCGGATACCACTCCTTCGATATTTCCATCTCTTCCAGTAGCTTTGAGTACCGTGGACTTAGAGGGAACGGTGAGTCAACATCGGCACCTGCCTCAAGAAGGATCTTAAAGGCACCAAGATATGCTCTGACGTATGTTCTTGACATCTTCTCACATATTACCGTAAAATGGGTTCTGGAATCTTCAAGCCGGAAATTTAAATCGCAATCCTCGACCAAAGCTTGCACACATGGTATTGAGTCGACGTAGATAGCCCTCCAAACTGCGTAGCTTCTCATGCTAGAATGCGTCGGACAGGCGCCGAGTTGTAACAATTGCCGAAGCAAATGACCATTTGACACCGAAATTGCTGCAAAAGCAAGATTGTCCTTGTCAGCCGCAGGCCAGTGGGGATGTTGCAGGCCAACAAATATCAAAAAATGAATCACGCCGTTCAGGTCGACATGTGGCCAGATCATTTCATTACGTTTTCTGCAATCCGAGAGAACCGCTGTTGCCATTTTAAAGAGGTATTCCCATGCAGACTCTATAGATGGGAGGTCCCTTTGGAAGAGTGCCGATAGTATTTCTCGAGGGAGATCAACAAACAGTGCCTTCGTCAGTTTTGCTACTCTATAATCATCGTAACTTATTAATTTGTTCGATAAAATGTAGACAGCTTGGGCCAAAAAATGGTAGATTTCCATATGTGTGGGATGGGCGGTGAATTGGGTGGCCATTTCTTGAAGATGCCAGATCCCAGGGAAAGCAGTATCGCACATCCTGGCCAGAGGAAGTCTTGAATCGGTAGTGGAGAAGCCATCCCTAGGCATTACAGAATATGTTACATTGTTGATCGTTTGGAACTCTCGTTGGATCTCCGCACCTAGCGCCATTGCTTCAAAAACTGTTAGAAGGCCTGTTCGAAGCTTTTTGGGATGGTAGCTTACAATGAAACAAACGGCGAAAATTTTGCCATGGTAAATCCTCTAGCAAAAGTTTGACATATTGCGACGAAACCATACTAGCAGGGAAAAAATAATCTTGAGTGTGGCTTGATCCCGGAAACCTATGTCGACACACTGATACTAATTCCTCTCCAGATATATCTTCAAATAGTCCGAAGTTGGTGAACCCCGAGCTTGATTCCCACCTGGAGTCGAGAGACGCTTGATGTGTCCGGAAATTGGGACTACGGTCAGCAGAGGATGGCGCGACATCTCGGCATGCATTTTCTGTACCAGGGTGACATCTAGGCGACGGAGATGGAGTACGCAACTCTACTCCGGGAGGGAGTGGCGTATTTTCATCTATTGGGTGTCAGCGGCTGGTTCAGGACGAAGCCAGTCCTTGAATTCTACCAATTCTTGCCTGTCTTGCGCCAGAACGTCTAATCTCCTTCCAGGCTTTAGCCCATGGATATTTCACGCCATTCAGATAGAGTGAGGATGTCTCTCTCTTGGTGTTCAGATGATGCTGATAAATGACCGACCAGTCGCTTTTCTTGAATTTCTTACGCACTCCCAGATGATTTCGCAGCCGAGTCTCATAGATGGAGATCCTGCGTTCATATTGGTTAGACAGCTAGGCTGGAGTGGTGCTCTTGACGAGGTCTCACGGTAATGAAGGAAATTGGTGATCCCTTTCCAGGATTTCCTTTACCTCCTTCAGGGTCTTTCTCTCCTCCTGATATAAACGTTGGATCAATGGCCTATGCAGGATGAAGATGTCGTCCATAATGTGCACAATAGTGTAGCGGGAGATGATAAAGGAACTATGTTTTGTCCTGAACTGGCCAAAATATATTGGTTAAACTGAACACTGAGTAGTGAATAATCGTTCGATGAAGCTCTTTGGGAGTGTTGGAGATTGCTTTTTCAAGACAGCTTCTGGATATTTATATAGTGTGAATCTGTTGAATGTGAGCTCTTTACCCCTCACATAAAAATTGGCAGCTATCATCATCTATCTGACAGCGCAATACAGTAAGCCGCCTCATTCTATGCAAAAGGCTGCCCGGGGGCCAATAAAGTCGCCCCCCCCCCTTCCACCAAGACCTAACAAATCATCGCTGCGTGTCCAAAGTCTTCGTGCATGGGTGGGATTGAATAACAGGTGACCTAACAAATCAGCGCTTGCCACAACCCTGCGTGTCCAAAGTCTTCGTGCATACGTAGGTCGAATATGCAGTCACCAACAGGTGATCTTCCTCACCCCGCACACAATTGTCATCAATGTATGCTTAGATTTTGGACAGCGATGTATTTTGTCAAAGTTGTGAGCCCCTCTGGTTCCGTTTCACATGCGGTGCTTTCTCGAGAAGTCTCTCGTGGAAACTTTACTAAGACATTGTTTTTCACGGTGGACAAGCCCAAGTTATTAATTGCTCCTAGATACTTTGATTTTATGTAGCAATCATCGCACAGATACACCATTAATATTAATGTCCCTTTGCTAAGCCTAAGAGCTAGATGCCTTGTCTAAGTTTGACACAAAGTTGGAATCCTTCGCAGGGAACTCGGCCGATCCAAAATCGTACGTGTTGAGCGCATTTTGCATAGCGCTGGTCATCGTCGCCCAATCCAACACGGGCAGGTCGCGGCCCACCGTGCTAGTGAACTTGGTCGCATGGTTGAGCGGCCAGGTGAAGTAGTATTCAATCAGGACATGGTTGCCATCCATGGCCGGCGAGGTCGACCTGCTGTACTTCCCGTGGGCGGAGGCGAACGCCTCCTCGAACGCGCCGGTGTCCTTGTTCACGAAGACGACGGCATTCTCCCAGTCGTGGCGGTGGCCACTAGTGAATGGGGAGTCGGGGTGGTCCTTGGGCATGTACCAGGCGTACATGATGGCGATGCGGCCGTTGTACTCAGCGGCGCGGGCGTACGTCTGGCCCTTGCTCTCGTCTCTGCAGGCGCCGCTGGCACTCCCCGATGCAGAGAGCCCACCACTACGATTCTTGTTGTTAGCACAGAGTTGCAAAAGGAATGTCTGTTAGCTCATACCTGACGTTTCCGTCTGAGTCGACGGCAGGGTAGGACTGGCAGCCGTGGGAAACGTATAGACGGGGTTCGAACTTCAACATGAGTTGACCTAATGTCCCAGACTGAACAGCCTCGGGAAGGGGGCTTAAGGAATCATGATCGACTACAGCCCGCTTCTGAAACGGAGCGGCCTGAATGGCGACAGCGGAAAGCAGTGTCGTAATGATGAGCTTGGCGTGCATTGTAATGATAGATCTTGTGAGCACAGTTCTGTCAGAATATTTTGTGCAAAGGTGACTGAATCGTTCGTGACATCACGTTGAGGGGATCTCGACGTTTATTATAGTTATCTACAAGGATGTGACCTTCCCGGAATGAACTACCTCTCGGAGAGAGCAAACCGTGGACTCCACAGTACAATAGAGACGAAGAGGAACGTGCCAGATGCCGGACGATATGGCGTTCATTTACCACCGCCCTCACATCGACGGGCGGAGACTACAGTGTCACCGGTAGAGGGTTACATCAACTACCGAACCAATTATAGTGCCCTCGCAACCCTCATGGTGCCCAGGGCTCAGGGGTATTCTGCAAACCAAAGAATGCTTTGCTTCTTTTTCTCTTGTCCGGCTCAAGCTAGGCGACGCGTCCTTAGATTAGCGTGAACACCGAAGCAATTAAGATGAGTTATGTCGGGACTAAGAGTGTATTAGTCGAAGGGCGCTGTGCTTCCGTGATGGTTTTGGTTCTAGCGGCCGTGATAAACGCTGAATGAGGCAACCTCACTCCGGCCTGCCTGAAATGTGGAGATAGTGGAGGAACAATGTTAAGTCGATGTGCCGAGGCGATCAATGCTGGAAGTTATCAAATCTGATGACCTGATCTCAAGGGGGTGTACGGTAGAGCAACCATCGTTTACGCAGATTAGCCTACGTTTTGTGGGATGTGCGTGCATGGATTTATCACAGCGCAAATCCACTGCAAGAGCACACATCACGAATGGAGAGACAGGAAGATGGGCATAAACCAACCAGTGGATGGTCAAGTATTTGACATAGGGTACTACTGTATGTACTGAGAAATACCATGTGACAATGAGTCAAGATGTGATTTGAGGAGTACCCGAGACGAACACAGTCAGAACTGTAGCATACCTGCATCCCATTACCCAAAGGTTAGCAAGGTGGCCTTTTTGGAAGAAAATGGAAGGATTAACATACGTCGAGCCTGCTAGGATTAGTTCCATGGTTCTAGATTGAGTCAAAATCGAGACTATCAAAAGATAGCAAACCGTAAATGTCAAAACAATGACTATCCTGATCCAGTTTGAGTTGGTGGTGCTGCAGATTACCACCGGCATCAAGAGCAGTAGGGTTATCAGAAACAACAGGATTGCTCGAGATGTTCGCTGTACCAGGGGTCCAGAGTCTATAAATACATTTGGGTCGTTTGATAGATCGTGAGACTTGCTCTAGTTGTTTGTTAATTTTTTAGACGATAATCAGAAGATTGACATACATACCCTTCTGAATCCGGCATAAAATTTGATGAACAGATTCTCGACCCAGGCCTCGAGTTTGACTGTTGCATTATCACCCAGGGGCGCAAGAGAAACCAGCTCTCGACTGGAAAGATATGCTGTTTCCTCCCTTGCCAGAGACCCTGTGCCGTTGACCCAGTTTCGAAGACTGTGCACATCTCTCTCCTGAGCAGGACATAAACTCAACACGCGGTTTGTGCGCTCGAGATATCGATCTATGATCTTCAATAAGTTGATTGAATCGGCCCTCGGAATCATGAGAATATACCGTATTCTTCAAGGCAGAGCTCTATTTCCGCCAACACTTTCTTGCGGGCTTCATTTCTGTCAAATCGACTCTTCCCAAGGAACAGCGGGGCAGGCTCCTGATTGTCTATCTCCTCAAGTCGCTTCTCTAGGATATCCAGATGGTCTTGTTTCAGAAGCAGGAGGCGCGCGCGGAGCTTGTTGAACGGTCTACATACGAAGTAGGGCTTGTGGGCAGAAAGAAGTGCTGTGTATCGGGGGTACCCCTCACGATATTCTTCGACTATTTCGTGGGTATCACACGTCAGTTTCAATTTCTCCAATGCAATTTAATGGGTCATTGAGGGGAATCAGACTTTTCTTGGGTGGTATTGTTTTGGTAGGACGGGGAGGGGTC